ACCAATTATGGCCTCTAACACGTAATAGGTTCTCAATGTCAGGTTTAAATAGCAACGAAATATCAGATAGTACTAATAATCAGTCATTTGATAATGATATTCAACAAACACAACAGAAAAGAAATAGCTCGCACAGTCCGATAATAGGTGAAAATGAGAAACGGGAAGAAAAAGGGAATATGTCAACCAATGTAAAGAGTTTAGAGTTTGAGCAACAGCCACCATTAGATCAGGGTAGTGATCGGGCTAGGCGCGCGCATGAAAGAGAATTACGCAAACAGGGGATGGAGATATGAGCCAATTTCTAGTAATACACGTATATGTTATGTGCGATATATTGTGTTTATTGCTTAATTTTATATATATTTATAAACTTAAGATACTAAGATTATATACCTATCGTTAATATATGCAACTATGTTTTACATTAAGAAATAAACGGATTATATAAACATAAAAAATGTTACCACCACGGATAATAGTTGTATTTCAAATTAAGTTGAGATAACAGAGATATTCTCATAAAATGTATTTTTGTTCTTAGTATTTCGTTGTGTAATTCTTTTATTTAACTTATGTATCATTACCGTATAAACAAACGATTGTCTTAAATTAAGTGGGGAGAAATGGAGGGTAGTTTAATAGTTTATATTAAGACGGGTGGAGAGATTTGTTCTTTTTTTCAATAAACCAGTTAGTAACTGACTGCATTGTTTCACTGACGTTACACCTATAAATATCCAAATATCTTTACAAAATTTTACATTTATAATATAATAATATCTTTATTTAGACCCTTATTTAGATCAACTTAACACTGCCTTTAAAACAAACATTAAACTTTAAAAAACATAACTTTTTGCTTATTTTCTGTAGATCTGTTTGACAATCGGCGAAGGCCTCTTCTAACCATTTCCATTCTTGTCTTTCTTGAGCCACTCTGTCCCATGTTATTCCAGCCACTTCCCTGACGTCATCATCCCATCTTATGCAGGGTCTGCCTCTTTTCCCTTTGCCTTCCCTGGTATACCATCTTGTCACTTTCTTACTCCATTTGTCATCTCCTTTTATAATGTGCCCTGGCCATCTCCGTTTAAGTCTTTTAATTTTCAAATTTATAATATTATATTTTAATGCAATAACTACCAGTTTGATTTACGTGTAATTAGATCGAAAAGCTCGATTAGTTTCGGAATCAATTTGTGATCCTTAGTCATGAAAGATTGTAAGGCTAGCGCGAACCTGACTACGCTTCGGCGCACTGAGCGCGAATTGTACCGTCACAGATAAGAAAGATGGCGTCACAGCCGCTCATGAATAAGGATCACGACTTGATTCCGAAACTAGTCGAGCTATTTCGATCTAATTACACGTAAGTTAAACCGGTAGTTGTTATATTAAAATATAATGTGTATTAACAACATTTTTATATATAAAATTTATAGTATTGTAACGTAATGTAAATAGGACTCCATTTTACGCACTTAGCCTCTCATTTGGGCCGTTGTGCGTATGAATTTTATAGTATTAGTAGAATAAATAATAAAGAGATAATAATTCATAATATTAGTAGAGTTACTTTATAATAATAAGTGGTAAACAACTACATTACGTACAATATAAACAGGAATCTTTCCTTAAAACTGAATGTAGTATGAGGCCTTAACTATTAATGGCATGGATAAATTACCATTTTATTTACGCAGTGTTTACGCTCACGCCATGTCAGTTATAAAATAGAAGAGAACCCATGAACTCGTTCAGGGTCATCCGTGGAAAACAAACAACAACGTACTTATTCTAGAGAGAGGACCTACTATTGTCCAATTTTCCGAACCCTGCAGTAGATTAAAAAAAAATACAATTTAAAAGTGCTCGTAAACAAGTCTATTTGAATAAAGATGATTTGAATTTGAAAATTTGAATTTATTTTACTATTATGATAAACAAGCCGTTTTACGCGGCTATGCATGCACTATGAGTACGTATTGCAGGCCTGATTGAGTAACAAACATCAAAACTTACTACTAACATTTTTACAAATTTACATATATATATATATATATATATATATATATCATTAGATATAATATTATTATCTACAAATACGGCAAATATGTGTATTATAATTAACTAGCGATCCGCCCTAACTTCGCAAGGATGCACATCACATCACATTATGAATCTCTAAAATTATCAGTGTTCCTCTACTATATTATGCATTTTTTATATATATAAACCTTGCTCTTGAATCACTTTATCTATTAAAAAAAAATGAATCAAAATTCGTTGCATAGTTATAAAGATCTAAGCATATATAGGGACAGACACACGGAAAGCGATTTTGTTTTATACTTTGTAGTGATAAAAAAAACACGTTTTTATTATTGAATAAAAAAAAATCAGGCTTAACTAAACATACCGACGAAGAAGTTTTATAGAACCTTATGTAAATTATTTTGAAAATATTTGTATTAAGAATGCTGTATCATGCGTTTACAAGATTTCGTTGCGCAAAGAAAAGTGACGGCTTCATTTCTCATAAAATCAATATGAGATGACTACGAGAGTAAACCTTATAAATGCAAAAAAATACGCATCAAAATTAACAGTCTATTGCGTAACGCAGCCATAAAAATTACGAACGTATTCAATACCTTTTTTTTGTTAGAAAGTCGACAAAAAATGAACGTCATTTTTTTTTGTTACTGTCAAACGAAAAAGTCAAGTGCCTCGTTCAATTATACGAAACAATACTTTTATGAGGCTTGAATCAGAATAAGCACATATCGATCGGAATACGGACGGCCGTCGCGACACTTCATTAGCGTTTCGAGAACCATCCATCACCCCGTCGATTGCTGGGGTGATTCCATACCCCGTCATACATCATCCCATGGCGATTGAGATAATTCAGTGACAAAAGACATCTAAGTTTTAATGAAATGTTATACTTTACTTCTTTTCATCCGCTAAATCGTTCACGTGACCGACATATATTGTTTGAGATTTTTTTTAATGGGTGAAAATGGATAACCACACCAGCGCTATAGGTATACGCTGATGGGGCACCAGTGAGAGATGATAAGGATGAGGATGAAAGCAGGTCAGTTGGTCCATCGTGACGAATTCGACAAGAATCAACCACAATGGTTTCCAGGAGAAACCGCGTAGAGTAACCTGATAGAACGCATTACTGTTAGTAATACGTTTTTTTTTATTCGATTTACTTAGAATAGCAAACAACATGGACATAACAGAGTGTACTGTTTCGCTCATGATACTCCACATGCGTTGCCATTCCTGAGGACTCAGGTGTTATTCCTCTGTACCCAGTAAATTCACGCCATGTCCCGCCCTTCAAACCGAAACACAGCTATGCAAACACAACTGCTTCACGGTAGAAACACGAATGGGATAGAGGTACCCAAGCAATCGACTTTTATACAAAGTCTCCCTCTGAATCTATGGAATTCATCATATTAGTCTCTAACTGTCCATTGCTGAACATAGACCTCTCCCTTAGGGAGTTTTGCTAGTATTCACGCCTCTCTTGGCTGACGGGTTGGCAAGAGCAGTTAGGCTTTGGTCAAGTTTTTATCCTTAATCTGCTCTTACGACACCCATGAGAGAGAAAGGGATGGCCCATTCTATGTTGGAACCACACGACTTACGGCTATTATAATGACTTGGCAATACATAAATACACATGACAATACTGAAATATAAACACATACTCGTAATAATAAATAGAAAACACACAAGCATATTACAATGTTTGCTGTTTCCAATACATTAATAGACGCCATGATTGCTGGCATTGGTGATCTAAAACCCACAACACATAAATTACAATACCCATTATAAGCGATACGTCACGAGTAGTTCGGGAATTGTAATTGAATTCGTTACGGGATATTCGTGTAGGTAATTTCGTACGCAGATGTGTTCTACATATGTTTGTTCACATTATATTAATTATTAGGGATATTAATGTTTACAATTTTGTTCGTCATAATAAATTACATCGAATTGCTAATGATAGCTTTTTTTATGCAATTTAGAATAGCAAATAAACTGATGGTCCAATTCATGGAAAGTGGTAACCGTCGCCTATAGACATAAGCAGTACCACGGACATAACAGAGTATACTATTTCGCCCAGAATACCCCCCATGCGTTACCATTCACGAGGATGCAGGTGTTATTTCTCTGTACGCTGTAAATTAACTGCCATATCCCACCCTTCAAACCGAAACAGAGCTACGGAAACACAACTGCTTCATGGTAAAAACACGAATGGAACAGAGGTGCACAAGCAAACGACTTTTGTACAAAGTCTCCTTCTGGTAAAAGGTATACGTAATTTTAAGTAATATAAGATGAGTGAATCTACCATAAGAAGAATTTGTAAAAAATCGTCTGGATATCTCTGTCCCATTCATGTTCCTGCAGTGAAATAGTTTTGTTTTCATGGTTGTGAGTCGGTTTGAAGGGTGGGATTTGGTAAAGAAATTACATGGTACTGAGGCCACGTTAACATAACACCATAGTCGTCAGGAATGGCAAAGCATAAGCGAAACAGTATACTCTGTTATGCCCATGGTACTGCTCATGTCATGTCATAGGCGATGGTTACCACTGTACAACAGGTAGGCCGTTAGCTTAATTGCCATTTTAAGTTGCATAAAAAAAAGAGTTTATTTGTTACCACATTCCGCCTTACCCACTCAACCAATCAGTCTAAAATTAAGTACATTTATTCTTGGTATCCCTCATATATGCTTTGAAGGAAAGGATCGAGGAAAAAGGAAGGGGATGTTGGAAGCAAGAGGATACTGATCAGAAACTGCAGTAGTCTTATTCTAGAACACATCACTAAAGGAGAACACCTTTGGCAAAACCTAAAATACTTTTATATAGTATACAAAAAAACTTTTTATCTTGTTAAGAACACGGCTGGCCATTTACATTATTATATGCACAGATAACTTCCACAGAGAAATAGCAATGTTGTACGAAAGTGGAACGTCGCCGACGACAGCGAAGGCGCGGGTGGCGGCCGTGGTCGCCCATGAGATCGCCCACCAGTGGTTCGGTAACTTGGTGACGCCCGCCTGGTGGTCGGACATCTGGCTGAACGAGGGGTTCGCCAGCTACGTCGAATACGTCGCGGTCGACGCTGTGAGTATGAATGTCGACTAACAAATAAAATGACAAATTAATGGTGTCCAATTACCTACAGTGATAAATTAATATTATATATATAAATTTTTACTAATTTTAGGTGCGATTTTAAAACGTTTATCTACAAAATGAATAAACAATAACGTCAATTTACGGTCGTAAATGAACGCCATTTTTTAGTCGTTTTAAGGTCACTTTTTTAAGTTTATTATTTTTACGACTACGACAGTGTTTTGAATTTGGAGCACACGAGGTACTTATAAAATCTAAAGTTACCCGAAATAAAAAAAAATGCAACCGACAAAAACCTAATCTAACTAAACATATTCAGCTCTTTAGCTCTTTTATTATGAAGAAATAAGAAATAATTTTACATAATTCATGAATATATTTACGTTAAATAGTATACTTAAGTTACATTATTTTATGAAAAAAAAAATAATAAAAAATATTTGGTATTGATAAAGTACATTTAATAGTATAATTTATTTGAATCCTATATGAAAGACTGTTTGAGAAAATAGTCACTTTATCGATTATGTTAATATTATTTAAATTATTTGTACTTTTTTTAATTTTTTACTTCATTAAAATGATTTTTTTTGGTTATTATGTGAATTATAAATTTTATTTGTAACTATTGCAAATAAATAATTCGCTCTCGTTATTAACAATTGGTCGTGTGGTGCTGGCGTAGAATAGGCCACCCCTTCCTTTCCCGTGGGTGTCGTGAGAGGCGACTAAGGGAAGGTGAGGGATGGACAGCAGCGTCCCTTTTAAAACATCTCTAAAGCCTAACTGCGGTTGCCAATCCGCTTGCCAAGCCTAGCAACTACTAGCAAAACCCCCAAGAGGGAAGCTTATGTTCAGCAGTGGACAGTTAAAGGTTGATATGATGAATAATAATCGCCGTGTGAGTCCCAGCATAGAATATAGGGTGGGATATGGCGTGAATTTACTGGGTACAGAGGAATAACACCTGAGTCCTCAGGTATGGCAACGCATGGGGGGTATCATGGGCGAAACTGTATACTCTGTTATGTCCATGGTACTGCTCATGTCTATAGGCGACGGTTACCACTTTCTATCAGGTGGGCCGTCAGTTTGTATGCCATTCTAAGTTGTATAAAAAAAATAGAATAGGCCACTCTTTCCTGTCTCGAGGGTGTTGTAAGAGGCGACTAAGGGAACTTATGGTCGAGGGGCAAAGGCCTAACTGCGGTTGCCAATCTGCCTGCCAAGCATGGCAATATCTGGCAAAACCCCCCCATTTATGGGGGTGGTTTATGTTCAGCAGTAGACAATTATTGGTTGATATGGTATTATTAATGATATTTATTAACCCTTTGCTCTCCATTGTCGCCGTATTTGCGACATTAAAATACTAACATTAAATCCACTGTCGCGGCTACGACGACACGGTTGTTTTACTGACTCAGCGTCCTTAACACTTAGGTAAGCGAAATCGTCTGTAAACACATCTTATAGTGTTCGTGATATGTTTATTATGTTTACATTATAATTACCAGAGGGAGACTTTGTACAAAAGTTCAGTTCGTTTTGCTTGGGTACCTCTGTCCCATTCGTGTTTCAACCATAAAGCAGTTGTTTGCATGGCTGTGTTTTGGTTTGAAGGGTGGGATATGGCGTGATATTACAGAGTACAGAGGAATAACACCTGAGTCCTCAGGAATAGCAACGCATGGGGGGTATCATGGGCAAAACAGTATACTCTGTTATGTCCATGGTACTGCTCATGTCTATAGGCGATGGTTACCACTTTCCATCAGGTGGCCCGTTAGCTTGTTTGTCATTCTAAGCTGTATAAAAAAAAAGTTATTGACATCCTCTACGAGTTATTAGGCTGGAGTGTAAAGGCTTAATTGTTTTTGGAAGAGATGTAATGAAACAATTGATTGTACAGGTGGAGAATACGTGGAAACTTATGGAGGTGTTCGTCTTAAACGAAGTACAGAGTGTGTTCAAACTGGACGCCCTGACGTCTTCGCATCAAATCTCCGTGGAAGTTGGCAACCCTGAAGAAATTGGAGCCATATTTGACAAGATTTCCTATGGAAAAGGTTTGTTTGTTAGTTTGTTTGTAACACTTTTTTGTAAAGTCTTAAATTATAGGATAAGGAGTTTTTAAGTAAAGAATGAGTAACACTGGCGGATTTATCCCATAAAAGGGATTTCTTCCAGTCAACCTTTAAGTTGTAGCACTTTAGCAGACCGCTAACGACATACTTTTTAACTGTATCGAGTTGACTGGAAGAGTTCTCTATCAGATACAAATCCACTCTCGCAATCCATTTATGCAATAAAGAATCAATCGCAATCGCAATCAATTTATGAAGTAAAATAATTTTTATTTTAATTTATTTTCAAAAATAAATAAATTTTTGAAACAAAATTAAAATAAAAATATTTTTTATCATTTTCATTTATTATTGGTGATATTTTTTCAAGGTAATTTAATAGAGAATCTTTCTATTAAAGTACTATTTAAATTAAAATTAGCAATTTATAATATTTTTTAATTAAAAGTTAAATCAATTGGGCTGTGTATTTATTAGAACACTTACTTTATAATTAACATTATTATAATTAACTTAATTGATAAATTTTTACTTAACATGTGCTAACATAAAATTTGCATGCCTTTAGATAAGGCGAAATGTGTAGTTCAGTTACCATTTAAGACCTTTGTACCACATTTCGAGCAAATAAATTATTCTTATTCTTATTATTCAGGCTCAGCAATACTTCGAATGATGAACCATTTCCTTACCGACGATGTCTTCAATGCTGGAATCACTGATTATCTGAATGCTAAAAAGTTCGGAGACGCGGAACAGAGGGATCTATGGAGTGCTCTCACAAACGCCGCGCGGAGGAAAGGCGCTTTCGATGCGGATGTAGCGGTCGTGATGGACTCTTGGACTCTTCAAACCGGTTTTCCTGTATTAACCATCACGAGGAATTACAGTACGGGTGTTATACAATTTAGACAGGTTAGTTTGTTTGATGAATCTTTTTTTTTTATACAACTTAGAATGGCAAACAATCTGACGGCCCACCTGATGGAAAGTGGTAATCGTCGCCTATAGACATGAGCAGTACCTTAAGCTTTACTATAACCTTTATTTCTTCGGAGGGAAACGGATTGTTAGTAATGCGGACTACCAGTCTCATTGTTAGAATATACCCTGTCAGGTCGACCTCCACGCGGCCCTTCCTGGTAACAATCGTGTTGAATTCCAGATGTATTCATCACGTTGGGCTAACTAACCTGCCGTTTTATCCTCAGCTATCATTCCTCACTGGTACCCCGCCAGCGTATACCGATAGCGCAGGCGGGGTTACCATACCATTATCATCTATTAAAAAATAACCTTTATTTCCTTACTGTAGTCTTTACTTCTTTATCTTTATAATACCCCTCCTGCATTGCTATTCCTGAGGAGTCAGGTGTTATTTCTTTGTATTTTTTCTTTTTATGCAACTTAGAATGGCAAACAAGTTGACGACAAAGCCGCTTGTTTAATATGTCTTTCATATACTAGCCAATAGATGGCGTTAGGATGTACATTAATTTGTTTACAAGCTGATGCAAGAAGTTTATATCAACATTTATGTTTACCTTGTGATTTTTATCGGCATTATCTGCATTTAATAATTTTAAACGGATTTTATTACACATAACCTAATAAATTGATAAATTATCAATACAATAACACTGTCTTTATATGGGTTATTGGGCTAATATTATAAATTGGCTAGTATTAATTCGACTTTTTATATTTACATATTCACTTTGTACTGATAAAACCAATGAACAATTTTTTTTTTATTTCGGAACATCAAAAGGTCATGATAATTTAATATAATTTAAAATTTTATCTAAATTAGTAAAGTAAATCCTCGTAATGTAATTTATAAGATAAATGGTATTATAATGGATTAATTTTAACATGAATTCTAGATTAAATTAAAAATTAAGGGAGGATTTAATTTCGATAAATCTATTTCTCTTTTGATGCAGACCCTCTCATGCTCAGATGGATGCTGTTTCATTCACGTAATGTTTTTAGTTTTAGGGAAAGAGCTTTCAAGAGACAATTTATATCATAGATTTTGTATTGACTGTCAAAAAATAGTTATTCAAGTCCTTACTTATATTTTAAATTTGAAAGTGTGTTTGTTTTTTTGTTATATTTTAGCGCATGAACAGCTTAATTAATTACTATGAAATTGGGTATATATGTACTATATAGGATGAAGGATAAAAGGTATGGAAGGTTTATAATTAGATTTAAATAATAAATAGTTAATAAATAGATTTTTACTTGAAAAAAAAATTCTTTCTAAATAAAGATCCCACGTAACATACTAATTATACAATCAAAATTGTGAACCTTTTACATGTACATAAGAATGATATATTGTTTTTATTTTTAATTTAATTTGAGGAATTTGGATTGTTGGGTGTCACCGGGTGAATGTAAATTATTGTTTTTATTATATTGATGCCATTTAGTTGTTTAATAATTTAATTATCCACTAGGGTAATGTATTCAAAAGTTTCGCTGTATCTTATTTTGATAATCTTAAATAAATGAATAAATAAATAAACATACCAAAATTCATAATAACAGTCATAAATAATTTTCAATATCAAATCATTCTTACTTCTTCCACATGTCTCTTTCTAATTGGTGCATTCATTTTTGTTTTTTTCACTTGTATTCCAGGAACGATTCGTCCTGATCAACAGTACATCAGAAGAACAAAAGTTGCCCGTCTGGTGGATTCCTGTTTCGTACACAACTGCTTCAGAAAAGGACTTCAAGTCAACCAGGCCCAAACTATGGTTAAGAGGCGAAAGGTCAATTGAAGTTGATAATATTACAGTTGGCCGAGACGACTGGTTTATTGCCAATATACAACAAACTGGTGAGCAGCTGTCTTTATTTTTGTACTTACTCTGTCCCATTCGTGTTTCTACCGTAAAGCAGTTGGGTTTGCATGACCATCATGATAGGCGAAAATGAAAAGGCATGCCAGTTAGCCCATCGTATTGAATACACTTGGAATTCAGCACGATAGTTTCCAGGGGGGGCACGTGGAAGTCGACCTGACAGGGTATATTGCTAGCAATGGGACTGGTTTTCGGCATTACTAACAGTCTCTTCTCCCTCTTCCCTATGCTATGCCCCAGCCGTATTTCAGCCGTGAAGTAGCGATACTTACGGTTTGAAAGTTAAATTTTATGATATTTTTTATATAGATTTATAATTGATTATAGACCCTTGGTTCCGCCAATATTAAGTAAAATTTCTTTAAATTTTTAAGACTTACAGCATTTTTAAAGGTCCATCTTTATTTCTGTGCAATTAAGAGTTTGACGGATCTTTGTATTTTTAGGTTTCTATAGAATAAACTACGATGCTTACAACTGGCAGATGCTCGTTAAAGTTTTAAATGATCCATTAAGATTTGAAGATATACATCCAATAAATCGAGCTCAAATTGTCGATGATGCTATGAATCTGGCATTATCCGGCCGTTTGGACTACAGAACAGCTCTGGATATTACGAGCTACTTAATTCATGAGAGAAGCTATGTACCCTGGAAGGCTGGGTTGGTAGCCCTTGGTTACATAGATACTATGCTGTCTAAAGGCGCATACTATTTGGAATATAAGGTATGTACTTTGTATATTGATAATTATTGGATTATGATTTTCAATGAAAATAATGACAAACAATTTGAAAGCCTAATCGCAGTTGCCAATTCACCTACCAAGCGTGGCAACTACTGGCAAAATCCTATTTATGGGGGAGGCCTTTCTTTCAGCAGTAGATAGTTAAAAGCTAATATAAGGCGCCTTAATTTATTATGATAGACATGTTCTTTATCGGCTTAACTGAAGATACTTTTCACTAGATGGCGTTAGTTGTAGCATTTCATATTTTATAATGAAGTTTTTATTCGTAAAAAAGAAAGTAAATCTCTACTAATCAAAGTAATCAGAATGACTAGATTCTATTATATGTTATAATTTTGTTCAAAATGGATTACAGAATAAAAAATAAATAAATAACTAAAAAGAATATTAGTTCATCCTCATCTAAACGAATATTGTAATAAGGAAAGAATAAATTTTATGGATAAGTTCAAAAATTGTTTAATTGATTTTAAAAATTCTTACACCAATAGAAAATTACATTATTATGGAGTAATAAGGCTGTATTTTATTTAAATAAAGCTATGTGAAGACGGGTCGGGCAACTAGTTAAAATATAGAGGTATTAGCGATTCGACCCGACTTTTTATGGCTACTCGCTGATAATGTAGCTTTTTATTAGTGGAACTATTTTAAAAATCGATTGGAGTTTATCTGTTACAAAAAAAACAATTAAATATTTCCTCTTGATAGATAATTTACATGTCATATAATTATTAATTCGGTACTTTACCTATAATTAAACGATTCATCTTTAATTATAAATCATATCGGTATGATTGAGTTAGTCATATTATCAATAACTTGTAGGTATTGATAATAAATATTAGCACTCTGTTAAGACAATATGAGTAATTAGAGATTAAAAGCAATGTAGAATGCAATGCAATATAGAAATTCATGTAAGCCATAAGAAAAATCTTCAAAAACTATAGTGCATTATATGTACTGTAGTTTTTAAAGATTTTTCTTTAATTCAAGATTATATCTACTAGATGGAGTGACAAGTGTAAAAATAGTCTGTTAACTAACGTATTTTTCTAATACCAGAAGGAGACTTTGTACAAAAGTCGTTTGCTTAGGCACCTCTGTACTATTTGTGTTTCTACCGTAAAGTAGTGGCTGTGTTTCGGTTTAAAGAGTGGGATATGATAGTGAATTTACAGGGTACAGAGGATTAACACCTGAGTCCTCAGGAATGGCAACGTATATAGGGGGTATTATGGGCGAAACTGTATACTCTTTTATGTCTATGTTACTGCTTATGTTTACAGGCGACGGTTACCACTTTCCATCAGGTGGGCCGTCAGCTTGATATTTTTATTGTGTTGCAAGTAATAGTTAAATTGTGTATGGTATTCCTCTTCATGCGTACACTAACAAATCGTGTAATGTATTTGTAAACAGAGATTGGATAAGTACATATTCAACTCAGGATATCCATGGTAATTTTATCAGTGTGTGTGTAATTTGGAATTTATATAATAATGCAGTTAATACTGGCAACACTGAAAAATGTTACACTTTTTTTATTTAAAAAAAATCTGAAAGTTGAATGTTACTTTTTAATGTTTTTTTGATATTCATTATATCAGTCGTTAACTGTCTACTGTTATAAGCCTCCCCCATAAAGGGGGGCTTTGCTTGTAATTGTCACGTTTGGCAGGCGGGTTGGCAACTGCAATTAGCCTTAAGTGATATTTTTAAAGGGATGCTTCTGCCCATCTCTCGACCATCAAATTCTCTTAGTCTTAATACAAGGGGTGGCCTATTCTATGCCGGGACTGCATGACTTTTTAATATATATGTTTTATAATAATTCCTTTTTTCAGCGCTATGTCCTTCATCTACTTACCGGAGCTGTCAAGGACCTTGGCTGGGAGGTGACGGCCAACGAGAGCGTCGTGAGAGCGCAACACAGAGTTGACCTGTTATCAACCGCATGCCATCTGGAACACATGGACTGTATGGAGCACGCTGTTAGGATGTACAATAGCTGGATGATGTCTGCTAATCCTGATGCTTATAATGAGTAAGAACTGCTTTGTTATACAGCGACTACTAATGTTACTATTACTAGTACCGCTATCACTATCATTATCACTATTACCGCCACTACTATTACAACTACTACCACTAATATCACTACGTCCATCACCACCACCACGACCGCAACCACTCGTTCTACTACTACCAACCCTATCACTATTACTACCACAATAACTACCACTAACGCCACCACTAGTATCACTATCACTAATCCTACCACCACCATTGCCACTAGTACCACTATCACCAATCCTACCACTACTACCATCACCACCATTAGTACCACTATTACTGCCACTACTACCATTATCATTACCACTATCACAAATACAACCAGACATTCTAATGAATATGATAGATCGAAGATCCAAGCCGCGACCGCACAGGTAATGTGGCGTGTTAAACCACCACCAAGGCCGTCTTTCGCTTTTCATTATTGAATTGTTAACAGCTTTTTAACTTAACAGCTAAGTTAAAAAGCTGCTCGTTCCTCACATCGCCTGTTCCCATGGGAATAAAAATTTAATGAATGTAGATGATGCCATTTCTCTTATATTTATTATTATTAACTCTTTATTGTACCAGAAATATAAAAATATATAATTACAAATAATTAAAGTGAAATAAAGTAGCATAAAGTATAGATTGAAATATAAACGTAAAGGTACAAAAGGCGGTATTATCGTTAGGGTAACCTCTTACAGAGAAACTTTGGTAAATTTTCAATCTATTAATATAATAAGTATTATGTTTTATAAGAAGTAGGAATTGACATGTAATTTATTTGAATTATCTCAAAACTTGACCATACATTTATTGCCGTCTTTTAAAAACCATAAAACATGTAGCGCAAAAGTGTAAAAGTTAATATTGATAAATATAACTAATAGTGATTTTAAAAAGAATTTAATTCATTTAATCTGATTAAATATACAATCGCTCCTAATTACAAGGGGTTTATCTTTTTATTGATACAATGTTATTACAAATTATGAAAATTCTAATAGATACTATAATAGCTTATCTTTTTATATTATAATGTTTAGATTCAGAACAGGATCTATTTTTGTGCAAAGTTTTTTTTCTTTTTAATTACTTATAGACCTTTTTAAGCAAGATTTGTGTATGTGCAACATTTTAATTAACTTATACAGTATGTGATATTTTTTTTCATTGATATTGAAAACTTTAGATTCACTTTTCGATATTAAGGTTACACTCAAAACTGCCTCGAATTAAAATGCAAAAAATGTGTAGTTTTTGTATGACAGAAGATGATTGTTGTTGATTATTTACTATCAACAAAAACCACAAGTCTTGATTCTAGCGCCATCTAGTATTTCGTATCAAATTTTGTTTAGTAACCAACTTAGAAACGTCGTGCCTAGACGTTATAAAAAATCAACAAGATTTAATCACATAACAACATTTTAATGCATTTGGATATAAATACTCGTATTTTTAGAAGATTAGAAATGAATGCATCATTCTTTCTACTGTCAATGTTGTTTTTGATGTATGATTGTGAATCTTCTTCCTTTTATATCAATGGTTTAAAAAAAATTAATTACATGGCTAGATCTATGGTAGGTAGGTAAGGTTATCTGAATTTGTAATAATATGGCTTTTTATTACCTTTTGATTAATGTATTTATTAGTACAAATTACATATATGAACTGATTACAATTGGTTTTAATTAAATATACCAGGAAACAGTCATTATTATCATATAATATTATAATTATGATAAGAATTATCACTATTTTTTTCTAGCACTTCAATAGATTGTATTTCTGACATATTTTTTTTTATTACATATTGCATAATAATAATAACAATAATTATAATTTATCACTTTTTTATAGATCTATTCTATTATCTATTTTTTATAGATCAAGTGTTTTGTATGATTTATTACTACATGTTTAGTATCAAATAGTTTTATATTATTTGTGGTATCATGATAGATAAGGGTTATGAATTTTATGACCTTTCTATTGCCTTCTGATAAATCAATTTAAAATACTATAGAAGTTAAATGTATTGACTGATTACAATTTGGTTATTAACTATATTAAAATTACGCTATTGTTATCGTATTATTATTATCATAAGAAATATATTATCAATATCTTTTATAAATTTTTAACAGATGGCGTTACTTACATCAATTTTATAATTTTAAATTGTATATTGAACAATTATTGTTATTATTGCAACATAAAATAGATAAAAAAAAAATATTTGAATTTAGAAGTGGCAACGTATTTAAAAGAAGATTACGTAGTTTTAAGAATTTTTTGCTTCGTAAAGAAAATTAGGTCAGCACTGGGCCAAACTTCATAAATTATAAAAATAATTATTGAAATCGGTTTAAAAATTATGATGTTATTACGTAACATAGTTACAATTTTTTTTTTAAATTATGAAGTTTTATTTGGTATTTCTTTAAAAAAAGTGTTTAATGCTTGAGTATGGAAATCACAATCTATCTATACTCAAGTATCACAAAAGCATGATAACAGTTTAACTTAATTTAATATGGTGGCTAAAAACTTCACTTAAATAATATTGGGCGCTTGAATAAACAATGTATTTATTTGACAAAAGGAAAACCGTGGTAAACTTTTTCTAGGATCCATGCAGACGTCCGCAGCACAGTATACTGCGTGGGAGTTCAAGTGGGTGGTGCGAGGGAGTGGAGATTTGCCTGGGAGAGATTCAGAGTGGCCAGCGCACCTTCAGAGAGGGAGCTACTGCTGTCTGTACTCGGATGTACTAGGGCACCATACTTACTGTATAGGTTTGTATTAGTGCTACGAGTATATTTAGTGAGCTAATAAATTGTACTCGTTCAAGGAGACCTTGAATACTGTATTTCGATTTGGAGGTTTTTTAAATGAAAATGGAATGGTAATCCAGCAAGCGCTATTGGTATTCACTAGTAACTTTTACTAGTGAGGGATGATGGATGAGAAGAAAGTCAGATCAGCTGGTCCATTGTAACGTATCCACCAGAAATTAATCACAGTGGTTTTCAGAGGAAATGCGTAGAGGTTGATAACAGGGTTATATTGCTAGCAATGGGCTCGCTAATCCCCGTTACAAATAAATCTTTCCCCCCTTAATTTAGAGGAAGAGATTCCATTATTATTATTATATTATACATTATATAATAAAGAGTCAGGGGTGTTTATTTATTTATTCTTTATAGGCCACACTACAAAAAAATGTCTGGTACAAAAGGCGGACTTAATACTATATAGCATTCAACTCCCAGTCAACCTTTGGCTAAACAGATATTTTATTATGCGGTGAAAAAATTATAACTTCTCTAGAAATCTGTCCGATTCTAGAATAAGGGCATACGGTTATACGACCCCGGCCTCCCGAGCCGCTGCAGTGTCCCAGTCCTTTCCGCAACTGCAGTGTCCCCCTCCCTTTCCTTTCCCAGATAAGTCCCATATTCCTCTCATTCACCAATTTCCTTTACGCATTTCCAACGTTCCTTTCCTTTTTTTCCTCAATCCTTTCCTCCATACCGTAGGTGGCGGAAACCACCAATAAATGCATTCCCAAAGAGGATTGACTTCAGGCAGGTGGCCGGTCGGGAAACTAAAAACCAAATCTTTTTGTAATATGGATAAAATCATATTTTTTTTTAATGGGTGATAATGTAATGGTAATCCCACCCGTGCTATCGATATACACCGGCGGGGCACCAGTCAAGGATGATAGCCCATCGTGACGAATTCAACAAGAATTGTTCACGATGGTTTCCAGGGGGAACCACGTGGAGGTCGACCTGACAGGATATATTGTTAGTAATGGGGCTATTTGACCCCATTACTAACAATCCCTTTCCCCCCAGATAAAATCATATTACGCCGACCCTAAATGATTGGGTAAGGGTAGGAAGATGATGATACATTATATAATGTAATATTATTATTATTATACAAAGGTTAACTGTCCACTGCTAGACATATATCTCCCCCATAAAGGAGTTTTGCCAAAAGTTGCCGCACTTGGTAGGCGGGTTGGCAACCGTAGTTAGGCTTTGGAGATATTTTAACAGGGACGCTGCTGTCCATCTCTCGATCCTTTAATTCCCTTAGTCGCCTTTTACGATACTCATATTACAGGAAAAGGTGGCCCATTTTACGCCAGGACGGCAAGAGGAGAGATATGGCAATGACATTACAAGACGTAACACGTTAGTGCTCAGGAATGGCAACGCATGCGTAGTACCATGGGCGTCATAGTGATTGGAAGCTATGTCTATGATATCTATAGGCGACGGTTGCCATTTTTTACTTACGATCAGGTAACGTAGGTTACGGTCAGGTTTTTTTTATACAACTTAGAATGGCAAACAAACTGACGGCCCACCTGATGGAAAGTGGTAACGGTCGCCTATAAACATGAGCAGTACCATGGACATAACAGAGTATACTGTTTCGCCCATGATACCCCCCATGCGTTGCCATTCCTGAGGACTCAGATGTTATTCCTCTGTACCCTGTAAATTCACGCCATATCCCACCCTTCAAACCGAAACACAGCTATGCAAACACAACTGTTTCACGGTTGAAACACGAATGGGACAGAGGTATCCATGCAATCGACTTTTGTACAAAGTCTCCCTCTGGTGCATCGTGAGTTTATTTGCCGTTTTAAATTGTAAAAAAATTCTTAAACGTTTGTTTCAGATATTTGGAACTGTCATTGCGCAATGACAGCGGTATTCGTAAACAGGATACTGTGAGGGTGTTTTCAGCAGTGGCGGGGTCTGCTATTGGGCAACCAATCGCGTTCAATTTCGTCAGAGCCAACTGGCAGAGACTTAAAGACTAGTGAGTATTTATTTTCAATCTTATTTAGAAAGAAGAAGGTTCTGAATTCATCGTATTTTTTCATCAAATTTAAAGTAATTTTTATTTTAAAGATATTTTTAATTAAAAGGTACTATTATTGTATTATATATATATATATATATATATATATATATATATATATATATATATATATATGATAGATCCTATTAAGACCAATAGATGTCAAACAAATGAATATTTAGAAATTTTGTTTGTCTTCTTGTTTGTTTATTCCAGCATCATACAAAAACTACTGCACCTAATTGGATACGATTTTCACCGTTGTATTCCTAAAGGTCTAACTTAAAGTCAGGTGTATGTTTTATCTTGATACGCCATCTAAAAGCGGTATATTTTATTGGTTTTTCCACTTCTGATGTATGCCTTCGAAGTAACGTATAGATAGATAGTAGAAAATATAATTTAACAAAACATAATGTAGATTAATTATCGTAACATAACATCTTGTAATAGTTCGTAAAATTGAAATATCATCTGTCTAGCTGATAAATAGAATTCCTAGTGATAATATTCAATTAATTATCATGGTTATGGCGAGCCGTCTTATGTCTACGTGATTTGTAATCAATCATTAGACCTTTAGCATTAGAAGTTCGCCTTGTACGTGTACATGTTATCATCAGCCTTTAATCATCCACTGCTATCTAATGCAACAAAAAAAGGCACATAAGCCTCCCCCTTGGGGGGTTGTCAGTAGTTGCCACACTTGGCAGGCCAATTCGCAGCCGTTAGGCTTTTAGAAATGTAAGAGGGACGCTGTTGCTTATCTCTCTATAATTAAGTTCCCTTAATCGCCTCTTATGATTTCCATGGGAAAGGAAAAGAGTGGCTTCTTCTATGCCGGGACCTACCGTCATGTACATGTACTAATGACTAAATAAATAAATACAATTTGTCTTCCGTTTGATAAAGAATATCTGAGTTCCGGATACGCAACCAAAACAAAATAACGAAAACAGGAAATCTGATAAAATAACGATTTCCTGCTTTTCATATAAAGATATTTTCCTGATATCTGTATATGTATTAATAATAAAATTATAAATATTATTTTAATTATTGATAATTAATAACTTATTCCGCTATTTAGAATAGTGTCACGTATTCATCTCGCCCCATACAAATTGCAAAACTTTATTAAGTTCTTTTTAGGTTACAAAAAAAGGTTAACATTATTGAAGTTGCGAATATAGTATCAAATACATATATATCACCTAAAATATGGAAAGCTCATTATCTTATCATCATCATCATTTCAGTCGTTAACCGTTCTGATGAACAAAAGCTGAACATAAGCCTCCCTCTTGGGGGGTTTTTGCCAATAGTTGCCATGCTTGAGTGGCGTGTTGGCAACCGCAGTTAGGCTTTTAGAGATGTTTTAGAAGGGACGTTGTTGTTCATCCCTCTACCATGAAGTTCCTTTAATCGGCTCTTACGACACCCTCAGAATAGGAAGGGGTGGCCTATTCTATATCTGGACCACATAGACACATCACCTTATAATGATTTATATTTTAAAATGTTTACATAATGCTTCCTGCTTTATTCTTTCCTAATTCGGCCTATTCTGATGAAATCAGTCAGATTTCGTGATGAATACACCTGGGATTTAGCACGATGGTTTCCATGGGGGACCACGTGGAGGTCGACCTGACAGGGTATATTGCTAGCAATGGGATTTGTAGTCCGCATTACTAACAATCCCTTCCACAAGCGCTTCATTTATGAAACGTTAAAACCATTGATACGATTTTACTAAATTGTCTTTTAAAATTTAAATACCTTTTACTGATAAAGGTATTTAAACTAAAAAAAAAAATTTAAGGGTAAAAATAATAATTTGGAGAGGACAACGTTTGTTGGGTTAGTTAGTTTTATATAAAAACTAGTATTTAATTATATTAATTTGTTATATGTTATTATACTCGTATATAGCAACAGCTGAGGCGGCCCCTATTACCAGCAACATTAATTGTTTTTATTTCTTTTTGTTGTTTTAATTTTTTATTTTTTTAATACTGGTAATAAAGGTTATCTATCTATCTATTTAATATATAACAAATTAATATATTTTTGTCTTTTTTTTTAGTGTTGGGTCGGTATCGACTCTCAACTCTATTCTAAAAGTAGTGACCAGAAGATTAAATCAACCACATGAATATGAAGAGGTAAGATAGAATAATAGAAATTATATATATTTTATTATATAATAATAACAATATTTTATATATTTCGAAATAGGGAATCAGTTGACAGTACACCTGATAAAAAGAATTAAATAATTAGTAAACAATAATTAGTATTTTATATAAATTATCGAGATTCAATATAATTTAAACAAAAGGTTTTTTAAAACGACAGCTATATATCATCACAAATAAATTTCGTATTTATTATTTATTTCTTAGAAAATAACATTTAAACTTGTTAAAATGTAGTAAAATTATGTTAGATATTTTGTTTTAATAAACAGTATTACGTATAGACACTATACATATTTTAAAGTTTAAATGTATCAAAATAAATTCCCATTTTAAAATCAACTAAGAAAACAATACTAGCACTCATAAGTTATATTTAATTTGGAACTAGATGGCGCTGCGTGATACGTCAAGCAGCATTTATTATATCATTATTATTAAATTATATTTATTATTATGTCCTTCAGCTGAAGAGGTTCGTTGCAGAATCGTGCGCGGAATTAGGTCGTCCGGTTCAACAAGTGTTAGAGAGGACAGCTGCGAATGTGCAATGGATGGAGAGCAACTACCAAACGATAGTAGACTGGTTGCTGGCAGCGGAAAAAGGGCCTAAGATCTGGTGACCTGACTTATTCGGATATGACATCAGTTTGTACGTTTAGTGTAAACAAGCACTTAATCGACGGCTAACCACCAATACCTCCTAACTGACATTTATAAAATAAAATAAATCGTAGACATTTTTCCTAAGTTTTCTCCTATTCTATGTCACATATCAATAATCCTACTAAAATGTGATGGTTTGTAAAGATATTTATTACTATTATTATTATCGCCTGGTGTTAAAGCTAGAATATCAAGTAGCCTCAAGTAGCATACAGTAAATACCTAACTTAATACATAGGATACCTTAAATAGTGATTCATGAAGATAAAGTCCCGATAAACAGCTATAAGAGAAACAATTTATATATCAATGTATCAAGAATTTATATTAAAACAAATTAATTTTATTAATTGTAGCTATTTGGAATAAATATATATGTTCTTAGGATGTTTTCTGTGCAAAATATTAAAAAAAATCTCTGTAAAATGTTGTCCATTGTTAGGAGTTATTGTCGGTTAATTGTTGATATGAAGATCTTTAAGATATCGTGTATTGAATATAGCGTAAATTAGTGCTACGATACGTTCATGTGGATTCGTTTTGACAATTACAATAGGAAAGATTACTGATAATTTATTTCGATAGAGACGTCATTGTGTTATAACGTAAACTAACTAACGCAAAAAAAAAAAAAAACATTCTGTTTGGTCTGTTGAAGAAGGGATTATAAATTAATTAAAGCCTTACTTTCCACCGTTATTTAATTATTTTTTACGCAATTTTTGTCTATAAAATTTCCGTTACTATTTGCTTTTATATATATTGTAAAATGGTGGCGCCACTTTCGCAGAACTTAAACTTTCCTATTGCTGTCTTTCACTGTAAAGTAACAGATATCATTGTCAGATATCGGATTTTAGACCACGATCGTAAAAGTAAAATAAAAATTCGCATCGTATCGTGAAGTTAGTTTAGTATATAGAGCGGTGTTCAAATTTGTTTCGATTTTTAAAATTAACTATCATTTTATCCATTTTGCTATCGTAGACTATTTTTAGTCAGTTATGAGTGTTTTGGTATAAACTATATACTTTGTATTAAAAAATGTATGAAAAATTAATGTGATTAAGTAAAAATATTTGCATTTTAGTACTGATACATTGTTTTAATGATTGTGTAAATTAAAAAAAAAAAAAACTGTTATACTAACATTTTGTACTTTCTTAAAATAAATTTATTTTGAAACTACTTTAAAAAATATATAAGGATTTGAACACAGTAAAAAAAAACAGTCACAACATAATCCGTCTATTAATTAATATAATTTACAATACTACAAAATAGTTTAAAGCTATTTTATTTAAATAGATTTTCTGGTATATGCTATAATGATGACAGAAGAAAAAACGTAATAACTACCTGTCTACAGGATTTCAAGTTTTATTGTAAGAGATTCAGTTTTATTATAAGAGATTCAAACATGTCTTGACATATGTTTGGAAAAAGATTACAGTTTTACTGACAGGAATACTTCTTTATACGTATGGTTATGAAATTGATTCATAGTACAGATGTACCATCGATTATACAAGTTTCAACTTCTGGTACAATATAGTATTTTTTTTATTTAGAAATAAGTTTTTTTTTTTCAATTATTATTTCGTAATCTAGAAACGAAATCTCCTAATGATGAATTAGTATAATTTAATAATACATAATTAAGTGTCTACTCAATTTATTATCATTGTAAGTCTTATTTGTGAAAACTAAATTTATTATTTAAAAAAATCATTTAATATAAACTAATTAGGTAATAATAAAGTTAGCTAATTGTAAATTGTATAAAATTAAAGGCACATCAGTGTTTTTATTCTTCGTATTTATGGTTAACACATTTTGTCAGCTTATTATTATTGTGCCCCCCCCCCCCCCCTTAAATGTATAATATAAAAACATTATTTTATTTTACAGCAATCGGGTATAAATGTAGATTTACATTTTAGATGTAAATTTTACATTTTACATGTTAAATGCACATTTTAGAAGTTTTACGATATAACAATAATATTTGAAACGAAATTTTATTTCGACAAATTTTAATTGCATTCAAAATTGAACTCTAACATTCAAGTTATTGAAATTAATTTCGTATGAAGGTGGAACTATATTAGAAATAATTAATTAGGTATCCAATGGTTACGGCCTCCTTTATTAATATAAACTTACTATATGTTCATATCGACCTAGATATTGAATTATAATCAATGTACATAGGTTTATGATCAAAAAGGGGCTTTTATATGTATCAGTGTTCAATAAGACGTGCTTTCAGAAAGGAAGTAATATTTTTTAGTAAATTTTATTAGTTTAGTAAGTAGTTAATTTTTATAAAACCTTAGTACAGATGCTGTTTTTAAGGGTAAGTCCGCATTAGAATTCGCTGGAGTTTCGCGCGTTTTTTTTTCCGCTGATGTCTATGGTTTCAAACAATATCCACAGGGTATATTATGTTCTAGAATGATGCGGAAAAAAGCATTAAGTATAAATTTGCAGTGCGGGCTTACCTTAAAAATTTACTAATTTTTTTTTACATAGTTTGCGTTAAAGACGTTTGTTATCAATAATTATCGATTGGCGTCATTGTTAAATATTTTCACTATCATTATTAATTTTTATTCCATAACGAGCCAAGAATTATGCTAGTCATGTATTAAAAAAAGAAATAAAAAAAAACACACAAGACTAGTCTGTATGGGCGCCGATTCCTTTGCCTATCTTTTAAAAAAGGGAAAGAAATATTTTATATTCTCTTTTCTCTTTTAGAACATCATACATTGAAGCAATTAACGATATTGGACAAGTCGTAGTAATTCATTTAGGGAAGCATTTTACCTATATGCCTGTCGTCGCGCCATAAAGGTCATTCATATTAATTAAAAATTCTTGACTAATTCTTTATGGTGCTAAAGAAGCGATGACGATTAATATTATATATTTTTTATTGTACTTGAAAAAAGAAGAATTTAATATTATTTACATTATCGTTTTATTCAAACTGTTTACAATTTAAATAAAACCATAGATAATGAACGATGCGCAGTACACGCTTTTTTATGTAATTTTTTTTTCTGCGCAGATCACGTGGTTCAATAAAAATATGTTTAGGTCATTCTCCAGAAATTTATATTGGTTACTTATAAATGAATTGTATCGAGAAATAACTGTAAGTTCTAATGTCACGATTAAAAAAAAGTAGAAACAATTTGCGGGAGACAAATTAACGCCATATTTAAAAAACCATAGAAAATGAAGTTTACACAGTAGATAAACGCTTTTATACGTAAAATTGTTATTTTACCGCTAGACAGTTAAAATAATAATTAGTAAATTATTTACTTATACAGTTTAATAATAATAATTTATTTCCATAAATGTTTGTAATATTAATTACATAATGTTTATTTCATTCTAATATAAGTTCATTGTTCTGCAATATATTTAATTATAAATCACCTTTTTATAAGCTTCAGCACAAATTGTAATGTAAATAAATTAACCTATTTATAAATGTAATTAACGACTTATTTAATGTTTGTAATTCAGAATACATAAGGTTTATAAAAATTGTGTTTTATTTGAATCCAAATTTGAATTTCAACTTACAGCAGCAGTATTTGCGAATCGATACGACAACATAACCTTCAAGAAAAGATCATATTCTTTTTTAAAAGGCCGGCAGTACACCTGCAATGCCTTTGGTGTTGTGGGTGATCATTGGCGGCGGTAGTCACTTACCATCAGGTGAGCCGTATGCTCATTTGCCCCTGTGTTGTAAACAATTTTTGTTATTTATGAAGCTTGGACTGGTAACTCCGCTGCGCTATTGGTATACACTAGCGGGGTACCAATGATTGTCGATAGGCGAAGATAGAGTCGGGTAATGAATAGGCTTACAATATATAGATAGAGCATATAGCTTTAAAAACGGGTCAAATTTTTGCCAGCTAATTGTCAAATTAGCTTAATTGACCAGGATGATTTTCAGGGGGAACTCCGTGAAAATGTGAAACCTGTGTTGCTAGCGATAGGGCTTTTAGACATTATTGACAATTCTTATCCCTCTAAGTAGGTATCCTATACGTTGACCTAGGTAAAGCTACCACTGAGTCGGGTTACGTGCTCTTGTTTCGACACATCTCCTTCAAAGATGGACTGGGAGTTAGGCTCCTAGAGGCGGGCTCCCCCTCCTTGGAATGGGGTTGAGCAACGACGTTGGCGTTGTTGCGCAGTAGTAATAAACCGGAACCGTAGCAACGCTATCGTTCGTCGTAGCCGAGGAACACGTGGTGGTTTTAGTCGGTAAGAGTCCGGCAGTATCCACATGCCTCCCCCGAGATGTGTGGGTCTCCATGTGGATTTCCCCACGTAAAAAAAAAGGTAAAGCTACCACCACACCAAACTACATCAAAATTTGTTTTTGCGTAATGCATGCAAGTATAGATAGATTTTATCATTGGGATGTTACAAGTAATGATTAGGAGAACGAAGCAAAATATACATGTGAAAGACACTTTATGATATATGCAAGTCCGACATTTTATTCACTTTTTTCTTAAGGACTCATCCTCTTATATTTTACAATTTTACTTACAATAAAGTTTTATAAATAAACAATATTTACAACGCGGCATCTAACCTGGTCGGTGTTGAAGTTTGTAATAGGCTAATACCTATTTTTTTAAGTATTTTTTTAAAACATAACATTATATTAATAAAAATTAATTATACTAAACTAGGCGTTTTTTTGTGGAAGTCCATAAGTAAGGTTTTGCTAGTATTCGCTACGTTTGGTAGGCTGGCTGGCAGCCGCAATTTAGCTTTTGGTTATGTTTTAAGAGGAACTCTGCCGCTCATTCCTTCACTATATGCTCCCTTAGTCGCCTCTTATGACACGCATGGGAAATGAAAGGCCTATTCTATGCCGGTATCTAAACGACTATGTATTTATTTATTTTTCTTTATTTATAATAAGAAATTACAAAAAAACTTAAAATTAGTTCGAGGAATACATTCGTAGTACAATAGGTAGTCGGGGGGGGGGGGGGGGAAGGGATTGTTAGTAGTGGAGACTGAGAATCCCATTGCTAGCATTATACCCAAACAGGTCGACCTCCTCGCGGTTCCCCCTGAAAACTATCATGGTTAATTCCTGATGAATTCATCATGATAGGCTAACTGGCCTGCTTTCATTCTCATCTATCACCCTTCACTGGTGCTCCGCCAGCGTATCCCGTTAGCGCAGGCGGGGTTTACCATTCCATTTTCACCCGTCAAAAAAAAATAGGTAGTCGAGGGCCAGTTATAAGTTTTTACAATTAGTAAGAAATTTAACAGTATGCATGTTAAATTATTTTTAAAACGCGATTTTTTGTAATAATATGCCATCACCGTATTAATGAAATTGCATTCGGCAAATCGAGTATCGATTGCTTAAATGATTGTTTATCGCAAAACGATAAAATAATTCGACCATTTTATGATTATAATTATGATACGAAGCTGATATTGTATCATTATGCGATTGCGTCTGCTATTTAATATTTCATAATTTTTTATTATTATAATCCAGCCGCGAGAGTTGTCACCCGTTTGGTAGTGGGTCGCGTCATCTTTTTATGAAGGTAAGTGATTTTTTAATGTAACCAAATATAAGGCTCGTCTGATGGTAAGCGATCACCGCTTGCAATATAAGAGGTACACTCGTATGTTAATATTGTGATATAAAAATAAGTTAATGTATTCAGAAATTTCAATATCTGAATTCTTAAACTAAAATACAGTTTCCATGCAAGATATGAAGGAAGTGTTTTTGCATGGCAGTGTTTCGGTTTAAAAATTATACAAATGAATTTTTTTAATTTTTTTTTTATACATCTTAGAATGGCAAACAAGCTGATGGCGCACCTGATGGAAAGTGGTAACTGTCGCCTATAGACATGAGCAGTACCATGGACATAACAGAGTATACTGTTTCGCCCATGATACCCCCCATGCGTTGCAATTCCTGAGGACTTAGGTGTTATTCCTCTGTACCCAGTTAATTCACGCCATATCCCACACTTCAAACCGAAACACAGCCATGCAAACACAACTATTTCACGGTAGAAACACGAATGGGACAGAGGTACCCAAGCAATCGACTATGGAAAATGGAATTAATGTTTACTCAATTAGATTTTCTTACAAGCTCTTTTAAATGGTATTTTTTTTATGATTCTACCGCTGGGTTCGGAATGTTGTTATCTGGTGAGAATATTCCGTAAGAAATTCGAGAATTACTCATTTCATGTTGTTTAAGTACAAGATAATTTATATGAGTACTGCGATTGCACATTATTTGTTAGGAATCGCAACGCATGGGGGTATCATGGGCGACACAGTATACACTGTTATGTCCATGGTACTGCTCATGTCTATAGGCGACGGTTACCACTTTCCATCAGGTGGGTCATCAGCTTGTTTGCCATTCTACGTTGTATAAAAAAATTTTTTCATGGGCGACGGTTACTTCTTTCCGTGGTTATTCAGATTGTTTGCCATTGTAAGTTGCATAAAAAAATTTGTACCGAATTCCATTTGTAAACAAGAGCAGACCAGTCCGCACATTCGTTCACGAGTATGACGGAAGAATCAACATTACGTTCGGCTATGGAGCCATAGTACCTTAGTCATGTCTTCGTAGCCTGAGGAGTACTCAGGAATAGCAATGTGTGATGAAAGCCTTGTATCTTGTTCTCTCTCGCTATAAACTCATACGTTACAGTGTATCTTGGGACGTGTATGGTGCTTGTCATATCTATGGGTGACTGCTGTCATGATTCTATTATTAAAATGTTTATAAATATTCCTCTATTAATGGGCTGGTCACATAACGAACCGACAACCGAAGGGGAAGAAGGTTCTTGAGTGGCGACCACGTATGGATAAACATAGTGTAGGACGACTAGGTGGAGTGACGACCTGAAATGCGTTGCAGGGAGTCAGTGGATGCAGGTGGCTCAGGACCGTTCTTTATGGCAATCTATGGGGGAGGCTTATGTCCAGCCATGGACGGATAATGGCTGAAATGATGATAAATAATTACTCCTCTCCATCTAAAGGTTGCCTGGAAGAGATCGCTTTTAGCGATAAGGTCGCCCATTGTTTTCTCATTGTGATTATTTCTTATATTTGTTTGTATCTACAATAAGTTCACTATTAGCAGACTATAAGCAGACTTTAGAAAAAAATCTTAAAACATCTAAATTATAAAACAAGAAGCACTAGTACTGATTATCATGAAATGTGTAAGAAGTACAATCTTATTTCTCTCTAAGATAGGCGTTCTCTTCTTGATATGATATTCTTGAGAGATATTAGTAATAATGGTATAGATTGCCCGGATCTTGTGTGTAATGTGTTACGCCTCCGTACTCCTAAAATCCGTACCAGAAATCCTCCTCTTTTTGCAGTTCCAACCAGTCATACCAATTACTCTCGGAATTCAATAGTTTGTCGTCTAATGAATTCATATAGGTAATAAACTTTTTTCAACAGTGGATTAATTCCACCTCAGTAGATATAAATTCAGGACTGTGATAATGGATGAGATAATATCATAATTACCTATGTTGCATATATGTACATGTACGTATATACACTACATATTTACATTTATTTATATCACACTACACATACACCCACGCATACATTTATACCTCTTTACAATTAGTGGCCATGAATTTGTATTATTTAATCATTGCTGTCAATATCTGAACTTTAGCAACAAGGATTTTAATTATTTTATATATCAATTAACTTAACTTTATGAACACTCACTATTATATATGGTTTCTTTCATACATGTGCTTATATTACTTGCATGAACCCACTCTAACTTGCCTACCTCGCTTTGGAATCAAAATTTTTGTTTGTATAAATAAAATCCGTTTCTGGCTGTATTCATAAGAGACTTAGCACGTATGTTATTTTTTAAGAGCTGTTTTTGTATAAAATAAAATAAAAAAAAAATATAATTTTTTAGAGGAATGAGTAAAGAGTATCTATCTTTCTATCTATTCTTAAAGTTGTAGACATGTATAATATGAATACTGATCCGATATTTATATATTTTTTCTAATGGAAGCTAATGTAATGTTAACCCCGTTTGCGCTAACTGTATACGCTGGCGGGACACCAATGAGGGATGGTAGATGATAATGAAAAGGTAGGTCAGTTAGCCCATCATGATAAATACACCTGGAGGGAGACTTTGTACAAAAGTCGATTGCTTGGGTACCTCTGTCCCATTCGTGTTTCTACTGTGACGCAGTTGTGTTTGCATGGCTGTGTTTCAGTTTGAAGGGTGGAATATGGCGTGAATTTATTGGGTACAGAGGAATAACATCTGAGTCCTCAGGAATGGCAATGCATGGGGGGTATCATGGGCGAAACAGTATACTCTGTTATGTCCATGGTACTGCTCATATCTGTAGGCGACGGTTACCCTTTTCCATCAGGTGGGCCGTCAGCTTGTTTGCCATTCTAAGTTGTATAAAAAAAAACAGCAGTAGTCTGCAAATGCTTATGAATGGGTTATGTATGTGTGGGTTTGGTGTGTGTTTCAAATGTCTTCTCTTATTCAGATCAGAGAGGCTTTCTCTAGAGACTACAGCGTCAGATCCTTAAGGGTCGTATAAAGATTTCAGTATAAATTATGGATAATAAAGATTTTACAATATAATACAACTTCTTAAGGGTCGGCAATACGCGCGTAACATCTCTGGTGTTACAGGCGTCTATAGATTACTGTAATCACGTTTACCATCAGACAGGTCGTATGCTTACTTGCTACCATAATAGTAAAAAAATATTAAAAATTGATGTTTTTATTTATGTAGTAGTTGTCTCGGCAAACGTTGTTTTACCATATACGTTATTTCGAGAATTATACATGAAAATTTATCCTACTACAATTATTATATTCGATTGCCATCTTTCAACTCTATTGCGGCATATAAAAATCGCTATTAAAAAACAGGGGTTGATCGTAAAAGTGTGAAAATTGGAATTTGTATGTATTTTTCAATGCTAAATCATAATAAAATAAAAATGGAAAAATTTGTCAAAAAAATAAAAACATTTTTTTTTTGAGGAGGGTCACCCTTATCATTGAGGGGTATGAAAAATAGATGTTGCCCGATTCTCAAACCTACCCGATATGCACACAAAATTTCATAAAAATCGGTAAAGCCGTTTCGGAGGAGTTTGGTAACAAACACCGCGACACCAGAATTTTATATATTAGATTTTATTACAAGTAGTCTTGACTTTGTATATCTACTTAAAAATTCAGTAGATATCAAGACAAAATTAGTCCGTTTATCATTACGAGGTATATTATCTGAAAATTATCATATTATAAAACTATATTTCTAGAACTTTCCTATATATATATAAGAAGGTACTTGAGTGCCGATCTCGTAAGGGCAAGCACAGTGTACGATGACCTCCCATTAGTTGGAGTGACGAGCTCAAATGCACCCCGCCGGTGTATACCAATAGCGCGGGCGGGGTTATCATTCCATTTTCATCTATTAAAAAAGGCCTCAAATGCATTGCAAGAAGCCAGTGGATGCAGGTGGCTCAGGAGCGTTCCTTATGGCAGTCTATAGGGCCCCTGCTAAGCGTAGCACCTATTGGCAAAGACCCTTTTATGGGGGAGGCCTATGTCCAGCAGTGGACAGATAACGGCTGATATGGTAATGATGAACGGGAAAAAGCATTAGCTCTGAACTGTTCAATACTAAACCTAGTACTCCCTCATAAGAGGGGTTATTGCTGGTAGATGCATCGCTTGTTAAGCGGTTTGGTAGCCACAGTTAGGCCCTGGTAATCTTTTAAGAGGGATACCGCTGTCCATTCCTCGACCATTAAGCTCCTTTGTCGTCTTTTACGACATTTATGGGAAAACGCTCATTCTATACCGGAACCACATGACATAGAATTACCATAGCACCGTGAATTGTAAACCGATTTGGAAAATTCTTTTTTTATCTGAAGTGAAAGAATAAATACACACAGATCGGTCTCATAGAATTTTTTTCAAAAACTGGTTTAGCCATAAATAAATTTTGTAAAATACAATTTAACTATTTTTTCTTTTATACCAACCAATAACTGGTTTTGTTACAACTGAAATTCGTTTTCTTTTATAATCATTTTAAAAATGTTTTTTTTATACACATTTACTAGATATTGACATTTGTTTTCTAGATGGCGATACTGAAGCTATCGATTTTGGCAGCCGCGTTTGTGTGCGCTTGCGCAGTGCCGCAAAAACCACCAACTGCGAGGACCACCATATTTGGAGACGAGAAACTAGAGGGTCAAGTCTTCGAAAACTTGCAGTACAAATCTGAAGATGTCACACCTCAGAATACGGCGGCTAACGCCTATCGACTACCCACTACAACGAGACCGTTAAGATATGACCTTCATTGGGATATAAATATTGCAAATCTATCGTTTACCGGAGAAGTTGATATTTATCTATACGCCACACAAGCGGGAGTAAATGAAATAGTTATACATTCACAGGACTTACAAATTGATTCTGTTAATTTGTACAGATATGACAATGAAATTACCGAAATAAATAAGTCTTATTATCTTCAACCGGCTTATGACTTTCTCAGGGTGCAGTTAGTTGGAGATAATACTTTGGAGTATGACGCTAATATCAATAGGCTGTATCGATTGTCGATAAAGTTCGGAGCACCGTTACGAGACGATATGTACGGTTTATATCAGAGTTGGTTCCGGAATGGAGACAGTGAAAATGGAGAGTAAGTTGATGAAAAATAAATTATTTTTTACACGCGATCTGGTCCAGCTTCGCACGGACAGATAGAAATTTGAAAAATAATATATATATATATATATAGCCTATTTTATTTATTTATTTATTTATTCTTTATTGCACAATAAAACTTTGTACAAGTGGCGAGCTTAATGCCATATGGCATTCTCTACAATCTAACTATTAGGTAAAAACAGAAAGCGTATGAAGGACAGATGTGGTGAAAAATATGTGACATATTTATAGTAACATATTGAAGTAATTATACATAATAATACATAAGAAATACACATATAACAAATAAGTACTACTTATAATATATATAGTTATACTAGTATGTATGAAATATCTATAAATACATATATAAAAACTATGGTAAAGATTATGAGATATAGTAACTATTGAGTAATCTGTAACTAGAGCTAGTTTTGTTGACTCAATAAATAATTACAAAGTCATCTTTTTAAAATATGCTTATTTAACTCGTTGATAATGTAGTTTTTTTTGTAGGCGAAAGAGTTAAAATTAAGTTGAGTTTTTAAATTTATACATTGTAAACAAATATACAAGAATTCCCACCACTCCTCTTTATAATATTTGTGTATAGTATTATTATTTCGTCATAGTCGTAGAATACTGACGGTTCTGACAAAGATTACATATAAAGATCCGTCAGTATTCTACGACTATGACGATTTGTGTATAGGGTGGAAATGTAGACTCCTAGGTACCCTACCAGTTGGCAGTGATCTCTAAAAAAATTTTTTTATCTTTAAGTAATTTTTTAAGAATTTGTTTTTGATATTTATAATATATAGATGTAAGGTATGTATATAATAGATAGATGATATTTTTAGATAAGTAAGTAAATCGTATCGTAGTATATATTATATTGTTACGACTTGTAGACTACCGATGATGACGTTGGTGGTATAGCAGTTTTTTTTAATGGATGATAATGGAATGGTAACCCCCTCCTGCGCTAACGGTATACGCTGGCGGGGCATTGTCAAGTCTGTAATTTCTTAACACAGTGAAAAAATCATGCTTCTAAATCGACGCAATCAAAAGATATGGCCGTTTATGTTTCATTCGTATCACACATTTTGATATTCGTAAAGGGAATCAAAACCTATAGGGTACTTCCCGTTGAGCTAGAATCATGATATTTTGCAAGAAGCATTGTCATGCAAATTTGTAGTATTTTCACAAAAAAAAAATTAACCTTGATGATTTTGTACGGAACCCTCGTTGCGCGAGTCTAATTTGCACTTGACCGACAAATTTTTTCAGGTTCATGGCAACGACTCAATTCCAAGCCACATCGGCCCGTAAAGCCTTCCCTTGCTATGACGAGCCCAGTTTCAAAGCCACGTTTGATATATCAGTACGTCGTGACGCGACATATAGAAGTTGGTCTTGTACTAGAATCAAAGAAACTCGCCCAGACACTCCGTAAGTTATTAATATTATAAATGTTAGTGTCATTTTGTTTGTTTGTTTGTTGCCTTGAATATAATTTAACTATAACGATAACGCATTACCTTTTGTAAGCTAATTTGATAATAACTAGTTTTTTTTTTATTAGTATTCTACATATTTACTATATAATTATAAAATGTCTCTTGACGTATTATTTAATAAATATAATGAGTGATAACGTATTAAAAAGATGCAGAATTTATAAGACAAAACAAATACAGAATCTATAAAGTAATCAACTACATATTTATCACGCAAAATTGTATGAAAAAGTTTCCAAGTTTTTCATTTTTCTATGGAGCATTACTATGGAGACTATCTATATAATCTAAGGAAATTACATTTAATTATAATAATAACTAATGTGAATATTAAAGTATAAAACTTTTAATTTCTTTTATTGAATCCTAGTAAATGAATTAATTGAGTTACAAATTATTATTTATTAAATTTGAGTACAAAAAAATTTTGTGCAATTAAATAAAATTTAGATACCTATTATATTTATAATAATCTTTAATTAATTATAAATAGTAATATTACATGTAATCCTGACTCCCAAACTAGCGTTAACTATATGTCAGGAGCCAGTGCCTTCAATACATAATATAGTTCACAATGGATTTTCATTACAAATTTTAAAATACGTAAAAGTACTTGATTTTGTATTTTTTTTTATGCAACTTAGAATGGCAATCAAGCTGACGGATCACCTGATGGAAAGTTGTAACCGTCGCCTATAAACAAGAGCAGTGACTTGGACATAACAGAGTATACTGTTTCACCCATGATACTCCCCATGCGTTGCCATTCCTGAGGACGCAGGTGTTATTCCTTTGTACCCTGTAAATTCACTGTCATATACCCTTTAAATCGAAACACAGTCTTGCAAACGTAACTGCTTTACAGTAGAAACACGAATGGGACATAGGTGCCCAAGGAAATGACTTTTGTACAAAGTTACTTCTATGTCTTTATCTTACTAGTTTTTTTGCTAGAAAATTCTTATTTAGTCTTATTATTTGTCTGTTATGCCTTGACCAGACGCCATTTTAATTATTATTCTCCATCATTTCCATTTGACGATAAAGGCGCCCATTGTTGGCTCTTTATCTTGCTTTTATATAATTAAGTTTATGCAATTAAGTATTAATTTGTTTGTGTATAAATTGTTAATTTTTTATAACCTGTATCGTTCTTTGAAGGGAGTTTTCATTAATGAATTAATTATTTTCAAGGAATTTCGAAGTCGACGTATACGAGACCACACCAGTGATGTCTACATATCTATTGGCGTTGATTGTCGCTAAATATGAATCTCAGAGCGTTACCAACAGCGATGGTCTCCTTACTTACGAAGTCATAGGTCGTCCTGGGGCATTCGCTGAGAATCAACAAGAGTATGCCTTTGATGTTGGACAGAAACTTTTAAATGAAATGAATGATCATACAGCCATAGACTTTCATGGCGTCTACGAACATATAAAGATGACACACGCGTCCATTCCTGATTTCTCAGCTGGTGCCATGGAAAACTGGGGTCTGCTGACGTATAGGTAATAACTAACTAAACTAACAAGATATCCGCTATGATTACAATTTTCATCTCATGTAAATAGTTCAGGTATATAGTGTTGGCTTAATTATTGGTTATCACGGCATGTATTAACTTTTCAGAAGTAAAAGAGTAATTTATTTATTTTTACCAAAATAACTTAAAAAGGTGGTATGCATAAATATATAGGTAAGCTTATCACTTATCAGCTATATGCTTAATCACTTCATATTAAAGAGAATTATTTTTTTCCGTCCCTCTTGAAATGTCTCCAAAGCCTAACTGCGGTTGCCAACCCGCCTGCTAAGTGTGGCAACTAGTGGCAAAACTCTCCAAAGGGGTGATTTATGTTCAGCAGGGGGCAGTTAGAGACTGATATGATGGTGGTAATGATTCCATGTGGTCCATGTACAGAATGGGCCGCCCCTTTTTTCCCGTGGTTGTCGTGAAAGACGACTAAGAAAACTTAATGGTCGAGGAATGAACCTCAACTGTGTTCCTCTTCAAACATCAACAAGAACCTAACTGCGGTTGCCAACCCTCCTGCCAGTGGGAAGAAAGGGGAAGGGATTGTTAGTAATGGAGACTGAGAATCCCATTGTTAGCAATATACCCAACCTGGTCGACCTCCACGCGGTTCGCCCTGGAAACTATCATGGTTAATTCATGATGAATTTATCATGATGGGCTAACTGGCCTGTTTTTATACTCATCTATCATCCTTCACTTGTGCTCTGCCAGCGTATCCCGTTAGCGCAGGCGGGGTTACCATTCCATTTTTACTCATAAAAAAAACCCACCTGCCAAGTGTGGTAACTCCTGGCAACCCCTTATGGGGGAAGCCTATGTTGAGCAGAGGACAGTTAACGGCTGAAATGGTGACGATACCATATGTAATTAAATTACAATGACTTGTGTTTTATTTAACATTCTGCACGTTTTTATTCACAGAGAGGCGTATCTTATGTATGACAGAGACAATACAAATAGTAATTCCAAACAGTTGATTGCCTACATTTTGTCTCACGAGATCGCTCATATGTGGTTCGGAAACCTTGTGACGAACGAGTGGTGGGATGTATTATGGTTGAACGAAGGTTTCGCCAGATATTATCAATACTTCTTAACGCATTGGGTACGTTTATATTTATATTATATTTCATATTGTCTAAAAATTATGCAACGTATTAAACATATTAGCTTATTAAACACTAAGTGGGTATTATTTAAATTGATATAATTTATTGAAATGATTGAAATAAAACAAACACTAAATATTAAGTGGAGCAAACGCAACGCATTAGTGAAAACCGCATTTAAATCGGTTAAGCCATTTTTGAGATTAGCATGCACAAACGTATAATAGTTTTTCTTATATAAATATTCCATGTACAGACAGCGACCAGTTATGATTTTATTATATGTATTGATATGGAATGTAATGGTCGATGGATGGGCAGTAGCATTACTCTTAAAACAACCTATGTTCAGTCGTGAATAGTTCCTAATTAATATGATAATGATGACGTAATGTAAGTAGTAATAGAATATAGATATATGGATATGAGCCGTGTTTCAAAGTTCCTTCTATATTTATTGTACGTGCGGGGAGCCAATATTAGGTTCCTAATGAACGTACTGCGGTCTGTTTCAAAATATCAAAGATATATGTTAAGAGGGACGAGGGTTGACCTCTAGCTGTGATGTAGTAAGTCATCCACCAGTGAGTACCTTTTTTTTATACAACTTAGAATGGCAAACAAGCTGACGGCCCACCTGATCGAAAGTGGTAACCGTCGCCTATAGACATGAGCAATACCATGGACACACAATCGTCCGACAATGTTACAGAGTAATTAAGAGTAGGGTAGATTAATTATAAATTGAAGGCGTCAACATTTATTTTGAATTAAAAGCAAAGGGAAAGATGAATGAACACAATTCTTTTAAAGGTTGAAGATTACATGGGTTTCGAAACACGCTTTATCGTCGAACAAATACATACGGCATTGCTGTCCGACTCAACTGCTGGTGCGCATCCACTTAGTAACACCGGCATTGGCAGCCAAGCAGCAGCCAGTTCAATGTTCTCCACGATTACCTACAATAAAGGGGCAGCAGTTATTAGAATGACTGAGAAGCTGCTTGGATTTGAAGTTCACAGAGAGGGACTCAGGAATTACTTGAGGAAAAGGTGAATAAAAGTATCTTTATTTTGTAGATAATTACTAATATTGTAAACTTTTGTCCGTGTGGTCCCGGCATAGAATAGGCCACACCTTTCTTTCTTGGAGGTGTCGTAAGAGGTAACTGGGGGAACTTAATGCTAATGATCAACAGTGGCCCTCTTAAAATATCACCAAAAGCGAAACTGCGGTTGCCAATTCGCCTGTCAAGCGTGGCAATTACTGGCGAAACTCCTTTTATGAGGAAGGTTATATTCGGCTTATTGACTGAAATTATGAATATTAGTTTATATTAGCTTTTTGTACGCTACATCGAACGCGTAGAGTTCAGAAGTAGAAAAATGAATGAATATAGATAACTTTTAAATGGTGCACGTATATCAAGATAAAATATATATCAGATTTTTAGTTAGACCTTCAGGACTAACTACATAAACTATTTGGGTGGGAGAAAAACATACTCTACTTTTTACCTTGGTCTATTATATACCTCGTGCATTATATTGATTGTTAAAATACTTTGCAGGCAATTCAACGTCTCTCTGCCCATTCATCTTTTCCAAGAGTTGCAATATGTAGCAGAAAAACACAATGCCATATCAGAGTATGGACCTGACTTCTCCGTCATCGAATATTACAGATCTTGGACAGAACAAGGTGGACACCCAGTTCTTAATGTCCAAGTGAACCATCAAACTGGTGAAATGCTTGTGTCTCAGGTACTTTCTATATATATTTTTTTTTAATATAAAACTTATGCACTTCCAAATTTATGATCTAGTTTTTAGATGATCCTGAGTATTTGAATATTGTCGGATTGTAGTCACTTTTTAAACCTTTCAAGTTGTTAATGTGTGTAATAAACCACCTGATTTGTTCTTCCTGGATGTATGCTTGTTGGGTAGCTTCAGTTGTCTTGATTGTTTTCGTTAGCACATATCCTTAACTTCTCTTTTCCTCATGCCTTAGAAATAAGACATATTAATGTCTTATTACATTCAATATGATACGGTCCTGAGTTCAATTCCCGGTAGAGCCAATTTAGAAAACGGATTTTTTTTAATTAGATCAGGGTTGGGTGCCCCGGGTTATGCCATTAGACGTCCATTGCCTGGTTCTTCATAACATACTATTGTATATTGTGAATATTCAAATTAGTGTACTGTTTAACTTGAATATTTGGAGTTATCCAGTCTATGACTGTTTAGTCATCATTCACAATTCAAATATTAATTGAATGTTACAGCAACGTTTCAACATCAATAATGGTTACGGAACAGCTTCAAGGAATTGGATTATACCTATTACGTTTGCCACTAAAAGCAATCCGGACTTCGAGAATACAAAACCTACTCATATCATTCGTAATACTGTTACTAGAATTAATCGTAGTTCCATCGGTGACGAATGGGTCATTTTCAACATACAGCAATCAGGTGACAATATTTCTGTTCTTTTTTTTTGTTGTTTTGCAATAATATATTATTTTTGTATTATTAGAAGTTACCAAATTTTATACAGGTCGTCTGCATACATATTTCTTTTTTTCGACAAGTACATTAACAAATGTTTTTATGGCTGTATTCTAATTTGAAGGGTGAGGATATAGCAGAAAAATTACTAGATATATTAACGCTAAACATTTATATCACAAAAGTTGGCATAACATTTGCAATAGCAAGCGTTCGTAAGATTTGGTAAATACTTATCAAGTGGAAGATTTTGTGCTTCATTGGTATTATAAAAACATGTTTAATTATAATTTCGGTATCTAAGTATTAAAGTAGCAAATTTTTGTTATAATATTTGATTAATCTGATATTGTACTTTGTTTAAAAAAATTGTGGTTAATAATACGTGTTTTATGTGTTTGTTACGTTTATTTTTATTAAATTTTGTTTATTATTCATAAATACTATTATTTTGAACAGGTTTTTACAGAGTCAATTACGATCACTATACATGGGATCTAATTGCATTAGCACTGAGGGAGAATAGAGAAATAATTCATGAATACAACAGAGCACAAGTAAGTCACAGATTTGAAAATTATAATTTGTAATTCATCAAGTTGATAGTGATTAAGTATCTTCTAGGTAAACACGTTCGATTCTAGATCTTATCGTCACTTATAATTAACTGTAAACTCATTTTGGAATAAAAAAAAATAACATTATAATTTCTAACAAGTGCATATTGCTGCACAAAAAAAAAAAACGAGCACCTTCAATTGTAAATGCTCCAAAACTTTTCGTGTAAATTATCAATATTGTAAATATTGCTTGTTTACATAAAAATTTTGTTTCACAATAAGCAGTTTTTTGCTCCGTAAAACAATGGTAAAACAAGTAGCTCCGAACGTTACAAATTTAAAATTAGATCGATATGGGGGTGAAATTTATCGATTGTAAAAGTAATTATAAAAAAATGGCTCAGGATTAGTGACGTATTCGTGTAACATTGTCTCATCGTAAACTTAGTTATAGATTAAAGTGCTTAAAGTTTAAATTTATCTGTAGAGCAGTTATAAATTTTTCTTAGCGTAGTTCAACACCGTCACAATTACCTGACAGTATTTAGAAACAATTCAACATTTTCAAATGATTCTGATTGATTGTTTAAAAAGTACTCCGTTGGCGTACTAAATCGTTATGTTCAAATTCAAATATTTTTTTTTGTCCTTTTTTTTTAATTTACTGCTGCTCAGAAAATTGATATCTGTTGAGAAAGAAACCCAACAGTTACTCTTTTAAATCTCTGTTATTATATATAATATATTATAAGTATATATTTATTTAAATGATGACTATGTCTAAAATTATATGGTCATTAAAAAGCCTGTGCATGATCGACTAACGACTACTTGAATGACAAGCTTGCATGGTGCACACTTAGCATTCGAGTAATCGTTTGGAGTGTTTTGTTCAATAAGTATTTTTTAATAAGAATTTTAAATTTATTTAAAGGTAGATCCAAAATATTCTTCGGTTTCTTACTATGACATTTAATGCCCAATCTATTAATTCAATTGTTTTCGATAATTAAAAGTTTATCACGTTTGCTACATTTTGTTATGAACGCTTTTACTAACGTATGCTTTTTCTGAATATTAATAGTTCATATGTCAATGTACCCCTTTGAGATTAAAAGGTATTTTTAATTTCAGATCGTCAACGATATCTTCCAGTTCGCCCGGTCTGGTATAATGCCCTACTCGAGAGCTCTGAACATTCTTTCTTTCCTTGAGAATGAAGTAGATTATGCTCCGTGGGCCGCGGCGATTACCGGTTTCAATTGGTTGAGAAACAGATTCGCCACAACGGAAGAATTGCCTCAACTTGAAGTTAGTTGCTTATTAGCTATATTCTGAAATTTGGCATGCATTAATCCTTATATATATATATATATATATATATATATATATGTATGTATATATATACACACACACACACACACACACACATATATATTTATATATATTATTAAGACGAATACACTTATAGAAAGCGAGTAACATAACCTATATATGGGGGGTGATTGATTTGACCAGACTCTAGGTCTACCGTTTACTGACGAAACCCTGTGCGATCTACCAATTACATACTTCTTGAATTATCAAATGTAACAACATAGTTCAGTACATAATTGTGTAAGTATTGTAGTATTTTATTAAGAGGGAAAAGATAAAATTGGGAATTATTCTTAGTAACTATTACTACTATTCATATTAGTGTGAGCATTGCGTCTGAGCATCTTCCGCTATATTAGCAAAATATTATATTTTTACCTTGCCATGATCACTAGACTAATAATTGCGATCGAATGGTTGGCCAGCCATGCTATAAATTATTCTCAAAATTTTGTTATTTCTATGAAAACCACAAAGTGTCAAAAAATTGCATATTAAATCAATTATAAAATACTATTTTTTCCCATATTCTATCTTCATCTTCCAGTGTCACTCTCTCCTGTTGTATGTGTACTTTTAAGTTTGTGTACGTTTATGTATGTATTTGTTTATGTATATATATGTATATACATATATATGTATATATCTTTGTATATATTTGTTTATATATAATAGTGCGCCACCTACCCTTTGTTTTTCTTTCTTTTCTCAATGTTCTCTACCCAAAGGTTGTCTGGAAGAGATTGCTTAGCGATAAGGCCACCTTTTGTATTATTTCTTATTACAGTTAAATGTGTTTACTATTTTATAAATGGTGCAATAAAGTGTACATAAATAAATAAATAACTTATCGTTCTATCTATCTACTAGTGCGAAGCCGGAGTGGGCTGTTAGTATTATGTTATAAATATCAAAGTGAGTTCATTTAATTGGTTGCCATTTGGCACTTTAACGGTTCAATCAGTCGTCATGAAATTTGGCATATACATGGTGTTTGGAATGGAGATGGACTAGTCATCATCATCTCAGCCATTATCCGTCCACTGATGCAAATAGGCCTGCCCCACAGACTGTCATAAAGAATGGTCCTGAGCCACCTGCATCTATTGACTTCATGCAATACATTTGAGGTCGTCACTCCATCTAGCGGAGAGTCACCCTACACTGTGTTTGCCGGAACTGAATCGCCACTTAAGAACCTTTCTTCCCCATCGGTTGACGATTTTTCGAGCTATGTGAGCAACTCATTGTCACTTCAGCTTGCATATCTTTCGGGCTATGTCGGTTACTTTGGTTCTTTTGCGGATGTCTTCGTTTCGGATTCTATCACGCAAAGAGATTCCGAGCATAGCCCTCTCCATATCCAGCTGAGTAATTTGAAACTTTTGCATACGAATGGACTAGTAATATTGTTGAATGATAACGAAACTAACTGTCGAAATAAAGAAATAAAGAAACTATCGGGCATCCCCAAATTTCAAATGTGAATAAAGCCGATATAAATTGTTACAGTACTTACAGTATTAATAGTACTATAAATATCAAAAACAAGTCCTTAAAAATTACTTAAAGATAAATAAATAAAAAAAAATCTTTGTGATCACTGCCAACTGGTAGGGTATTTAGGAGACTTGCAGCATTTTCACGTTGAATAGCTATGGAAATGCGTTGACCAAAGTATAGGCCAGCCTTCCGGTCACCAGAGGTTTCCACCAGCCAGCGTGAAATCTCTTTGAAAAGACTAATGGCCTCGGGGCCCTACGGATCCAGAGACTGCACTTAATTGGCTAATCGTGGGCAGCTGTGAACTGCGCTTATGAATATGGGCTCCTATTGAGTTCGAAATTAGTTGGGCATCCCCAAATTAAAAAACTCTGAATAAAGTAAATGGAAATTGTTACAGTAATAGTAATGTATACTTTTTAGATTCAAATTGGCTAATATAATAATTTTTGCCTTTGCCCGCGTCTTCGTTTGGTTGACTAAGTTATCTTGATTATTAAAAAAAATCTGTGGTCCTTTTTATATCAAATACTACATATATATCAAATAACATAACGATTGGTTGAGGTGTTAAGGCATCAAGAAGTAACAAATAAAAAAATTACATGCATTATTGTAATAATAGGTCTACTTAAGGGATTAAATAGGTAAATTACAATGAAATATACAATTTTTACAGTACGCCGTTACGCAGTCACACACAGAAGAGAGAAAATATCAGTGTTGCCAATTTATATTGTTATAATTACCCAAAATCAGCTTAATTGTTATATATATTATTAAGGATTATAATATTTTTTATGTAACTTAGAATGGCAAACAAGCTGGCGGTCCACCTGATGGAAAGTGGTAACCGTCACCTATAGACATGAGCAGTATCATGGACGTAACAGAGTATACTGTTTCGCCCATGATACCCGCCATGTGTTGCCATTCCTGAGGACTTTGGTGTTATTTCTCTGTACTTTGTAAATTTACTGTAATTTTTTTTATAGCAACTGATAGTTAACTGGACGACGACAGTGATTCAAAACATCACATACGAACCCTCTGAGAATGAGTCATTCATGAGGTCATATCTCCGTATGCAAATCGCGCCAACCTTGTGTGCCATCAACGTTAGAGAATGCCGCGAATCTGCCAATGAGCAGTTTCGAAGATTATTCGAAGGGAATTCTGAGTAAGAATTATTCATCACTATTATTATTAATATAATATAATGATAATCAATACAACAGGATTACACCAGTCTCTGGCAAGGCATATCTAAAGCTACAATCGAGAATATCTCAAGTCAATTAAGAACAGATCGCTTCCTAAATATATTATTGTGAATGCACGATGGATAAAGAAATTTTGAAAACGAATATACTAGTGTAAATATTTTTCAAAATTGTCAAAACAATTTTACTTATTGTGATAAAAGAGAATGGGTTTGCACAATTAAACTACATTCATCACTAACAATGATGATTAAACCTGATATGATGATATCATCATATCAGCTTTTAACTGTCCACTGCTGAACGTAAGCCTTGCCGTTGGGGGGGTTTGCCAGTAATTGCCACGCTTGGCAGGCGGGTTGGCAACCGCAGTTAGGCTTTACATATGTTTTGAGGGACGCTGCTGCCCATCATTCGCCCTCTCTTAGTTGATTCTTACGACACCCACGGGAAAGGAAGGGATGGTCTCTTCTGTGTCGGGACCACACGCCAACTAAATTAGTACCTATTAATTATGAACTTTGACACATACTTTGAGAGATTATATTATACATCATATAAATGCATATACAATAATTTGTGCCTTTATTATAAAAAATCTACTAGTAAGTATTCTTACAGTATACATATCGTCATAGTCGTAGAATACTGACGGATCTTTATATGTAGTATTCATCACATCCGTCAGTATTCTACGACTATGACGATATGGTAAATTTTAATAGATTATAAAGTCACAAAAAACAAACAATAATGGAGTAGACAATTTTTTATTATAACTATTAATGGTTTTAAAAATATATCAACAGCATTATCGAAATATAGTATTACACTACTATACTATAGTATTGTTCCAATATAGATACTCCGATTATGCCATATAACGATTATATATCCGATTATATTATTAGATTTATTTCAACTATCGCTTCATATTCGATACCCAACGACTATCAGGCAACACTAATTGTTGACCTCCATGAGAGAATGTAGTCCCATAGATACAAAACACTTTTTTTTTATATATGATAAGGAAACATTGCGTTATATTTTTTTTTAATGGATGATAATGGAATGGTTGTCCCGCCTGCGCTATCGGTATATACTGGCGGGGCACTAGTGAGGATAACAGGCGAGGATCAATAGGTCAGTTGGGTCACTGTGACGAATCTAACAAGAAATGAATCACGATGGTTTTCAGGGGGAACCATGAGGAGGTCGACCTGATATAGTATATTGCTAGCAATGGGGCTACTTATCCTCATTACTAACAATCCTTTCTCCCCCCAACATTGCGTTATTACCACGTTGTACTCATTTTACCACGCTGTCCATGTAACTGTATGTTGGGTTTTATTTTAAAATATTCTACATTTGTATTGGAGCGAGTAAGAATAGTTAAAATCTCCAAATAGTAACTTTTTTTTTTATACCACTGAGGTGGCAAACAAGCATACGGCCCACCTGATGGTAAGTGGTTACCGTAGCCTATGAACATCTGCAATACCAGAGGTATTACTCGTGCGTTGCCGACCCTGAACTCTGACTCTGACTCTTTACACCCCCTTTTGAAGAACCCCATGCTGTAGTCTCTTGGGAAAACCTCGGCAAGGAGCTCATTCCACAACCTGAGTGTTCGTGGGAGGAAACATCTCCGAAACCGTTCAGTACGCGAACTTGATCAATGATCGATCTGTAAAAAAAATGAAATCGTTCATCGCTATGTGTGTATTTATGAACCGACTTTAAAAATGGTTGAGGTTCTTAATTTGATTGAACTTTTTTATTTGTTATTACTCCATGATTAATAAACCGATTTAAATTCTTTTTTTGTCTGTAATAAATTTTAGATTAGTGCCATAGATATTTTATGAAATTCGGTTCACTGATTTAGTTTTACGTCAAAACAACTGGTTTCGCCAGTAGCGTAGCTGTTGTTTTTTCTTCACAAAGCCAAACGGACTTGCCGGAAAAAAATATCATGATATGATAATAATCACATTATAATTATGTTTATATATTCCTTTTTTGATTGTCTCAACCGTAATAAACAACTAGATATGTAATTTAATTTTTATTTAGTTTAAATATTGATATTTTTTTAGGGTTCCGCCCGACAGCCGCCCATGGGTATACTGTAATGCTCTCCGTGAGGGTTCCGAAGAATATTTTGATTTCCTTTATAATAGATTTTTGTCTCATAATGTATATAACGAGAAGATCGTCATCTTGTCCGCGCTTGGATGTACTCCTCATGAGAGATCTCTTGAGAAGTGAGTATTTCGACGCTTGTGGAAGTGCATGATTTTTTTTATACCTTAGAATGGCGAACAAGCTGACGGCCCACCTGATGGAAAGTGGTAATCTTCGCCTATACACATGAACAGTATCTTGGACACAATAGAGGAGCATATACTGCGTCGACCTCATATAAATGAGAGAAGACAAGATAATGATGATGACTAGTTTAGCCATCATACTCTTCATGCATTACCATTCCTGAATACTAAGATATTATGCCTCTGTACCTTATTTATTTATTTAAAGGAATACCAACAATATATTGCATTAAAACACATATAACATACCTTGTAAATTGCTATTTTTTGTCCTTTAAACCGCAATACGGCCATATAAACAACTGTTTCACGGCAAAAATAGGAACGAGGCAAAAGTAGTCCTGTTGTACGTATAAGATATACTTTAGAACAATGTTATTCAACGTGTAGATTCCTGTGAAAAGCCTCTATGGGGAGATCGCGAAAACTATCTCAGTAAAAAAAGAACAAATTTATAAAGATAGATTTATTAAGAATAATATAATAATAATTAAAACATTTGTATGTCAATACAAATTAAATAAAAAATAAAAACCTACGACTCGCCCATGCACAGATAAAAGAATTAATTTGACTCGTTAATTTGACTTGAAGAATTTGATTGTTATGCATAAAAAAACATAATTCTTGAAGCAACTAAATTTTCTTAGTTTCAATGAACTTTACTCGATGCAAGAATTTAGTTTATTAAGACAATATAAAACAATCAAATTTTTCGAAATTATTTTCTTGGATCAAGACTTTTTCCTTGTATCAAGTTAATTTTTTTTTTTTTGCTTGTCAATGCGAAAGTTGCGCTTGTTTTTCAGTAAAATAATTAAATGTATTTATCGAAAGCCTAATTATGCAAATGCATGAAAATGTTGTATGGATTATAGTATTCAATCTCTCTACAACATCATTGTAACATTATAAAATATAAATAAATTATAAAATATCCTTAATGATCCCAATTCTCCTTCCTACCTTCGTTCCCGGTTCCAATTGTTACCTCCTCCTTCCAGACCTAGACGTCTTTGTCTGAACCAGTCCAGGGTACTGAAGCTTCCCAGCTGTAAAACCCATTTTATGGGTAATTCATTTGCATATCGTGCTGTACAGCTGTGGAATAAACTTCCCGTGAGTATTCAGAAAGCCCGTCTAGCAGTTCCTTCAAAAAAAGATTAAAATCATTCTATCTTTCCAATTTAGTTTAAATATAAAAATGATTAGAAGACTGTCATCATTGTGTTCTCTTGTATTTGATATTTATATGTTGTATTTAACGTGTGTATGTATGTGTGTATATGTATGTATATATATATATATGTGTATGTATGTATGTATATATATATGTATGTATGTGTGTGTGTATATATATGTATATATATAATTATTTATAATTTATATAAATATTTATTTAAATTTCTGTCTTGCACTACTACTGCCCACTCACTACTTCCTATGCCACTGCGTTAGGTTGACTGGAAGAAATCTCTTTTAGAGATAAGTTCGCCTTTGCTAACATTGTTATTAACTTATTGTTGTTACTGTATGTTTTAGTGCAATAAAGAATATATATATAAATACAGAAAAAAAGTGAAAGATTTTAAAGCAAAAGGTCTCGAAATATTTGTTCATAATAGGTAGGGTCTTGTCATGAAAAAGGTTGAAAAACTCTGCTTAAGAATAATAAACTCAAACAAGAAGAAATCCAAAAAAAAAGAATACAATATTGTGAAGTTATCCTTACTAATTCTATTACTATTACGAACACAAAACTTTGTGAGGATGATCTTTCTAGTTTTTTAATAATATTCATTTTGTTCAATTACGTTACCGTTCCGTAGGTAAAACTTTTGAAAATTTTTATGTATGTACTGTATTGAAAAAAGAAACAGTCGAAATTGTAATAAAACAACCTAGATATGAGTTAATAATCAATTGATTTTCAGACTTTTGGTTACTATCTTTGAGGAGAACTTTAAAATTCGCCGACAAGATTATGGTACAGCTTACAGTGCAGCTGTATCGGGTAACGAGGTTAATACACAAATCGTGTTCCGCTATATCCAGAACAATTTGGAGAAGGTGCAAACTGCGTAAGTTAAAATGCTTTTTAAAGAACCCAAATAAAAACAAATACAATATTGAGAAGCCATCCATACTCATTGAATTACTATTACAAAGGCTATAATTTGTTATGATGTATAAATGGATGTTTATTACCCTTTTATATAAAAACTAGTCAACAGATTTGAAAGATATTTGGTACAGTAGTTGGGTATACCTATACATATTTTAACTTAATAGTTTATATACTGATTTACGTAAGTGAAGCCGCAAAATGTAGCTAGTGAAGATATAATGAAGAAGCATTTAAGGAGAACATAGTCTCTAATTTTTTACAAATTGTTTTATGCGGCTTCGAATAGTAAATGATCAGACCACTCGAATGGACTGTCGTAATTACTATTACTTATGTAAGAATGTTTGCTCTCTGATATCTTCGTTGCACACCATCTTCGTTGTACACAAAAGTCTCTGACGTAGAAGACTCTCTGACCCGAATGATGCCTTTAGAAACTCTTTATTGTTTCCTCTAAAAGATTACAATAGTAATCTTATTATAGAATGATTGATGATTTAGATGCTCTTCAAAGCACGAAGCACAGCATCACACGCATCAAGGTCACAGAATATAATATTATATGATGTTCATGGTACGCCTTACATGTTGCCATTATTGTGAAATATGGTATTAAGTTTCTGTGCCCTATAATTTCACTGTTTTATTTCACCCTTCAAACTGAAACACAGCCATACAAGCATAGATACTTCATGACAAAAAAAAGTGGGACGCGATTTATCAAGATAAAATCGAATACATTATGACAATGGCATGGTAAATATAACACAAATGGAATGTTAGTCGGTAGTCTTAATTGAATATGTTTTAAACACACACACAGATTTGAACACACGAACTGTTGTTTTGCCCACGTGTTTCCCCTTTAAACGAGACATCTTCGGGCAAATTAATAGATGGCTGCTCGTGTTAACCGGTTGGCACCTTTAGGTGTAAGCAGTTTTTCTGATAACTGGTAACTGGTGTAAGCAGTTTCCCAGAAAAAACTGCTTACTTTATTTATTTATATGCATGAATGTAATCAATCATTGTTTTTAAAGGTACAGCTTGGCCTCGTCATTATCAACAATTGCATCCAGATTAAGAAGTGTAGAAGAAATAGATGCGGTAAGATTTTTTCTATAAAATAAATACATATAATATCCATCAGGGTTTATATATAGTATTTTTGGTTTTTTAATCTATTCATAACTTGCAACAAAACTCAGCTATACGGCTCAGTTAGTACGATTAAGCTCTATTGAAATATACCACATTTATTTTTTTTTATCTAATTTTTTTTTTCAAGTTCCCTGATGTTTTTTATAAGTGCACTTTCTAATTTAGTCTAATTTTCTCTTGCAATATTGTTTTATATATTATTGATTATATACTGATTTAAATACTAATAATAAATTATTTTCTTGTAGTTCCAAGAATGGGCTAGAAATAACCGTCAAGCTTTGGGTTCAAGTTTTAATGCTATAATAAACGCGGCAGAAGACACACGCCGAAGCATCTCATGGACAGAGGAAGTTCTATCCGATGTTTTGCATTACCTCGTTAGTGGAGGTGATGATATTGAGACAAGTTCAGCTGCGCCCTCCACGCCGACAGTGCCTCCATCCACTGTAACTGCTGGACCGCTGGTAGTGCCGTCAACACCTACATTACCAGACTCTGCGGTTACTAGTGCATTGTCTGTAAGTGTTATGTTTGTTATGGCAATAGCTAACTTCGCTTTATAGATTGTAAAAGGCCGCACACCTGTAATTGCACCAGTGTTGCGGGTATTCGTGGGCGGCGGTAATCACTTACCATCTGGTTAGCCGCATGCTCGTTTGCCCCCCGTGTTATAAAAAAAGAATGAGTTTTTATAGACGAAAAGGTGCCTTCCTTTTTCACTATTATTTAGCAGTAGTTCGTTTATTATACTATAAATATAATTAAATAAATATAAAAGTATTTGAGACCGAATACTATGGGATTATGATCACAGTCTAAAGAATTTGTTGTTACCAGATAAATCTACACGTAGATAGAGTAATGCATCTCAAAATACGTATATCATGTAATTAATTGTACGGAAAATGACAAAGGCGTTGGACTATTGGCTGTTCTTTACACTGTGTTGTGATAGTTTTCTGGATTCTCTTATGCTTTTGAATATTTTTTTTTTATTAGCTCCTTTTCAAGGCCGCTTAATAAAAAGTATCTTATCACTTTAATTTTCTAGGTAAAATTATCTAATATCGTATTGTTTTATAAATTATAGGTAAGTTTTGTATTTATTCCAGTTGTTTCATAATAAATTTATTGCGTTAAGATCGCCTGTTATACATCTTCATTTACTATATAGACTTTAACTATGTAATTTGTTTTGTACAATAAAGTTTTATTTATATATTTATTTATTTATAAACAAATAAATATTCAATTTTTATACTAATTACCATCTCTAAATAATGAAATTGAAAAATATAGGTAGGTATTTATTTTTTCAAATTTATTATATGTTTATAATATTATATTTTTTTTTAGCTTCTAGTCGTAGTTTATGCAATAATTTTATTTATTCCATATATTAACAAAGATAATGTAATCAATTAGCTTCTTTTGAATAATCAATAATTTAATTTTATGAAAATGTAAGAAAGTTGTATACGGATGTGTAGATGTAGAGTTGTATGTGTATTTCCATGTTTTATAAATAAATATAAATACATTAATTTTTCTAATAAAGTTTTTGTATCAATAAATTATTGCATTTTTATTTTATATCATCCATATTAAAATATTTTATTGATACTGTTAAAATTTTTGTTCTGGTAGTTCATTTCTGGTTTAAGAAAAATTACCTACATACACACAAAACACACATTAAATACATACAAAATTATAAACGGTTGACGTTTACGCATGATAAGTCAAGTTTTTTTTTTTTTATATTAATGAATGAATGAGAATATTCGATTTGCATTATACAATATAAGACATCAGCAAGACAATTAATAAATATAACGATACAATTGTATAAGTACAGTAAGGTGGTGTTATTGCTGATAGCAATCTTTTCAAGACAACCGTAGGGTAATGGACTAATAGTTGCACAAGTAGGTATATTGTATAAAAAATTAACGGCGTAAATAATAAGGAAAATAATTATAAGTACCCCTAACAAATTTAAAAAATAAATTGATTAACTGTATACGATATATAATTCTATACATACCTATGTTAAATATGTACCTAATACTAGAACAAATATAAATAATTATACGCACAAGGAAAACATATTAACATAAAATAAATAATTATATAAATACATAAAACAAGAATGGCAATTTATCAAATGAAAAACCAACCAGGGCCTCTAGATAAGTGGCAAGCGAATTTGTCAATGGAATCGACATCGCTAGCGAGTCCGTGAGTCGGAATGAGTCACCCGGTGTTGCTATCTCATTCTATCTAACGGACTCGCTAGCGATGTCGATTCTATCGACGAATTCACTTGCCACTTGTCTAGAGGCCCAGATAGAGAGAAGATAATCTTTCAGTTGTCGCTTGAAAGCATCAATGGATTTTGCACTAATTAATAATTATAGAGAGTAAGATTTAAAAAATTCTTTCACTTGTAGACAATTTTTATTTTCGAAAATTCAACCTACCTGTGCAAAGCTGGGCGGGTTGTATATAATAGATATGTTGTTTAAGCTTATTTTAACAATGTGTATTTAATTGTATAAAGTTTGAATAATTCATCGACCAATACGTTGTGTAGTCATCATCATCATCTTCCTACTCTTATCCCAATTATTATTTGGGATCGGCGTAATATGTTTTCCTCTTCCATTCTTTTCTATTCCCAGTCATTTCCGCATTCACTCCCATTCTGGCCATATCGTCTTTCACACAATCCATCCATGTCTTTTTAGGTCTTCCTCTACTCTTATAGCCATCTACTTTCATTCTTAATACTTTTTTTTAAATATGCTCCTCATTCCTGCGCATCACGTGCCCATACCAGGATAAACGGTTACTTCTTAACTTTTCTATCACTGGCGCTACTTTCATACTTCCTCTGATATAATCATTCTTAATTTTGTCCATTCTTGTCACTCCGCACATCCATCTCAACATCCGCATCTCAGCTACATGCAATCGCTTTTCGTCCATCACCTTTACTGGCCAACACTCCGATCCGTACAAACTAGCAGGCCGAATTATGCTCTTGTAAATTTTCCCCTTTAATTTAAGAGGAATTCGCGAGTCACAGGTGGTCGCCACAACCTGCCGCCATTTCATCCATCCTGAGTTAATTCGGTGCTTTACTGTTCGGTCTAATTCTCCATCGCTTTGTAGTAGTGAACCTAAGTATTGAAAATCGGAGCAGACTGGTATAGTAGTACCGTCAAGCTTTATGACTGTAGAACTAGAGAGACGTTGTGTAGTATTGATCGAATATAATTCGCAACATTTTCAAATTTGAACATGAAATTTTAAAAGAGCCAACGTTAAAAGGTTCTCATTTAAATTAGAATTGAATGAAATTGAAAGATTTTTTTTATTGACTTCAGCGTTTTGATAATTTTGATAATTCTTTGTGCAATTCACAGTGTTTATGTTAGACACGAGGGGCAAATTAATATTAAAAGTACCTGTAACCGGCAAGCGTGTATGAAAAAACTGATCAATGTGGAAGAAGCGAAAGAGGTTTGTTTGAATCGAAGCATTTGGCGTTCCATTGTTTCTGCCTACACTAATGGGAGACAGGCGTGACTGATATGTACACATAAACCTTGTAAATTGCACAATCTCTTCCTTGCTCGTGGGTATTGTACGAGGCGACTAAGGAAGGGCGAGGGATGGGCAGCAGCGTCCCTCTTAAAACATCTCTAAAGCCTTATTGCGATTGTCAGCCTGCCTGCCAAGCGTGGCAACTACTGGCAAAACTCCCCTTATGGGGAAGACTTATGTTCAGCAGTGGACAGTTAACGGCTGAAATAATAATGTTGGACACGTATTAATTTTGTGTATGGTTATTTTACCTACACTAAAGATATTTTCAACATGATGTATTTACAATATAACTCTTCTATCCATTTTATTAAATATACTACCAGAGGGAGACTTTATACAAAAGTCGATTGCTTGGGTACCTCTGTCTCATTCGTGTTTCTACCGTGAAGTAGTTGTGTTTGCATGGCTGTGTTTCAGTTTGAAGGGTGGGATATGGCGTGAATTTACAGGGTACAGAGGAATAATACCTGAGTCCTCAGGAATGGCAACGCATGGGGGGTATCATGGGCGAAACAGTATGTGTGTACACCTATGTCCATGGTACTGCTCATGTCTATAGGCGACGGTTACCACATTCCATCAGGTGGGCCGTCAGCTTGTTTGTCATTCTAAGTCGTATAAAAAAAATACAAAATTTGAGCAGCAGAGATAGGTCTGCAGCAAAGTTTTCTACAGAAATATGTCTAGGTGAAGATTGTTAACCATTATAGCGTTAACTGTTCACTGCTGTACATATGCCTCCTCCACACGGGTTTGCCAGTAGTTACCACGCTTAGCGAGCGGGTTAGCAACCGAGGTTAGGTTTTGATGATGTATTAAGATGGACACTGCTATGCATTCCTTGACCATTAAGCTCCCTTAGTCCCCTCTTACGACACCCACAGAGGTGGCCCATTCTGTGTTGGGACCACAGGACGAATAACAGCACGCAACGTTCATTTTGTCCAATTAATTGGGATATGCTCATTGAGCGTTATAAAAAGTACCCAATATTCATAATAAATAATTCCAATTCTTTATTAAATCACAAAATTTGTTGTATTTTAATTTTGTAGTACAAACTCAATTACCCAAATCTACAATACCGTTATCATGTATATAAGATATAATATCTTGTTTTATTGCAGTGATAACGATATGATTTGATATGTTATCTATTATAAAATTGATTACCACTGTCTAATATTCAATTGATTTAAATTATTTTATTCTAGTTGTCCGAAATACAGCACAGGTCCACCTGTTTACATGGTAAGTATTTAAAGTGAATAATATTCATGTTTATCTTCTCATTGTTGTTTAGATGTTTATAAATATATTTTTTTCTTATGAAAAAAGTTAATAATCCAAATTGTGATGTTTGTAACACATTGGATGATGTTCATCATATGATATTTGAATGTACGAAATACAAAACACAAAGAGAAGTATTGATACAGAAATATAGTCTCAATAGACAGGAGATTGGTTTATTTTCAAATATACTCGCAGAACCACATTCCGGAATGGCAAAATCTTTAATTACTATATTTTTGTATCAATAATGCCCTTTATTAAAATAGACTACTAATATATTATGTATTATTTATTTATGTATCAATGTTTTAAGTATGTGAGGTGTTTTATAAAATTAGGGTATGATAAAGCTGACATATCATTATAGGATAAAAGCCTCTAAATAAAAAAGATAAAAAAAAAATATATTTTGAACAAATAAATAATATCCAAGCTTTATTTTTTAGATGGTGACCTTAAATTTATTAATATTAATTTTAATATACACCAATGTTTACGCAATTCCTTATAATCCATCACCATTAAGAACTACAATTTTTGGTGATGAAATGATTGAAGGAGAAATTTTCGAAGATCTTCGTTATATAAATGAAGTAACTGGATCTACTCGTAATATCGATCCTAGTGATTATCGACTACCAAGAGCAACAAGGCCAAAAGAATATGACCTTTTACTGCACATTGATATAGAAAAATTGGCTTTTTCTGGTACAGTAACTATTTATCTATATGCTACACAACCGAATGTCAACGAAATAGTTATACATACTGACGAATTAAAAATTGAATCAGTTGTTCTGAAAAAGGATAATGTAACTGTACCACAATCATATTTTGAGCAAGAAGAATTAGACTTTCTTCGGGTACAGTTGGTAAATAGTACATTGGAATACAATGCAGATGGTGACCAAATATATGAACTTACTGTAAAATTTGAAGCGGATTTGCGTGACGATATGACCGGTTTATACAAAAGTTGGTTTAGAAATGAAAATTATACAGCAGAAGTAAGGTAAGTTTACTTTACTTTGCCAATCAGCTTAGTTGAGTACATGAATTATTCAAAAATGCTAGAAAGTGTTTTGATAGGTGAAAATGAAATGGTAAGCCTGGTCGTGCTATTGGTATAAGCTAGCGAAGAATCGTGAGAGTTGATGAGTGGTGAGGATTAAATTCTTTCTGATATAAATATTTCGTACTTTTTTTCACTGCATTTTTCATGTCAAAATATCCATGACAGGTGGCTAAAACTTTATTTTCATATTTTGTATTTATCTGAGTAATTTTTTCATTACTAAACATTTCGGCATTAAGCTTTAATTCATTAACAATCTAAAGAAATTGTGTCAATCTGTCGCTAAATTAAGAGTAGACACTTGCGGATCTAATTATAATCTTTGTATTATTTATAATTCCGACGGTACCTATGAAATGTAATGAATTTATTTTACAAATATTTAGGTGGTTTTTAAATAGAAGTGATGACTATATATGTATGTACATATTTATTATTTAGGACTTAGTAGAACAATGAAATATAGGTATTATCATCTTTTATCTTATCTGATATTCGCATATGGGGTCAGCTAAGCTGTTGCACTTCGACCCATCGGGATCTTTTGTGCTTCCCTTATACCATCATTTCATAGATTTTTTGTGTTACCTTAACGATATCCCGCGGTTTGAGATATCTGTAGTCCCCTGGCTTTGGATAAGCCGTTCCCAGTAGCCTCATGCGCATGCTCGCTAACGAATCACAGTTGCACATCAAGTGTTCCATGGATTCCGATTTCTCCACGCACAATCTGCACAGTGTGTCCGAAGATAGACCCATCTTGTGTAATATACGCCTTATTGGCATATGTCCAGTTAAGGCACCCATAATGAGTCTTGCCTGTTGTCTGCCACCGCTGTAGATGAGTTTATCCCATCCTTCGACATTGTCATTTAAGAACTTTCTAAAATGTTTAAGACCCTTTAAAGTCCTCCATTCTTTTTGCTTTTTTTCTTCACATACTCCTCAAGGGCAGAGTTAACAACACTTGATGCAAGTGCAACATATGGTTTGGGACCTATCACTTTTGATTCTGATCCCTTTCTCGCCAACTCATCGGCCTTTATCATCATATATTATATTCATGATAATTATGATTACTTCTTACAAATTAAGGGTAAGTTTTTTTATATGACTTAGAATGACAAACATGCTGACGGCCCACCTGATGGAAAGTGGTAACCGTCGCCTATAGACATGAGCAGTACCATGGACATAACAGAGTATACTGTTTTGCCCATGATACCTCCCATGCGTTGCCATTCTTGAGAACTCAGGTGTTATTCCTCTGTACCCTGTAAATTCACGCCATATTCACGCCGTAACACGAATGGGACAGAGGTATCCAAGCAAACGACTTTTCTACAAAGTCTGCCTCTGGTAGTAGTAAAACACCATTGTTAATATTTTGCATTTTATTTTTAGTTACATAGCAACAACACACTTTCAAGCTACAGCCGCTAGACGTGCATTCCCGTGTTATGATGAACCAAGTTTTAAAGCAGAATTCAACATAGTTATTCGACGACCTTCTTCATATAAAAGTTGGACTGGAACCAGACGTTTGACGACAAGAAATAGTTCAATTCCGTGAGTTTTTAAAAATACAAATAATTATTCCATTAACATTGTTTATGAGTAGTGACGTTTTGAAATAAATATGATATGGGCATCTTCGAGAGAGCTTATGTCTTAAACATATTGATAATTTGATTACGACGAAGACGGTCTTTCTATCCTTATTTCGATGAGAAATTTTCGTAGAGATATTGGATTTAAAATACGGATGCTGATGATGATATACAGCGCTTCATAAGAAGCAGTTTTTTGCTTCGCAAAGAAAAACCGCAGTTTCATTCGTTTCAAAATTAATATAAGAGCCTATTGTTTGAAAAAAGAATTATTGAAAATGTTTTAAAATTACGTATATAATAATGTACAATAAAATTATTTAAAATTAATTATATACTTTTGAAAGTCATATAGAAATATTACTCATTGCAAACTTGTCGAAGTCCATATAGGATCGGTTATGATGCTTTTAATTTTAAAGATTTTTCTTTCAAAGATATTGTATTTTAAACTTCCACAATGGTTTAGAAGACTCGTTTATACATTGTTATCATTTCAGTGGGTATGAAGAGGATGTATTTTCAACAACACCTGTAATGTCCACTTATTTATTAGCCTTCATTATTGCTGAGTATCAATCAGTTTATGCTGATGAAAGTCTTGCATATGAAGTCATAGCAAGACCCGCTGCGATACGGGACAACCAGTTCCAGTATGCACTGGAATTTGGGCAGAAACTTTTAAGTAGAATGAGCGATCATATTGGCATAGATTTCTATGATGTTCATGAGAATCTAAAAATGACACAAGCCTCCATCCCGGATTTTGCAGCTGGTGCAATGGAGAATTGGGGATTATTGATCTACAGGTTTTTTCATTTTTTTTTGTAATTAATATAAGTTTAGATATCTGATAACAATGATTAGTATAATAATATATACGTATAAAAGTTTTTAAAAATTTTATTTTACAATTATTCAGGTAAATCAATTTTATCCCCTTCAAAGTACTCCCCCTGTGACATAATGCACTTGTGCCAACGCCGTTTCCACTGTGAGAAGGCTCCTTGAAAGTCCTCTGGTTGTAGGTTTCTCAGCTGCCCCGTCGTAGCTTTTTTTATCTCATTTATGTCCCCCAAATGCCGCCCCCGAAGTACCAATTTGGTTTTTAGGAACAAGAAGAAGTCACACGGGGCCAAATCCGGCGAATAGGGGGGGTGTTCGGTCACCGTAATGGAATTTTTACTCAAAAACTCACGGAACGATCTTGGCGCAAATTTTTTTCATTTGAAGTTCGTTTCTTAGAATTTCGTGGACCACGGTTTTGCCCAAATTAAGCTCTTCAGCCACCTGTCTGACCGTTAAACGACGGTCCCCATTAACACAAAGTTCTTTCCACGTTTTCGTCGGAATGGAAGGACGTCCTGAACGTGGGTCATCTTGAACGCTTTCTCGGCCCTCTCTGAATCTTTTTAGCCACTTGTGGACGGTTGGTTTTCACAGCATCATCCCCATAAACTGTTCTGAGATCGGCAAAAATTTCACGGCCATTCTTGCCGAGTTTCGAGAGAAACTTGATTACGACGCGCTGCTCTTCAACGGAAGCGGGCTCCATGCCGACGGGGTTTCGTTAAAAAAAAACAAGCCAGTTCGCACCGCACGGCGGTCAGACCAGAACTGAAGCATTGTTAGGGACATAAGGAAGGGGTCCTGCACTTACCTGGCCTCCCCACTCCTCTTTCTCGCATTCCAGAACACTTTTATACGAACTTTCCGGACAGACCTCGTATATACATATAACGCTACCTTATGCTATGTTATTAGCTTAAAAAATGTTAATTCTCAGTGAGCAGACCCACCTTTATATTTTGCGTGATGTTCTCATCTTAACAAAAACTGATTAACATTGTACAATATTAGCTCGTTTTTAAATAGTAAGTACAACGGAAAAAAAGAATTAGTAAAAAAAAAATATTCACAATTTTATTATTATTTTAACAAATTAATCAGATTAAGTTAAAAGCATTACGTCGTTCACAAAATTGCAAAATTTTACTAACCGGTTTACTTTTTACCGGTATTTTAGAGCATAAAGTTTATGAGATAAAAGGATAAATTAATTTTAACTTACACATTTTTTTATAGGGAGGCGTATCTTATGTACAATGGAAATCATACTAACAGTAACTACAAACAACTCATTTCTTATATTTTGTCACATGAGATTGCTCATATGTGGTTTGGAAATCTTGTAACGTGCGATTGGTGGAATGATTTGTGGCTAAACGAAGGTTTTGCTAGATACTACCAATATTATCTCACAGATTGGGTTTGTATTAATTTTCAAAAATCTAATTGTATTAATGATAAATTTCTGTTCATGTATTACATTCAGTATTGGTAATAAATTATAGGAAGATAGCGAGTTTGGTTTTGAAACACGCTTCATAAATGAACAAGTGCATGCAGCTCTTCTTTCCGATTCTGTCCAAAGTGCACATCCTCTTACTCAAACCGGTATTGGAAGTCCGACTGAAGCGCGAAGTATGTTTACAACTATATCTTATGGTAAAGGGGCGGCTGTCTTAAGAATGACTGAACATCTTTTAACTTTTGACGTATATAAACAAGGTTTGAAATATTACTTGGATAACAGGTAGGTGAAAATAATAATTTACATGATTATTATAAAAGTTGAAACTAAATGCAGAATATTAAAGATAATAATAATATGTATATAAATAAATAAATAATAATGCCAAGTAATAACCCAAATTTTCTGATCTCCAAGTCGTGTTGTAAGAAATTAGACATCTAGCATCTAAGCCTATAACCATCTAGAATTTCCAATTCAGCTAATTGAGAATTTTTTTAACTGAATTGACTCGATTAGGATTTCAAATCGGGTGTTTATTTACAAAAGGTGATGTATTCGTTATTGAATCAATAACAAAATGGAAAAAAAATTTTCATAGTGTAAAAAAAAATCTCTCTTGTTATTACGTGTATTAAAATTTTTCAGAAAATTTAACACAGCATTACCGATTCATCTTTTTGAAGCACTTCAAAGGGCTGCAAACGAGTTTGGAGCTATAGAAGAGTATGGGTCAGATTTTTCTGTTATTGAATATTTCAAAACATGGTCCGAACAAGGTGGCCATCCTGTACTTAACGTTCAAGTTAATCATCAAACTGGTGAAATGATAATCTCTCAGGTATGGATTTACATACTTAATGATGTATTACTCATAGCTTGACTTTCGTGTATACTCGTATATTTACATGTAAATTTAAAAATCATCACTCATTGTGAAATATCAAAAAATTCTGAATTTGCTGTAATAAATATATTTCTATTTTTATAAACTTATACTCGAGAGCAATGAATGCTGGTTACCTAAAGAAACCTAAATCTCGGAAACCAAGAATGCTAACTTATTAAATAAACGGCGTTTAATAGACAATATATAATAACCTCTTATATGAAAGTAATAAAATTTATAAGTCAGTACATTTTATTTATTAAAAATTACATAAAGAAAAAAAAAACTGCTGATCTCGCCTTAAAACAAAATTAGGAAACATGACATGATGTACAACAATATGATTTCTTTGAATTTTAATACTTTGTATTGCCTCCTCGTGCTCTCATTACTGCATTAACGCGGTTTGGTATGCTGTACACCAAGTTTTTTATACGATTTTGGCAAATATTCTCCCATTCCTCGGTGAGCAATTTTAAGCACACGAAGCGTGATTGAAGGGAGAGGGTTTCGTTGTTTTACGCATCTTCTTAGCTCGTTCCATGCATGCTCGATTGGGTTGATATCCGGGCTGTGTGCTGGCCACTCCATACGAGTAATGTTCATCTCTTGTAGGCAGTCATTCACAATGAAACCTGTATGAGGTCGACATGCATAAAAATAGCATTCTCACTCAAATTGACCATAAATGGGCCATCGTGTTCATTAAGGACTTCTTCCACATATCTTACGCTAGTTAAAGAGCTGTTTTATATGAATGCCAGTTCTGTGCGATGAAATTCCGCCCCACACAAATACAGACCCCTCACCGTAGGCTACTTTTTCTTCTATGCATGCTTGCTTGAATCTTTTCCCTGGTCTTCTATGCACTCTGTGTTTTCCATTGTGCTTGTAGAGCATAAATTTTTATTCGTCGAGGAACATAACTTTCGATCAATCTTCAATAGTCCAATTTAAATGGTTTTGGGCATATCTTTGTCTTGAAATACGATCATCATGCTCCAGTTTAGGGCCATTTTCAGGACTAAGTGATTTCAAGTTAGTTTCAGCAAGTCATCGTCTTACTGTCCATGTGCTTAGGTTACTTCCTCCGAGGCGTTGAAACTGATTTGTACGTTCAGTTCCTCTGACAAAACGATTATTTACCAAGTATCGACCTTCTCGTGCTGTGGTACACCTAGTTCTGCCAGTTCCTGGTCTACGTAGTTAAGATGCAGTAATTTCATAGTTCCGATCTTCGAATGTCTCCCTTTTTCAAGTTTGATTTTTTTACGACATAATCTTGCAGGAGTATTTAATTGTCTATTACACACAATTTATTTTATTAGACTAGCATTCTTATTTTCTGAGATTTGTAGGTTTTTTACTCGGATTCATTGCTCTCGAGTGTATATAGATATATAGTTATTTGTTGCTCAGTCATGCTGAAAAAGGATGGATTGGAATAAAATTTGATACATGAAAACAATATTATCCTGAATTACTAAATAATATTAGTATACTAATTCATGACTAAAAAGTCGTTACTACTTTTTGCCTTATTTTGATTTTAGAATGTATATTAATATAACAAAGCGGTGTTTATTTTCTTGAATATTTTAATTTCTGGAACTTCCATTGGATTATAAAAAATATTTTTGCTTTTGATGAATCCCTTATTGAGGAAGGTCATATGATACAATCATGGACCGTATGTAAATTACGAGATAAATCTAATTTAAACTTAATATCAAAGACATAAAGTATATTTAATTTTTTAGCAACGTTTTAACATCAACGTTGGTTATGGAACAGCATCAAGGAACTGGATTATACCAATAACATTCGCTACTGCTAGTAATCCAGACTTTGAAAATACTAAGCCTACTCACATCATAAAAAATGGTGTCACAGTCATTGATCGAAAATCTATTGGTGATGAATGGGTTATTTTTAATAAACAACAAACAGGTAAATTAATTTGTGAAACAAAAAATTACTCAGTTGAAATGTATTCTGTTTTTATTGAGGTTTGTGTTATTTTGATATGCAAATCTGTAACAATTCTAATTTTGCTAAACTTTTTGTAATTGACAGAAGTAAATAGATAGATAAACACTTTATTTGAGCCATTTATAACACACGCAAATTCAGAAATGAGTTCATACAATTAAATTAATTACACTTTTCTTTAACTATAAAACAAAAGATAAAATACGAAAATATGTGTATCGCAGTGATCCAAATAGGCTACAGCTGAGTGATAGTTTTGCTTAAATGCAAAACACTGACTTTCATCTACAGCCTGAAGTTAGGTTACACGAACGCGTGCAACAAACAGAGAGTGTAACCCTGTGTGAATAAATTAACAGGCAAAGCTAAAATTATATTATGTAGATACGTAGTTATATAAATGATGCATAAATAATATATTTCATTAATTATCTAAACATACGATATAAATAATTCACCACAATAATTATCATGTTGAAAGCAGTCGCTACCAGGCGACCAACCTAAGTTTTTGCTTAGTGTAAGAAGGCTAAGTAGTCCCTTAATATTTAGTTAATCATAGTTAGATGGTTAGTCTTCCCTGTTAGTTTGTTATTATTAATATTTTTTAATTAATTAATAGCCTTTGAAACAATTACTGTACTGTTAAGTATTTGTTTCTGTGTAGGTTATTATCGTGTAAACTATGATGACTACACGTGGGATCTCATTGCTATAGCTTTGAAGACTAATAGAACTGTCATTCACGAGTTTAATAGAGCTCAAGTAAGTATTAAATTTTATTATTGGGAACGTATTTATCGTTATTTTTAACCAACTGTCAAAGACTACTTACTATCCGGCTCGAAGGATATTGTACGCTTATATAGCAGGATATGGAGATACTATTTAACTCATGTAATACCTTAATTTGACCTATGATCCACAATAAAGTCATTTGTATTTGTATTTGGACTATGAGAATTTTATTGACTACACGCTACAACACGACAATCCATAACTAATAATAATATATATATATATATATATATATATATATATATATATATATATATATATATAAGAAGTTAACATATGAACATGAAAAACGTAGTGTTTTGTAAAACGTAGTGAAAACAAAGTCAGTAACATCATTTTAAGTCTATTCACCTTTAGGATTTTATTAAAATTTATAAATTTAAAAATTTTAGATTGTCAATGATGTTTTCCAATTTGCGCGTTCTGGAATAATGAGCTATCCGAAAGCACTAAACATTCTTTCCTTCTTGGCAAACGAAACTGATTACGCGCCGTGGGTAACAGCGATGAGTGGCTTCACTTGGTTAAGAAATAGATTCGCCAGCACACCACATTTGCCGAAACTTGAGGTAAGACTCCCTATTGAAAAAAAAATTTAAATGCTTGGACAATTTTTTAAACATGTGGACATTTTAAGATATAGGTACTAGGTTCTGAACGGCTCTGAATGGACTTGAACTGGAAAGTTATCCGGTTCGAAGGACTATAAAAGAATTTATTAAAGAAAGCCAAAGTCTCGTAAAAAATATTTTTATAAATTATCAATGATATAAATAAACTAATTTCAATCTATTTTATTCTTTAGGATTTTCAAATACAGACAAATCATAAATTTCAAAATCAGTTATTTTGAAATTTATGATTTGTATGATTAATAAACATAATGGTTGCAGGGGCTTATAATTGATTGGGCTAGCAATGTCATGGACAATCTTGGTTACTATCCCCAAGAAGGAGAATCGTTTATGAGGTCTTATCTACGGTACCAACTAGCTCCAATTATGTGTGCGATGAACGTTACGAAATGTCGCGACGCTGCTAAGGAACAATTTGAACAGTTGAAAAGCAGTAATACTTACGAGTATGTTTATTTTTACTAATATTATAAATGTCAAAATTGGTTCACTCGTTACTTTTTGGCATCTTAAAGCTTTGGTTGAGTTGTCATGAATCATGAGTTTAGTATATATTATTAGGTATGGAAAAGGACATAAGCTACTATTTATCCCGGTCGTGCGAACGACGTTTGCTTGTAGAAAATAGTGAAGTTTATATTAATTTTCTCAAACATGCATGGAAATGTGAGCATTATTTTGACAATCTTCTTCGAGATAAATCAAAATTGCCGTACTGGCCATATACATGCGGGCAGCGGCCGGCAAAAGTTGTATGAAAATCCATATCTGTCGTGTTTTGCAGCCAGATAAATTACTATGTAAACTCATATCTGTCCTGTAATTTAAATATGGAATGACCTTTTACTTCAAAACACGGCTACCAAGGAGGTAACTAATAAAAGGTTTAATTTAAATTTCGAACTGGTTTGCAAATAGAAAGCAGTTTATTGAAAAAAAAAACAAAGGAACATTATGGCGCGAGAAAAATTATTATTGCTCGTTATTCGTCATTGAACTTAAAAAGTAAAATTGCGTTTTTGATTTCCGCGCATTGTTTGAGAAAAGAGAAAGGCATTGATGGACTCACTTATGTGTGCCTCGGCTACGCCTCGGCCCACATTTACACGTTCGTCCATCAATGCCTTAGTTGCTGGCCACTGCAGTAATGTACTATATATGTATGTATAAATAAATATATAGTATTTATAAATAAATAATAATAGTATTGTACTATATATAGTATTAATAATTAAATAATAATAATATACTTAATAATATCGCAAATATGAAAATGGGATCGTTTATTTCTTGGCAACTTACTGGTTAAAAATTGCTATTAAATTTAATATGTTATGATGTATGTAAGATGGTATAAGAATAAATACTTTTGCAGAACTGACATGCATCTGTATTTAGCGAGTCACGTTTGTTGTATATAGCAAAATTTTATACTTCCTTTTTTAGTATACAAAGTGTCGCCATAAAAAGTCATAAAACGCAAATAAATTTGCAAACAACGCTGAAAAGGATGTCACTAATTTTATTCATATTTTTTAATGGAACGCTAATGCATGTGTGATTGTTTTAAAAAAAAAATAAAAAATCTCCAATTCGAATATTCGTGTTCGGTAGGGTTCCTGTTGATAGTCGTAACTGGGTGTACTGTAATGCACTACGTGATGGCACAGAAGAAGATTTTAACTTACTATGGGAGAGATACCAGCGTCATCAAGTATATAACGAGAAGATATTACTTCTTTCAGCTCTCGGGTGCACTCCACATAAAAATTCTCTATACACGTGAGTTTTTAAACCTATAACTATTTTAAGATAAAAAAGATATATATATATATATATATATATATATATATATATATATATATATATATATATATATATATATATATATATATATATATATATATATATATATATATATATATATATATATAGATAGATAGATAGATACTCTTTATTGTTTCCTCCAAAAGATTACAATAGTAAACTTATTATAAATATAAACAATTAAAAGACTCTGACGTATAACAGTATTATGTCTGTTATTTCCATGGTACTGCTCATGTTTATAAGCTACGGTTTTCACTTTCCATTGGGTGCGCCGTCAGCTTGTTTGCCGTTCTAAGTTGTATAAAAAAAAAAAAAAAAAAAAAATAGTATAGGTGAATGGAAAAAGGAATAGGGACAGGGAATCTACCTAAAGGACTTAAATACTTACTTTATCCAACAGCAGTAAAAGTGAATATTAAGCTTAGAGAGTTACCACCTCAACATTGAGGGACCAATTGAGAAAAATATAGTTCATACGATGTAATTTCGATTTGATCTCAATTTCATTATAACAATAATTACTCTCTTGATTTTATTGCATATTGATAGAATTATATATTTCAGTTATATGGATGCTATTGTTCAAGAAAACCATATAATTCGTCGTCAAGATTATACTACAGCCTTTAATGCAGCTGTAAGTGGTAATGAAGGAAACACTCAGATAGCATTCCAATTTATTAAGGATAATTTACCAACAGTTGACGCTGCGTAAGTTTAAAGCTTTAATATTTTTTAGTTATAATTATCTCGTTTTGTAGTTAACAAGATTATTCTGATTTATGTATGTCATTAAGAGATTAGAATCATTCTTTATAAGTAAGAACAGAATTATAAAATTAAGAATGAAGAACGGAATGATGATAAAATTATTCTCAATTGTAAATAACATAATATTCATTTTGATATTAATAAGGCTGTAGAGATGAGAGTTCTGTATTACGTTGAAATACAGAGTAAGAATCAGTGTAATTAGAGAGAAGTATGGACTAAAAGAAGATGTATTGATACAAATCGAAAAGGGAATGTTGCGTTGGTTTGGCCATTTAGAGAGGATTGATGAAAGAAGAATACTGAAAGAGATTTATCGAATAACAATGAATGGAGATATCGGAATGATCGGTAGGGGTCGCCCTAGACAGACGTGTGTCGACCAAATAGGCGATGCGAAAAAAGAGATGGTTGTATTAATTTAAGATGTAGTTCTCAATTATAAATATTGTGAGCAAGGGTGAACTTATCTCTGAAAGAGATCTCTTCCAGTTAACCCAATATAGTTAGAAAGCATGTCGTTAGCGGGCAGCTTCAGTGCTATCATATATAAAATAAATCAGGAGAATGATGAGCGTATTGTCGATCCTGAAGAATTGACATTTGCCATTTAAAATCATCCTTTCTTAATTATTAAATGGTACAAAATTTTCTGTACAGGTTTGTAGTAAGATCAACTTTAGCCACGCCACTGTCATACGTGTCTGCAAGATTGAGAACCGAAGATGAAGTGAATGAAGTAAGATCACTTCTGTTTTTTTTTTTTACTTTATATTAAAATTTCATCATCATCATCATCATATCATCCTTTAACTGTCCATTGAACATAAGCCTACCCCTTGGAGGGTTTTGCTAGTAGTTGCCACGCTCGGTAGGCAGACTGGCAATCGCAGTAAGGTTTTAGAGATGTTTTAAGAGAGACGCTGTTGCCCATCCCTCGCCCTAGCTTAGTAGCCTTTTACGACACGTACGGAAAAGGAAGGGGTGGCTTACTTTATGCCGAAACTACATGACAAAATAAAACTTATTAAAAAAAAATATAAGCGGTTACACATGAACAATAGAGGTCAAAACTATACTTTTTGAAATGTTTATCTGTGTGTCTATGTTTGTTGTGGTATTAAGCAAAAATTACTGCACCAAATTGTATGTAGATTTCACAGTTGTGTTTTGAAAAATCGTATTTAAAATCTGCTGAATGTTTTATTTCGACACTTCATCTCGAAATGGTCAACTTTGTTGGTTTCTCTAATTCTGAAACAATGCATACTATGTAACGGGCGTGAACCGGGGCAAAGGGATTGTTAGTGATGGAGACTGAGAATCCCATTGCTAGCAATATACCCAACTAGGTCGACCTTCTCGCGGTTCCCCCTGGAAATTATCATGGTCAATTCCTGATGAATTCATCATGATGGGCTAACTGGCCTGTTTTCATTCTTATCTATCACCCTTCACTGGTGCTCCGCCAGCGTATCCCATTAGCGCAGGCGGGGTTATCATTTCATTTTCACCCGTCAAAAAAAAAAAACGGGCGTGAACCAAGTGTATAATTGACAGTGCGTCAATCGTGTCAAGTCGTAATATGTGACGCTTACGAAAGCAGAAGTATTTATGTTTAATTATTTGTAATTATACTCAAAACTTACTTACTTAAACTTACTTATTATCACTTAAAACACTTAGAGCACTAACTCTACTTAGTTTTTTTTAATGGGTGATAATGGTATGGTAACCCCACCTATTATACCTATCGGTATACACTGGCGGGGCACCAGTGAGAGAAAAAGACGAGGATGAAAGCAGGTCAGCTAGCCGATCCTAACTAATTCAACTAGAATTAAACATGATAGTTTCCAGGAGGAACCAATTGGAGGTCAACCTGATAGGGTATATTGCCAGTAATGGGGTTATTTGATCCCATTATTAAAAATCTCTCTCCCCCAACGTTACTTAAGACTAGATATTCCTATATAGGAGTGTGTCTATTAGTTCATTACTATTAATTTAAATGTTTGTCCACAGTTTGAGCAATGGGCAAGAGACAATCGTATGGCTTTAGGTGATCACTACAATGCAATTATGAGCGGTGCTAATTCAGCACGCAACAGTATTAATTGGGTTCAACAGGTCCAAGACGACGTTATAAATTATATTTTAGGCAACGTGGATCCTATCACCACGACTACATCAGCTCCTACTACCACAACTGTTATTACAACAGTATCTCCGGAGGCGATACTGAGGCCTTCCACTCCTGAACTACCAGACTCTGCGGTCACGACTGCTTTGTCATTAATCGTATTGATTTCTACTATATGTGTTAACCTAATCTTCTAATTGTCTCTGTTTACTTAACTGTAATGAATATCAAATATTTTACCACGACGTGAATGTAGATACGAATGTTATAACAGTTTTTACATAAATATGTTATACAAATATTATAAATACAAATATTTATTTGTGCATTGTGTTGTTATAATCTTTTATGAAATAATCTATAAAATAATTTTTATTGTTAATGTTTGTTAATTTGTTTTTACAACAGATAATAAGTCCGCTATGATTTAACGTATAATATAGAACGAATTAACATAAATAATAAAATATAGTTTTGTAACAATTTAATTTTTTTTTTCATATATTATATAAAATTTTAATGACATCTGTAATCATTTGCATTTATGTTATTGAACAATTATAATTAATATACTCAATTATGTAACAAAAAATGGTAATCAATAAGAATTTTGGTAATTTTGATTATTATATATAAATATAATGTAATAATATAATGTAATGTCTATCATTATTTGTCGAATTAGCAATGAGGAGGTCCTGTTTAGGGTTAAGGAAAAAAGACAAATTATTAGAACTATTGAGGACAGAAGGGGAAAAATGTTGGGACACTTGATGCGACATGACGAACTTATGAACATTATAATAGAAGGTAAGATAGAAGGAAGGAGGGGAAGAGGGAGACCAAGACATAGTTACATCAGGTAGATAAAGGAAGGAGTTGGTGTCGGGTCGTATCAAGAGGTGAAGAGACTCGCTGAAAATCATAGTGAGTGGCAAGAGCTCTACCGACAAGAGCGCAGCTCTTAAATAGGATAGATAGATAGATCATTATTTGTGACGTATTTGAGTAATGATGCTAAATTCATGGTCAATGTAATAACGAGATTGATAGCGGCATGATTATCAAGATCATTGGATTATTCACTCCTTAGGAAAACTTTACATCAGTCTTCTACACGCTTGTAGACATCTCTGTATTTTTTTCGTGAAGCAGCTGTATTCGCATGAGTGTATTTTAGATTGAAAGGTGAAATTACACAATATGGAGCATTTATAACCTTAAGGATATATAGATAGATACTCCTTATTGTTTCATCCAAAAGATTACAGTAGTAGACTAGGGCTGTTACGTGCACGTTTCTGGTTCTGAAGGAATCTTAATATACTCTTTTTGAAGAACCCCATACTATTGTTTGTAGGGTAAATCTCGGCAGGGAGCTCATTCTGTAGTCTGAACGTTCGCGAAAGGTGACTCCAAATCGGGAAATTCGCTAAGAGACATTGAATAATTATTCTGTGTATTTTTAAAACAAGCGACAGACGAGTTCTCTAAGAAGTTATTAATATCATTGTATACAATAAAAGGAGCGTATACTCGTATACGATTTATTATAATTACGATAGTGTTTAAAAAAACCAGAGGCAGATTTTGTATAAAAGTCATTTGCTTGGACATCTCTGTCCCATTCGTGTTTCTACCGTGAAGCGGTTATGTTTGCATGGCTGTGATTAGGTTTGAAGGGTGGGATATGACAGCTAATTTACAGGGTACAGAGGAATAACACCTGAGTTCTCAGGAATGGCAATGCATGTGGGGTATCATGGGCGAAACAGTATACTCTGTTATGTCCATGGTACTGCTCATGTGTATACGCAACGGTTACCAATTTCCATTAGGTGGGCCGTCAGCTTGTTTGTCATTCTAAGTTGCATAAAATAAAATAATAGGTATTCATAAGGGCATGTAATGTAAGAAAGACTCTGTTTTCCGCACTTAGCCTCTCATTTGGGCCGTTGTGCGTTTTCATTCATAAGGGCATTTATTGTATTTAATTTATTTTTGCATATAGTTTTTTATATGCAAATCGCATGTTTCCGGAGTAACGCTTTTATCAATTCGTTATTTAATGTTATTAAGATATCCAATCATGTTTACACGTCACTGTCCAATTAAATTAATTGTTTTCTTAGATAAAGATGGATTAGATTAATATAATCCAGTCAGAACAAAACTTGCCCGCATGCAGTCGGGTATTACTCTACAGCGTAAGTTTTAATTTTATTTTTCAATCACTATTACTAAGTATTACTAATTTCTTACTCTGATTTTAATTTAAAAATCCTTATTTATTTAACCACAATCATTTAAAAAATCTTGTTAATTTTAGTACTGTAAGATTTCAGTATTATTTGATTATTTTATGTAAAAAATAACGTTTAGACGTAGAGAGAAAATAACTTTAAATGTTCTTTGGCATTAATTACACACAGCTGAAGATAAGCTTCCCACATAATTGCATTAAGAATTGGCCTAAGCCTTCATTGACTTTCTGAAATATCGTCGTTCCATCTACTTATCATTTTCGAAAGAGCTGGTAGTGAAAAACTGTATTGCTATTTAGACAAATACAGATATATAAATGTAAAATGAATGCAGTTGGCCTTTTTAAGTGATATTTTCAAGCCTTATGAGTACATATATAGAAAGATAATTGTTCCCACAAAAATATTACTAGAATATTTGTAAGTTAGCTCGGGCACCTCTGTCCCATTCGTGTTTCTACCGTGAAGCAGCTGTGTTTATTTGGCCGTGTTTTGGTTTAAAGGGTGGGATATGGCAGTGTATTTACAGGGTACAGAGGAGTAACACCTGAGTCCTCAGGAATGGCAACGCATGGGGGTATCATGGGCGAAACAGTATACTCTGTTATGTCCATGGTACTGTTCATGTCTGTAGGAAACGGTTACCACTTTTCATCAGGGCGGCTGTCAGCTTGTTTGCCATTCTAAGTTGTATAAAAAAATACATATAGATAGATAGACAGATAATGTATTTGCATTACTTACAGCACACAAATTATAACATATATATAAAGACGAGATAACATAAATTATTAAAAAAAGCATAAAGCCAAGCACAATTTTCTTTTGTGCGTGTGCTATAACAATACAAAATGGTCACAACTCAGTTTATTGCTTCGCCCTCAAAAGAGCAAAGCACTGATATTCTGTTGCGGCAGATATGACATATAGCTATACCATTAGAAGAAAGCAAGCTTGATTGAATTATGCTCCTATTAAAAACAAGATATTGTGACGTACTATGGATATTATATAAAAATTTCTTTCCAGATGGCATTATTAAAGTTAATTATTTTGTCAATTGCATATGCTTGCACATTTGGATTACCTCAAAATCCTCCAAAACCAAGAACTACAATATTCGGCGACGAAATGCTAGAAGGCGAAATTTTTGAAAATCTTTCAGAAAGTAGTGAAATTACCACTTTAAACGAGGAGGCGAGCGTTTACCGTTTACCAAAAACAACGAAACCTTTCCGTTATGATATTATCTGGACAATAGATTTTAATAACTTGTCATTTAATGGCTTTGTAATGATAGTTTTATACGCAACCGAGCCAGATGTAGATGAGATAGTTATACATGCTGCCGACTTGTACATTACATCTGTTGAGTTACGTAAAGATTTAAATTCCATACCTGTTTCTTATGACGTAGACAATATTTTGCAAATTATACGTATTAAACTGGATAGCGGCACTCTTGAGTATGATGAAAACGATGAAACTAATCGTATTAATTATGAATTGATAATACGTTTTGAAGCTGAGCTACGTACAGACATGTCAGGATTATATAGAAGCTGGTTCAAAGACGAAAATTATACGGAGGAGGTCAGGTAAAAAATATTATTGTTGCCAATTACATTTTTACACAATTCTTCGATTGATTGCTTAATCACCAGAGGGAGACTTTGTACAAAAGTCGATTGCTTGGGTACCTCTGTCCCATTCGTGTTTCAACCGTGAAGTAGTTGTGTTTGCATGGCTGTGTTTCGGTTTAAAGGGTGGGATATAGCGTGAATTTACTGGGTACAGAGGAATAACACCTGAGTCCTCAGGAATGGCAACACATGGGGGTATCAAGGGCGAAATAGTATACTCTGTTATGTCCATACTGCTCATGTCTATAAGCGACGGTTACCACTTTCCATCAGGCGGGCCGTCAGCTTGTTTGCAATTCTAAAATGCATAAAAAATATGCCTTTGAAAAAGGCTTTAAAAGAACGAAAATGATCAGGATTAAGATAATAATATTTCTTTTTTATTTGCAAAAAAAAAAAAGGATAATTTAATAACAAAAGTTGCACCAATTAGCAACTATCATGATTAATAACAAAAATCCACAGTAATACTGAGTTTGGTACGATTTTTGCAAATAATTAGAGCTTACATGTAGACAATGTTTTAATTTACCTTAAATATATATATTTTTTTTTATAAAAAACAGTGACATGTAATTTTTCAGTTATATAGCTACCACTCAATTCCAACCGACATCAGCAAGAAAAGCGTTCCCCTGTTACGACGAGCCTGGTTTCAAAGCGATGTTTACAATTAGTGTTCAACGTCCGACCGCATACAAAAGTTGGTCATGTACAAGAAGGAATGCAACTTTTAGCAACGGTATCATGTAAGTTATTTCAGTAATGCAATTGTAATACTATTTTTATGGTTTAAATTATTTGTTTTTTTTTTATTTATTTAAACTTTAATGCACAGTAACATTCTAAACTAATATAATATAATAACATAATAATAAAATGTAAAACTAAATGTCTAAATATTGGGCACATATATATGAGCTACATGTAGGTACATTGTTTTTCTTGTTTAATTAACAGTTTTGTTTATTGTACTGGAACGCTAGCGCCTCTGTCTTGAGCAGGTGGGCGTTGACAGCCACGACACAGTTATTTTTAACTAATGTGGCTGTTATCGTACACTACCTTACAATTGTAATTTTTTATGGTTCCAATAAATACATTTTTAATTTTTTTTTTTTTAAATTCTTTGTACCTACATGTAGTAGATTTAATACCGGATAGTGTTCTCTACCAGTCAACCATTGGGCGAACCGAGAAATTTGAATTTTTTTTAGAAGTTCGGTGCATTATTGAATAGAGGAAAAATAAAGCAATACTTGATATGTTCATGTAATTTAAACATATAATTATATTAATATAAACATACACATAATGTATTCCCAAAGAGGGTTGACGTCAGGCAGGTGGCCGGTCGTAAAACTAAAAAACCGAATTTTTTTGTAATATGGATAAAATCATATTACGCCGACCCCAAATGATTGGGGTAAGGGTAGGAAGATGATGATACACATAATGTATTAAATAAATGTATACACATTATAAATACATAAAATATAATTATATCAAACAAATAACTATAATAAAAGAGTAAATAATAATCAAAGACTCAAACAGAGTAACCAGCAAGATTAAGTTTAAAGGGAAAGTGATTTTTTAGGAAATATAAACGCTAATTTAAAAGATAGTTTGCTTATAACTGATTTTATCCAATAGTCAGATTTTATTTAAATTTACGATCAGGACTTTTTTTATATACCACTGAGGTGGCAAACAAGCATACGGCCCACCTGATGGTAAGTGATTACCGTAGCCTATGAACACCTGCAATACCAGAGGTATTACGGGCGCGTTGCCGACCCTGAAGAAACCTCTTTACCCCCCTTTTGAAGAAACCCATGCTGTAGTCTCTTGGGAAAACCTCGGCAGGGAGCTCATTCCACAACCTGAGTGTTCGTGGGAGGAACGTAATGCGATTATAACTACACAAGAACAATATGAATTAAACGTGTTTAAATAGCTTAGAATTCCTCACCAACTTATCTTTATTTCTCTTTTTTGTTTCTTCTTTAGGCCCTAATCATTATCTATGTGTAACATATTCAATGAAACCATCAATTTCAAAGGCAAACTCAACACTTCTGCTGTAAGTTGCCGAGTTGGATGTCTTACAATTTGTAGATGTTAATTTTATTAATGACTAGCGAGCCGCCGCGGCTTTGCACGGGTGCACATTACATCACATCACATTAGAAACTTCTAAAACAGCCTTTCCCAAAGCAGGTGATAACGCTCCTTTGTGGGCGCTGCAGGTCTAAAGGGGAAGGGGAGCGGTAAGAGATCCAGAAAAAATTAGGGGCATTGTTCTACACAATCCTCTAGGTTTGGGGGTGATTTGTTGATCTTGAAGTAATAGTGGTTTTTAAGTAGGGGGTAAAATTGGGGCGCTAAAAAATAAGTTATTTTCAAAGTAGACAAAATAAATTTAGGAACCCCTGCTCTAAAATTATTACTATTTCTCTGCTATATTATGCATGTAAATACATATAAACCTTTCTATTGAATCACTCTATTTAAAAAAGAAACATCGAAATCCGTTGTGTAGTTTTAAAGATGTAAGCATACATAGGGACAGACAAATGGAAAGCGACTTTGTTTTATACTATGTAGTGATGACACTTTTATCGTAAATCTTGCAAGTAAAACTATAAGGTAACAGCTTGCATACAATGTTTGTATTTATAAATAATGCACCACGAGGATGGACCAGGACATGGACTACATCCATACACGGTTGACTGTCCGCATAAAATGATCTTTTCCGAGATGCGTTTTATTCATTCTATAACCTCGGATTCTTAAAACGTAGCGGGGAAAAGCACTTAATGTTCCGCCATAGAGTCCGGTCCGGTCCGATCAACCGGTGTTGATAAATCATTCTCTTTGCTGTTGATCGTATTCATGGGCCATGTAATCTCTCTGTTCACTTTTTGCATATAGATACACATAGGCTGTATTCGCTCAGGTTTGTGTGATCACATCATCATCGTCATCTTCATCATCATATCATCTGTTAAACGTCCACTGTTGAACAGACCTTCCACATAAAAAGTGTTTTTCCAATAGTTACCACGTTTGGCTGCCGAGTCAGCAACCGCAGTTAGGTTTTGGTGACATTTAAAGAGGGACGCTACTGCCCTTGACCATTAAGCTCCCATATTCGTCTTTTACGACACTCACAAAAAAGGAATGGGTAGCCCATTCTGTGCCGGGACCACACGACGTGGTCACAAGTCATGTTATAATAAAAATAATTCTTTATATATTAAAGATCCTTTTATTTGCAGTGAGTATGAAGATGACATATATAACTATACGCCATTTATGTCTACATATCTAATTGCTATTATTGTAGCAAAATATGATAATCTGATGGTCATTAATTCTGATGGTAAACTCATATACGAAGTGATAGCTCGACCAGCGGCAATAGAAGGAAATCAAGGGGAATATGCCTTCGAAGTGGGACAGTTACTGTTAGCCGAAATGAGTGCTCATACTGCCATCGATTATTATACAGTTTCGGAATTTTTTAAAATGACCCATGCAGCCATTCCTGATTTTGAGGCTGGTGCTATGGAGAACTGGGGTTTGCTTACTTACAGGTAAATTAAATGTATTTTTAGTTGAAGTTAGAATATGTGAATATTTTTTTTATGCAACTTAGAATGACAAAAAAGCTGACGTCCCACGTGATGGAAATTAGTAACCGTTGCGTATACACATGAGCAGTACCATGGACATAACAGAGTTATTGTTTCGCCCATGATACCCCCCATGCATTGCCATTCCTGAGGACTCAAGTGTTATTCCTTTGTATCCTGTAATTTTATTGCCATATCTAACCAAACATATATCGAAACATTAAGGCCAATATATAACATCTTAGTCGTCAGAAATGGCAACTCATAAAGTGTAGTGTTGTCATGGGCGAGATAGCATACTCTGTTAAGTCCATAGTACTATTCATTTGTATAGTCGACGGTTACCATTTACTATCACCTGGGCGGTCAATTTTATGTCAAGATGCATAAAAAAAAATTTTGGTTGCTAAAACACGCTGATTAAAGTGCTTAAAGTCACGAGAAACAGGTAGTACTTAGTAATTGCAGAATGTTTAAATGTTAAATACAGCGACTTAATTGATTCCTCAGACTCACCATGGGGTAAAATTTATTTTCTTTTTCAGAGAATCATATCTTCTGTATGACAAAGATCATACTAGTAGCTTTCATAAGCAATCCATAGCTTACATGCTCTCACACGAGATAGCTCACATGTGGTTCGGGAATCTCGTCACATGCGAATGGTGGGACGTTTTATGGTTGAATGAGGGTTTTGCTAGATATTATGAATACTTCTTGACTGACTGGGTATGTTGTAGTTTTTATTTGTTTAATAACTAATAATACCAGAGGGAGAATTTGTACAAAAGTCGATTGCTTGGGTTTGAAGGGTGGGATATGGCGTGAATTTACTGGGTACAGAGGAATAACACTTCAGTCCTCAGGAATGGCAATGCATGGGGGGTACCATGGGCGAAATAGTATACTCTGTTATATCTATGGTACTGTTCATGTCTATAGGCGACGGTTACCTCTTTCCATCAGGTCGTCAGCTTGTTTGCCATTATAAGTTGTATAAAATAAAAATAAAAAAAAAAAAACTAGCTTTTTGTTAGCTATTTCGTAAAGAAGTAGGACGAGCAATGAAGTAGACCACTTTTAAGCATATATATATTTTTCAAGTTAGTAGTTACAACACCAGAGGGAGACTGTACAAAAGTCGTTTGCTTGGGCACTTCTGTTCCATTCGTATTTCTACCGTGAAGCAGTTGTCTTTGCATGACTGTGTTTCGGTTTAAAGGGTGGGCTATGACAGTGAATTTACAAGGTGCAGAGGAATAACACCTGTGTTCTCAGGAATGGCAACGCATGGGATATCATGGTATCTTGGGCGAAACAGTGTACTCTGTTGCGTCCGTGGTCCGTATTCCTCATGTCGATAGGCTATGGTTGTCACTTTCCACTTTACACAACGCGAAAGTTTAAAATTACTTACGCAATATTATACTGGTATTAATAACGTAAATACGGATTTATTTGTTTGTTTGTTACCTTTTAGCGCTTTAACTAATTACTATAACATTTGATACTTTTATCCTAGTTAGTAAACATATTACGGTCACGCGAATAAAGTTAATCTGTAGGTAGACTATTATTTAATACTTTTATACATAAAAAAAATTTTATTATGTTAGGTAGAGGATTACATGGGTTTCGCCACTCGATTTATCCCGGAACAACTCCACACTGCCCTTCTAGCGGATTCAGTTCTGAGTGCTCATCCTCTAACAAACACCGGCGTGGGTAGTCCCGCATCAATTGGCAATATGTTTTCAACAATTACCCACGCCAAAGGTGCTTCTGTGATTAGAATGACAGAGCATCTGTTAGGTTTTCAAGTTCACGAAGAAGGTTTGCGGAGATACTTGAACGCCAGGTAGATTGTCATCCTAATTATTAGTAATAAATTATAAATATGAAAGTGAGTTTGTTTGTTACATGTGAGCGATTTAATGGCTTGATTAAAATTTTGTGTACAGATACTATATGACAGCGATATCTAAAGTGGGTTCCGCAGAATCTAGGGGTTGCGTAAAAAAATGCCAAGGTTTCGCGAAATCATATAAAGTGAAACAATAATTAAAGGAAACTGTAAAGTATCATACTTTCTAATAAAAGATTTTGTTTTTATTTAAATTACAGTGTTTGTGTTTTGTAATCGTTTGATATGGGGTTCCATAAAATAAAAAGTATTTGGTGGTAGTACCGTTATATTAAGAGTATAGGAACCCCTGCTATATGGGGTAGAGACTTTTTATTATGATCATGCGAATAAAGTCGCGAGTTAAAGTTAATAACTAATAAACATTTATTTACAATTAGACACTTGAAAAGTTGGTAATTGTATGTTAGAAAAATGGTTGCTTCGGTATGGAATAGAGGGCATGGGTTTAGATCGCCGACCGGCAGAGGGCCGGGAATTTGTTTGACATTTGGATATTGGTGTAGGCAGAAACAATGGAACGCAAAATGTTTCAATTCAAACAGACCTCTTTCGCTTGATATTTTCAGTTGCTTCAAAATCTAGTATGACTGTATAGTATTTTTTACTATCATTAAATTTAACAATATAGTCACTTAAGCATGATAAGTAGCTAGATCAGCAATAAATAGTAGAATATACATTAGATGTACATAAGGACATAATAAATCATCATCGTCATTATACCAGCCCTTAATTATCTACTGCTGAACATAAGTCTCCCCCTTGAGGAGTTTTGCCAGTAGTTGCCACGCTTGGCAGGCGGACGGCGAATAGCAAGCGCAGTCAGGCTTTAGAGATATTTTAAGAGGAACGCTGTTGTACAGCCCTTGTCCTCCCTTAGTCGGTTCTTACGACACCCACAAAGGAAGGGGTAGCCTATTCTATGCCGGGACCACACGGCCAATATATATTACATGTTTATAATATATTAATATATTTCATTTATTAGGCGGTTTGATGTAGCCCTACCAGAACATCTATTTCAAGCTCTCCAGGAGGTAGCAGACGAATATGGCGTAATAGCAGACTATGGAGATGATTTCTCTGTCAGCGATTATTACAAATCATGGACAGAACAATCTGGACACCCGGTGCTCAGTGTTCAAATTAATCATCAAACTGGTGATATGATCATCTTTCAGGTACTTGTAATAAAATGGAAGAGTTTGTTCGTTCGAACGCGCTAATCTCTGGAACTACCAGTAGGTTTTTAATGTTTTTATTTTTTATATCACTGAGACGGCAAAAACATGGTAAGCGGTTACCGTGGCATATCAACGCCTACAATACCATAGGATTTACGAGCGCATTGTCAACCGTGAAGAAACCTCTTTACAGCGTTTTTCAAGAACTCCACAATTTTTTTTTTTTGTATATGATAGTTCATTTCTTGAGAAAGATTATAGGTTATCCAAGATCACGATATGATGATGAGCGAAGTCGCGGGATGTAATTAATCAAATTTAAATATAGTTACGTCACTTTCTTTTGAACTAAATGCTCCCAATAATACATTTATTATATAATTTTCTTTTATACATGAAGATGGCAGACAAGCATTTAGTCCGTCTGATGGTAAACGGTTATAGTAGCCTATGACCTATGATCTTGTGCATGTTTCCGATCCTGTTAATGAAGAAACCTTAATATATATCCATATTTCAATAACATCATACTGTAGTCTCTAGGAAAAACCTCGATAGGGAGCTCAATTTACAGTTTGAGCGTTCGCAGGAATTCTGAAAGCTCGATACGGCCTGTGAACTTGGGATCGACGACTGTTGACATAGTTCATCATTGAACCTATTCAAGAGGATCAAGCTGGTAGTCAGGACCGCACACAGTTTTAAATCTATCTCAAAAAAGTGATTGTTAAATATAATTTGATAAATATAGAAGTGTATTAGCGTATGATGTATAGTTATTATAGATAAGTATTTATTAATTTACCAGAGGGAGACTTTGTACAAAATTCGTTTGCTTGGGCACCTCTGCCCTATTCGTATTTCTATCATGAAGCCGTTGTGTTTGTATGGCTGTGTTTCGGTTTGAAGGATAGGATATGACAGTGAATTTAAAAAGGTAGAAAGGAATAACACTTGAGATCTCAGGAATGGCAACGCATGGGGGGCTGTTATGTCCATGGTGTTACTCATGTCTATAGGCGACGGTTACTACTGTTCATCAGGTGGGCGGTCAGCTCGTTTGCCATCTAAGTAGTATAAAAAAAAATGATTTTAACTTTTTGCTATATTCTTGCATTATTTTACATAAAAACGATATTCATTTTTATTCTCTTTTAGCACCGATTTGACATCAATGCAGGATATGCGATTACGCCTAACACTTGGATCATTCCGATCACCTTTTCGACTGCCAGCAATCCAGACTTCACAAATACTAAACCGAGTCACATCATCAGTAATAGTATGAACTACATTAACCGAGGCTCTGTTGGTGATGAGTGGGTGATATTTAACAGACAGCAGACAGGTAACATTCTATCAACAGAAACATTGTTATGGTCACTTATGGTCTAAATATGAGTTTTTTTTTTTATTGTATGAAAATGGAGTGGTAACCCCGCCTGCGCTAATGGGATACGCTGGCGGGGCACCAGTGAAGGGTGATCGATGAGGATGAAAACAGGCCAGTTAGCCCATCATGATGAATTCATCAGGAATTAATCATGATAGTTTCCAGGGAGAACCGCGAGAAGGTCGACCTGGTTGGATATATTGCTAGCAATGGGATTCTTAGTCTCCATTACTAACAATTCCTTTTCTCCCCGTCTAAATACGAGTAGTAACGTTTTTTTAAGAAAAGATTTTTTTTATCATAGCTTTATTCTTGTCTGTTAATACTGAAATTGGTTTCTTGTAAAAATATATAATTATTTTATGCCACAGGTTTCTACCGTGTTAATTATGATGACTACACATGGAATTTGATACTTAATGCATTGAAAACAAATATAACTCTTATTCATGAGAATAATAGGGCACAGGTAAGTTTAATAAAAAAAAAGAAGAAGAAAGAAAATGAAGATTATTTTTATAAAAAAAAAATATCTATAGTAATATAAGTACAAAGCGAAAGAGTTTGAACGTGTTCATCTTTAGAATAATTAGTTGAATCAAAAAAAAAGTCTTTTTTGCATTATTGATAGCTCATTTGTTTAGGAAGGAATCACGATATGACCACGGACGTAGTTACGGGGTATAGCTAAGAATCATATAAACTAGATATCTAATATATTAATAAAAGAATATAACCTGATTTATTTACAAGTATTACTTGTAAATTATCGATATTTTAATTATCAATGATTACATGAAAACATATATGCAGTCAATTAAAAGTCAGTGTGTTTTTTTTTTTGTGTGAAATTTAATTCCAGTCATAAGTTCTTCTTCTTTCGAGTCAATACGCAATAAAAATATATTTAGACTAGAACTTAGAAACTTCTAGAGCAACTTTTTGGATTGCCATTACTGGATACTGCATTAACGTGTCCAGCTGTTTCCAGGTGCTCTGTGGGGGGACTCCCTTTTTGTACCTATAAGTGATATGATATAATACGTCATATAATATTAAATCCGCCATTTACACTATCTAGGTGTATTAAAATTAAATAAATGTTGCGGTGGAGATATAATAAAATGTATATTGATTTTCGATATAGTTCTTGGAATTATATAAAGATATAAGATAAAGTTTGACGTCTATATCTAAGTTTTTAATATATTTTAACTAAATATCACAAATTTACAAATGAAATATTAAATAACTAGTTTTTATCCGCGACTTTGTCTGCGTGACCTTAATATATCGATTGCTTCAGGTAGTACAATAGATTACGTTTTTTTTTCATTGCAAATGAAAAAAAAATGTATCTATTATTCTAATGTATCTCTATGTATTATATACTAAATTATTAAAATATTATTAAGATTAATTATATTATCACCAGAGGGAGACTTTGTACAAAAGTTGATTGCTTGGGTACCTCTGTTCCATTCGTGTTTCTATCGTGAAGCAGTTGTGTTTGCATAGCTGTTTCGGTTTGAAGGATGGGATATGGCGTGAATTTACAGGGAATATAGGAATAACACCTGAGTCCTTAGGAATAGCAACGCATGGGGGGTATTATGGGCGTAACAGTATACTTTGTTATGTCCATGGTACTGCTCATGTCTATAGGCGACGGTTACCACTTTCCATCAGGTGGGCCTTCAGCTTGTTTGCCATTCTCAGTTGTATAAAAAAAAAATGTTTAGGCACCGAGATAGAAAACAAACTTTCATTTTATTTAAAAACTTCTTTATTAATAATTGAAGTGTAAGCTATAATGTAGATTGTATTATAAGTAGGTATGTGATAGTTTTTTAAACAAACAATGAATAAAAAGCAAGTAATCATAATGAATAATAAAATAAAAATAAAAGGTAATGATGGTTCAGTTGTAACAAAAATTAAAAAAGGTAAAACTAGATTCCATTATAGATATAGATTTTAAGTCAGGAAAATCAATTAATACTTCTTTCTAAACAAATAGCCCTCTTATCTGTTATATTTCAATCGAACATGCCCATTTACAACAACTATAAAATTCAAATGATTTTTTTTAGATCGTGAATGATTTATTTCAATTCGCTCGATCGGGAATAATGTCGTATTCAAGAGCCTTAAACCTCCTTTCTTTCCTTGAAACCGAGACTGCATACGCACCATGGGTTACGGCTTTGACTGCGTTTAATTGGTTGATAAACAGATTGGCTAGTACGCCGGAAACTTTAGCGAAACTTCATGTAAGTATTCTTTTGAAAAAGAATGGCAAGATGTATTCATTATAAAGTAGTCGTCCCATACTTTCTCTTGGGTGTTGTTGAAAACTGTGTTAATTGGAGAATATTTTTTTTTTGTCCATTAATAGAAAATATTGGGGAGTGCCACCCTTATCATTGAGGGGTATGAAAAATAGATGTTGGCCGATTCTCAGACCTACCCAATATGCACACAAAATTTTATAAAAATCGGTAAAACCGTTTCGTAGGAGTTTGGTAACAAACACCGTGACACGAGAATTTTATATATAAGATAAGGTCGACGAGATAAATAAAATACATATTATGTTTTCAACATCCAATTTACTAAATTTGAATAGAATCGACAGAATGCATTATATTTTTAATAGTAAAAAAGTATAAGTGGCCAGTACGTACAATGATAAAAAGAGTTCAATCTTACATATTAAATTGAATCTGCAACAGGTGTCGTAAGAAGTGACTAAGGAAATGTAATAGTCGAGAGATAGGCATCAGTGCCCCACTTAAAATACCACCAAAGCCTAACTGCGGTTGCTAATTCGCCTATTAAGCGTGGTAACTACTGGTAAAGTCGTCCCAAGGGGAAGGTCTATGTTCAGCAGGGGACACTTAACGGCTGATATGATGAAGATGCTGATATGAAATTGAAATGGCAAAAAACTAAGTAAAACCTGAGTAATACTGCAGGTCTGTTAAGTTTCCACAGATAAACTATTTGGTTAATTAAAATAGATTAAATTCTTTCGATCAATTTTTGAATCCTATTACATTATATTTAAAAAACTGAACGTTAAAATGGTCATTTCCTTCAACGAGAATAAGAGGTTTCTTCGGAGTTGGCAATGCGTGCATAATGCCTTTGGTATTATTACAAGCGTTCATAGACTACGGTAACGGCTTACCATTAGGTGCAATATATGCTTATTTGTCACCTCAGTGGTATAAAAAAGGTGGGCTATATGATCTTTTGTAAATTTCAGTGTTATATGTCAATAAATGATATATTTGGATCTAGTATTTTATCAATTGCAGAGCCTTATAACTGTTTGGGGGAAAACCGTCATGGATGAACTCACATACTATCCAGACGAGGATGAATCTTTCATGCGATCATATTTTCGGTATCAAGTTGTGCCTACAATGTGTGTGGTAGACGCTCCCGGTTGTCGTGACGCTGCTGTGAGCCAGTTCAAACAGCTTGTTGAAAGCAATGGATCTTATGAGTACGTATCAATTGTTTTTTAAATAATGTCTCCAAAGCTATAATCACTACCTTTGAGTAGATTGTTTATTTTTTTATACGACTTAGAATGGCAAACAAGTTGACGGCCCACCTGATGGAAAGTGGTAACCGTCGCCTATAGATATGAGCAGTATCGTGGACATAACAGTGTGTGTTTTTTGCTTTGTTGTTTAAAAATAATATTATTATTTATATCTATCTATCTATCTATTTAAGAGCTGCGCTGTCGGTGGAGCTCTTGCCACTTACTACTATTTTCAGCGAGTCTCTTCACCTCTTGATACGACACGACACCAACTCCTTCCTTGATCTGCCCGATGTAACTATGTCTCGGTCTCCCTCTCCTCCTTCTTCCTTCTATCTTACCTTCTATTATAATGTTCATAAGTTCGTCGTGTCGTTATTATTTATAATCAAAATATAATTTTAAGTATTTTTTGTTGAAAAAAAAAAGCCTTTTTGAAGTAAGGTTTCTTCAGGTTTGCTAAAGCATATGTGAGATTTTACTGAACTAAGTGTTTTCTTACGGGAGTCCAGATCACTGGTTATTTGATTAGTATTATTTTGTTTATTGCCGTTGCCATTACTATGTGTGTAACTACCAACACTTGAAGGTTTCGCAATTTAGAAATTTGCGGAACTATTAACATTAGGTTTCGAGTAGCGAACTAACAATTTGTCTAAAGATGCCTCGATTAGAGACAAAACACGTATCGCAAAACGTGCGTGAACTAACTGACTATCGGGAATTGATGGTTATTGACTGATTGATGAAATACAAGGTTGTGGAACTTGCAGTAGTAACAGTGTTGATCAAATTTCGAGTGTTGGCAGTCTCAATACACGCACTAATGACAGCGAAATTAAACAAAATAATTATAAACAAGTAACTAGAAATATCTTCCTCACAAACTCTAGAAATCATCATGACCAATATGTGGTGAATTTTTCTCCATTAGTGATCATACATCACTAGTTACGGAGGTGTCAATTTATCTTCAACCATAAAAAAAAAGATATTTCTGGTATTGCAGATGTTTATAGACTACATTAACCGTTTACCAGCAGATGGGCTGTATGATTGTTCGCGATCTTTGAAATACGTTTTTGTATTTATTAAATAACGTATTTTGTTTTAACTGAATCATTTGATGAAGTTGAAGCTTAATAACAGTTGATGTTTAAAAAATCTATAAAATTTTGGTATTCTCAACCGACTTCAAAAATAAGGAGGTTCTCAAATCAATTGTATTTTTTTGTTTGTTTCCATATAACTCAGTCAGTACTAAACCAATTCGAAAAATAATTATTTTGTCTGAAAGGATATACTTACAGATTGGTTCCATAGAAATGTTATCAAAATTGATTTAGTAATTTATTTACCAGATCGAAATAACTGGTTTTTTCACAATTGAAATGGGTATTTTTTTTGGTGGGACACAAACATTTATTTATTATAAAAAATAACATCTTTTTCTGCAGTTATAAAAATGGTACAGTTTGATTTTTTAGAGTTCCTGTCGACAGCAGAACTTGGGTTTACTGCAACGGTCTCCGATACGGAACCGAATCCGATTTCAATTTTCTTTGGTACAGATTCAGAACTCATCACGTTTATACTGAGAAGAGTTTAATTCTCAATGTTTTAGGATGCACACCTCATCAGTCTTCTCTTTACACGTGAGTATTTTTACCTATAAGACTTAAAATTGGAATTAAATTACAGAATTGTCATTTTATGAAAATTTAATATAATGGAGGTTTGTTTGAATCGAAACATTTGGCGTTCCATTGTTTCTGCCTACCCTAATGGGAGACAGGCGTGACAGATATGTATGTATGTATGTATGAATATAATCGTAGTCTTTTACAGTTAATTATTAATATTAATTATTTTAAATAACTTGACATGTACAACAGTTGTAATTACCTGTAGTGTGTTGCAGTTTAATCATCTGTAAACTGCAGGTAATAGTAAATAAATAAATAAAAATAAAAAAAAATTGGATAAGGGCAGAGGAAGACTTAAAAAGACATGGGTGGACTGTGTGAAAGATGATATGGCCAGAATGGGAGTGAATGCGGAAATGACAGTGAATAGAGAAGAATGAAAGAGAAGAACATATTACGCCGACCTCAAATAATAATTGTAATAAGGGTAGGAAGATAATGAAAACTTAATATTTGTTCTGTTATAACTTATAATAATCCACGTGATAATCAAAATAAAGATTTTGATTATCACTATTTTAGTTAAAGCAGTGAAATTGCTGATTTTTAATGAATAAGAATTTTAGTTTAGTACTACTCTTTGTCTTATGTCTTGTAATCCATAATTTTTGTGTACATACCATACCATGCCATATCAGTAATTAACTGTCACTGCTGATCATAGATCTCACCTATATGGGGAGTAGCTACCACACTTGACAATCTGGTTAGCACCCGTAGTTAAACTTTGGTAATGTATGAAAAAGTATGTTACTGCTCATCCCTCGACTATTAAGTTCTCTTATTCACCTCTTATGACATTCATGGCAATGAAAGGGGTGGACCATTGTATGCCGGAACCACACGGCAGTGTTTTGTGTATATAATTTTATATATTTTTCTTTAAGAACAATAAAGAGTTTTCATTAATTCATTTCACTACTATTTATTTTAGTTTATTGGATGCTATCGTAGAAGACAACTATCTGATTCGTCAACAAGATTACACTACGGCATTTAACTCAGCTGTAACAGGAAATGAAGGAAATACCAAGATTGTATTAAACTATATACAAAATAATTTGGCGAAAGTTGAGGCTGGGTGAGTTATATTGGTAGACACATTGACTTTAGCATTGCACATAAAAAGCGACTGAGAAATTTTTGCCACCAGATGGTGCTTTCTTATAACGAGGCATGAATAAACCAAAAAGTGTCTATAACTTCTATTTTTTCTATTATTTTCGCGATTCTATCAAGCCAAAGAGCTATGTACAATTATGATTAGATTTAAAGGTAGGATATGGTAGTGAAATTTGGCTACGGTGATATAACACCTTAGTCTGCAGGACTGGCAATGCATGAGAAGGAGCAATACTTACAAAAAGAAAGAAAGCATCTTTATTCTTTAGTATAAAAGTTAAGTTGCACTGACAGAATACTTCTTTGAAATGATATTACTGATTTTTATCTTTCTTTCAGAGAGTAAACTAGTCTACGAGGTTGTTTTTCGTTCCAATTATAAAAAAAAAAAACATGAACATTTACTGTAGCGAATTAATTTTAATACCAGAGCTCAAATATTTTATATAAAGAAAACAATTTTTATTATGTCTATCACAGCTTCACAATTTAAAATAATTCAAAAATATATAGCATGTTTTTTTTCCCCCACAGGTTCAAATCGCTCGCGATACCACTCTCGTACATATCTTCCAGGTTAAGGACTGAAGAAGAAGTAAATGAAGTAAGATATAATTAATTTTTTCCTTACTTAAATTAAAAGTTACTCTCGGCGTCAATATTTATAATATTGAAAGCTGAAAAAAAATAAAGAAAATACAACAAAACAAAATCTGTAAGATCTTTCAAATTATAAGTAACAAATATTACAATAATATACTATGTGATCCATTTAATAAGGAATATGCTTTAACAACGTTTCTCTATAGAGCTGAAAAAGTATTTTTCAAGATATATATATATATATATATATATATATATATATATATATATATATATATATATATATATATATATATATATATATATATATATATATATATATATATATCATAGTCGTTTCGGTAACGTGGATTTTAAAGAAAGCTTTTTCTCCTTCTGGACTTTGTTATTAAGATACAAATGTCCTGTTTTTTATGTTAAATGGCTGTTTTATTATATTCGTTTGCATGTTATCTATATTAGACATAGATATATTCTTTTCAAAACGGGACAGACTTATGTGATAGTTTTTAATATAAATATGTAAGTGCGACAAAATTACATCAATCAATTGATTCTCAAGCTAGGAATCGTGTGTCATGAAAAATAAAGCAAGAATATCTAGGAGCATAGCTCAGAACACCCAAATTCAGGCCAATTTAAAAAAGTTGGATCCACTAAGAATCAAATCCGGGATTCATTTTCATTACGCGAAACAAAGTGCATAGGTGATACTGTTGTGATTTAGAAACAGTGATTTAGAAAAGTTTGTCCGACTGAAAATCAAACCCGGAACCTCATTAAAACAAAGTGCGTACCGTTGCATTACGGAGATTGTCTATAACAGTGTTTCCCAACGTGGGGCCCATGCCCTACAATGGGCAATTTGATAATTGGGGGGAGGAGGGGGGGGGGGACAGTTAAAAAATTTACTCGAAGCTATTTTAACCCTCCTGCTCCGGGCCATTTAAATGCAATGTTACAGTTATATATATATATGAAATATGGTTTATTTTTTACAGTTCCAACTATGGGCTACAGAGAATCGAGAGGCTCTAGGCTCCAGTTACAATTCAGTCATGAACGGCGCAAACAGCGCCCTTGATAGCATCAAATGGGCACTGGAGGTTCAAGATGATATTCTTGATTATATCGACAGCATTGTACCTGTGGAAAGTACGACCCCTCCTCCAGTACAAACCACCACTGAAGGTCCAGACTCTGCCATCACTACCGTTATATCTGAAGTTCTTGTTGCCGCAGTAGTATTAATAAATTTGCTACGTTAATAAGCTGTTTTCGACTTCGGCATCGTATTATAATGTCGAGTAGTCTGTACTCTTCTATATATTATTTTCTACATATATTATATGTTATGCTTTATATACAAACTCTATAGATACTTTCTCCTTTCGGATTCTCAAGGTTGATTGGAAGAAATCGCTTTAAGTGATAAGTCCGCCTGTGTACATTTTGTACAAAAGTCGATTGCTTGTGTACCTCTGTCCCATTCGTGTTTCAACCGTGAAGCAGTTGTGTTTGCATAACTGTGTTTCGGTTTGAAGGGTGGGATATGGCGTGAATTTACTGGATACAGAGGAATAACACCTGAGTCCTCAGGAATGGCAACGCATGGGGGGTATCTTGGGCGAAACAGTATACTCTATTATGTCCATGGTACTGTTCATGTCTATAGGCAACGGTTACCACTTTCCATCAGGTGGGCCGTCAGCTTGTTTGCCATTCTAAGTTGTATATATATAAAAAAAAAACCCTAATTATCTTTATTAAAAGTGTATGTGTGTATGTATTATAAAATGTAAAGGATTGTTTGAACATGTTAATTTCTAGTATTTTATGCTATCTCTACCTTTTTTTAAAATACCAAATTTTATGGCTTATTTTTTACCAGCAAACCAAATATTTAAATAGTAAATGTCGATCATATGATATAAAAACAGTAATTTGTTTATAAAATTATATGCAAAGAAGACAAGTTGATTAGCCGAATATAAGATAACTTGTCGTTAAAAAGAGCCAAGTGCAATTTTGAGTTTTAATTTGATTGTTCAAGTTTAAGAAGATATTTTTTTAAATAGCATTATTTTTATTGCTTTAGCAGAAAGGAAAGCATGAAATTGCGCATTAAAATTATTTTAAAACATTATAAGTTCTTTTAAATAAATTGAAAGATTATTTAGAAATCTTGCCGTCTATTTATCATTTTCCTAATATTGAACTTGGCTCCTTTTTTCACATTTATATTTTTGATGGGATATACTATTTACGTTGAACTATTGGTAAATTAGAAATAGATTGAAAATGCTTATATTTCTGGCAAGCTCAGTCGAAGGGCAAATGTGAAGTCACATTCTTACAAATAGGTATTACGTTTTAACATTATAGTTTATTCATATATATATTATATATATATATATATATATATATAATAATCCTGTAGAGGCCGAATGTCTGTACATAGAAAAGAAGTTAGAAGCAAAATAGATTATATGGAGATTTTTTCAAAATTTTTGTTTCTCTGTCTGCTTGTTTGTTTGTACGGGCTAATCTCCGAAACTGTTAGACTGATTTCAATGAAATTTTGCACGGTAGTACCTTACATCCCCGATCAACATTTTAGATTTCATTTTAGATTTACTTTTCATTACGGAAAATTAAAGAGTTGAAGAATTAAAGAGTTCCTGTGGGATACTACACAACGTAATTAAGTAGTCATTTAAACCTAAGGCAAAGAGTGAGAACGACACGTCATCTGTTAATTTTGGTCCAGTATTCCCGGATATAATAAATAGGTAGCTATATACATCGATACATACTAAACAGGAATAACAAATACCACGCGGAAAAAGTCGCGTGGATTAGCTAGTTTCTAATAAAATATTTACTACTGATAAATTAATGGCAAAGAAGGAAGTAATTACGTGATAATACCTTGTTAATTAATAAGTATGCGACGTGATTATGATAAATAAAAAATTAAAAAAAAAAAAACAGTACTTTTATTTAGATAGTATTTAAAAAATTACATAATAAACACAATAACAAATAAATTACATAATAACATATATATATATATATATATATATATATATGACAAATCGATCAAAGTGTAGATCACACACAGATTAATGCCGGTTAAAAAAACTAAAAGATATGAGGATTCTTTTAACTAATATTAATTTATTAATTAATTTCATAATGATTGAGATGGTGATGATGAATCTATGAATTGCAGAAAGAATCATAAAAATCGATTTATAATTGATGAAGATATAGGCTAACATACGTACAAAATATACATACAAAATACAGTGTTATTGGGTCTCCCAGTTGGCGACCAGCATGTATACTAAAGTCAAATGAGTTAAGGGGCCGCCTGAAAATCAACGCTATATAGGTACATCTCGCTGGAGGTGTGCACATATAGTAAGGCGGCTCCTATTACCAGTAAAATGTACAGATTTTTTATTGCTATTGCTAATAAATAATCTATGGATCTATCTAATAAAATATGTTGACAAATCCAGAGGGAGACTTAGTATAAAAGTCGTTTGCTTGGGTACCTCTGTCCCATTCGTTTCAACCGTAAAGCAGTTGTTTGCATGGCTGTGTTTCGATTTGAAGGGTGGGATATGGCGTGAATTTACAGGGTACAGAGGGATAACACCTGAGTCCTCAGGAATGACAACACATGGGGGGTATCATGGGCGAAACAGTATACACTGTTATGTCCATTGCTCATGTCTATAGGCGACGGTTACCACTTTCCATCAGGTGGGCCGTCAGCTTGTTTACCATTCTAAGTTGTATAAATAAAAAAAAAAATAAAAAAAACTTATTCTTTTTGTATGTTCTTTAAAAATATGTAAAATTCAACATTCTAACAAAAAAAAAATAAAATATGTATTACTAAAAACAGTCAACCATGTTTTATTTGGTGATACTTCACATATTATTTACACCATTTTGGTAGTGTAGGTGGTTTAAACTGCTTTACTTTTCACCGGTCGTGGGTTCGATTTCCGTACGATACACACTTTAACATTTATATTCATCAGTACATCTATTTTTATTGCATCTAAGCGTTTTTCATGTAATATTTCTTGGTATTTATCAAGGGGCTGCTAATCACCTTTAACTATTCCTTCCCTTCATCAAATTACTTGTTCTATAGGTTGATCGAAGCATAACAAATCGTCATAGTCGTAGAATACTGACGGATCTATATATGTAATATTTGTCAGAGCCGTCAGTATTCTACGACTATGACGATATATTCTCTTTTAGCAATTAAGTTTATGTTAATGCATCTATAATAACATTTATGATACCAATACATAGATATATAACCTTATATCTTGTCTATCTGTATCATAAAGATAATGTATAGATAATGTTATTATCACCTTTCATTAATTCAACTATTGGGTTGTATATTATAATGTCATCAGGACAATGGTACGTACGTTTTTTATTTTTATTTTTTTATTGACAGTTGTTTTTAGTACGTAAGTTTTAGAAAAACTTGATTTGACCGTTGATATATAAAAAACAAAAGATGTGCGATGAAAAGATCTAAAAGTGTCATTGAAAATTAAATACATTCAGCTTAATTATGAACTTATTTGTAATTAAGCAGTGACAATTTTAATTCGAGATAGAACTCTCTGGAATTAAATTAAAAAAAAAAACCTAATCTTTGGGCGTTATACTACTAATCTCATTATTTCTATCTACCTTGTAGATTATAGATATAATACATATTTTATATACATATGTATGTAAATCTTGGATGTTTGTATATAGATTAGCATACAGCTGGAATCAATCAGGTGCAAGATCCAAGCTGTTAGTGGTTAGAGCTGCAAATATTTTAATTTATTATTATTATAGTCAATAATAATAATAATGACAAGCGTTATATAAACACCAATCGCTTGGTTTTCAAGCTAGAATATCTTGTGCTACAAGAAACCAGACAAAGAAGTTCTTAGGACATAACTCAGAACACCTGAATTAGAACTAATTCAGTTTTGGAGATAAGCTTGTCTTTGTGCACAATTATGTTTATTTTTCCATTTCAATAACCTTTTGTGTACAATAAAGAATAAAGAAAGAATAAAGAAAATTTATTTAATCAATATATTATATATATAAGTATTATATATGCGTCTCGCATTTATAATACTTTACTTTCTACCGTGAAGCAGTTGTGTTTGTATGGCTTTATTTCGGTTTGAAGAGTGGGATATGGCAGTGAATTTACAGGGTACAGAGGATTAACACCTGAGTCCTCAGGAATAGCAATGGGGGATATCATGGGCGAAAGAGCATACTCTGTTGTCTATGGTACTGTTCATGTCTATAGGCGACGGTTACCACTTTCCATCAGGTGGGCTTGTTTGCGATTCTAAGTTGCATAAAAAAAATATTTTAATGTGTACATTCTAATAGTATTCTATTAATATTTCCATTTGGTCCCAGCATAGAATAGGCGAACCCTTCCTTTGCCGTGTGAGTCGTAAGAGGCGAGTAAGGGAGGGCAGCAGCGTCTCTCTTAAAATATCTCCAAAGCTTAACTGCGGTTGCCAGCCAACACCTAAGCGTAGCAAATACTAGCAAAACTTTCCAAGAGGAAAGCTTATGTTTAGCAGTGGACAATTAAAAGCTGACATGATGACTTTAATATTATAGACTAAAAGTTTTATAACTGTTTTTTTTGTATACTGCGATAGAGATTATCGACAATAAGAATATAAAAGATAATGCAATTCGACTCACATAACAACATTTTAATGTCAAAATAACCGAATCTATATGTTACAGACAAATAATGTAATCGCCAATATACTAAATATTTGTAACGCACAAATCTGAAATACAATTTCGGACAGCATTACGTGCTGGCTAACAAATTTCTATTTGCATTTGTATGCACTGTACAATTAAAATCAGTTTTCCTTTTCTAGAATGGTCGAAGCTTACTCCTTTTAGTGGGCATCACCCTCATTCAGGGCATCTCTTCTAAAAGCCCAATATATTCGGTCGAAGAAGAATGGGAGACATTTAATGAACTGTTGAGGAATCCAGCATATCGGCTGCCGACAACCACCAGGCCTCTACACTATAAAGTAACCCTAGATCCCTATTTCGACGATGCTCCTACACCTGAAGAGAATTTTACCTTCAAAGGCACTGTTGTTATTGACTTGGAAGCCACACAAGATAATGTTACACAAATTGTTTTACACTGTAAGAATATGACTATCCATGATGTTAGTATAATAAATAACAATGAATCAAGTTTCGTAGAAATCGTTACCTCTAATAATCAAGATTCTTCGGACATTGAAGAATTTATTTGTGATCCTGTATATGACTTTTTAAGGATAGATCTGACTAAATCATTGCAATTAGATACTGTTTACAGTATTAACCTGAGCTTTACCGGTCACATTCAAACAGGCATGAGTGGTTTCTATAGAAGCTTCTACAATGACACATCTGGCAGGAGGTAAGAACTGTTATGTAAGTACATGTAAAATCAAATAAAATCCAGAAGGAGACTTTGTCGATGACAAAAGTCGATTGCTTGGGTACAGCTTGTTTACCATTCTAAGTTGTATAAAAAAAAACTTGACCAAATTTACTGTCTGACGTAGTCAACGATTGTGTTATCTTAATAACTCTTTTATATTTCAAGGAAATTTTTCAATAGATTTTGTTTATTTAATCTTTGTAATCTTTATTAATATTATAAATATGAAATTAAATTTAATATACACGAATTCAGAACATGTTTTTGGAAGACGTTTAAAAATGATACATCCTTCTCAGATGGATGGGAACGACACAATTTCAACCTGGCAATGCTCGGTTAGCATTCCCCTGCTATGATGAACCTGGCTTTAAGTCACACTTCGACATTACTATCATCAGAGCTGCTGACTTCAGTGAAACTATATCGAACATGCCTATAAAATTAACCGAAGAGTAAGTAAATTTTCTTTTACTTTTTTAACTTGATGAACAAACTACTTTTACTTTATATAATCATTGACTATAATGAACATAATCTACTTGTTTATAAAAAGTACTCTTTTGTGTAAATGTTGAAACATTTCCACAAAAGAGTACTTACTTATTATGCCTTACTTACGCATTTATGTTTACTAACTTTATTAAATAGAAACAAGCATCAATAAACTTGTTGTCATCAACTAACAACTAAACTTTTACCTGTGATATGGCAGGAGTAATAAAAAACTGATTATACTTACTAGATTATGTTTTTCCCCTCCTACTTTTTGATTTAAAATATTTTTCTTATTTAATGCACGTTTATTGGGTGTCTGCGTTTGTTTTGATCATTGTTAATAGTTTAAGTATGTTAATTAAATTCTAAATATTCTGCTCGCCTTTTATATCTTATTTGTATCAGATTTAATATACTCGTATTGTATACGTGCTATTGCCGTGCCTTAATAAATAAATAATAAAATACTTAAAAGTATATATATATATATATATATATATATATATATATATATATATATATATATATATATATATATATATATATATATATAGAATTTTATAATATTATTAATATTTTTTTTACTATTTTTATACTATTATTAATTTAGTAAAATTTAAATAATATCAGACCGAGAACTTATTAATGAGTGAGCATATCTAGTTTAAGTCGAATTTTCTCATTTGTTTGTTCAAAATTTAAACATTAATAAAAATTTACATTTTTAAATAAACATTTCATAAGAATCATATTCCAATTATTATAGTGTGATTAAATATTTTCTTTTGTTCTATCAAGCTTGATACGAAAACGTTATTTTTTATCTCAGTTTAATGATAATTTTCTTACAGTGCACATAATGGTAGAAAAGCTGATACTTTTTACACTACGCCATATACTTCGACATACTTGTTAGCTTTCATAGTATCTCATTACGATATGATCGCAACTAATGGTGACGATGATAGGCCATTCCACATCTATGCAAGAGACAACGCCGATGACACCGGAGATTGGTCCCTTAAAATCGGATTGAAGCTTCTTGATGCTATGGAAGAATTTACCAACATTTCTTATTATGATATGGCTGAGCACCTTGATATGAAACAAGCTGCAATTCCTGATTTCTCTGCCGGGGCTATGGAAAATTGGGGCCTTTTGACTTACAGGTATTACAAATTAAAATCATGAACACAACCATCATTCATAATCATTTGATCATGTCATAGTTTACAATATGTTATGTTATTTCCAAATAATTTTTTGACGATGTTTATATACATGCACGACGGGAATTTTACGAGTCATCATTCATTATTTTGGGATCATTTGTAAGTTTTCTTTAGGGGGCGTACGGTGTTTTGCGTCACATTTTGCACTTGTTGGAAACCACAAATATAGTAAGTTCATAACATTCCCGCGGTGCATGTACATAGGTATAATATGTTATGTTAGAACAATTAAATTTTCCCCAAAGAGGGTTGACGTCAGGCAGACGGCCGGTCGTAAAATTATAAGACAAGTCTTTTTGTAATATGGACACAAAACATATTACGCCGACCCCAAATAATAATTGGGATAAGGGTAGAAAGATAACGACAACAATTAACTTTCAATATTATCGCTCTAACAGTGGAAATGTTCTCTTAATAAATGAGATATTTTTTTTATAATGTACTTAATTTCAACCAACTGCAAAATTGTGAAAATCTGTTCAGAATCGGCAACTTATCGAGTCAGAAACATATGTACATTATACACGGGTTGTAAACATATAAAAAATATTAATAAAAATTATTCTTTTAATAAGTTATGTTGACATAATTCCCTTTCTTACAGAGAAGCGTTGATATTGTACGACCCACGCAATTCAAATCACTTCTATAAGCAGCGTGTAGCTAACATTGTATCCCACGAAATAACCCACATGTGGTTTGGAAACCTTGTCACTTGCGCCTGGTGGGACAACTTGTGGTTGAACGAGGGATTTGCTAGACATTACCAATATTACCTAACTGGATCTGTTAGTATAATTTTTTTAAGAGTTGCAATAGTTTCATTGACGTCAATAAATCATCATAAATGTATACATCGTGTGGAGAAGTAAAAATTCATTTTATTGTCAAAAACATAAAATTTAAACTGAGAGATTATTTACTGTCCAACCTTGGTAAAACAGCAGAATATTAATGTAAATAGTGATATTTGAGAACCGAATGTAAAGTATCACACACAAGCCCAAGAGGTTTAAGTGGTACTAAAAATCCAATTTTTTTAATGTATTTATGTATGATAATTAAATAAAAATAAAAAAAAATGTATATAAATTCGTTCTTTATCTGATAATTTATTTTATATATCAATATTAATTACATTGATGTATAAATAACCTAGATATATAATTAGTGATAAGTAATTAAAAAAATGTTAGAAAGAGAAATTGTGCAAACAAAGAAAATAAGTGAAGAAAAATTTGAAATAAAATATGCTAAGCCACAGGAGGCTTGGCTGACCAGGGCCAGCGGAGTATTAGTAGGTCAATATATGAAGAGAGACCTGTACCAAATAATAAAATTTTAATGAGTCGTTATGGCGAATGGTACTTTGAAATCTAAAATGTTATTTTGTACAGGAATAGTATAGGGTAATAAACATCTCATTATGCGTACGTGTGCATAGATTTCGACTATAACAACTACACATTTCATTTCATTAGTTAAGACAATTTGAACACCAGCTAAAATTTTCAGGTATGCAAAGATCTCGGATACGAAACTAGATTTATAGTGGAACAACTTCATCAGGCCATGTTTTCTGATTCTTTGGATAGTGCCCATCCTCTTACTAATCCGGCTGTGAATAGTCCTTCATCCGTGAGTGGTCATTTCTCCACAATAACCTACGCCAAGGGAGCATGTATCATCCGAATGACACGACACTTATTGGGAGAGGACACTTTCAGAGACGGTCTTCGAATCTATCTAAAAAGAAGGTAACAATAACTAATTTTTGACAGAGGCAGTCTTTGTACAAATTTATCTTGTATGACATCGACTTGATGCGTAAAATTATGATTATGAAGTTAAAAGATATAAAGGCATAATATATTTGTTCTAAGAATGGCAATGCTAAAAGGCTTTTATGCATCACAATTGATAAGATTCTGTGATATTCATAGTGCTATTTATATCTATAGGTAAATATTACAACTTTGTGTCAGGCGGGCCATCAGCTTGTTATTCTATTTTATTTTAATGAAATCTGTTATAGTGGTAAAACACGGTCTATTATTAAATTGTTATAACAAGATTCTCTTGAATTAACAATTATAACACTTTTTAACTTAATATATGCGGAAAAAGCGAAGATACCTATTAGTGTCTATACAGATATAATGATTTTTATGATTGTACAGGCAATTTGATGTAGCTGAACCCCATCATCTGTTCGAGGCCTTAGACGAAGTTGCTGCCGAAGATGGCGCTTTGTTGGTTTACAATGGTATTACTATTGACGAGTATTTCAGAACTTGGACTGAGAAGGGTGGCTATCCTTTGTTGACTGTTGTGGTTGATCAACGCACTGGACTTATGACGGTTACACAGGTAAACTAATGTTATATTCAGTAACATTCCCCAAATTTCCCAATCAGGGGGCATATTACAAACTTTTAGAAACTTGACAAACTTAGGTGTCGTAACTGCAAACTGACTTGTTTTGTTTTTGTTTTTATTCGTAGTATCGATTAAAATATCAACTTAATTTAATCTGTAAAATTGTTAAGCTTAAGTTCCTTTAACTTTTACCAAATTTCTTTTGTACTCTTAATAAATTTAGTTTTTACAATGACAATAAAATTGTTGACATCAAAAAGTCTATACATTTGTTTTTTTTTTTTCACAAAAATAAATTAGAGAGCTTTAGAAATATGGAAAAAATTAATAAGAGATATAACATTGAAGTAAGGCCTACTAATTGTAAAAATATAGAGGAATTGAACTCTCTACGAATGTCTACTAAAAAGGGGTTAAAAAGAAATATATTTTTAGGCCCGTTGGGAAAGAGAAACAGGCACTAGTAGCCGACCTTCTCAATGGCACATACCTATAACGTGGACAAGAGGTAATCAGCCAGATTTTGAGGACTTGAAGCCATCACAAATCATCACTGAACAAGCCACTGTCATCGACAGAGGAACAACTGGTTTAGAGTGGGTCATATTTAACAAACAGGAAACTGGTTAGTAACTGAAAAAAATACTTTTTTTTCAACTTTAATTTGTATAAAAGCCACCTGTTTGTGTACGTTGGTTCCACTTGTGTTTCCTCTATTATGTAATGTACTTATTTGGATGTACTTCTGTTTAAAGGTAAACTTATGACAGGATACGGAAGTATAATAATTTAAATTTCAGAAATAGTAAAATATGAGTACCTGTCCAATCACAGTATATTCTGTAACGTTTTATGTCTATAGACGATGGTTACAATTTTCAATCAATTATGCTGTCAGATTAATTGTTATTTCAAGTTACATGGGAACAAAAAGGAGAGACTCAATGACTTTTATATTGTCATTGGTAATTCAGATCATGGATAGAGCTAGAATTAGTTACTTATAAATTGGCGTTTGCACAATTATATTTGTTATTTCAGGTTTCTATAGAGTAAATTATGATAACACTAATTGGGCATTGCTGACGAGAGCGTTGCGATCTAAAGAGAGAACTGTAATCCACGAATACAATCGTGCTATGGTAAATATACTATATAATATGGCATGGCATGACGTAGTTATATTTAAACTTTTGCATTTTTTACGCATATTTAAATTCATTTTCGAGACTTGACTGTTGAAGTCATTTACCTAGGTACCTATGTTTATCACGTGTGCGGAAGGCCATTTCCCTAAATGCTCAGAGACATCAGCGTGATAAGTATTCTGTAAAGCCTATAGTGCTGTTGTACTATGGATAACATTTGCCGCAAGATTGTTTGTCAATTTAAGACAATTTACACACAGCGGTTTCCTCACCTTGTCTCTACGACTGAGGGCAAGGAAAGCGGGAACTGCAACGATGCGTGATTAATGTGTGAAAGAATACGGTCCAGTGTCTGAAGTGTCTAAAACATTTTCTATTCCATTTTTATGATACTTTTATAGATTGTCGACGACCTATTCGCATTGGCTAGAGCAGGCACGTTGAGGTACGATAGAGCCTTCAACGTCCTCTCTTTCTTACAATTTGAAGATCAGTACGCTCCGTGGATTGCTGCTATTAGTGGATTCAACTTCTTGATCAGAAGACTCGCAAGTGATGCGGATAGCCTGAGTAAGCTCTACGTACGTATTATAATTATAATCAGCATTATTACAATAAAGTTTGGATACTATTAACTTCCAATCAATCCTTACTAGAGGGAGACTTTGAACAAAAGTCGATTGCTTGGGTACCTCTGTCCCATTCGTGTTTCAACCGTGAAGCAGTTATGTTTGCATGGCTGTGTTTCGGTTTGAAGGGTGGGATATGGCGTGAATTTACTGGGTACAGAGGAATAACACCTGAGTCCTCAGGAATAGCAACGCATGGGGGGTATCATGGGCGAAACAGTATACTCTGTTATATCCATGGTACTGCTCATGTCTATAGGCGACGGTTACCACTTTCTATCAGGTGGACCGTCCGCTTGTTTGCCATTCTGAGTTGTATAAAAAAAAATCCTATTTCTCTTTTATATGTCTAATTGCTGTGTTGACTCATCTACGTACTCGAAGTAAGATAAAAAAAAATACACGTAGCTACTATGCTTTTCACCATAGAGATGGTATACTAGAGAGTATAACGTATATTTAAATTTTAAGATATGACAGGGCAACCAACCCTGTTAAAGAAATTAAGAGATTTTTGTAAAGAATGAAAGTGAAAAGGTAATCCTGTCTATGCTATTGGTATACACTGGTGAGGTGAGGTGTCTAGTGGATGATGATAGGCGAGGAAATTAGATCAGTTTTTCTATTATGACTAATTCTTTAAGATACTATAGAGACTATACAACAGAATTAATGGATAATGGCTACCAAGTTAATGTGTTATACACTGATTATTCCAAGGCCTTCGACAAAATATCACATTTAATACTTGTTCAGAAGCGTGAGAGATTGGGTATTCACGAAGATTTACTTCAGTGGATTCATTCATATCTTATGAATAGGAGTCAGGCTGTTGTTATTAAGAGATTTTGTTCTTCTTTCATCCCTGTTACGTCAGATGTTCCTCAGGGCTCCCACCTAGGGCCCCTCTTCTCCAATTTATATATTAATGATATTATAGTTGCAACAGAATACTCAAATTTTATAATTTACTATATATATATATATAAAGACTATTAAATCCAAATCTGATTATTTATTACTTCAAAATGACCTTAATAACTTAGTAACTTATTGTGAATCTAACTATTCATAATTAAATACAAAAAGATGCAGTATTATTACTTATTCTAGAAAAAACATTATGTCTGAGTATTTCATAAATGGTGAACAATTGGATCGTGTTTCAGAAGTCAAGGGTTTGGGTGTTGTTCTTGATTCCAAGATGACATATGCAAGTCATATTAATGACATAACTACGAGAGCATATCGAATGTTGAGTTTTGTGCTCCGCATTGGTAGAGAACTTAATCATTGTTCCACGCTTACTTTATTATATAATAGTTTTGTAAGAACAATTTTGGAGCTTCTAGCTTCAGCTTCTACTATTTGGAATCCTTGGCAAAACAACGTTTGCGGGGTCAGCTAGTATATTTATATAAATATGATAGAGAAAATTCAGGCTAAATTTATTAAATATCTCGGTTTATAGTCCACATTGCAAATCTATTAAAGAAAATTTTTTGAGTATGTCTTTATGTAAACGACGTTCTGAGAGAGATCAAGTATTTCTATACAAAATTATGAATAATCTTATTGAATTAGCTTTTTTGTTGAGTAATGTTAATATAAGGTGTTTATTGTAAAAACTTCATTGATTTATGTGTGTGTATGTGTGTGTGTGGCTGTGTTTACTGTTATATGTTTTAAGTATTATATGTTTCCCTATTAAAGTAAAGCAAAAAATAAAATAAAATAATTTTAGACCTTATCGACCAAAAAGTTGAATAGCGAATGTTGTGGTAGTTCTTTATTAATAATTTATCCTTCAATAAACAGGAACTAATTGATAAGGATCTCAGTGAAGCAGTTGTTCAACGTCTTGGATACCAAGAACCCGAGAACGGCATGTACATGGATGACTTGTTAAGAATGTATGTTATGAGGTTCCTTTGTAATATTGGACAAGAAGGCTGTGTAAATGTGGCTAGAAGTAACTTTTATGACTGGATACAGGGAGAATTGTAAGTACTATTTCTTTTTTCGTCTCGTACATATACGTACATGCTTGCGTATTACACGCTTACACTCTTATGCAATGTATCTGAATGTGAGATAATGGAGTAAAATCTAACAGTAATTTAATGCAATATACCTTACCAAGTCGACCTCTATGCGGTTCACTCTGGAAAACATCTAGGTAAATTCTTGTGAAGTAACTAGCTGATCTGCTTCCATCCTCACTATTATGCTGTACTGGTACACAGGTGGAGCATCCCATTTATACCGGTTAAAAAAAAGTGTGGTAACGTGTGAAATGTTTCTTTTTTCGCGATAACAGCGTAAACACATTAATGCACAAAAGGAGTCCACAATTTCATATAATTTTGATAAAAAAAAATGATAAAAGATAATTCACGTTAGTAGAAACACTAGGTTGTTCTTTACGCATAATAAACGAATTACAATTTAATTATTACATTCTTTATAGCATTCCTGCAAACATGCGTCCGTGGGTGTATTGCGAAGGGTTAAGGCAAGGTTCTAGTGAAGACTTCGATATCTTTTGGGAGCGCTACCTCACTACAGATCTTGCTAGCGAAAAAGCCGTGATGTTAGAGACAGCAGGGTGTACCACAAATAAGAGTAGTTTGGAGAAATTCCTTACAGCAATTGTCACTGATGACGATGCTATCAGACCTCAAGATTATACGACAGCTTACAACAGCGCAGTTTCAGGAAATGAAAACAATACTTTGTTAGTGTTTGAATGGCTCAAACAAAATTATGAAGATGTTAATAATACGTAAGTTAATTCAGATATTTTTAATGTCTATTCTAAATAAGCAAATCAATATTGTTTTTTATTAAAATGTTAAGGAAGAAGCTTATAAACCACCAAAATCTATAAGTTATGAAGTCATCTAAAAATATGAAGAGTATCATAGACGTCATCTATGATGTCTCTCATACGTTATTATTCCTGAGGATCATGGAAAATATAGTTATAAGCTTAATTTTTAGGATAAAGTAATAAGAAATGTCATTTATACCCATTATTAATTTAACTATATAGATATAAGATATTGACTATTTATTTATTTATTTAACTCTTTATTGCACCATAAATAAAAATATACAATGACAAGTGAATAATTCAAGTGAAATACAGTAACATAAATACAGATTGAAATATACACATAAAGGTACAAAAGGCGGTCTTATCGCTAGGGCAATCTCTTACAGACAACCTTTAGTTAAAGGAGAACAGATAGAAAGGGGCAGGTGGCGCAAGAGTGAATTAATAATTTTTCGTGCATAAAATACAAAAACATGTAATGCAAATTAAAATATCAAATACATATAATTTATTAAACTACTTACTATACTATAATAATATATATATATATATATATATATATATATATATATATATATATATATATATATATATGACATACATACAAAATACATAAACATACACATATAGATACATACATAGCACACACAAGAAAATATGACAAATCTAGTCCAAAAATTACAAAGGACTAAATGGATGTGATAAAAATAGTCTTCTCATAGTAAAAACAATAAATGATACATCATAGCTATACTTTTTTTTATGATATTTAGAATAGCATGGACATTACAGAATACACTATTTGTTTGTAGTAGTTGCTGTTCTTGACGACTATGATATTATGCTTCCTTACTCAGCAATCTCACTGCCATATGCCTCATATTGTTTTTTAATCTTTATTGACCACATTATAAAAATGTTTAGTACAAAGCGCGGACTTAATGCTATATAAGATTCTCTCCCAGTTAACATTTGGCATAACAGAAATGTAATTATGCGGTGAAGGTGAGGAACTACTGCAAATTATGATCATATAAATATACTTACATTTAAATATCTTATTGTCTTGTTTCCAATACTTAACACATCATCAATTTTGACTTGTTTGTTTTTTAATAGGTTTTTATAAATATTTGTTTAGAATACGTGATTATTAGTAAATTAGATTAGATCATTGAAAACAAAAATATATATTCGGTCAATTTAGCCGTTTCTGTTTCTTATTATTATTATTTATAACATTTCATTATATGCTAATTATTAATATTACTTCAGTTTACCTACATAAATTAAATTATTCTCTTCATTCAGATTTGGAAGCTTAACGTCACCTTTGAACACAATTGCAAACCGTCTGTTGTCACTAGAGGACATAGCTGAGGTACGTATCATCAATAAATTTATTATTATTATCTATAATCTGTGTTATTTATTATATTTGATACTAACTATATGGGACAATTTTTAAAACTATCATTTGTAATTGTAGTGTACATTAGTATCCGCTTTGGTATCAGAATATTTATTTACAAAAATTTTGTATCCGTACTCAAATGATACAAAAATGATCAGATGGATTGTGATGAATTTGATACTCATTACGTACTACCATAATATTCATTAAAAATATAAAAATCTTAACGCATATAAGTAAATAGTTCTTAAATTGGGCTTACCGAAAATCGAACACGGGACCTTATCTACATAAGGCGACGATGGCGACGGCGAATCCACTACCTCGTCAAAGCGACGTAAGGCTGTTCTGATTGATGAATAATTTCTTTACAGTTCGAGAGTTGGCTGGATGAAAACAAGGATGTTATCGGTGAATCCGTGTACAACAATGTGAAAGGAACTCTAGGAACTGTGAAATCTAATTTAGAATGGACCTCTGTAAGGCTACCGGAATTGGTGCGATACTTTGAAATAGGCTATGATGAAGATATTATTGATGAAATAGATAGTAGTGAAGAAGACGAAGATGACAGCAGTGAAGGAACTAGCCCTGAAGAAAGCGAGGAAGATGAGGGCCCTGATTCAGCTAACATTTCCACGTTGAGTGCCATCACACTTGTTGTTACTCTCTTTATCAACTTTCTTAATTTAACATAAGAAATATTACAATAAAAATATCAGTAACATAATTTTATAAAAAGCATTTTTAAACATAAAATTAAAATTGTAAATTCATAATAAAAATATATTATTTTTTAATATGTTTATTTTCAACATAGTTAATCTAGTAATAACGACTCATTATCTGGCTTTGTCAAACAAAATACCGCACACGTTACTAGCTAATAATGTAGCTTTTTATAGGGCTGCTGGATTCCATTACTAAAAATCCTTTACCCCTACCATAACTATATTTGTCTTAGGATAAGGAGAAGAGTGAGGTGAGATTTTAATGGAGAGTTTAATTTCAATAGGAATCCATTTTACTTTTTGAAAGAAAGAAAGAAAAGCTCTATTGACAACCAATTGCATTTACAAAATAAAATAGAAATAAAAAAGAATAATAACTTGTAACAACAAGTTACCAACGTGGCCAAAGCTCAGTATTATGCTATGACCGTTTATTTACTGTTACAGCGCTGTTATTCTGTGCAAGGCGCACAATGACTTCATGGATGACTACGAGGTACTTTACAGTGCTAACTTAATAAACAAAATATAAATAAAATAATGATATATACAAGTGAAATTTCTAAAGTTATGTTACAGACACGATATTTTGGTGGAAATGACGAGTTTTCTCGAACAGAAAGTGGCCGATTTATACGTATTTATCGAAGACTAAACAAGGGGGTGATAAAATCCGCTTTATATGAATCATAGTCTTATTAATTTTATATAATTTTCTTTCATGATGATAACGTAATCCTTACTAATATATAAAACTAGCTGACTCGGCAAACTTTGTTTTACCATATATATTATTTCGAAAACAAGGCATGATACTTTCTTGTACTACAATTGTTATGTTCAATTGCCACTTTGCAACCCTACTGCGGCATATAAAAATCGCTATTAAAAAACGGGTTGATCGTAAAAGCATGAAAATTTGAATTTGTATATATTTTTCAATGCTAAATTATAACAGAATTAAAATAAAAAATTTCGTCAAAAAACGAAAAAAAAATATTTAGGGGTAGGTCACCCTTATAATTGAGGGTATGAAAAATAGATGTTGGCCGATTCTCAGATCTACTCGATATGCACACAAAATTTCGTAAAAATCGGTAAAGTCGTTTCAGAGGAGTTTGGTAACAAACACCGCGACACCAGAATTTTATATATTAGAGATAAATCCTGTGGATTCAGTATATAAAGTATAAATGAATGTGTGCGTGCGGGCGTGCATGCGGGCGTGCGTGCGTGCGTACGTGCGTGCAAGCATAACATGCGTAAAGACTAGCATGGACATAAGTATACAATCATTATCATTATCATCATCATCATCATGTCAGTCGTAACCTGTTCACTGCTGAACATAGGCCTCCCTCATAAGGTGGAATTTGTAGTAGTTGCCAGGCTTAGCAGGCAGACCAATCAATAAGTATATTCTTTAAGATAAAAAAAAATCCAAATAGGTTTAGTACCCACGGAGTTATGAAGTTACAAACATAAAAAAACAACCGAGTTGCGGAACTCCTTGTTTTTGAAACAGTTGAAAATCTTCTGTCCGAGACAAATCTAAAAGGACTTTATTTTGTCTGCTTGCCCCAAATCGATATATCTTAATAATATGTGAAATAGATTAGATAACGAATTAGACTTCGTTTTTTTTATAATAAATACTTTATTTGATAAACAAATACCAATGATTATAACGAAACTTTGGATGGATGTTGCAAAGACATTTGAAGACTCACTACATATAAACTTAATATGTTATCTACCAAATCGTGTATACTAAGTCTACGTTAATAGATAATATTTGATATGAATGACTAGGGCGCCGTTTGTCTGTCGTTTGTCGTTAGTATGGCAAGAAATGTAGGAGTCAAAGGTCTGCTACCTTTACCCCCATGCCCCGATCTTCTATTGACTAAGTCTATGTTGTCTAATTCGTGTATTTATGTGGGTTTGATCTCCATATAAAGCATATATAATATTTGTATTCAGGGGGAAAGGAATTGTTACTAATGGGGTTTAACGACCCTATTTCTAGTAATATACCGTAACAGGTCGACCTTCGCGCGGTTCCCACTGATCGTAGTTAATTATCGATGAATTCATCATGATGAGCCAACAAACCACTGACTTTCATCCACAGTCTTCCTTGATGGTCCACGCCAGCGTATAGCGATAACGCAGGCGGGGTTACTATTTCATCTTCATCAATAAAAAATATTTGTATCCTTGTGTATGTCGTTTTGTATTAATTTAGATGTTTTTCTATGTATAATAATTATTATTATACATAGAAAAACATATGAATAAAGTAAATAAATAAATAGGCACTATTTATCAGTCGCTTAGTATCCAAGCTCTGCTTAGTTTGGAACTATACAGCTAATTTGAAAGCTATAATATTTATACAACATTTATTTATATGTGGACATTGCAAATTTTGATATCGACGTTATAAAATATGAAGTGTAAATAAAATTTAAATATAGTACCAGTAACGCCATCTAGTCGTTAGCGATGATATTTAATTTAATTGACAAATTAATTAATGTATTCCTTCGGTCATTTAATATTTTGAATTGTTAGTAAAACCAACCTCATTGCTAGCAATTTACTCTATTGGATCGGCCTCTACGCGATCCTCCCTGGAAACCATTAATTTCTAAGTAATGCACACAGAACGATACTTGTAACGCCATCTAGTGGCTATCTACTAATATTCGAAAAGACAGTGCTCTATTGATAAAAATGATCTAATTTTCGATAGGATTTACTTCCTTGTAGCTTCCTCATTAATTTTCTTCAAATTATAAAATACAAGGCATTTAGCTTATGAATAAGGAAAATAAAATTTTAATTAACTATATCGAAGGAAATTATCATTTATTAAATTAATAAAGCTGGCAATTGGTGGTGGAATTTACGTCTTAGCACTATAATAAAAAGGTTCAAATTAGAGTTATAGAAATTTAATACATTCCGTATCAATTTATACACTCGTATCTATGAATGTACCTATGTTAATTTTTATACCAATTCACGATTGTTTGTCGTCTATCGATAATTTCAGATATTGCTATATTATTATCTTATGAACTTAATCAAATTGTTATAGTGATAAAGGGTTTAAATAATGATTATTATACGAAATACAGAATTATTCGGGCTGCAGTCGTGTAGGTGACGTTGCGTGGAACATTGTAGGTAAGTGGATATTTAAATAGAATTATTTAAACAAAATTATATCTTATCTACACATCTTAATGTTCAAAATAGATAACATCCTAAATAGGGTAATGTGTTAAAATATATCGGAAAATATCCTATTAATAATAAATGTCGTTTGGCCCCTGCACAGAATGGGCCACTCTTTCCTTTGCCATGGGTGTCGTAAGAGCCGACTAACGGGACATAATGGTCGAGGGATCGGCAGTAGCATTATATCTATATATGTATATATTGTGTGCGTACGAGGCTACGTCCGTCGTCCGTACGTCCCTAGATGGTTTGTGAAACAGTTTTGTCCATTTCTCTATTTTCCTGCACGAAACAGTGTAAAGTATTCTATTTGTTGATGTATATACTACCCATTTAGCAAATTTGTGTCAAGTTTATGCGTGATTGTGCAATAAACATACAAATAAACATACTTCTAATATTATTTCTTCCATTTCTACTTTCATTACCAATATTACAAATATTAATAGGAAGTACGATATACGATACCTTTAAGACAGAATTTAAAGTGCAAATCCCTGATTTCGGTTATCAAATTGTCATTAATTAATCGATTAAAATCGTCCATGACTAATGATTTTTTTTTTATCTTATGAAATTATCTTATCGACGATCGATATGACGAACTCCTTCGAAGGGTAAAATGCTTTATGCTATTTTACAGATTAATTTTCTTTTTCAATTATTAGTAAAAATATTTTTGAATTAATAGATTTAATAGTAAACTGTTTTTAAAACCACACTATTAATTGTGTGATTGTTTAAAAATTTACTTCTTATGCCACTGTGTTAGGTTGACTGGAAGGGATTTCTTTTAAAAATACGGTGAACTACTCTTGAAATTAATTTCAATAAATCGATAGATAAATAGATATTCTTTATTGTTTCCTCCAAAATATTACAACAGTAAACCTATTATAAATATAAACAATTACAAGAAATAATCACAATGAGAAAACAATGAGTGACCTTATCGCTAAGAGCGATCTCTTCCAGGCAACCTTTGGATGGAAAGGAGTAATAGTAACTGTTTAATTGGAGGCACGATGATGATCCTAATTATTAGTAAATATGGAGATTTAATACATGTAATTATGTTAATATATATCCCTACTCACTATTATATACATATATATATATACATACACACATACATACACATATATACACACATATATACATATACATACATATGCATACATCGCACTCTCCAATTGCAACACTAGCGACATAATTTTTTTTTATTCTACTTAGAATGGCAAACAGGCTGACGGCCCACCTGATGGAAAGTGATAACCGTCGCCTATAGACATGCAGTACCATGAACATAACAGAGTATACTGTTTCGCCCATGATACCCCCCATGCGTTGCCATTCCTGAGGACTCAGGTGTTATTCCTCTGTACACTGTAAATTCACGCCATATACCCTTCAAACCGAAACACAGCCATGTAGACACAACTGCTTTACGAATTGGACAGAGTTACCCAAGCAATCGACTTTTGTACAAAGTCTCCCTCTGGTAAAATAATATATCCATCAATAATGGTTCCATATTGTTCTGATAAATGCGTATTAGTGTAACTTGAGGGAGGGAGGGGGGTTTCTTCAGGGTCGGCAACGCGTGCGTAATACCTCTGGTATTGCAGGCGTTCATAGGCTACGGTAACCGCTTGCCATCAGGTGGGCAGTATGCTTGTTTGCCACCTCAGTGGTATAAAAAAAAAACTTGGCAGTATAAACTATTGTAAACTGATTCTAATCATAATTTAAATTCTTAACTATTATTTCATGAGTGCAGTATAAAATTGAATAGTATGGATAGATATTGATAATTGGGTTCAAGCGTAGACGCGAAGTTCACCTTTGCGTACATTGTTTTTAATCGTTTTTATTGCTGTATGTTTTAGTGCAATAAAGAATATATAAAATACTAGCTGACTCGGCAAACGTTGTTTTACCATATACATTATTTCGAGAACTCATATGAAAATTTATCCTACTACAATTATTATACTAGATTGCTAACATGTAACCCTATTTTTATGTGCCGCACATAAAAATCGCGATTAAAAAACAGGGGTTGATTGTAAAAGCGTGAAAATTTTAATTCGTATGTATTTTTCAATGCTAAGTCATAATAAAATAAAAATAAATAAAATTGTCGAAAAAAAAAATAAGAAAAAAATATTCAGGAGTAGGTCACCCTTATCATTGAGGGGTATGAAAAATAGTTGGCCGATTCTCTGACCTACCCGATATGCACGCAAAATTTCATAAAAATCGGTAAAGCCGTTACGGAGGAGTTTGGTAACAAACACCGCGACATGAGAATTTTATATACTCGTATTAGATATTTATGAGTAGTAAATGATTTGGCCGTGCGGTCCCGGCATAGAATAGGCCACCCCAGCTTTTCCTGTGGGTGTCGTAAGAGGCGACTAAGGGAGAGCGAGAGATGGACAGCAGCGTTTCTCTTCAGCTCTAAAAGTTTGACTGCTGTTACCAATCCGCCTGTCAAGCATAGCAGCTACTAGCAAAACTCCAAAACCCCCAAGGCTGATTTGATGATGATGATGATGATGAAAGTAACGATTCACTAGTCTTTACCCGCGACTTGGTTCGCGTGACCGGGATATATTCACTGATCGGGGGGGAAAAGAAGCTGTTCTTCTCCATCCTATATACAATATGCATACTATTTCATAGTAATTGGTCAACCCGTTGAAGTCATGATATCTATTTACAATATAAAGGAAAAGTTAGTTATATCTATAAAATTATACTAGTTACTAGCTGTGTACTGCGGTTCCGCTCACGTGAATTAAGTATCTAGAGTCGGGTTAAATACATTAATTATAATATTGTATGTTAGCACACTAGGTTTATAACATTGATTTGGCTTTTGCTGTTATAATGTTGTAATTATTTTTAATGAATAAATAAATAAATAAAGTATCCTATATGCTAAGCTAGGATACAACCTACCTGTGTACCAAATTTCATTTAAATCTGTTCAGCAGTTTTTGCACTAAAAAGTAACAAAACTGTTATCTATCCATCGTTACAAACTTTCAAATTTCTTCACATTTCACATTTATCAATATAATAAATATATCTTTTATTCCAGGTTCCACTATGTTGTTCCTAGTCCTTCTATGCACCCTTGTGGGGTCCATTTCAGCTATTCCACCCCATCTTGAAGATGGATTGGGGTCTGATTTCGAATATTATAATACTAATCTGGATAATCCGCAGTATCGTTTAAAAGATAATGTTTATCCTATTGAAGTATTCGTCGATCTTGACGTCTATTTGAAAGAGGCTAAATTTGATGGAGTCGTCAAGATTTTGGTCGAGGTAATAAAACTTATTTTTTTTTTACAAGCTTTTATTTAACACTCAGGTTAGGGAATCTTTTTGCCGAGGCTTGAGAGACTACAGCATGGGGCTCTTCGAAAAGGGCGTATTAAATTTATTATTATTTTATTAAAAATATTATAAATTTTTGTTTGCACAAATAAAATCTGTTATTGGCTGTATTTATAAGTTGTGTTTTTAAGAGCTGTGGATTTTTGTATAAAATGAATAAATAAATAAAAAAAAAAGCTACCTAAAGGTCGACAATGTGCGCGTGACATCTCTCGTGTTACAGGCGTTCATATGCAACGGTAACCCCGTTTACCATTAAACGGGCAGTATGCTTGTTTCACGCGATTGTTGCATAAAATCTTACTAAAACAAGAAAATTGTAACTAGAGGATGTCTGTACATGGGAGATATTTAAGAAAAATAATACAAGGGGTCTTAATAATAAGCCAACATAATATTTATTATAAATTTTGTCTGTCTGATTGTCTGTATGTCTGTATATTTATGCCACTATCACGTAAACCCTATTGTTCTAAATTGTATGAAGTTCTCGCAATTGTAATACCGAAGAATTACCTTAAGATCTGGTCATATATAATGTAACTTAAAACATTAACCAAAAGTGATTAAAAACATTGTTTTTTTTTTTATTTTGAAATCCACATCTCTGGTTTTCCTTTAAAACGCATAAATCTTTCGCCTTTTACTAAATATTTCCGTGGAGGGGAACACTCAGTGTCATCATGAGTCTTACTCAATTTTTTGATAGCTCTGCTTCGGCAGGGTTCGAAATAGAAGACACCACGCCGGCATACACAGACCAACAGTGTATGCCGGCTGCAAATTCAGCGACCCGGAGGTTGTCGCTTCCGGAGTTGAAGCCGGGGTAATGGGGTACGCCCCGAGGCCCCTACCTCACCCGCCCCCCCTACACATCATCTGGCGGGCAAAGAGAAGAAAGTTGTAGTTGTTGGAATCCACACGTATGAATAAGCAGACAAATGCTACTTTAGAACAGTCTTATATTTTTTTTAACATTCACTAGCGTACGATTGTGTTGTATCAACATATTTGGCATTGTTATGTTAGTTTACGAGTATAGTTAGTACAATATAATATTGTGGTGCCATCGAGCAAATCCGACGCAGTTTTTTTTTTATTTTTTTTTATTCTGTGTTTTCTGTCGCTATTTTTCTTGCGACAACCTTCTTGTCTGTATTTGTTATAACTGTGTATAAAACTGAGGATTTTTTTTTTTTTTAATATAATCCGACGCAGTTGTCTAATTGAAATTGCTTAGATACAATGCAGTATATTTTCTACTTTATTATCAATATATATAATAAAATCGTAACTGCTCGTTGTCTGTACATGGAAGATATATAAGAAAAACTATTATAGGGGGGGGGGGGGGGGGTTTATGAAAATTAACTGTACATTTTATAAACTATGTTTTTTCTTTTTATACAACTTATTTTACTTCTATATTAAAAAAAAAAACACAGCTATGCAAACACAACTGCTTCACGGCAGAAACACGAATGAGACAGATCCAAGCAATCGACTTTTGTACAAAGTCTCCCTCTGGTACGATACCTATTTATGCCATAATCATTTCAGGTACGCGAAGAAAATATAACGCAAATTGTGTTACATCAAAAGGTAGTCAGAATCCTGTCAGTGGACGTTTTGAACTCAGCAAACCAACCGGTTCAGTTGCAAGTCCCCAACATGTTTACAACTGACGATTATTACGAACTATTACTGATTAACGTCGCCAATCCGTTGGCTATTGGACAGTACACTATCATCGTGAACTACCTTGGCCAGATCAACACCAACCCCTTGGACAGAGGTTTCTACAGGGGATATTATTTCTACAACGACGAAACTCAGTAAGTGCAGTAGAAAGTGGCAATCAAAAATTTGGTCGAGTTAGGTTCGTAAAAGTAATATCGTTAAAATTTTTCTGTTTTTTTTTTTCCTATTTCGTTTGGGGTTGGCGTTGAAAAAAGTAACATGACAACATATTATTTTATTATGAGAAACAAATCGGAAATTATTGAATACCTTTGTATTTGGGGGGAAAGGGATTGTTAGTAATGGAGACTGAGAATGCTATTGCTAGCAATATACCCAACCAGGTAGACCTCCTCGCGGTTCCACCTGGAAACTATCATGGTTAATTCCTGATGAATTCATCATGGTGGGCTAACTGGCCTGTTTTCATTCTCATCTATCGCCCTTCACTGGTGCTCCGCCAGCGTATCCCGTTAACGCAGGCGGGGTCACCATACCATTATCACACATAAAAAAAATACCTTTGTATTTAATAATTATAATAATTAAAATCATAATTATTATTTTTTAAATTTATATAATATAATATTATTATTATACTTCATTCACGGCTAAGTTTGCAGGTTTTCTCAAACAACCCGTCTCAAAAACAGTTGGAAAAAAGGAAGCTGAGGCCACAACCCCTTTTATTGCATATGTGTATGCAAATATGCATACACACATACATTACTTATACATATATTACATATATATTGCTTTTATTTTTCATAACTCCGTATGTGTGTGTGTCGGTAGCGGTGTGATGCGGTGCATCTTTTAGGAGTTTAGTGCAATTATTGTATTTCCTAGTGCTTTATATATTATGGCTGCTTATTTTTGTAATATACCTATATTGATGTTCGCATATAGTTACCGCAATCTTATTATTAATATTATACAATAGTATTAATAATTTTTTTTTAAATGGATGATAATGGAATGGTAACCCCACCCGCGCTATCGGTATACACCGGCGGGGCACCAGTGAAGGATGATAGGTGAGGATGAAGCAGGTCAGTTAGCCCATCGTGACGAATTCAACAAGAATTGTTCACGATGGTTTCCAGGGGTAACCACGTAGAGGTCGACCTAATAAGGCATATTGCTAGCAATGGGGCTGTCAAACTCCATTGCTTACAATCCCTTTCCCCCCTAATAATTATATTAAGACGCTCATAGCAGATAACTTGTTGCTGCACATTAAACTTATTTTCTCTTGCCTGCTTCAATGAATAGACATTTACAAGGCAAAGGTTAATAAGATACTTATAAGCTTGCAGGTTCTATATTTGACTTTTACATCATTTTCCATTAGGCGAGATCGGAGTTAATCTCCGGTGATTTAAATAAGTTAAAAAACAAAAAAAAAAACATATTACTGGGATAATTTTTAAGTTACGTGTATTCAAATTTAAAATTTTCAAACGGTAACGGGTTTATGTTTTATTATTATTATTATTCTATTGGTTTTATTATCAATTTCATGAAAACATACATAATTTATTACAGTAAATAGAAAATAACTGACTAACATGTAATATAGTTTTAATTATAAAAAAAAAAAAAAAAATTAATGATCAGTCCCATTCATGATCCGTACCCGACCCAAAGGTCCCCGTGACACTCGCGGCATTTTCCCGTTGGATTGCCAAAGATATCCTTTGAGTCTGATATGAATCTAAAATAGTTTTCTTGTGTCCGTTTTGTTGTGCAGTAAAGTGTGTATAGTTACATTAAAACTAAACACTAAAACTATGTAATGTACAGTGTAGTATGACCAATTTAACATTTGGTGCAAGAAGCATAGTAATTTAGTTTGTAAATAGTCATATGGCCTTTAACCTGCTATAATAAAGTTTCGTATTTAAGTATTCATATCTATAGACGTTGATCATCATATTCTAATATTAGATATTGTAAAAAAAAGTGTTCAAACCTTTAGAAAGTCAACTTCATGAATTAGCTTCTAATATCTTTTTGGATTTTCACAGCTATTACGCCACTACGCAGTTCCAGCCCTACCACGCGAGAAAGGCCTTCCCTTGCTTCGACGAGCCCCAATTCAAATCACGATATGTCATCTCCATTGTCCGTGATAGCAATCTCAGTCCGTCTTTCTCTAACATGGCTATTAATGATTCGGCGACAAACGAGTATGTATAATTACAATAATTGAAAATATATATTATATTATATATATTTTTACCAGAGGGAGACTTTGTACAAAAGTTGTTTGCTTGGGTACCTCTGTCCCATTTGTGTTTCAACCGTAAAACAGTTGTGTTTGTATGGCTGTGTTTCGGTTTGAAGGATGGCATATGGCGTGAATTTACAGGGTACAAAGGAATAACATTTGAGTCCTCAGGAATGGCAACGCATGGGGGGTATGATGGGCGGAACAGTATACTCTATTATGTCCGTGGTACTGCTCATGTCTATAGGCGACAGTTACTACTTTCCATCAGGTGGACCGTCAGCTTGTTTGCCATTCTAAGTTGTATAAAAAAGATCTTTATAATGTTTCCTTTAAAGTTACTTTTCAGCTAAATCGCATATCTACTCGTGTTACTACTGATAATACAAAGAGAAATATTTGATTTATTTATTTGTAATGGGTGAACTTAAAAATCAGTAAACCTAGTTTAAAAATTATTTCTTCTATAAAAAGATACATTATCAGCAAGTAATATAATCTACATATTATTTTCGAAAATTTTATCTATCCGTGCAAAACTGGGTCGGATCGCTAGCTATTAAAATTTTGGCTACACATTTAAAAAATAATATGAAAGTTTTCATAATCATTACTTCAATAATTTCTATCTTTCTTATATTATATTACTTTATTTGGTTGGATTTTTATTCATACATTTATTACTTTTTTTAACAAGTTACTGTTTCTAACCACACACTTTTATAGTTGAATACCTGTTATTCACAGAGTTGCTCCTGGACGTGTAAGAGAGACTTTCCTTCCCACTCCTAAGATCTCTGCCTACTTGATAGCCTTCCATGTCAGCGACTTCGTAGCAACAAATTTCTCTAGCACGCCCACTAAGCCATTCCAAATCATATCCCGCCAAGGAGCTACAGATCAACACGCTTATGCCGCGGATATTGGCCGTAAGATCTCTGATGCACTGGACGATTATTTAGCTATCGATTACTATGACATGGGACAAGGACAACCCATGAAAAATGACCACATCGCTTTACCAGACTTCCCTTCAGGTGCTATGGAGAACTGGGGAATGGTTAACTACAGGCAAGTCTTGTGCAATTTTTTTCTTATTTTATTAAAAAAAAACAGTAATTCTAATGTAGAATTACTGTTTTTTTTAACCACTTATAATGAATATATGTACTTTTTTTTCAATTTTACAATATTAAATATTTAAAAATATTCATTTTAATTTTATAACATAGGTACTATATTTAAAAAAGAGGGTTATTTTATGATATTGCTATAGTTCTTAGTTCTAGTCGTCAAGAGAAGCATCGCCGATGTTTATGACGCTGATTGTGTTTTGGCCGATATTATTACCTCCTATTTAATGAATTTTTAGTTTGTGTTTTTTTTGCTGTTCTTAAGAGTATAAAAAACTGCAAGAAATTCAATTTAAATATTATTTTAGTATGTATGTATATCAATAATTAGTAATACCGCATTCGAGTATTCTGACACTTCCCTATGGTTGACAGGGAGAGAATGCTTTTAGCATTAAGTCCGCCATGTACACATATTTGTACTAATGAATAAATAAATAAATAAAACATTTCAGGGAAGCTTATCTTTTGTTTGATGGAAACAATACGAATATCAGCAACAAGATCACCATAGCCACTATTATTGCTCACGAGCTGGCACATAAATGGTTTGGAAACCTTGTCACCTGTTTCTGGTGGAGCAATCTGTGGCTTAATGAATCTTTCGCAAGTTTCTTCGAATACTTCGCAGCACATAAGGTAAGTTAATATAGTTAATTTTCACAAAAGATATCGATAATAATGGATGTAGATGACTATAAAAGTAGTCGAAAGCCTAAAAAAAAAGATTATGGATATAACTGTTTTCTATTAACATAAAATTAGATATGTTATTATATCTTTATTTTCTTTTCTTTATTAAAAAAATGCAGCGGTTCACTTAATTATTCCCATACTATTGAATTAGATATATTTGGAAAAGCGTGTTGCATCTTGCATTTGGAACTAAATTGAAGAAACTGAATATTTTTATCCCGGAAGATCTTATATTCTAACTACTTATCCTGGATACCTTATCAGGTTGCCTACGTGCCTCCCCCTCCCTGGAAACCATCTTGCATTATGAATTCCAAGTGTATTCATCACCATATGTTACCCGACCTGCCTTTTCATCCTCACCTAGCATCCCTTACTGGTGCTTTGCCAGCGTATACCGTTAGCGTAAGTGGGGTTACCACTCCATTGTATTATATTATCAATTTGTTATTATATTAACCTATTTAGGAGCCCAGTTCTAAAACCATAATTACTGTACCCTTATAAAACTATAATATTAATATTAGTTAAGAAACTACAGCTATGTCTTTACCGAATAAATCTCATTTCAAATCTCATTTCATTGTCATCTAATAAAAAACCACTTAATACTTTTTTAAATTATCTTTTATATGCATTTTTATAGGCTGATCCAAGTCTGCAATTGTTTGATCAGTTTGTTGTGAACTACGTACACAGCGCTTTGTCAGCTGACGCAAGCCCTAACGTCAACTCCATGAACAACAGCGATGTTAGCAATAATCCGTCAATTACCAGTCATTTTAGCACCACTAGCTATGCCAAAGGAGCTTCGGTTCTTTGGACCTTAGAGAACTTCGTCGGTCCTCGTACATTTAGGACTGCGCTTAGATATTATTTGAGAAGCAGGTATAAAAATTATTCTCATATCTTATATCTCAGTATCGTTGTCATCTTACAGACGTACATTGTATTATCGTAAACTTGCATAGTACTTAGTGTTACAGAAATAGAGTTCAGTTCAGTCAATCGTTAGAGATAATATGAGCCTATCTTTCGTATGATGATGACAACGATGACAATTTTTATATGTCTCATATTGTCGACGTGAAACGACGTTCTTGTTGTTTTGGTAATAAGGAATATCTCGTAATATTTAATATTTCAGTCTTCATAGAGCAACAAATAATTACGTTATAAGTGTTATAATCTAAAATTACTATTATATTTTCATGTCTATAGATGATGCTTACTGCTTTGCTTCATGTACTATTTTTTATAATACAGCAATTACAATAATGTTTATTTAGTTATTTAGATCTCTAATAAAACAAATGTTTTATTGACACAAATAAGATTTTATACATGGATATACGGTTTGGTAGTGATATTTGATTAATTTTTTTTTTTATAACTCAACAAAAATCAAAACTAAATCTGGTTCACTTTGTTGTTGCTATATTATTGTTACTTATCGTGGATACGATTCAAGTATATTATAGTAAATGGGTTTTAGTAAATATTGCCATATCAAGAATTGCTAATAATTATATGTCCATTGCTTTCTCAAAAGATATTGAATATTTCGTACTGTTTCGTACATTGTAAGTAGATACTGCAATGTTTGTAATGTTATTAATATAGTTTAAAATTTTGTAGGGCATATGAAATCGGTACGCCAGAAGATATGTATAATGCATTCAAAAGAGCGACATCAGAAGACTTGGAATTCACACGTAATTTTCCCGATGTCGATATTGGTAAAGTATTCGACAGTTGGGTCCAGAATCCCGGTTCGCCTGTTGTAAATGTGACTCTTGATACAGCGAATGGCGTCATTACTGTCGAACAGGTATGTAATCGTTCTAAGAATACTATTATTACAATACATAACTGAAAATATAAAAGTTCTTTTTTGTAACTTATTATAAATTTTATGAATTACGCTGTAGAACTCAATTCTAATGGAATTATGCCTATTATATTTGTACCAATGATTAATATTGCATATCGCTTGCTTCGTCACATTTACTTACAATTGCGGTATGCTATAGCTGTATGGCGCATCTGTTTATATTGTACCCGCATATTTGATGTATTTAAATCATTGTTTAGTAAGCCGTTTCAAGTTTCTATAAATTTGCATGGTATATTAATATTTAATAACTTATTCTATTTTCATTGTTTAACCTCAATTTATGTAATTTATTTTCAGAATAGTGATATTGTTAAATTTCTATTATTTAAATTATTCATATACCTATTTCAGTAATAAATTAAGTGTTTACTATCAGAATGTACGCGGGTTGAGATCTAAAACGGCTACATTTTTCCATAATATTTGTACGCAATCATACGATATTATTATTCTAACAAAGACGTTGTTTGGATGGTATGATAGATACTATTTGATGACTGCAAAGTATAGCAAACTATTTGATGACTGCAAAGTACCAGCATTTATCACACCTGTGCACAAAAAAGGCTCCAGAACTGAAATTGGGAATTATAGATTCATTTCCAATTTATGTCATATTTCTAAAATATTTGAGAAATTAGTATATGAACAGCTATACTCTGCTATTAAAGGGCCTTAAATGATTTTCAGCATGGTTTCTTAAGGCGATGATCCACTGTATCAAATTTAGTACTAACAGCACAAAATTTGATTAATTCTTTTATGTATTTTCCTTTTTTTTAATAAATATATTATTTAATATATATTTTTTAATATGTAAGACATTGGTTTGTTTAATTTTAGAAACGCTACGTATTATCCGGTACTCCACCAGAACAGTTGTGGCAAATTCCTCTAACTTGGACCTTTGGTAGTGACCCTAAATTCTACGACACTAAGCCTCGCTTACTTCTGTCCTCTCGTTCAGCTACTATTCAAGCCTCTACTGGACATAACTGGGTTATATTCAATATTGGCCAATCAGGTATGTAAAGTATTTCTAATATTTTATAAGTTTCTCTTAAGGACATATATTATCAGTATCTTATAATTGCTTGTGTATTTATGTTGTTGATTTTTTTCTTTTTACTTCTTTCAATATTTCAATTTTTTATTTCTTTTTAAATAAATACCCGCCCACTATGTACTTTTCATTATAACATTGTGATTTGTTAATCTTTGTCGGGTGCTCATGATACAGGTTCGCCTAGTGTGGGGCCCATTGTATTTAGTATTTGTAACTTTGTGTTTTTGTCAAATAATAAATAAATAAATAAATAAATAAATAAATAAGAACTACTAACAGACTAAACCTAGTTCGGTGGCTAACAGATTTAATTAAATATAATTTAATTAATAAAGACAGTAATTATAAAAAAAGAGAATAAATTATTATATTTAACACAAAATAATATTGATTTTTAGTGAATTGAAATGAATCTATTTTATTCTTAGGTTTATACCGTGTCGCTTACGATGACCATAACTGGGAAATGATTGCATCATACCTTCGGAACGATGCCAATAGGTTGAGAGTCAATGTAATTAACAGGGCACAGGTATGTATTCTTAATAATTATTATAATAATATATAATTATAATAATATATAATGAAAAAATCGTTAATCAATAATTTTCCATTAATATTTTAATAATAATAATTACATTAATATGCAGTTGACATTGGCATTGACAAGTTTCTAACCATGATTTAATATTTTCTAATATTACCATTTATGTTTCTAGATAGTGAACGATGTGTTATTCTTCATACGTTCTGACGGAATCAGCATTGCTCGTGCTTTCGACGTTCTTAGTTTCCTGAGACGCGAAACTGATTACTATGTTTGGGCTGCAGCTATAGGTCAACTTGACTGGATTAGGAGGAGACTGGAGCATATCGATGTCGCCCATCAAGAGTTCGATGTAACTATTTTTGATGTATTCTTTTATTCCACGTATAGGCTTATCTGATGGGAGACAACCATCGTCTACAGACATAAGAGTACCATAAGATTTACGGATAATACTCTGTGATGATTATAGTACTAATCTTGCGCTGCCATTCCTGTGAACTAGTGTTATGACCCTATTAATTTTATCAGAGGCAGACTTTGCTTACCAGAGGGAGACAAAAGTCGTTTGCTTAGGTACCTGTGTCCTATTCGTGTTTCAACCGTAAAGCAGTTACGGTTACCACTTTCCATGAGGTGGGCCGTCAGCTTGTTTGCCATTCTAAGTTGTATAAAAAAAAAGAACAAAAAAAAAATGTTTGGCGGTAGAGACTCGATTGAGACAAAAGTATTGCTTATTGAATGTGTTCAGTATTCTCCAAAATGCCTTTATCATTTCCAGTTAATTGTTCTATTAATTGATAATGATGATGTAATATTTAGATTACATTTGAAAGTCTGTACAGATATTTGGACATTTGAATAATCATTACTCATTTTAAACTCTAAATTTTCAAATCCTGTTCGAGAATAACAACGTTTTTTCTTGTTTTAATAAAAATTTTATATTTAAATATATACATACATACATATCTGTCACGCTTGTCTCCCATAAGGGTAGGCAGAAACAGTGGAACGCCAAATGCTTCGATTCAAACAAACCTCTTTCGCTTCTTTCACATTCATCAATCTTGTCATACACGCTCGCCGGTTACAGGTACTTTTAATTTGGTCCTTCTTCAGCACATCGCCTATTTGGTCAAAATACGTCCGTCTAGGGCTGCCCATACCGACATCTCTGTTCAGTCATATATATATATATATATATATATATATATATATATATATATATATATATATATATATATATACATATATACATATATAAGATTTTGCGTGATGCCTCTACCAATTTTAAACCGATTTGGGCAACACTATTGAAAATTATTAATCAATATTGTAAATCATTAATTTTTTAGCCAAGTCTTAAATTATTACATAAAACCTGATTATTTTCAATTACAGAACTTCCTGTTAGAATCATTGGAGACTGTTATTGGAAATCTTGGATATAATGAACGTAACAGCGACTCAGTACCGACAATTTTGAATCGCATGCAAATATTGAATTTAGCATGCAACCTTGGCCACCAAGGCTGTGTCAGTGACAGCTTGCAAAAGTGGAATAATTTCAGAAATAATCCAAGTCAGCTGTAAGTATCCTGTTATAATATATTAATATATAAAAGTCCTCTATTACATAAGCCACTAAAAAGTAATTAGCATGTGCTGAAATACAAATTTGCATGCTCATTATTGTTTAAGAGCATTTGTACCACATTTCGAGCAAATAAAATTATTATTATTATGATTATCTTCATCAGCTGTTCATCAGCGCTTCAATCTGTCCATTATTAAACATCGACTGAATCCCTGTTTAAGTAAGACATAAAGGTGGGTTTTGTCAATAGTTTGCCACGCCACAGATAATATAATACTATACTAGGCCACGCTTAGCAAGCGAATTGACACCCGCAGTTAGGATTTAGTGATGTTTCGACAGAGACGCTGCTGCCCATCCTTCGACCATGGAATTCCTTTGGTTGCCTGGTTTGTTTGTTTGGTTGGTTTGGAAATGGCAATTTTTATTTTTTTGTAATTGGCTAGAAAGGTCAGCGTTAAAATTTGTACAAAAAATCGTAAATTATACGAAGTACGAGTACATAATAAACTCAACGCCGTTTCCCATAGATTTCTAATGCTATTTTACTTTTAACTACCTAAATGTTTAAAATAATAATAATAAACTCTTTATTGCGCACAGTAGAGATGTATACAAGGAGTATTTATACAGAATGTGCATATACAAAAGGCGGCCTTATCGCTAAAAGCAATCTCTTACAGACAACCTGGCATAAAGAATGGATAAGTACAGAGAGAAAGGTAGATGGCGCAAATCAGACACAGTAAAATACCTATTTCACCATACATTTTTTTCTTTTCTCTATTATTTATACGAATTATATGTGCATTGAAATGCAGGGTTCCACCAAATCTTCGCCGTTACGTGTACTGCGTTGGTCTTCGCGAAGGGAATGCGGCTGATTACAACTTCCTCTTGAATCTGTATAACACGGCAGAGAACACTGCTGATATGGTTGTAATTCTCCGTGCTCTCGCGTGCACAAGGGATGAAAACTCCCTTCGGAGGTGAGTTCTGTTTATAAATCTACACATCTCCGTTTCAAATACTATATACATGCCAAGTTTCATTATTGACTAAGAAGATAAAGCCAAACTTTCATATTGATCATATAACTAAAGACTAGTAAGGATTATATCCTTAACAATACTCGGGTTACCACGAAATTAATACGTGAGTAAATCCGATGTAAATTATAATTCTATTACTCTAAAGTTATAACATGTTTATGGGCGACTTTCATCATATTAGCTTTTAACTGTTCTCTACTGAACACAAACCTCCCCCATGAGGGGGTTTGCCAATATTTACCACGCTTAGCAGGCGGATTTACAACTTAGAATGGCAAACAAGCTGACAGCCCACCTGATGGAAAGTGGTAACCGTCGCTTATAGACATGAGCAATGCCATGGACATAACAGTATACTGTTTCGCCCATGATACCCCCCATGCGTTGCCATTCCTGAGGACTCAGGTGTTATTCCTCTGTACCTTGTAAATTCACGCCATATACCATCCTTCAAATCGAAACACAGCAATGCAAACACAACTGCTTTACGGTGGAAACACGAATGGGGCAGAGATACCCAAGCAAACTACTTTTGTACGAAGTCTCCCTCTGGTAAAAAGAAAAGTTCTGTTTTAAAAGGGATGCAGCTGCCCGTCCCTTTCCCTCCCTTAGACGACTATTACGACACCCATAGGAAAGGACCCCTCCCAGGCCTATTCTATGCCGGATTGAAAATGGTATGGTAACCCCCCGCCTGCGCTAACGGGATACGCTGGCGGAGCACCAGTGAAGGGCGATAGATGAGAATGAAAACAGGCCAGTTAGCCCATCATGATAAATTCATCAGAAATTAACTATGATAGTTTCCAGGGAGAACCGCGAGGAGTCCGAACTGGTTGGGTATATTGCTAGCAATGGGATTCTCAGTCTCCATTACTAACAATCCCTTTCCCCCTATCCACTTTCTATTAGGTGAACTGCTCTATCAGCTCATTTGTTTCTCTAACAATAAAAAAAAGAGACTGACCTAAATAGTCTTAACATTAAAGGGCCGAATCCTTTATGGGACACATTAAAGGGTGTCTTAAACACTATATACGATTATAATTATACACTTAATTATAGATTAATTATACTAAACACTTGATATTTTCAGCTACTTGAATGAAACAATGTATAATAATAAAATTCGTATACACGATCGTACGAATGCCTTCTCCTTCGCCCTCCAAGGGAACAGGGAGAATCTAGGAATCGTTCTTAACTTCCTGTATGATAATTTCGAAGAAATTAGAGAAACGTAAGTTATATATGGAATCCATTAGCATCGTTTTGAGTGTGTGTTCTACTAGTAAAATTGAATATTTTTAACAGATATCAAAAACATTTTTTGAAGTCGGTTTAAAATACTTATAAACAGGTTTGAGAGTCTGTATGTATTTTGATGTTTGATGTTGATTTTTTATGTTCGTCATAACTTTGTTATTTATGAACCGATTTGAAAAAATCTTTTTGTATATGAATTGATATCGTTCAGTAATTTGTTTTCCAAATCAAAATAACTGGCTTTGCATTGATTGAAAGTTGTGTTTATTTTTTAGCGAACAAATTCCACTTGTACCTAAGGAATCCGCTCTTTTGAAAGAATAAAAAAATCAAAGCCTTCCGTATTATTTAAACATATTATGAATATGTCTTTTGTTAATTTGAGGCTCAAATTCTTTTTAATGTTTCGGCCTATGTTACTGTGGGGAAAAATAAATGTGCTTACGGTAATCTGTTTACTCTCCTTTTTCGGGGGAAAAAAGTAATCGATATTTTATTTGTTTCTTTAAAACTAGTGTCTTTCAACCATTTTCATGACACAACACCCATCTCACCCTCCCCTCCAGTATGAAAAAATATTTCGCAACCTTCGATTCTCCGTTTTTTTTCATGTATTTCATAATATTACGAAGACGTTGTAGGGACTGAATACTTCAATCCATACAATATTTTTAATAATCAATACTCCTAATAAATCTTTATAATTAATTTTGTTATTTTTTTGCCACTGAGACAGTTTTCGCGACCTCCCTTTAAAGCCTCACACATTGAAAAACACTGTTGGAAACTATTAATTCCTTTTTTTATTGTTTTATTTCATACTAGTTATATTACGCAGCTTTGCATACCTACATTAGTCTATAAAGTGCCATATTCTACATAAATATAATTCATAAATATATTACTACATCCTATATGAAAATATATAGGTTTAATTATCATTTATGAATTTTATTCAAATCTATCTAGCCTTCTTCTATATTTACAAACTTTTACATCTCAGTAACAATATTATAAATTTGAAAAGATGTTTAGGTGTTTACGTCTTAACTACGTTTAAAAGGTTAAAGGGGTTTTGTTGAAATTTGGTATACGAATAGGTTATATCCTAACTTAACAGATATGATACTTTATATGCTGATTTAGACAGCTAAAACCGCGGTAAACAACTAGTTTATAATATTATTAGGATGTTGGCTGATTAAAATCATTTTGCTTCTAGATATGGCGGTGGTGATCGGCTCAATGTGGTGATCAGCTCCTTGTCCACATATTTAACAAACATTACAGATATTGAAACGGTAAGTTGCCATTTATTTTTATTGCAGTTTTTATTTTATTTCAGAAGGTCAAATTATGGCTCTTTTAGATTACTTGTCTAAACTTTGTTGGAGTAGTAATTGTCATCTATAAATATGATCTAGATTTTAGTTCATTAATTCGTGTCTGAGTATTACTAATTTAAGTAATTTATGTAGGTTTTTACATAACTAATCTGGCCATAAATACTGTTAAATATATTTTTTTCTTTTTTTAAACTTTTAAAAAGGCCATTTCGATTAGGATTTTTTTTTATCTTTTGCCGAGACTTTAATAAATATGTAGGTATAAATTTTAGTAATATTACATTACTTCATTAGAAAAATGTATTTTTATTTGTTTCTTAGATTTCCATTTTGCATTATTGCTGCCCACTCACTACTTCATTATAAATATAAACAATTACGAGAAATCATCGTGTTAAGATAACAATGGGCGACCTTATCGCTAAAAGCGATCTCTTCCGGGCAATCTTTGTATAGATTCATATTCTTCTTTTAATTTTGTTTCTTATCCTCTTTCTATTTCAGTTCCAGAACTGGAGTTACACAAATCAACTGGCCCTTGGGGAATCATTCAGCAGCGCTCTGTCTGTTGTACAATCAGCCCTGAACAACTTAAATTGGGGTTCTAATAACGTTGTTGCTATTTACTCCTCGCTTCTACAAAGAGGAGCGGCTACGTCTATCACCGTCTCGCTCATTCTGCTACTTGTAGCTCTTTCAGCACATATATTTAACTAAACTGTAATTTTTATTAAGTGATTACACAAATAATCACTTGTTGATAATATTAATTATTGATGCTTAGAGGAACTATGATTTTACATTTTAAAACCATGATTTACAATTCTGTTAATTTTAAATTTAATTTTTTTTTCTATAAAAAATGCGGATTTGTTTGTATACGCGATACTAGTATTTACAATTATTAGGTTATTGTACGATGTGAAATAGCGTATAAATATTAATAATATAAAATAAACCATGATAATTACGCTATTTAAGTTATTTATTTATTTATAATAATTTTTGATAAGTTTACAGATTTACTAATGCATTCATCAAGAACCAAAAATAGGACATTAAAAATATATAATAATAATAATAAAAATAATAATAATAATAAAAATCTAATAACACTATAAAAATAAACATTAAAAATTAAAAATGTTATGTTTTTAAATTGTTAGGATATTAAATTATTTTAATTTAACAGATTTTTTATTTATCTAATAATATATATATATATATATATATATATATATATATATATATATATATATATATATATATATATATATATATATATATATATATATATATAACTGAATTTCATGTTACGTGATACAAGAGTCATATAAACTTAACACAGTTGATGCGATTACAGCAATTTTTTTTATATGATAATAAAATGGTAATCCCGTCTGCGCTGATGGTATACAGTGGCGGGGCACCAGTAAGGGATGATAGGTGAGAATGAAAAGGCCGGTTAGTTGGCCTATCGCGCATGATGGTATTCAGTGGGAACCTGATGAGGTATATTGCTAGCAATGGGACTGGTAGTCCCCATTACTAGTAATCCCTTCCCCCCGATTGCAACATATTAACGTCTTAGACGATAGATAATAAGTTTGTTAACATTCTATAGGCAATGGTTACACAGCTCCCCGACATGCAAACGTAATGTAGAAAGAAAGAAGAGAAATGACCTCAAATACATTGCAGGAAGTCAGTGGTTGCAGGTGGCTCAGGACTGGTTCTTACGGTAGTCTATAGGCGAGGCCTATGTTAGTTGGCAGTGAACAATTGACGTCTGATATGATGATGATGATGATGATGATGATGAACTGTTCTGTTTTACTTCGGAAGTGTTAGAAAAATTGTTGATACTGGCCATTGTACGTGGCCGTGGTACATGACTATAATAATATTTCATAACTAGGCCGTAACTTTCTTCGTTCACAGTGCTAATGCACTCTTCAAACCCTACTGCATTTTTTTTTAATGGGTGATAATGGAATGGTAACCCCACCCGCGCTATCGGTATACACCGGCGAGGCACCAGTGAAAGATGATAGGTGAGGATGAAGCAGGTCTTCAACAATTATTATTCACGATGGTTTCCAGGGGGAACTATGTGGAGGTCAACCTAATAGGGCATATTGCTAGCAATGGGGTTGTCAAACTCCATTGCTAACAGTCCCTTTTCCCCCAAACCCTACTGCATTTATCACCAATCCTATTCCAAAGGTTTAAAATCCAGGATTTTCATTTATATATAAACAATTAATAACAAATTAATATGCGCAACGATAAACAGCGTGTTGCTTGCGTAGTGCTACCTTGCAGTTAAATTTAATTCCGCGGCGTATGCTGTACGCAGGGTTAAACAGTATACTAATATTGAGACTGCCAGACTTACTTTCATAGTATACTGTCCTATGGAATATTATAGGGTAAAGCAGCCGATGTCCAAAGCATATTTGTATTACAAAAACACGCTGTTCGCGTAATTTATATAAGTATTCTTACCGTAACTTCAGAGGGAGACTTTGTACAAAAGTCGATTGCTTGGGTACCTCTGTCCCATTCGTGTTTCAACCGTGAAGCAGTTGTGTTTGTATGGCTGTGTTTCGGTTTGAAGGGTGGGCTATGACGTGAATTTACTGGGTACAGAGGAATAATACCTGAGTCCTCAGAAATGGCAACGCATGGGGTGTACCATGGGCGAAATAGTATACTCTGTTATGTCCATGGTACTGCTCATGTCTATAGGCGACGGTTACCACTTTCCATCAGGTGGGCCGTCAGCTTGTTTGCCATTCTAAGTTGTATAAAAAAAAAAAAAAAAAAACTGCAGAGTCTATATACGCAAACATTTTGTATATACGCAGGAATCTTCAACTGTTTCTTAGAAACAGCGATCTGAATAATCTTAACACCACGTACAAATACAAACTAGCTGTTCCGAAATATCGTTTAGAAAAATGCATGCAAAAATGAGTGCATGGTGTTAGTCGATCATGCACGGACTTTTTAATGACAATGTAAAATACATATAATGTTAACAGAGATTTAAAAGAATAAAGAATATTTGATTTAAAAAAAAATACAGGTCGACTTCCCCATCCAGGTGATCCCCCTTGGAAACCATTGTGCTGAATTACAAGTATATTCATCACGATGGGCTAACTGACCTACTTTTTCATTCTCACGTATCATCTTTCACTGGTGCCCCGCCAGCGCTAACGGTATATACCGCAGGCGGGGTTACCATTACATTATCATCCATTGAAAAAAAAAACTCACTTTTACATTTATAATATTAGTAAGGATTATCTATCTTATTATACTTATATACGTATTATAACAGGTAACACTTAAAATACAAAATACAAATACAAATAGCTTTATTTTGTTTGAAAAATAGTATAAAAGATGGTATATAATATTTAAATATTGTTCACATTTTTCACCACAATCTGGCGTACAAAATTTATTTAATTGTGCCACTATACTATGCTAATACTATTTTACTTAAATCGTCATATTAAATAAATGTCAGTATTAATAATAAATTATACAGATTACAAATTACAATCAGTTTACAAATTACAAATTACATTAATTGAGTCATATATTTAAGCTTTAAAATATTCAAAATATTCATTAATCGAGTAAAAACATTTTTCTATCAGCCATCTTTTTAGTTTCTTTTTAAATATATTCAAGGGTAGTGTTTTTATTTCGTCCGTTAATTTATTATAAATGCTTATTGTCATACAGTAGGCATTTCTGCTATACAAAGTTGTAATTTTATAAGGTAGACCTTTCGACGTTCTTCGGAATATACCCATGCAGGCTTCGATACTTATCATATCTTAATAGCTGTTATTACAATAAATGTAACCACTTACTTATTTATGATATGCATATAAATGATATCACCACTTCAATAACTAATTTTAAATTTATCAAATATGATAATAAAAATGAGGTCTTAATCTAGTTCTGTTCTTTCAATTAATACTTATTCTTTAACAACATACAGTGTCCAGTTTTAACAATAACAATTTTACGGTTAGTGCATTGTATTAAAGTACAATTGAGTATTATTTTGGTTTTTTTCAAGGGATTGGATATGTAAATCGACAGTACGGTAAGACTACCATTAATTGTATATATATAGCTTTTCTACAAAAAGACTGTAATATTACTATTTTTGTTTTAAAATACATAAAACACACTGATAGAATATAATATATTTCATAGATATAAGATTGAAAATATTTTAATTTTGTATTTGTATAAGTAGAATTCTGCACAGACATAATAACTCCTGCGATTACAATAGAATTAAAATTTATTGATTGAAAAAGAATAAGGGATACCTAGGGTAGGTATCCCTTATTTTTTATTTTTATTTAATACTAGAGTCATACAATAGTCAAAATGGCGTTGACATTTTCTAAATTATCCCGTACTTATTTCTTCAATTTCCTTATTAAATTAGGGCTAGTTTTTCGTCCAACTGTAATACCTAACCACAATTAGTTATTAAAATAAGATAAGGTTTTATTATATGGTTAAATATCTCTGATAATTGGTACTGTTATCACTTGCGAAAAGATAGTTGTTGAAAATTATCACATTATTAAAACAGATAGATACTTTTTAAAAAGACATATCTACTGATTAAAAGGTGTATTATTATTGGTAAATTTTAATTACACTTATTAATTAGCAATATATTGTTTATCTCATAAGGATAGGTAGATTATGGTCTGTTTACAAGCTGCCAATACATAAAAGGTATCCTATAGGATTATCATGATACGAATTTGATGGTAGAGTCATTCGTAATAATTGGATCATGAATACATAACAGGTTACTGGAGTTGCTAAATACGATAAGTAAACTAGTAAGATAGTGTGGATCAATGATGATAAATATGTAAGCAAATTTTATATTTATGATATAAATTGTATATTTGTTAATACACTTCTATCTGCATATTATGAAGAAGATAAATTACCAGAAATATAAGTAATAGAAAGATATATTGCAGTTACCAGTTTAACAACATGCAAGTTAATTAAACAAAATTCTCCAAACAACAACTATCTATAAGAAACTCAATATCGGAAATGATAATGATTGAGCAAGGAATGCAGACTCAGCTGCAACTTGAAACTTCAGAACTAACAACATACATCATGTACACTTTAAAGATTATAATAAACAAGAAACTCACTTATCACTGGAGAGAAAGTATTGATTTAATAACTTTTTTATATGTCTCTGTTTTGATTTAAACGCTTACACCAAAATAAAATAAAAATGCTGAATTTCGACTTTTCGAAAGTTTCCATCTTCATGATACAAATTTCGGACGTGATAGGAGTCTGGAATAATTCTTATTCACCATCTGATCATACTGTATCTAGTTATTATTCGTCAGTAATCTGTGATGTAAATTGATTTTGTGTGATTAATTATTTTTAGAGATGCCGAAATTAATTCCAACTGTATTTTGGATGATACTTTATGTGCACGTTCACTGTGATTCTGACTTTCCATTTTGGGAATTTGATGAGGCCCCTATAAGGATTTCACCAACAAGAAATGAGGATCTCGTCTACAGACTACCAGGAAATGTTGTACCATTGGACTACAACATATATTTGGATCTCTATTTTGCTGAAAGAACAGATAGGCCTTTCAGTTATGATGGAAGAACGAATGTTATAATTCAGGTGAGGTCGGTAATGGTTGATACGATTTTTTTTCTTTGTTGGTGTATTTAAAGTCTTAATTTAAATGTCACGTGTTCGTTTGCGTTAGATTTTTTTTATAATACGGGGGGGGGGGAGGTATTATAAAAAAATCTACTTGGTGAATTATGATCACGTTGAATTTATGTTTACGACAACAGTTAACAAATACCCTTGAATACCCCATTAGGGATTACAGTGTCGACCATATTTATGTTATTTTAATTTTTGGACCGATGGTAATGAAAACTGCGGTTATAATTAAAAAAATATATGTTTTCAAATTGTATTACAGGCTGTTCAAGAAAATGTTACCCAAATCGTTCTACACGCAAATGTGGACAGAATAAACTCCGTCAGCTTATATGCAAGTGATGCATCTCCTTTTCCTTTAGTTGCTACTGACCCGTTCACTATTGATCCACAATACCATTTCCTGCGAATCAATTTACTGAAATCTCTTGTTTCTGGTGATAATTATACGTTGATTATCGACTATAGCAGTACCATGAATGAAGGTCCTATGAAAAGAGGGATTTGGAGGGGTTGGTACACTGATGAGGATAATAATATGAGGTTTGTATAAAGTATAAAGTGTTTTAGAGTTTTAAGTGTTTAAGAACTTTTGTGTAAAATAACTTTTCTTGAAACGCGTTTTCTTCTTCCTATATCGTTGAGTCCTCTACAGTTTAGAGCAAAGATAGAAAAAACTCCAATTTTTGTTTGTTCTTATTCAAATTAAAAACTTTTGCTTTGAATTTTTCTTTTGAAACTTAACTCTTTGCAATATTTTAATTATAAAATTACTTTATTTAGGATCTATGCGACGACTCATTTCCAGCCGTATAACGCTCGACAGGCATTTCCTTGCTGGGACGAGCCTTTGTATAAAGCTACATTCAAACTTCACATATCTCGGTCAACAAATTATTCAGCGACATTCTCTAATACCGGAGTGGAGACTTTTGAACTGTAAGTAGTTTTTTTATTATCTAAATAATTAAATCTTACATTTTAATTATGGAATCTTATATTTTATTCGGAATATTCAATGAAATATACAATTAGATTCACTTGTAACTGAGATCCATAACATCTGTTATATATATTACGAGAAGACAAATATTCTGTATCTTAATTCTGATATAGCTTCTAAGAGTATTAATATCCTTTTATCTTTACGTCAAGACTCTTTCGGGGTAGATATAAAAAAATTGAGTGCCAAAGATTTCTATTCTTATATACTTCCTGCACTTTAATTAATAGTATATATATAATATGTATTACTGAAAGTTAAAAGTTAACGATTTCGGTAACTTTTAACTCCTCCTTCAGATAGAACATTTGAACATAATAATCTAAGTCTTTCTTGATACAAGAACATTAATTCATTTAACTGTAATTGATTAATAATCATACAAACTAATTATAATATTATTCCTTCCATTTATTTGCGTTTCAGATTTGAAGACCGAACAGTAGAACATTTTAAGGCAACTCCACCAATGTCGACATATCTCGTAACCTTTCTTGTCAGTGAGACATTTAAGGTTATTGCCAGTGATTCCTCATTCAATCCACCAATAAGAATAATTGCCCGATCGAATACTGAGGGGCTTGGAGACCATGCTCTAGAATTAGCTGTTGGCATGACTAAATTCTTTGATGAATACTTCGATATGCCGTATGAAAGTTTGCACCCAAATCTATATAATGACCACGTGTCCTCCCCTGATTGGGCTTCAGCTGGTACCGAAAATTGGGGGATGGTTAGTTATAGGTAAGTAATTATAATAAAAAAAAATTCTACTATAATTCGTAATGAGCTAGTTGGGATACATTAGCATTTGAAGACTATTGCGCTGAGCATAGTAGAATCCAACATAGTACGGGTGGGCTTACCACCATCACTGAGAGTGATTTGGTTTATTATTGGTATTTTCCATTACTGTCATCATTGGCAGTAATATTTAATAAACATTAATTATATTTGAAGCTATTTGTACCTGTTTCTATTTTTGAATAGTGAATAGTAAATATTCTTAAACTATGATTTACTTTCAGAGAATTATACATGATTATAGATCCACGAGAGACAATTATGTCAGTCGAACATTATGCGACGACTCTCATCTCCCACGAGCTAGCACACAAGTGGTTCGGTAACTTGGTTACCTGCTTCTGGTGGAGCAATACTTGGATCAATGAGGGTTTCGCCAGTTACTTCGGATACATCGCTGCACACGAGGTTTTACTATTCGTTACTACTATTGTTATTATACAATTTATTTTTCAATTTATATACTGTTATGTTATGTGTACTATGAACTAAAATAATTGCACTTTTTTTACAAATTTGTTGTACTAAATTCATGCCTGTTTCGCTCTAATTAAATTAGTATTATAAGATTGATTTACATTTAATTTATTACTCTTTGTGAATCAAGTAAAGTGTATTACTATATTTGTTAAAAAAAAAAATACTGGCATATTAAAAGGGTAGCAGAGTGGGTAAAATGCAACGGGCCTCGGCCTGAGGGGGGTCCTGGTCCGAGAAGTTGTTAACGCAGGTAGAATTTAATATTTATTTGTTACTTAGTTTCTTTATAAATTGGACTATTAACTCAAGAAAATCCACGAATTATACAAATAAACCATCAAGACGAAGTAAAACTACCCAACATGGCTATTCTATCCAGCTTTTATATAGCTTTTTTTTAATTTATATAATGGGAGAGTCTTATCCGATGAATTTGCCACGAGCCCCAAATGATATAGTTAGTTACTAGAAAAAACTGTTTACTATTTGATAGAGAATATTTTTTCTATTTATTTTTATTAATTCTAATAAAACATAATGAATATCACTTTTCTATTATTAAGATTTTATGTAATTAGTTTTTTGGTACAGATCTATTTTAACCTTTTCCGACAGTGTCTCGCCTTTTGCAATTATATTTATTTGTTAGTCAGATTATTACGATGTAATAAGATTTTAAAATTGATGTTTAAAATTTTATTGTGATATTTATTTTTAGGTATTTCCAAAATATGAATTGGATGAGCATTTCAATTCTCGTTATCTGCAAACTTCGTTATCAACAGATTCAGGAGGTAGTCAACCCATGAATTATGATGTCAATACTCCTTCTCAAATCACTGGTCACTTTGGTACCATCAGTTATTCTAAAGGCGCCGCTTTTCTCAGAATGACTGTTGATATTATTACCCCAGACACCTTTCAAAAGGCTTGCAAGATTTTTTTAGAGAATAAGTATGTTATGTCTATTTACATTATTATAATACTGAATTAAAAATTGCAGACAAGCTGACGACTTATTTGATAAACAGTGATATCTGTCGGCTATAAACAAAAACTGCTTTATTTATTATACGCTTAGGTTTATTATCTTGGTCTAGCTATTTAATCGCATATTAAAGAAAATAAATGATAAGTGTAATGCAATCACACTAATGGTATCCATAGGGTAGTTTATGGGGAAGGCCTATGTCCAGTAGTAGACGGATAATGATAATGCTGAAATGATGATGACAATGAATAATACCAATTGTCTAGTTAGGTTAGGTTACATTTTAATTAGCTAGGATACTTTGTGTTTTGAGATACTTAACAACGAATACCTGCAGAAACAACCCAGATCACCTAAACCCGAGTCATTCACAAAAGTTCGTTTCCTAACTTATTTATTTTAAAATTTCCACGTAGACAAGATAATGATTTTATCAAGGTGAAAATGCTAAGTAACTATTCAGTCATCATTATTATCTTCTTACCTTATCTCAATTATTATTTGGGGTTGGCGTAATATATATATCTTCCATTCTTATCTATTTGGAATTATTTTCGCATTCACTCCCATTCTGACCGTTCAATCTTTCCACAGCACTTCCATGTATTTTTAGGTCTTTCTTTGCCCTTATAGCCATACATTCATAAATAATACCTTTTTTAAAACATGCTCCTCGTTCCTGGGCATCACGTGTTTACAATTTGAATAAATGTTTATGATAATAAATATTTTCAGTCGATTCCAACCTGTTGATCAATATGATTTGTATGATGCATTTGCTCAAGCAATAGCTGAAGATGACTCTTTAAGAGAATACTCACAATTTAATTTTACGGAATATTACCGTGTTTGGGTTAATGAGCCTGGATATCCGATACTCAATGTTGATATTAATCACTCCAGTGGTGAGATATCACTGAGCCAGGTAATTTGTTTTGTCATAAGCTTTTATTATTACTTAAGTTGCATCATATGTTGTTAGGTTCTCTATATGTAATTTGTATTTAAACGCTTGTTTACATTAACTTTAAGTTGATTTTCTGATACAATCTAAAATTATTATAGGAACTTTCTTATGAAACAATATAATCTTATCTATTTTAAATTCGATTGATTTGTTTTGATGACTAATTTGACTGACAGACATTTATTAATTAACGCTGATCAAATAGTCTGAAGGTCACAAGATATATTAAATGTTAAAAAAAAATTGTTTTTCGACAAAACTTAAAGAAACATATTACGAACTTAAATACTATTTTCTAATTATTTAACTCGATTATAGAGTTTTTTATTAGTTTTTGAACAGCAACGACTACTTATACAACTGTGCTATATATTACAGGAAAGATTTTTTTTAAGTCCAACTGCGTCACCTACTGGACAAGTTTATCCTATCCCAATTACATATTCTACGAAAAGCGATAGAAGATTTAGAGAACTAAAACCAATTTACATGATGAGTACAGAAAAAGCTGTGTTACAAAAACCTGCAAATGAAGAATGGGTTATATTTAATCACTTGCAGCATGGTTTGTATCTGTTAATCTACCTTCATCCTAGGTCTTTTATCGTGGTATAGGAGCTGAACATCAAAAGTATTGACTTGGTACCTAATTTTAGGGTCTGAAAAGGTTTATCAACAATCGATACATTAATTTAGTCATTATCACTTCTTTTGTTGCATTTATTTGGGGTTACGAATTTCAGTCAACTGTTAAACCTGGGTTTACTTCTCTTTTTAAGCATATAATCTTTCACACAGTTTATCCACATTTTCTTCAATTGTTTCCTTCCTTTATATCCATTTACTGTCATAAAACAATAAATGAGTCGTATAGTTTTATAACTCGCCCCCCTCGTAATGATAGACTTGTGTCATCTTTTCTGAGATCTGGGCCCATAACGTATTTTTGTGGTTACTGAATTAATAAAGATTTACTAAAGAGTTTACCTTTAATTACATTGTACAACAACCTTATTTATTAATATTACAAATATTAAAGTAAATTTGTTTTTTGTTACTTCTCGGCGCCTTAACAGTTTAACCAATCACTATAAAATTTGGTAAACTCGTACTAGATGGAACGAGAAAAACATGGGCTACTATTATTCATGCGGAGGAAGTTTCGAGTAAAAGTTATTATAGGATAAAAATACATATATCAGTATGTAGATGCAGTTGTTTAAGGAAAAATAAGGCGCTCTCAGTTTTGAAGATAATCCTAACAAGATGATTATGTGCCGTAATATTTTAGGTCACTACAGAGTTAATTATGACGACAGAACATGGGATTTAATCGCGGAGGCTTTGCTAAATGAACCCGATACAATTGATCATCTAAACAGAGCACAAGTGAGTTTATTTCTATTATTTTATTTTAACTATTATCACCTCAATTATCGTTAAATGCAATAATACTGATTGATGTGTGTTGTTAACGTAATCTGCATGAATGGGAGTTACTAATTTCCATAGGTGCCATAGCGACTACGGTGTTATGCTGATTGTGTCAAATATTGTATTTACTTCGAGTCATGGCAACAATAATATATGGTTGCGGTACAGGATAGATTACTCCTTCCTTTCCTATAGGTGTCGTAAAAATTAAGGAAGTTTAATGGTAGAGGAATAGGCTGCAACGTCTTCTTAAAACATCATCAAAGCCTAACTGCAGTTGCCAGGGAGAAAAGGGATTGTTAATAATGGAGACTGAGAATCCCATTGCTAGCAATATACCAAACCAAGACGACCTCCTCGTGGTTGCCCCCTGGAAACTATCATGGTTAATTCCTGATGAATTCATCATGATGGGCTAACTGACTTGTTTTCATTCTCATCGATCACCCTTCACTAGTGCTTCGCCAGCGTATCCCGTTAGTGCAGGCGGGGTTACCATTTCGTTTTCACCCATCAAAAAAAAAAACAGCGGTTGCCAACCTGTCTGCCTGAGTGGCGACTATTGGCAAAACGTCCCTTATAGGGGAGGCCTATATTCAGCAGTGGACAGTTACTGGCTAATTTAATAATAATAAAAAAAAAATAAAAAAAAAAGCAAACTCATAACAGACTATTGATTGAAATATTGTATACCCTCCAGATGATGATCTACCTTTTGTGAATATAGGATATTATTTAAACAACTTATATGACGGTGTTACCTACCCAGCTTAAAAGAAAAAGACACTTTTTAAACAGCTCTCCTTAGATTTTATAGAGTGTCTCCATACAAATGCTTCGAGAAAAATGAGTCAACTTTTTCTTACAATTTTGCGTGATGAGTGTTTCCTTCATAACATTACCAGAAGGAGACTTTGTACAAAAGTTGTTTGCTTGGGCACCTCTGTCCCATTCGTGTTTCAACCGTGAAGTAGTTGTGTTTGCATGGCTGTGTTTCGGTTTGAAGAAATAACACCTGAGTCCTCAGGAATAGCAACGCATGGGGGGTATCATGGGCGAAACAGTATACTCGTACTCTGTTATGTCTATGGTACTGCTCATGTCTATAGGCGACGGTTACCACTTTCCATCAGGTGGGCCATCAGCTCTAAGTTGCATAAAAAAATCTATATTTATTTTATTTTATAATTTTTACATCTTTTTATTGAGTAGAAACTTATTTCATTTATTAAATAATTAAATATAGCTAATTTGAAAATTTGCTGACAAAAATTTGACCCGTTTTTGAGACTCGATGCTCTATCTATATAATCTAAGTAGCTTTCCTATACAAAATATTGTTAATTTAGGGTTCTATATTGATTTTTAGATAGCTGACGATGTCTTTGCTCTAATGAGATCGGAGAGAATGACCTATCATAAAGGGTTCCAGATACTTAGATTCCTGCGCAATGAGGATAACTACCACGTGTGGACTGTTGCCATTAGTGGATATACGTGGCTCCGCAATAGACTCAGACACTTACCTGAAAAACAGGCAACTTTTGATGTAAGTAAACACGAGATCCTCTTGTTGTCAAAATCAAATCGTCTTTATTCGAATAGACTGGTTTACAAGCATTTTTAAATCGTAATTTTTTTTAAATCTACTGTAGGATTCGGAAAGTCGTTATCTGTTAAGAAGAGCCCGTAAGAAATTCAACAATTACTCTTTTAAATCTCTGTTATTATTATGTGTATTTATTTAAATGTACTATGTCTAAAATTACATGGTCATTATAAAGCCCGTGCATGATCGACTAACACCATGCATGCTTGTCATTCGAGTAATCGTTTAAAGTATAATAGGCTTTGTTCAATAAGTGTATTTTAGAACAGTTTTAAATTTATTAAAAGGTAGATTCAAAATATTCTTCGGTATCTTATTGTAACATTTAATGCCCATTCCCATAAAAGACTTATTAACTTTTTAGACAGTTTACGCCTGATATTATTAATATTATGCAAAAATGGACTATAGAATGCTAAATAATACCGCTTTCGTTTCTTTCAGATTCAGGAGCCAAATTAAATAAATAGATTGTATTTATTTAAGTTTTAATTTGGCTCCTGTTGTTGCTAATTATAGTATATTGTTTAGATAGACAAATAAAATAATCTAATTATCTAATTTTAATATACAGTCCACACACCAATCCATACATATATGTTATACCTTAAATTGATACTTAACCCATACAAATACACTACACGCCGTCACCTAATATTTTATAATATAAGTACTAGTAAAAAAGGATTGTCTTCAGTTCGCAATAAAACAATGTAGTAAGGAGACGTGCCATTTTATTTTCTAAAATAGATCATAGAAAAACATTTTTAAGTGCTACAACATCTTCTATTTAATAAATACGTCATCAATTATAGAAACGGTTCTTTGAACTATAGTTACCGTAATATTTTATCAATAAAAATTATTTCAGGCTTTTATCCTAAACTATATGGAACATATAATAGAAACAGTTGGGTTTGAACCCTCAAATAACGAAGGACCTACTACGAGTCTGACCAGACAGGAAGTTCTCCAATTTGCATGCAACCTTGGCCATAAGCAATGCACAGAAGATTCCATTCGGCGATTTAATTCGATGAAAATCAACGAGTGGTTAGTACTAAATGCTTGTAGGTATAATAAGAGAACTTTTAAAAATAACAAAGGTCCTGCAAAAGAGACTGCTTAGCAATGAGATCGCCTTTTATACTATACTATGCATGTAACAGGCAATTGCATTTGCATTTTTGTTGTATTTTGTTAAGAGAGAGACTGGCTGAAAACCAGCGCTGTGCAGCTGTACACGTTGCACTGGGACACTCACAGCATCAGCTGAGCTGGTCCCTTTTGCCTAATATGAGATGCTTCTTATATATGTATTTTCTGTTGTAATTATTTTTCTGGGAATAAATATTTTCTATTCTATTCTATTCTGTAATATTGGTGCAATAAAGCGTTATATAGGTATAAAAAAAAACTTTATAATTTAATCGTGGCAAAATTTGTTATTTTAATTTAAAAACTAAACTATGTGTATGTATATATAAATAACAATGAGTAGGGGCAATATTTATATTATTATATGTATCATATCTCCAATATTTAGAACTAACAGAATTTTTCATCGTGCCTCCCACCAAATTGTTTATTATGCTATAGATTGCTCTTAGCGATAAGGTCGCCTATTGTTTTCTCATTGTGATTATTTCTTGTAATTATTTATATTTATAATATATATTAATAATTTTACTATTGTAATCTTTTGGAGGATGTTTCCTCAAATGAAACGATAAAGAGTATTAATTTATATATCTATCTATCTACTAAACTGATTATAATAACATTTTTATGACAGCATTCTTTCAGATCTTATTTTATATTTGCATATGGAGTCAGCTAAACCGTTGGACGTCGACTCATCGGGATCATTTCATAGATCCTACGTGTTACCTTAACGATATCCCGCAATTTAAGATATCTGTAATCCGCTGGCTCTGGATAAACCGTTCCCAAAAGACTCATATGCATCATCATTATCATCGCAATCATACGGGGTCTGCAATCTCCAGGGAAACCAGTCCCTATGCTAATCTGGTCAGAATTAGCCCGCCTCTGATCTCAATTATTTTACCATAGTTATTAGTATCCTTTCAGAAAAGAAAATAATTTTCTTAATCGGTTTATAAATGACGAAGTTATAAAATATACATTCATAATAAAACATACTGATTCGAAATAAAATGTTAAAGACGTTTTGACAAAAATATTTCTTTACTTGCTTCGACTCATAGCTTCGTCCGCATGATTGGGATATCTTGATCTCTTTCCATATCTCATACGTATATATTAAATTTAATAACGTTTGTTAACATATATACAGATAATCTCGTTTTTTCTTTTATAATATTAGTAAATATTTTCTGTTTCACAAGCTTCAATATTTATCTTGCAGGGTGGACCCTAGAATACGGCGAAATGTTTATATGACCGGTGTCAGAGAAGGCACATCTGAGGATTACATGTTCCTTCTAAATCGATTCCAAAGTTCCAACTTTGCTAATGATCAACTGGAGATGCTGCGAGGTCTTGCTGCAACCAAAGATCCAGAATTATTGACTCAGTGAGTGATAAAGATTTGTTTTATTCGATGACATTGATGCTTCTTTTCACTTTAGGTTTCTTGGAAGGAAACTTTTGTAGACTTAACCTTGTGTTTACACATTTGCTTACTTCTGTCATATTTTTTATGTATTATTAGTGTATACAATAGAGTATATTTATACTTGATATAAATAAATTTTGCTTATAATTTAGACCATTTAATATTTTTACAATAATTTTAATTTTCCATTTTTTTTATACCACTGAGGTGGCAAACAAGCATACGGCCCGCCTGATGGTAAGTGGTTACCATAGCCTATGAACACCTGCAATACCAGAGGTATTACGCGTGCGTTGCCGACCCTCTTTACCAGAAACCTCTTTACCCCCCTTTTGAAGAACCCCATGCTGTAGTCTCTTGGGAAAACCTACTGTACTATTAATAATATTAATACTTTTTTATTATCAAAATCCAAATTTTTGCATGAATATGAATGGACAAGGACTATCTATTTTGATATTTTATTTTTATATTCTTTCGATGTCGTAAATTTTTATTTAAGATTTGTTTTATTATTACAATAAGACTCAATATTTAATTAAATTTCAGTTACTTAAATCTCACACTGGAAAAGGAAATAAGATCGCATGACAAATCGACCTCCTTTAGTTACGCACTCCTTGGAAATAAGGAAAATGCAAATACAGCACTGCAATTTCTTAAAAATAACATAGATGCAATCAGAGAAACGTGAGTATAGTATATAGATCTAATATTATATTATTAATTATGCGTACATGGAAATATAGAAGTTATTATTATTTTTTTTATACAACGTAGAATGACAAACAAGCTGACGGCCCACCTGATGCAAAGTGGTAACCGTCGCCTATAGACATGAGCAGTACCATGGACATAACAGAGTATACTGTTTCGCCCATGATATCCCCCATGTGTTGCCATTCCTGAGGACTCAGGTATTATTCCTCTGTACCCAGTAAATTCACGCCATATCCCACCCTTCAAACCGAAACACAGCCATGCAAACACAACTGCTTCACGGTGGAAACACGAATGGGACAGAGGTATCCGAGCAATCGACTTTTGTACAAGGTCTCCCTCTGGGAGAAATTTTAAGGAACTGTTTACAAGCAAAAGATGAAGAACAATATAGATCAGATGTCATGGCAACCTAGGTTCATGATATTGGCGACTAATCAATATAAATTGGGATATATTTTTTTTATACCATGAAGGTAGCATATAGCCGTAAACGGTATATATCTGCTTTTTACTAAAGTTAATAATGAAACGATTTTGATTTACCTACCAGTCAATCAGTCTTGTAAGTCAGTCTTTCAATGTTATTGTTAATTTATTATCCAGGTATGTCGAAGATTCACCAGCTAATCCTGTGCAAAGTGTAATGTCGAATCTTGCATCTTATCTTGATGAACCTGAACTTGTAGATGTGAGTATTTGTATAATAATAAAAATAATTAAAAAAGAGAAAATATCTCGACCTGGCTCACGAGGTGACCGAAATGTGGGGGGTGACGTCCATTGAAATCATTCCAATCGTTTTGTCGGTGAACGGTCTTATCCCAACCAGTCTGGAACAACATCTCAGACGTTTTCGGATTCCGAGGCGGCTCACTCCCGGGAAAGATGCAGAAAGCGGTGCTCTTAGATTCTGCCCGCATTGTATGCCGGTTTCTCTCCCTGGGGCCCTGAACCCCGGCCAACTGTGCTTTTGCCGGGGGTTAATTTGCCATCTCCTCTCCTTAAGAGAGGAGATGTAAATTTTGTATAATAAACTCTTTATTGCACACTAAAGAATACATCCAAGTTGAGATTATAAGCAAAACTGATTTATTTATCTTTTACCCTCAGTACACCAAATATCAACTGTCATTAGACATTTCTAATAAATACATAACACACACAATAGAGATGTATACAAGGAATATTTATACAGAATGTGCATATACAAAAGGTGGCCTTAACGCTAAAAGCAATTTCTTACAAACAACCTGGACCTATAAGCATTGTATTTCTTTCTTTCGAATAATTTTTTGAACTATTTACGTTCTACAGCTATCCTAGTCCTATATGAATTAAGATAAAAACCGTTTTAATCATTTATCTTTATTATAAATATTTTTCAATAATTTAAGTTTGATTTTTAAATTCATGTTTGTCAGTATTGATTGATAAAATTTACATTTTAATTTATTAATGTTTTATTTTTTTTTAGTATGAAAACTGGTTATCTACAACTCAGAGAAACTCACTGCAATACAGTAGTACAATAAATGCGATCAACAGTGCGCGAAATAATATGGCATGGGGAACAGCCAATGCGGATACCATACTAAGCGCTGCAAGGGATGGTGTGACTACTATTGTTGCATCGGCACTTATTTTAATGGTGACAACATTACTGGCACTGATTATTTGAGTTATTTAATCCATATATTTTTGAAATTGTATTTTTAAATTATTTTAATGTCCTTTTCCGTGTTGAAGACAAATGTTGAAAATAGCAATTAATTAATGTAAATAATAATAATAAAAAAAACTATTATTAATAAATAAATTGAATTATACAATAAACATACTTGTATTTATTGGTGATACCAGAGAGAGACTTTGTACAAAAGTCGTTTGCTTGGGTACCTCCATCCCATTTGTGTTTCTACTGTGAAGCAGTTGTGTTTACATGGTTATGTTACGGTTAGAATGGTAGGATATGGCAATGAATTTACAGGGTACAGAGGTATATCACCTGGGTTACCACTTTCCATCAGGTGGACCGTCAGCTTGTTTGCCATTCTAAATTGTATAAAAAAAAAGTTGAGGAGCGATAATTGGTTTGCAGAGTAATGTGATTGTGCTATTTTTTTATTATCTAACTCCGATAAGGCTATCTAATTAACCGTTATAGATAATAAAGGTTTTAAAATACAAATAATTAAGGTTGTGATATAGACGGATGATTGTTTTTTTTTTATGCAACTTAGAATGGCAAACAAGCTGACGGTCCACCTGATGGAAAGTGGTAACCGTCGCCTACAGACATGAGCAGTACCATGGACATAACAGAGTATACTGTTTCACCCATGATACCCCCCATGCGTTGCCATTCCTGAGGACTCAGGTGTTATTCCTGTGTACCCAGTAAATTCATGCCAAAATTGTGACGTATGAATCTTTATTCGCCAGGTTTATACTCGTATGTCATCTATGTCAAGACATAAAAGATAGCCTAAAGGTTAACAGAGAAAAACTAGTTGCAGTTCTTAAGAATTTGATATATTCTTAAGTAGGTTAAATTTTTTGTCAACACTTGTTTGCCATTCTAAGTTGTATAAAAAAAAAAAAACTTGACTACGTAAACACATTCGCTTGGGGAATTTTGTTAAACATAATTAAAATTATTTATCAATTTTTCTTGGTCTATATATATATATATATATATATATATATATATATATATATATATATATATATATATATATATATATATATATATATATATATATATATATATATATATATTTATGGGATGCCAAGTTTCAAATTTGGGAAGAATTACTGAAACTAAGGAAGATAATTTTAAGTTTTGAGAGTGAAATTCTATGAGGAGAGCTATGTGCAACATTATAAACTCTCATATACATGGCGTTGTACATATTTTTGACTATTCAGATTATTATTTGAATCGGAACTTGTATACATTTTCAGAATGAATATAATTCATTATTCAGAATTTGTCTGTGGACACAAGTTTAATAAAATTTACTTATTTTAATTGATTAAAGTGTTACTATTATATCTAATATATATAATTCTCGTGTCACGGTGTTTGTTACCAAACTCCTCTGAAACGGCTTTACCGATTTTTATGGAATTTTGTGTGCATATCGGGTAGGTCTGAGAATCGGCCAACATCTATTTTTCATACCCCTCAATGATAAGGGTAACGCACTCCTAAATATTTATTTTTTTATTTTTTTTACAATTTTATTTTTATTTTATTATGATTTACCATTGAAAAATACAAACAAATTCAAATTTTCACACTTTTACAATCAACTCCTGTTTTTTAATCGCGATTTTTATATGCCTTACTAGGGTTGCAAGATGATAATCGAATATAATAATTATAGCACGATATATTTTTACGTATAGTTCTAGAAATAACGTACGAGTATATGGTAAAACAGCGTTCGCCGAGTCAACTAGTTTTATAATAAAATATTAACCATGTGGTTCCAGCATAGAATTGGCCTTTCTTTTTCCATGGGTGCGGTAAGAGGCGACTAAAGGAACTTAATGGTAAAGGGTATCACCAAAAGCCAAACTGCAATTGCCAATCCGCCTGCCAAGCGTGGCAACTAATGACAAAATCTCCCAATCATAAACAGCCTCATTTCCTATGATAGTCTATGAGGGAGGCCTATGTTCAGCACTGGACATGATGATGACAAGTAAACACATGCCGCCAATGTGCTATTGTTTAAAATCTTCACAGACGGAATCGCTGTCATAAGTTTGTATTTGTAAATATATCAATTATCAAGAAATTTGTATAGTACCTAATATAATATTCCGATATCTTTATGATATCGACATATTTAAAATATATAATCTTAATATGTTTATCATACAGAAGAAAATATGATAAGTGATAGAAACATCAGAACTGAGCCATTTTGTAAGATCAAGGAGTCGGAACGTGTTATAATAGTGTATTGCTTGAATATTAATAATAATGTACGTATTTATATTGTTTTCTATTTATTATTTTTATATATAATAATTGCTATTATATATATATATAATTTTAATTTTAACAAATTCACATTTGTTTTTATTACAAGTATTAATTAATTCTGCCAATAAATAATAATTACTTTAATAAAGAAAAGAAAAGTTTCTACTTTACCAGTGAATAATTGGCTTAACATATGTATACACAAAAAGTATATTCAAATTTAAATATTCTCCTTTTTATTTATTTATTTATTTATTTATTCTTTATTGCATAATAAAATTTTGGTATTAGGTAAAAACAAAAAGCGTATGAAGGGCAGATGTGGTGAAAAATATGTGTATATCTTTTTATAAGTTGGTTCATCATTTATTATCATCATATATTTCATTATTATACTTATTCTCTAATCATGTTTCTTGTATTTATTTATACTATTCTTTCTAGACTGGTTGATGTCATAATAGTTCGCTATTAGAATTAATAGATATAGAGTCAGCTGTTTTCACATACTATCTATCTTTAGCGTCTCTTATAAGTTTTAGTTTTGTATACTGTATTATCTACCATAGATTTCTTTATTTTCTGCTTCTTTATGTCTTTGTTTGCATTATTTAACACTATATGATAGTTTGGGCTTTCCACAATTTCTTTGCCCTTCTAGTTTGCTTCATGTCGTGCATTTATTACTTTGTTATTGATACCTAACTTTATAAACTTAACTTTGGGATTTCGACTATCTACCTGCAAATTTTCATCTATGTCGATTTAGTATTCTTTATACATTGATAAAAATTTTGACACAGTTAGTTTTTGTGACCTTGAGTATGCACTCAATATAGAAAAACATAAAATTTCATCATATAAATGAATAGAAGAGATTGGTTAGCGATAAGATTATCTTTAAAACTTTTTAAACTGCTTCAACAATAATATATTGTAATGTGTTTTTTTTTGTAATCAGTACCACAAAGTGTTTATGAAAATATATAATTACCTATGATCGACCAATTTCTGTAGATACGATATAAATATTTATAAAAAAGTACAGGTTAAACTGTAATAAATTATTCGCAAGATTTATTCTTGCAAATAATGTCATCATTTTTGTTCTATACTATTTGCATAGTTTTTTTTTTTTTGATGGGTGAAAATGGTATGGTAACCCCGCCTGCGTTAACGGGATACGCTGGCGAAGCACCAGTGAAGGGTGATAGATGAGAATGAAAACAGGCCAGTTAGCCCGTCATGATGAATTCATCAGGAATTAACCATGATAGTTTCCAGGGAGAACCGCGAGGAGGTCGACCTGGTTGGGTATATTGCTAGCAATAGGATTCTCAGTCTCCATTACTAACAATCCCTTTCCCCCCTATTTGCATAGTAGGTTTTTATTTATTTATTCATTAGTACAAATATGTGTACATGGCGGACTTAATGCTAAAAGCATTCTCTCCCAGTCAACCGTAGGGAAGTGTCAGAATACTCGAATGCGGTGCTAGTAATGATTGTTATACATTATTTACATGATATACATTATTTTTGTCCAAGACTCCATGTAGCTACGTTGTACCATTTATTATATGTTATGTATTTCTTTAGTGTAACTTCACCTTTATACAAACTGTTTCATGAGTATTATTACATCATTCTGTCCAACCTTATATACACCTATCTAAATATTTTATTATTTGACTAATTTTTGCCCGCAACTTCGTACATGTGTATTTAAGAAACACGTAGCTACATGCACATATTTTAAGCTAGAACTTCAGGAATATAACTTAGAAAACCACATTTAATTTGGTGCAGTATTTTTTACAGTATGCCAGAACAAAGATAGAGATAAACAGACAAAAATTCTAAGAAATATTCATTTAGCTTCTTTTTAATTTGATTAATGGGTTAATGTTTTTTAATTTTATATATTTATCAGTCAAGCCTGTCTCCCGTTAAGGTATCACAAACAAAGGAACGTTAAATGGTTCGATTCAAACAAACCACTTTTGATTCCTCCACATTCATCAATACTTTCATACACGTTCGCCGATTATGGGCTCTTTTAATTTGACTCTTCTTTAGCACGTCTCCTATTTAGTCGACATATCCATCTAGGACAGTCCATACCGACATCTCCATTTATTCGTGCTCTATAAATCTCTTTTGTAATTCCTAATTTTTTTAAATATCTTCTTACACAGACGTCATTTGGTTCAATTTTTTTTTTATATTAGTATGATAATGAATGGATACTTATTGCATGACAATATCTGTGCAGGCTAGCAAATATTAAATTGGAAATTTTATACTGCTTATTGTTTCAATGTTAATACTTTACACAAGTGTGAATTGCACGTGAAACTCACTTTATATTATTCATATTTATAGATACATATTCGGCAACATGTTAAAATGGCTGGTGCTCATACCAGCTTTGCTGGCGACTGTTGTCGGTGATGTGCCACTTGATTCTAACGAATTGGTAACCCGAAATGATGAGCCACTCGATTATCGTCTACCTGAGGATTTGGATCCAATACATTATGATGTAGAAGTGACGCCTTATTTTGAAGAAGCACCAGCGGATAAGGAACCATTTACTTTTGACGGTGTTGTAACAATCGCTATAAGGGTAAGTTTGTATTCGACATCAAAATATATTTTTTTTTAGATAGGTATATAGAAAGAAATGTTTGTGGTAAACTATATGGTCATAAAATTGCTTTATTGATAAGATGCATTTTGTACCTTGTAAGTACAAAAAATACTATATTCTCTTTCTTTAATTGGTGTAATACTTTTTGTAAATAAACAAATAAAAAATTAATAAAATTGCAGAGTACCTATGGTAATTAACTTAATAAAACGTGAAATAAAATAAATCACTATTATTTTTTAATCCAGATAATTGTAGGAAAAAAAAAACAAAATCATTGGTATTGATACTAGTGCTGGAGATGAAAAACTAGAAATAAAACCTTACATTAAGCGTGGGTCAGTGTAATTATATTATTTTTATACAGAGATTTCTACACTTAGTCTCGTGAATGAGTATTGCACGTTATCATTTAATGAGAATAGATTTACGTCCAAGAAAGAGATGCACTTTAATGTCATGATTAGTATAATAACTTTGGGTGCTTCTCTGGTTGTTGATGTGACTCCCGCGTTTTTTTAATTAACTTTTTGTTTACTATAATGCAATTGATAAGCCGTTTCCTTTATATTGTTTTCCAGGCAGTAAAAGATAACCTTAATAGTTTGATCATCCAAGAAAATGTGAGAGACATAATATCCGTAAGTTTATCGATCAACAGTACAGGAGTTCCAGTGCTTTTAAACCAAACGAACCCATTTGAACGGATTCGTCAGTTCTTTTTCTTAAGAGTCAATTTAGCTGACGGTGTAACGTTAGAAAATGGAGAAGTTTATTCATTAAGGATCGTATATATAGGAAATATCAATGAGACGCCACTTTCAAGAGGTGTTTTCAGAGGCAGTTATAGAGACAGAAATGGAAAATTACAGTAAGTAGTATATTACACTAAACTCAATATTTTGATCCAGCATTCTTTTCACACCAGTTATCTTAAAAGGTAGGCAAAAATCAACAAATAATATCATCATCTTCCTGCCCTTATTCTAATTATTTGGGGTCGGCGTAATAAGTTTTAATTCGTATTACACGAGGTTTTAGCTTTTAATTTTACGACCGGCTGCCTGCCCGACGTCTATCCTCTTTGGCAATGCATTTATTGGTGGCATCCGCCTCCTGAAGTATGGAGGACAGGAATGAGTAAAGCAAGATAGCAAAAAAAGACAACATACAATAAAATAATCCGTTGAATGATAAAAGTTCCGATTTAGAGAAAGAAAAATATTAAGAATGAACTATGGTTCAACATACTAATCAAATATGTAACGATTTTAATAGATTACTTTTCATGCCTGTCACTATTGCGAGATTAGATTTAGAGAACCTTTAAACGTCGTTGCGCTTCACGTAGACACTGTCAGTTAAATTTAGATTAGATTGTAAATTTTCCTAACTGATATCATTGTCTATCTAGTAAGAGACATGACTTGGATGTATTGTATGTTTATCGATGATATATTAGGTAATAAGTAGTATTTGTATGAAGGATATGAATTGGTGTTGAGGGAAAGTAGCTTTTTCGCAGTAGCAGTAGAAGAAAAAATTGATGACGAATATGGTGGAAGCGTAGTATAAATATAATTAGCATGGATTATATGGTATTTTGTCATAAATTGCACGTGAATCGTTACTAATGAGAACTAAGATATTATCTTTTTGGTAATATATAATGCTCGCTTTTTCAAAATCTTTTAAAACAAAATATGTCTTGAGTATATGAGAATTCTCTTTTGTATGATATGGAATAATCCTTTAGTTATTTTATGAACAATGGACTGATAAAACAGGAATAAGAATTCAGTTATTTAGTCTAAAACATTTAAGGATGCATATTTATGAAAAAAAGGGAATAATAGACAGAATGACTTCATAAACAGTCTTCAGTTTCAGTCATTGCATTTTATTATTTCAGTTGGTACGCTGCGACCCATCTTCAGCCTGTAAACTCCAGACAGGCGTTTCCCAGTTTTGATGAGCCTGGATTTAAGTCTACATTTAACATTATCGTTAATAGACCAGCACATTTCGGGGAAACCTACTCAAATATGCGACTTAGAGAGAGCTATCCGTAAGATAACTATTTCTTAACTCAACCATAATATTATTAAGAAATATATCTATAAGATTCTGTAGTTTAATTTCCAGAATTAAAAGTATATAGTATATAGTTTATAATATTAATGATTTGGTAGGTACGAGATTACGAGAATTCCGTATAGTCTCTGTCTCAAATGCTGTTTAAATTTAATTAAACAAAAGAGGCGAAATCTTTGTCCGATTTTAATCATCAGCAAATATTATTAGTTGGAGTATGTCTTTATTCTTTTTTTTTTGTTCGTTTTTGTATACCTGGTATTTTTTTAATGTATGATAATGGAATGGCAATCCCACCTGCGCTAACGCTAACATATGCTGGCGGGGCACCAGTGAGGGATGGAGAGGAGATATTGCTAGTAATGGGGCTGGTAGTTCGCATTACCAACAATCACTCCCCCCCTTGTGTACCTGGTTATCATAATGTAATCCCCCCCCCCCCATGGATGCGCGGGTCTACTTTAAAACGTTTTCTATTGCAATGAAAGTTATTGAAAACTGTATGTTTAATCATTGTACGAGAATCATTGTTGAAAGCTTATTGAATCTATTAATTTCATAATACCATTTTACAGCGAGGGAGATCGTGTGAAAGAGATTTTCCATACCACCCCAAGAATGTCAGCCTACTTGATCACTTTCCACATCAGTGAAGAATTCACTGTCATTGCTGATAACAAGAATTATCAAGAGTCATACCGTATCTTGGCTAGACCTGAAGCTCAAGGCCAGGGCGAATACGCTTTGGAAGTCGGACCACCTATTACAAAATGGTTGGAGAATTACTTCAATATTAGTTACTACTCTATGGAAGAGGGCATGAAGAACGATCAGATCGCATCTCCCGATTGGGCATCTGGAGCTACAGAGAATTGGGGCTTGGTGACATATAGGTAAGTTTCTTAAGTAATATTTGAACTTCTTAAGATAATATCAGTTAAAAACTAAAATGACCCTATCATTTATCTGTAGGTTTTATAATTACGTTTGATGTTTATTATAAATTATAATTAATGTTTATTATAAAACAATTAAGCTACATAAAATTGTTCATTAAAACAGTGTCCCCGAACTTAAACTGGGATTTTTCTTTACAAATAAATGAATGAATGAGTATACTTTATTTGAATTATACAATACAGGAAAAAAACAAGACAATTAATAGATATAACGATACAATTGTATAAGTACAGTAAGGCGACCTTATTGCTGAGAGCAATCTTTTCGAGACAACCTTAGGGTAATGGACTAATACTAAATGTAGCACGTTGTAAGTGTCAAGATGTTTGATTGTTTGTTTTTCTGTTTAGATATAAAAAGAACGAAAATCCATGTATAAATAAGTCTAATTATCGTAGTTATTTATTTATATGCTTTTGGACATTTTTTAGTTATAATGTAAATGTGAATTAGTAAATTTTTTGGCAAGCAATCATCTTGAAATTTTGTATACATTTACTATTTAGGAAAGTATCTTCTCTATCCTAAATTTGATCGAACGAAATTAATAGTAGTCCATATAAGAATATGGTATATTATTTATATATATTTATATACTAATTCCATTTAATCAATATATCTCAGTAACGCAGAAGTATTGTTTTCTTATGAATTTAATAAATGCAAAAGTTATAGATAGATGGATGTTTGTTACCTTTTAACGTAAAAACTACTGAACAGATTTGAATGAAATTTGTTACATAGGTAGGTTATATCTTAAATAGAGTATACTTTATGTACACACACGGGCAGAGTTGCGGTATACAGCTAGGATTTTGTATAAAAATGTTTTCTATCTCTTTCGTTCTTTACAGAGAACTTCGTCTGCTGTACGAAGAGGGCGAAACAAATTCTGTGGATAAACTGAATATAGGGACGATAACAGCGCATGAACTCGCTCATAAATGGTTCGGCAATTTGATCACATGTAAATGGTGGGAAAATGTATGGATGAATGAAGGGTTTGCCAGTTACTTCGAATATTTCGCTATGGATGGGGTGAGTGATATTTTAAAAGAGTAAATTTTATCAACCATTTATTAGATTTTCTGTGATAGCAGCAAAATTTTAGATATATTATATTTTTCTCTAGATTACAATAATATTTAGAAACGACGCGAGCAAAAGCAATAAATAATTATTATTTCAAAATCAACTCTAAGTCTTCACGTAGTTTTTCCTAGAAACCATTTTGTTTAATTCTTTAAGAATTCATCATTATGAGTCAACTAACCTGTTTCCTTCTCACCTGTCATCCCTCATAGGTACCCCGCCAGTGTGTACCGATAGTGTAGGTAGATAGATAGATAGATAGATAGATAATTTATTTGCATTACTCACAGCACACAAACAACAATATGCATAGTGAGAAAAATAAAAACAAAATGCATAAAATAAGTAACAATTTTTCCCTTCAGGCTAAGAAATAAAAATACAGAATTAAAAAATAAATTCGTCTTCGCATAATTATTTATTTAAAAGAAATTAATGTTATTTAACATTTGTAATAATATAATTAAGGTCCCACAAAAAATACAACTTAAATTATAACAAAACCAGTTAGTTTGATGTAAAAATTAAAATACTAAACCGATTTTGATAATATCACTATAGGACCAATCTGTAAGTATATCTTTTCAGATAGAAAAAGAATTTTCCAAATCGGTTTACAACTGACGAAGTTATGAGGTGACAAACGTAAAAGAAAATATGACCGAATCGAGAATCTCTTTGTATTTGAAACCGGTGGAAAATAACTGTATATACTCATAATAATATCTTATTCCCGATCAACGCAATGCGTAAAAGATACTTGTACCATAAATATTATATTGTATTTAGCGAAATTGATTATTGTGATTTTTTTTTAATGGATGAAAGTGGAATGGTAACCGATAAGTGCCCCGCTAGCGCTATCGGTGTAAAGCGTATACCGATAACACTGGCGGGGCACCAGTGAAGGCTGATAAATGAGGACAAAAACTGGTCAGTTTATTACCGTGATGTAACTCTACAAAGTTAACCACGATGGTGGTTAACTTTGTATCCAGGAGGAACCACGTGGAGGTTGACCTGATAGGGTATATCATGCTGGCGATGGAGCTACAAAACTCGATTATTTGCAATCACTTTCTTCTTAGTTTATGATGTTGTTTTATATAAAAGCAACGGTTACTAATTTCCATGTATTTTGACGATTGTTCATCAGGTACATCACTAAGTCGTTATCTGCTGATAAGAATAGATTTTGTCATCAAATAATATTACTGCATGCAATTTAGATAACAAAACAAATTGTATGTAAATTATTTTCTTTAAACGCTGTGTACGTGTATAATTATGTTTACTCATATACAGATATGTTTTTTTATGAAAACAAAACAAACAAGCTGACAGCTATTTTAATGGACTGTAGTAACCATCACATTTAGACATGAATTAGTACTATGGCCGTCACAATCTTTGACTACCGAGTATTAATTAGTAAAAACGTAAAAGTCGTATCATATGGAAATCTTATGGTATGGCTCTGTCCATCTGTATGACATTCACACAATATGAAGATACCTAAATTATTTATTTATACTTTTGCACACAATAAAATATGTCTACAGGGCGGACATAATGCCTGATGTAATTCTCTACCAGTCAACCGTTACGCTAAACAGAGAGAATAAATGGCGGTGTATTGATTTAATAAAAGCAATTTGTAAATTAAATATATGTTTTTAAACAATCTGTGTTCTCATACTGATACTTTTATTAGTCTTTTTGCTAAAAGTAGAATTATCTAACCAGTTTTGCCATTTAAGGCACTTTTAAAGGCATTTTTTTGTTTTCTACATGCAATTTAAGATTAGCGTTCAGGTATTTATTACAGCAATTAATTAAAGAGTAAAATTGTTTCTTCTGAGGTTCTAAGGTTTAAGATATTTATTCTCATTGAAAATTACAAATTCACTTAATATATTTTCAAAATTTCATCAACTGCACTACCTTAATACATAATTTATTTATTACTACACAGGTCGACAAGTCTCTGGAACTCGAAGATCAGTTCATACTTATGTATTTACAAAGTTCTTTGTCATCTGACGCCTCTGCTAATACGAGAGCGTTACGTCACACCGTCAACAGCCCAGCCCAGGTCACTGGCCACTTCTCAGGTATCAGCTACTCCAAAGGAGCATCTTTCTTGCTCATGTTGAAGCATTTCTTAGGAGAAGACACCTTCAAAGCAGCTCTGCAGAGATTTTTAATAGACAGGTGAATTGCTGTTGAATATTCTTATTTTAAATTTTCTTCTTGTCCTCCAAATGTGGTTTCTGTCGTGATTGTCGATTGTTTATTTGTCAGCGTTGTAAAGCGTATTGCTTTCTAAATGATAGAATTTCGTAAAATTATAAATAAGATCACATGATCTTAAATTAAAAATCAGAGTTTAATAATATATTCATCTGTGCTAATATTAATTAAGTTTCTCCCATTAACTTAATTCCTAGGTCTTATGAGAATGCAATCCCAGAAGATCTGTATCGTGCCTTTGCAATAGAGGTTTCAAATAGCCAACAAGTCACAAATGTTGATATAGAAGCATTCATGCAGTATTGGGTGGACGAACCCGGATATCCAGTCCTGAACGTTGATGTTAATACAAATACTGGTCTTATAAGTCTTAAACAGGTAATTGTTAAAAAAAATAACATGATTTTTTTTATACCATGAAGGTAGCAAACAAGCATACAGCTCGTCTAATGGTAAACAGTTACTGTAACCTATGGACGCATGCAATACTAAGGATGTCATGCGCTTTGGCGACCCTATAATTAAAAACGTCGATGCGATTTCTTCCATGTTCCGTTGAGATGAATAGAGCTACAGTGTCATGAGCCAGTATCCGGACTTGAGTGTGTGTGTGATTACTAAGGGAGCGAATTGGGAAACTGTCAAGCTCCCTTTGTTTGTAAATATAATAAATAAATTACATCATTACAAATTCTTGTTTGATAATGCTTTCATTATATTTTCTTGTATTTTTGTACACATACGTATATATTTGATCAGGTTGTTAATTCACATTCTTATTCTATATGTTTTTATTCTTCTATTAACATTTCAGTATTATTTCATTACATTGACAACTTAAAATTGGGTATTTTCTAAAACATTCAAATTTGTTTATGAAAAAATGTAATGAAGTCACAAGCTTTTATTTTTATTATAGTGTTGTCTGAGCAGAAAACATGATCTCGTTTATTTTTGCAATAGTTTCATCTAAAGTAACAATGCTTGTGTTGTTACATGTATGTAAATCTAAACTTAATTTTAGTTTTGTTTCTTTTTGTGTAGCTACTTCTTTATTCAAATTACCAAAAACCCTAAATATATATTGATTCTATTATGGCGTAAGAATGAAACAAAGTCTGGTAGGTGTTTCACAGGAATAATATAAGAAATATTAATATGAGAGTTGATAAGAATAGTAGGAAAAAAATCTACAAGAAAATCACTTATCGAACATATAATTAAGAATAATAGCTTTGATCCAATAAAATAAGTTACTTCCTTCTTATACAAATCTTCTATTATTAGGAACGATTCTTCATCAGTGCTACAGCTGAACCAACAGACCAGGTGTGGCCATTGCCCTTAACATTCACCACTAGTAACAACACCAATTGGAATGATCTGACTCCTAGACACTTGATGACTGATCAAACTTATGAGATCCAATTGGAACCTGGACTGGAATGGGTTATTTTCAACGTGCAACAAAAAGGTAAGAGTTTTATAAACACAAAACAATTAGATATTTATTCTAATAGTAAAGATATCTAGGAGTTCAAATAATTAAACTACCTTATTAATTTTAAAAATGTGATATGGTGTTTGTTTATTACCTTATAGCGACTTAACGGCTTAACCAATCACTATGAGATTTAGAAAGCACGTACTATATGGGATGAAAAAGGACTTAGAATGCTTTTTATCTCGGTTAATAAACATATCCCGTACACGCGAACAAAATCGTCAATATTGCTTATGTAATAATTTGAAAATAAATATTCTAAGTTTTGTTATCAAATAATAAAATGTACCTTCTAAATATATATAAGAAGCATTTAACACATACATATTAACACTTTCAGGTATATATAGAGTAAATTACGATACACAAAATTGGGAAAGGCTTGCAACTGTTCTTAAAAGCGACTATAACAACATTCATCATTTGAACAGAGCTCAGGTAAAGACAAATTTCAAGTTTGATATTATTGTTCTCAGACAGAAACCTTAAATTCTGTTATTTTGGCTCGTATTCTGTTGCACAAAAAGGTGTGTATATTTACTTAAATTTGATTTTCAGATAGTTGACGATGTGTTTGCACTCATGAGGTCCGAGCGGATACCATATTTACTTGGATTCCGTGTCATTGACTTCCTGAAAGAAGATACCAGTTTCTACTCGTGGTATCCGGCTATATCCGGTTTTAACTGGCTACGTAATCGGTTTCTACATTTGCCTGGTACTTTAGCACAATTTGATGTAAGTTACACAGTATCGTATCGGAGTATTAGTTGCCCTATCTCGCTTGCCCCATTATTACAAACTGTAAGTAAGGAAAAATGATATTTAAGTATCATGTTGATATTAATAGTCATAATGAGTGGATGATTTAACTTCATTCTTGCCTATCATCCCTCATTGGAACTCTGTTAATGTATTCTAATAATGTATAATACAGGTGAGTCTGTTACTCCATTTATATATCTTAAAAAGTATTTGCAATCCTACTTCATCAGTACACAAATTTTCATATAATACTACAAGCAAATTATCATTTATATTTTCAGGATCTTCTTTACCAATTCCTAGATGCAGTTGTTCAAGATCTTGGATATGTTGGCCAGCCTGGTGAACGTTTTACCAGAACCCTCAATAGGTTCCATATTTTGTCCTTCGCTTGCAATATCGGTTACCCAGGTTGTCTTAGTAACGCCACGGAACAGTATAACGCATTTAAGACTGCAAATGTAAAGTAAGTTATTATTAATAAGTACTACCATCAAAATTATCATTTTTTGCACATTATACTTTAAATTGAAATGATCTTACTACCGATGCTACAGCTAGTCCCTTAAGACTACAGCATGGGATTCTTCAAGAAAGGAGTTAATACTCCAATATTGACCATAAACCATAATTGGTTTCTGAAAGGCGTGATATCTTTGGTGTTATAGTCATCTTAGGTGACCCCGTTTATTGTAAAACGGGCCGTATGCTTGTTTGCTACTATAGTAGTATAAAAAATTAGAATGATCATTATTATAGATAAGTGTCACACAATCACATCAATCATCTAATCCTTTAGTTATATACTCTAGTATTCTCTCTAGATAGTGTTATAATAAACCAGGCAATTTAGAATATAGTTTTATTGAGTACAAATGAATGGAGATATCGGTAAGGGACATTCTAGATAGAATTTTGTCAACCAAATAGATGGCATGCTAAAGAAGGGCCAATTAAAAAGTACTTGTATCCAGTAAGAGCGTATAATGCCTATTCATACACGCCCACCTTTCAATGTCGAGGAAGCACAAGAGGTCTATCTGAATTCAAGCATTTGGAGTTACACTATATTTGAGACACAGACGCAACGAATATGTATGCGTGCAACTAATATCTGAGGGTTCAACCAAAAATATTGAAATCCGTGTCAAAAATTCGTTTCCTAAACTTGTCCGATCTATAATAGAATCTCAGATGTCATGTATATGAGACTTTTTGAACTTACTATTTTTGTTACTTTCAACAATTGTTTCAACCTCATCTGGAAGTCTTCTTCAGGATGATCTTATGTCGCAAATTTGGATCTCATTTACACAAAGCAACGTGGCTACGATTGCACACAAAAAAAAAAAACTAAAAAAGAGTTCGCACGGGGAATCCCTGTTGTGCTATTTTTTCCTAGTAACAGGTATAAAGCAGGCTTTGGCTAATCATCTAATGACTTATAAACAAGGCAAGGCCAATTTCCTTATACTTTTATAAGGCCATCACTTTCGCAGATTAAGTTTTATTACCCTTTATGTTTTATATGGTAATACTATTAGTCACTGATAACTGATAGCTTCTAGTCACGATATTGACATACAAATATTATAGAGATTTGTAAAGAATAATTATTTATTTTAACTTTAAAACGAAAATGTACAGAGAAGATCGATAGAAAGAGAAAGAGTTTCCACTACACATAAAAATGACACGAATTTTGGCATACGTAGTACTTGAGATGAGGGACATAGGCTACTGCTATTTATCCAGTCAATCAATAAAATGCAAACAAACTGTACTGGTATCAATATCAATAGAGGCGCCCAGTAACTACATGCAAGCAAGTAGATGGTACTTATTTCATATTCCGTTAAGAAGAACAGAGTTGGCTAAACAAGCTCTACTCACTTTGAAACTATTCAGTGATGTTTTGAGCCGGTATCCGCAATTAGACGTGTTTGCCTCCAACTTGCTGGAGTTTCGTCGGATGACCACAGAGTGTTTGTGTTCAGAGATTTAAGATATAGAGGTTATTTCTATTGCTGTTATGTGGTTTTATAGGATTTTAATATTATTAATATTATTCTTTTTAATTATAATTTTAATATATGTGTTATTGTACTGATGCTCTCCTGGGTGAGCGTATTGGAAGACCGTAAAGCTTATCCAGTTGATCAAATATATATATATATATATCCTAATCAAAATAAACTAAAATATTATATGTGAAAGGTTGTATAATTGTTTAAATATTATTAAGTCCGTTCTTAAATATGAGAACGGATTTAAATGAAATTTGATACACGAATTTCATATTGTAGATTGGCTCATATGATTGGTACTTCAATTAATGGTGTAGTATTCTTTTAGTTTAAGTACCATGTATTTAATATACCTACTTGTTAAATATTGTGTACCTCAACAAGGTGTATTATGGATGAAGTATCTGCATAAATTTTATAGTTTGCATAAACCCATATTAAAGCAGCAGAAATAATAATAATACCCTAAACTAAATGTAAAATGTTTTTATAAAAATAGAATGTTTTTATTTATATTTTCCCGAGCAGAGTAGCTTATATCGTCACCTCTATGGCAATTTTACGAATCTGCAGTTTTTTCAAGTTTGACATTTCTTTAAAATTCTACATTTTGCGTCATCCTACTTATTGTGACTTATTTTCAAATTTCTATCTCTAACGGTTAAAGAAATCGAGTAGCCCGAATCTCCATATTTTTGTGATATATCCAAAGTAAACTTACTTAGCATATTTTAATAGTATTTTTTATAATAAATACTTTAATTTGAAAATTTCAATAATTATTTTATCAATTTTTCAATCCTGATTTTGTTATTTTACATGAATGATTGCTATAACGTTGTTGTTTAAACTGAAGTTCTCTTCAAAACACGTGATTTATACCTTTGTATATTTATGAAAGTGGCACTTTCGTTAGTTTGTCAGATATTAAAATAAATTATTTTCTTTGGCGACTTACGAAACTGCTACTTTCGTAGATTTGCTGTTGTATAACTCAATATCTAGGAACTCTCATGTATGAAAGTGCAAAGTAACGAATTTTATTATTTAGTTCTGATACTTGTAATATAACAATAATTAATTAAGCGCATTCAATAAAAAACAGGATTTTAAAACTAAAATGTTAGCATGATCTTTTACAGTAGTCTTCTATCAAGAGTTATTTGCATTCTAATGTTTCAAAACGTTCCTCTGTAAAATGTATCTTTTTCAGTTTTGTAAGTTTAACATAGAGGTGACGATATATTGCCATTAAATAAGTAGTATTTGGAAAAACCTTATGGGGGGGGCGGGCTATATTCAGCAGTGGACTGTTAACAACTAATATAATGATCACTTCCAACATTATTCAAAAGCAAGGATTATATTTCAGCGTGGACCCTAACCTACGTCGCCACGTGTTCTGCACGGGCTTACGGCAGGGAGATTATGACGACTGGAGTAACATGAGGACTCGAAGGCTGAACTCCAATAATCAAGCTGATGAGGTTGTTATGCTGCGAGCCTTGGGCTGTACTAAAGACGAAAGGGCCATTCGAGAGTAAGTGGTCGTGATGATAATTATTTTTAAGGAGATGAAAATGGAATAATGGCCCCGCCTTGGTTATTGGTATACGAGTAAGCTGGCGGGGTATCAATAACAAATGATTGGTGATGATGACGCTAAGTCATTTGGCTTAACGTGACAAAATTATTTTATTCATAATTGTGTGTGTATGGAGATTGACTTGAGAGGTATTATTGCTAGCAATCTGATGATAATATTGTTTCCCTATTGTCCTTCACTCTAATTAGTCTTATTGCCTTAAAATAACTTGGAAGGACTCTTAACAGAGACTACCATTTAAAACGATATCATTGTAGCAAGTTTCATCTCAGTGCAACCAAGACACCTTCATTCCAAGATCAAATTTTTTGCTCAGTTTGCTCAACCTATATTTAGTAAGATGATTTTATTTGAGTATATTTTTGTATAAGTATAATATGTATCTATCCATATTTCTGGAAGAGAAATGTTGAGTTTCATTAGTAGAACAAACCCTTAAACGAATGCTAGAGATTTAAATTATTCTGAATTACAAGCTTCATTTTAATTTCAGAAATAAGCAAATCCCTGATGCATAAAACTGAACACTTTAATAATAGGCAAACATGTAAACTGTCATGAACGGCACTGTGTATTATTAAAATGCTTTATTATTGAACAAAATGCTGTAATCACATTGATGCCCATTGTCTTTTTAATACAGATACTGAAAACAATGATGTTTTAATTTTATTTGTACAAATGTAAAACTAGTTTTAATCTGTCATTTTATTTTGGTAACTTGGAAGCCGTTAACCTCTCTACGAGTTAATATACCTCTAATAATATTATAATGTTTACTATTTAAATTTAGGTTAAATGTTTAATCAGCAAACAGTTATTGTTCAAGCAATCTCTTTTTTGTTACATATACGCAATAATACGCACTGTTATTCTTGTAAATTTACTAGGAACACATAAGAATATGATTAATGTAGTAAATTTACAGAGTACAGAGAAATAACACCTGAGTCCTCAGGAATGGCAACGCATGGGGGGTATCATGGGCGAAACAGTATATTCTGTTATATCCATGGTACTGTTCATGTCTATAGGCGACGGTTACCATTTTCTATCAGGTGGCCCGTCAGATTATCTACCATTTTATGTAGCATAAAAAAAAAGATTTTTTATTTGTTAATAATTTCGCAATTTAGATTTTTTTCTCAAGAAAGGGACTGGCTGAAAACCAGCGTTGTGCAGCTGTACACATTACACTGGGACACTCGCAGCATCAGCTGAGCCAGTTCCTTTTGTCAAATATGAGATACTCCTTATATATAATATTGCTGTGTTTTTCTGACAATAGATAATTTCTATTCTATTCTACATGTGTGTAAAGTTCCACTAAGTATCGTCAATCTATTAACGACTATTAACTTATTTCTAATAACATTTATCAAACAAAACACTTTAGTTTAATACCTAGTAAAATGATTAAAATACTTATGATTATCAGGCACTTGGAGAATATTCTGACCGAGGAAGTCAAGGCTCAAGATAGGAGCAATGCCTTCACTTTCCTTTACATGGGCAGTCAAGAGAATGCAAACGTCGTACTTCAGTTTTTCAAAGAGAGATTTGATGATATCAGAAGAGCGTAAGTAACACCTACTAGGTACATAGTAAAATAATACTTATAATATATGTAAGAGAGTATCAAATAAAAAAAATGCACTGTAATATAATTCGTGATGCAGTTGTTAGAGGTACTTGTCTACTATTATCAAAGTAGTACAATTAGTATAAAATTAGGAGATATTTATATACCAACGATTCGCCCTGACTTCAAAATTAGGATGTATTTATACATATAAATCTTCTATCTATAATATAAAAATGTATCGCTGAATGTGTTGCTAAGCGCAAATCTCAAGAATATCTGAACCGATTTCGCTAATTCCTTTTTTAGAATATATCTTGAAGTTCAAGGATGGTTCTAACGGAGAGCAAAATTTAAAAAATTGCCTGATAAAGTCTAAAGAAACACTTTTCTATACTCCCATACAAACTATTTCTAAGAATACTTAAAAATCAATTTGAACCTTAATACCATATCGTAAAGTTCAAGCGTTAGTGAAGAGGTTCCGGGAAGGCAAAACAATTGAGTGACGTGGCACGGCGTGTTTTATAATTTTTCTATTTCTTTTTTTATCTTACTAGCTGACCCGGCGTCCCGAATAGCAGAATAAGTATTAAAAACAATGAAAAATTAAAGAATCGACTGTTAGGCGGTACGAAGTTCGCGGGGTCTTTTTTTATGGGTGAAAATGATATGGTAACCCCGCCTGCGTTAATGGGATACGCTGGCAGAGCACCGGTGAAGGGTGATCGATGAGAATGAAAACAGGCGAGTTAGCCCATCATGATGGATTCATCAGGAATTAACCATGATAGTTTCCAGGGAGAACCGCGAGGAGGTCGACCTAGTTGGATATATTGCTAGCAATGGGATCCTCAGTCTTCATTACTAACAATCCCTTTCCCCCCCGATAATTCGCGGGGTCAGCCAGGAGTAAATATATTAATAACTGTAATTTCCGTATAAAATGCATGCGAACAAGTAATAGTAAAAACAAACAGATGCGAACAGCAATTTTGATTTCAACCGACTTCAAAAAAAGATACTCATTTCGGTTGTATTTTATTGTTTATTACCTTCTACCTTCGTCAAATCTGAACCGATATGGATGTTTTTTTATCTGAAAGGATATACATACAAAGAAATTTTATCAAAATCAGTTCGGTAGTTTAATTTACAACCGGCTTCAAAAAGAAAAAAGCTCTCAAATCGGTTGCTATTTTTATGTTTGTTACCTTATAACTCCATAAATTCTAAACTAATATGATTTTTTTTATATGAAAAGAAAAACAGCTTGGTTGAAATTTTATCAAAACTAGAACATTAGTTTAGTTTTTAGAACAAAATAATTGATTTTGTCCCATTTGAAATCATTTTTATGAGACAAAATTTTGAATTATATTATTTAAAGACAAAATTTTTTATGAATTATTTTAGGGTTGTCTTACAATCGTCGTTTGAAGGCGTCATCAGTAACATAGCATCGTATTTGAATGAAGAGGGTCTGAATGATGTAAGTAGTATCTGTTTCAATGTATATTATGTTACTAATATTATAAATACAAGTTTGTAAAAATGTTTACATGTTTGTATTTATGTTCTTCAATCACACTTAAACTTAAACAGCTGACGCTAAAATCATGGAAAATAGCGAGTGAATACTATTTGCAATATAATTACAGACTTATGAATATATATATATATATATAACACCAAAAGCATTGCAGGTGTGCTGCCGGCCTTTTAAAAGGAAATATGCTCTTTTCTCGAAGGTCCTCGGAATCTTGTAACTGCTGTCACGTAGTCTTAATAAGCCAATAGTAAATAAAGATTCTAATAAATTATTGCTTATTAAATTCCTGCTTCTTATTCCCAGATGGAAAACTGGCTTCGTGAAAACCAATCGAACATTCCAGAATACAATGTTGGTATAAACGCAATTGCATCAGCTAGAAACAGCATGCAGTGGGGCACCGATCGAGCTGAGCTGATCATTTCAGCATTGAGAGGATCAGCGTCAGTCATGATGTTATCCACAACATTGTTGATTATCAGTCTGATGATTGTTATGTTCAGATAAAATAATATTTCTTAATGTAAATATATGTAAATGAGATTTAATATGTTGTTGTTGGTTTATATATTTTGCTTTTTGTTTTTTTTTTGTTTTGTTACTTTTTTTTAATTATTTATTCTTTTATCTCTTTTACTGTGTATTATGTGTATGTTTATATTGTAATTTGTGAGCTGTAAGTAATGTAAATAAATTATCTATCTATCTATCTATACCACTTATGTTATTCTACTTGAATGAATAATTTAAAATAAAGGAACAATGATTAATGTGATAAAAACAATAATATTATATAATTAAAGGGTACATATTGATTATTAAGTAAATAGAACATGTACAGTTACTGTTTGATATGACATTAACAATTAAACTTGAGATATGATAAAGTGAAACGTTGCTCAAATGCAAATTGTTGTAATTTTCAAAACAACGTCATAGCTACATCTTGCAGATTTTTGTTTTATTGATAAGGAGGTCCAAGGAGCCAGAAATAAAATTCCTTCTATACACAAGCGATTTAACTTTTATATAACTTCAAAACTAATTCTTAGAAATAATTCTTAGGAGCACACACACACTTGTTCATTTGTCGTCCATCTTAATCTTTCTCTCCAACCGTTCCTCTCTTCACTCCACATTTTTTACACTCCACTCTTTCAATCCTCGTATTCCAATCTATGCATACAACATTCACTTTTAACATACGTTCCGTTTCATACCAATCCCACAGATATTTATTTATTTATAAAAAAAAAAATAGTTGTAAGTCGCAATAAATTACTCTTAAAACAATAAAAACGTTGTATTAAATTCGATAGAAAATAAACTGTGACAGTTACATCATGTTGGTTTCATTATTAATCACACCAGGACCTCTTTAATTCGAACCCCTTCTAGTCTAGTAATGCGGACTACCAGTCCCATTGCTAACAATATACCCTACCAGATCGACTTCCACGTGTTTCCCTCTGGAAACTATCGTGCTGAATCCCAGTTGTATTCATCACGATGGGCTAATTGACCTGCCTTTTCATTCATATTTATCATAATAATGGAGACTAAGAACCCTACTGCCAGCAGTATACTCAGCCAAGTCGGCCCTTCCGTGGTATCTCCTGGGAACTATCGTATTGAATTCCAAGCGATATTCATTGCTAGCAATATACCCTGTGAGTTATTACTGAGAAATATTTATTTAGTTATTTAATTCTATCATACCAGAAACATAAAAAAAAAACAATGACATATAAATAATTCAAGTTAAATACAGTAGACTAAAATATAACACATAAAGATACAAAAGACAGTTCGTCATTTCTTTGGAAGACTCTCTATAAGGCTAAAGGATTTACGAAATTAGACATGGGGTGTCTCAAATTTTGATTTGTAAAATTTTTTCTTAATTTTTTTAATATTAATTATAATAATTTAATTTTTTTTTATTTTTTTTGTCTGTGTCGGTGAGTAGACCTTCGTCCATGTGAAGAAGAGAAAGAAAAACAAAATTAAAATATAATAACAATTTTATTTGCAATGATTTTGGGTATAAAACATTTGATCTTACAAATTTAAAGTCTAAATATAAGTTAAATATAAATTCAAAATCTACTTAGGTAAAGCGTGCAAATATTGAAAATAAAAAGTACAATAATTTAACATTACGAAATTATATAATAATAAAATAACATTAATTAAAATGTTAAGGAATGTAAACCAATTTGTTTTATTCAGTCAATTAGTTTAAGTAATAAAAATCCAATGGATTCTTGTTCTGTAAGGAACAGATTACCAATTATAAGACATTCTTTTCATACAACTTAGAATGGCAAACAAGCTGACGGCCCACCTGATGGAAAGTGGTAACCATCGCCTATAGACATGAGCAGTACCATGGACATAACAGAGTATACTGTTTCGCCTATGATGCCCCCCAGGCGTTGCCATTCCTGAGGACTCAGGTGTTATTCCTCTGTACTCTGTAAATTCACGTCATATTCCACCCTTCAAACCGAAACACAGCCATGCAAACACAACTGATTCACGGTTGAAACACGAATGTGACAGAGGTACCCAAGCAATCGACTTTTGTACAGACTTGAAGAAAAATTTTCTTTAATAAACTCAGTTTATTCTTATGTTGGTTTTGTAATAATTTTGACTAAATTTATCACTCTAATACAAACATGGTTATGTTTCGGTTTAAAGGGTGAGATATAGCAATGAAATTACAGGATACAGAAATACGTTCTAGTTCTTAGGATTATTGCTATTCCTGAGAGTTATTATGCAATACAATATACTCTATTATACGCATAGTACTGATCATGTTGATAGGCTACGGTTGCCACTTTCCATTAGGTGGGCTGTTAGCTTGTTTGCCATTCGAAATGGCATGAAAGAAAATTGAAATCAGTTGTTTTTTTTCAAGAATAATCTTAAAATTTCAAGGCACTTTCTTCCACGCACAACCACCCTTTGGAATCAACTTCCAGCAGCAATATTTCCGAACCGATACGACATCATAACCTTCAAGAAAAGAGTATATTCCTTTTTAAAAGGTCGCCAGCACACCTGCAATATCGTTGGTGTTGTGGGTGATCATGGGTGTCGGTAGTCACTTACCATCAGGTGAGCCGCATGCTCGTTTACACATTGTGTTGTAAAAAATATTGTTATAATTTTCAAATTATTGTAAAAATGTAATTGATGATGATGATGATGATCAAATTCGTAAACAATGATCCTTAATATAAAAGGATGTTTATCTTGTTTGTTTGTTATCTTGTGAAATCTTATCATTCATATCACTTCCGCTGTAAACTCAGCTGTAACTATGTAATTTACTTACATTTTTACAAGTTGTCTGCAGGTGATGGCCTGGTGGCTATATATATATATACATATTATAGTGTCTTAACAGCTTATTTAATAACTATGAAATTTTGTATACACGTACATACTAGATGGGATAGAGAAAGATATAGTGTACTTTTTATTTCACTGGTAGAAAACATTATCCGGTGTTATTTCCACCAAATGCAGATTCGATTAGACTGTGCATTAAAGTTTAAATAAAAAAAAAATTGTATAAATCTTAATTTCTGAACGGATTTTAGTACAATTACTTATCAACTATTAACCGTTCTTGGCACTGAATTTAGTTCTGTTAGTTAGTTACACTTAGTTTAGTTAATTACACGATGTGGACTTGATATGCTTAAAATATTTACTTGGTGATATAAGTGAAAAAGAATGAAATATGATTATTATTAACCAACTTCAAAAAGAAGAAGGTTCCCCATTCGATTGTATTATTTTGTATGTTACTTTGTAACTCCGTCAGTTCTAAACTGGTTTGGTCAATTCTTTTTTATCTGAAAGGATATACTTACAGAATGGTCCTGTAGGAATTTTACTAAAATCGGTTAAGTAGTTTTGTTTTTAAATAACTCGTTTTGCCACGACTGATACCAGAGGGAGACGTTGTACAAAAGTTGTTTGCTTGGACACCTGTGTACCATTCGTGTTTCTACCGTGAACCAGTTGTGTTTGCATGGCTGTGTTTCGGTTTGAAGGGTGGTATATAGCAGTGAATTTATAGGGTACAGAGGAATAACACCTGAGTCTCAGGAATGGCAACGCATGGGGGGTATTATGAACGAAACAGTTGTATAAAAAAAAAAAACTGAAGTCACTATTTTGTGACACACAATCCTTAATTGTTTGAAATAATAGTTTTCTTCGGAAATCCGTAAGTGGATTACTTAATAGAAATCAATTTGATGACGATTTGAGACGTTTCATCTAAAGATTCTGCAACTTGACATAATCAACAATTTATATCAGGCCCATCTGTCATTGTCATTAAGATGAATTGCATATATGAAACACTAGCTATAACACTCGGCGTTGTTCGTAGAAATTGTGATATAACGTGTAAACTAAAAGTGCAAATGTATCTATTAATTTAGAATGTAGCCCATCTGTATAGTAATTAAATTTTATTTAAATAATTTTTTTACACAACTTAAAAGGGCAAACAAGCTGACGGCCCAACTGATGGAAAGTGGTAGCCGTCGCCTATATACATAAGCAGTACTATGGACATAACAGAGTATACGCTATGATACCCTTTATGCGTTACTGTTCATGAAAGCTAAGATATCATGCCTGTGTAGCCTGTAATTTCATTGCCATATCCGATCCTTCAAATCGAAACATAGCCATGCAAACACAATTGCTATACGGCAAAAATATGAGTGGGACAGTGGTACCCAAGCAGACGACATTTGTACAGTCTCCCTCTGGTTACTAATAAATAAAACCATAGTAAAGTATAGAATATGTACTGATAAATTTCTTAATAAACAAATTTCATATATTACTTCCTGTTAATATATTGAAAAATTATAAAAAAATATTTGCTATGAAATTACGCTTATATGGATAAAATAATATACACAATTTGATAATCATAGCCAATATTGACAATAATTATAGAAACATCATCATTTCAGCCATTATCCGTCCACTGCTGGACATAAGCCTCCCCCCATAGACTGCTATAAGAAATTATAAAATAATTTATATTAAAATAATTACGTATGTTTTAGTAAGATATTAGATTTCTATTTTTAACATAAGAACGATCATTTCTGAATGACGAATAGGTAACTGAAGACAAATCAAAATATTACTTTGAAAACAAATATGATATATATTCTTATATATTATATAAATATTATATATACTCTTATTGCTGAAAGCAATAAGACCGCCTTACTGTACTTATACAATTGTATCGTTGTGTTTGTAAATTGCCTTGCTTATTTCCAATATTGTATAATGCAAATAAAGTATACTCATTCATTCATTCATTCATATATTTATAATTTTTTAGATTTTTTTTCATTGGACGTAAAATAGTAAAATAAGTGACGGACTACCAAATGGTGTACATCTGTCACTACATTCTGTAGTAACAGTCACCTATAGACATGACCACAACCATAGACATAAAAATGCTCAGGGGTACTCACGAAATTCTTCATCATCATCACTATTTTCCTGTCTATCCCATTTATTTGGGGTCAGCGTAAAATGTTTTTATCCATATTATCCAAAAATTAAGATTTTTTTACATAGTTTAAGGACCAGCCGCTCGCCTGACGTCAACCGCCCTTTACGTATTAATATTCCTGAGGACTATTGATAACGTTATGTAAATAAAACGTTCATTAGCGTTTTTTATGGCAACATTTGGGAGAAAAGTAAATTCTAACGATGATACTGATATCAAATACAAGTGCAAGACATTACTATTTGCTGAGATCTCTTATCTGAATTATCGCTACTTAAAACTGAAATCCACGAACATAGATCAACAGTGTTCAACATTCCGTCACAATAGCTCCAGGTGAGTTTATTTTAAACACATTTATTATATCTTATGTTTCGCTCATATTTATGTAATAGACTTAGATTATATAGATAGAGCATCGAGTCTCAAAAACGGGTTAACTTTTTGTCAGCTAATTGTCGAATTAGCTGACTCGTTTTTTTATCAGTGTTCTATATACTTACGCACATAATGTATCTTGACGTATCTATATTTAATTAAATAATAAATAAAATTAGTTTTTACGTATTAAAAAGATGCAAAAATTATAAAACAAAATAAATATATAGAAGTTATAAAGGAACCATTCATAACTATTTCTCAAGCAATATTGTATGAAAAGCTGACCTATTTTTCTAGAAGCATTTGTATGGAAACGCTCTATCTATATAATCTAAGATAATAGACTATCTTTTTCTCTTTCTATTAAACCTTCAGGAATATAATTGTGAAAGCTGCATTCCATTTGGAGCTATAGTTTTCGCAAGATGTCAGAACGACAAGACATAAACAAAGTTTTCAAAAAAATGTTTGGCCTCTCTTGATCTTATTAAGACGTCTCATATAAATGTTTCCTCAATATATTTCATGTACAGACATAATCTAGTTACAACTTCATTATATTAGTAAAAAGATTTTTAAATGAAAAGAACAATTTTTGTATTTTATAAATTCGTTTACAATCGATTTACGTATATTTAAATTTATAAGTTTACTACGTTTGAGTAATGAATCTTACCGCGTTATATGTTTATTGAATAATAATAAATAAATAATAAGTTTTTTTTGCAAAAACAATTTACCAATTAATCAATAATACTACTTATAAGCTCAAGTCCTTCCTCCAATTTTACAGCGACTCTCGTTATCAAATACATTTCAAATTCAATGAATAAATGAATGATTTATATTAAGTAATGTTAAAATAAGTTAAAACATGTTTCATTTACTGAAAATCTTTATGATAGGGACGATATGGCCAGAATGGGAGTGAATGCGGAAATGACTGGGGATAGAAAAGAATGGAAGAGGAAAACATATTACGCCGACCCCAAATAATAATTGGGAATTATTATTTATTCATTAGAGAGGAAGATGATGATGATGATTTACTGAAAATCTTCACTTCTCTTATTCCACTCTTCTTTATTTTGAACTTTAATAAACCTGTTCGATAAATAGAAATCCTGTCCATAAATAATATTTAATGACGGTTTTAAGTTTATAAATTAAAATATATTAATATCTGGATATATATAACAATTGTGACTAAAGTGTCTAAAATCAATGTACAATTTTTTTAATTTGTATTGTGTATATTTTTCTTTCGTGTATTGTCCGTGTAGGTCCTGGTATAGAATATACCACCTTTCTCTTTCCCGTGGGTGTCGTAAGAGACGACTAAGGGAGGGCGAGAGATGGGCAGTAGCGACTCTCTTAAAATATCTCAAAAGACTAACAACAGTTGCCAAGGAAATGCTGTTATGATGTGATGATATTTTTCTTTCGCTTATATATACAGACTTTGCACAAAAGTCGATTGCTTGGGTACCTCCGTCGCATTCGTGTTTCAACCGTGAAGCAGCTGTGTTTGAATGGTTGTGTTTCGGTTTGAAGGGTGGGATATGGCGTGAATTTACTGTGTACAGAGGAATAACACCTGAGTCCTCAGGAATGGCAACGCATGGGGGGTATCATGGGCGAAACAGTATACTCTGTTATGTCCACGGTACTGCTCATGTCTATAGGCGACGGTTACCACTTTCCATCAGGTGGACCGTTAGCTTGTTTGACATTCTAAGTTATATAAAATATATATATAAAAAAATATTTAGAAATAGCTAATTTATAGAAAAATATGTTTTATAAGTATAAATAAAACAAAAATTGATTACAATTGCATAACGATTACGTAATAAAAATAGTTATTTGCGATTATGTTTTAGTTGAAACTTCTGCAGCACAGATCATTACTAGCATGGATTCTATAAATGTCTCAGTTTATTCTCATTTACACTTTTCTTGCGTAATTCATTTTTTTTTATTAATTTATTTGTCTATTTATTTATTGGTATACCAATAGTATTACATATAGTTTGATATAATACAACACTTAATATAGGCATGATAACATATGCATAATTTTTTTATAAATGTACACATCATTGGCTATATAACAGTCATGCTATATGGAAATATTTAATTACTTAAATTATTAGTACTTGTTACAAGAGTACTATTGCAAGGAAGATACAGAAGATATTAGAATAGAAATCATTTATTCAAATAAACTTACATTGAAGCACTTTTGAAAAGTCATTACATTTTTTTTTAATCTACCGCTTTCTACCGCTATCTTATTTAGATTCACTCTTAGAATAGAATAGAATAGAAACATTTATTGCCATACAATTATAATATAAAATATAAATAACATATACAAAAAGTGTCCCACACGCGACAAAAGGAACCGGCTCAGCTGATGCTGTGAGTGTCCCAGCGCAATGTGAACAGCTGCACAGCGCTGGTTTTCAGCCAGTCCCTCTCTTAACAAAACAACCAAAGTGCAGGGCACCACTTTACATTACTTTTTACAAGAATTATTTCTCGATAATAATTAAAAAAAAAAATACCTTAGACACGTTCTAGGAAAACAATCCAACGTAATCACCTAGTCTCTATCATATCTCTCTATTACAGAAAAAATCTCTTATCTTTACAGCATAAAACAAATATAAGTCATTAGTCATTAGTCATTTATTCAAAAAACAATGTACATTGTGTCTGAAATAAGGGATAAACATACAAAAATCATTACATTAACCTGAATATTACAACCATCCAAACTATAATAATAACAATAAATTATATAATAAATAAATTCTGCAATAAACAGTGTCAACTTCATCGTAATATTTATATACATATGTCAAATTTATTTTTAATTATTTACATCAATCAACAGTACAGAAGTCATGTACGGAGTAGTAACATTTCTCCAATAAAAGGGGTCGTAATTTAATCTTAAAAGAATTGAGACTTGGTATAATTTTTAACTCGACAGGTAATTTATTAACTTCAAATGAATCATTTTCAGTATTGGTCTTAGCTATTCACGTGAAATAGATTTTTTTTTTTATTTTATACCATGGAGGTGGCAAACAAGTATACAACCATATATGCAGTATCCAGTCTGAAAATAAATGGTTATTGTAGCCTATGGACGCCTACAACACTAGGGGTATCACGTGCGCATTGCCGACCCTGAAGAAAACTTAATATACTTTTATTGAGTATATTAAGTTTATAAAGGGAGACTTTGTACAAAAGTCAATTGCTTGGGTACCTCTGTCCCATTTGTGTTTCAACCGTGAAGCAGTTGTGTTTGCATGGCTGTGATTCGGTTTGAAGGGTGGGATATGGCGTGAATTTACTGGGTAAAGAGGAATAACACCTTGATTCCTCAGGAATGGTAACACATGGGGGGTATCATGAGAGAAACGGTATACTCTGTTACGTCCATAGTCTATAGGTGACGGTTACCACTTTACATTAGGTGGACCGTCAGCTTATTTGCCATTCTAAGTTGTATAAAAAAAAAAAATTAAGAACGCCATACTGTCTTCTATAAGGAAAACTTCATTAAAAGAGTTAAAGAGTTTTTTTGGTATATCTTTTTCATTCTCCATCTCGCGTATTCAAAGAAACCAAATATTAAAATTTATACATTCACTGGTAATTTATTTTTGTCGTTTAAGGCGTTATTCATTAATTAAATAGATTGAATGTTATTTAACCTTTATGTTTTACTTCCCAATAAAGTTGTCTTACTTCTTAAATATATTTTTTATTAATTTACAACCATGATATAAGAAATAAGATATGGAAAGAACAACAATGATATAAATAGATAAAAAAAACATAGATATTACTATACACATAAACTCAACATAAAATATTTTCATCAAATTCTGATCTGCTATAATTATAACATGTAATGTTGTGCCAATGAATTCAAATAAATCTCTTAATAATAATCTTATACCGCGATATTAAAAGTAAATGTACTTGAAAGAAAAAAATATAATAAAAGTAAAAACAAACTAACAATATTTAGTTCTACTTTTGCTCAAACTGTGAATGAATTAATGATTAAAAACTCTTTTTGTGTAAACTGTGTACTATGTACTTTTTTTTTTATTATATTCGTATTACAATTATGTATTGTATACTTTAATGTTTTTTTTTTATTTGCAGCCATGGAGCGTCTACTGATTCTTTTCCTTTTCATCGGTGTTGCATTCTGTGACCCAAGTTACAGATTGAGCACACCAATAAAGCCATCTGCATACAATATTAGAATATCGCCAATCTTCGATAGCCCAGAACCTGTTGCCTTCGATGGTGAAGTTACTATTATCTTCAGAACTGACACGCCAATAAATCAGATCCAGCTGCACTCTTCAGATCTTAATTTCACGACTACCGATATAACGCTGACTCCATCTATAGCCATCACGTCTCTGAGCTTTAATGAGACCTTACAATTCGCTTTTATAAATCTAGCAAGTGATTTACAAGCGAACATTGATTATTCCTTGACAATCGTATACAGGGGGCCTGTCAGGACAGATCTGTATGGTTTCTACGGTGGCATTTATACGGAGAATGGCCAGAGAAAGTGAGTATTTTATTTATATTTTTATTCCTAATAACAGTCAATTATTTTAAATTACTTTAAAATTTATTTTTACTTTCAAAATTGATACTGCCCACCCCGCCAAGACGTAGCATGAAAATATAGATAAAAAATGTTAATAGTCAACTAAGTAATAGTAACATTATAAAAATTCTTGCATGATAATTAAGTGGCATTATTGCATTAAAAAGGAACCTTATTTGTACCGATTCAAGATACTTTTTAATAATACTGAGATTTAAAAATATTTTTATACTAAATGCGAAATTTGCATTTGAGAATCTCAAAATATACTAAGTTAAAAATTGATTTAACCGTAAATACACTTGACCCATATAACTGAAATATAAAGTGGAATTTTTTCGAATTGCAAAATTAAATATTTAGTCCAGTATATTGTAGTACTGTCATTATTTACCAGAGTGAGACTTTGTACATAAGTCGCATGCTTGGGTACCTCTGTCCCATTCGTGTTTCTACCGTGGAGCAGTTGTGTTTGCATGGCTGTGTTTCAGTTTGAAGGGTGGGATATGGCGTGAATTTAGTGGGTACAGAGGAATAACACCTGAGTCCTTAGCAATGGCAATGCATGGGGGGTATCATGGGCGAAACAGTATACTCTATTATGTCCATGGCACTGCTCATGTCTATAGGCGACGGTTACCACTTTCCATCAGGTGGGCCGTCAGCTTGTTTGCCATTCTAAGTAGTATAAAAATATATATTTAAAACGCTGATGATCCAAACAAAAGTAATAAACGTGACCTTTATACATTAATTATATTATAAAAAAATAACTGTATTGTATTGTAAAATCTTATTATACATATTTTATATTGGATACATCAAAAAGATTTAATATACAATAGTGGCTTTATCCCATAGAGTCAACATTCGAGAAGCTGAAAGAAAACTATGGAATGTTCTAGGGAAATAACCGTACAGTTAAAGATAAAACTCAATAATACCTAGTTACAAATTAAACATATAATAAAAAGTAACTGTATATACCTACATATATAAATAATAATAATAATACATAACAAAAACAATAATATAAGAATAGTATAACATTGACAATGTTAGAAATTACACTGGCTATATATTCACAACGAAGCACAATGCATAATTATTGCTGCTTCATAGTGTAAACACAGAACATACAAAATATATCCACTTGACACTGTTTATGTAATGATTTAGTAGAATTATACCTATCTACCTATTGATGGCTACATATCAAACATCACAATGACATTCTGAAGAAGCTCTCAGACGTAAATACTTATGATACGCTATAGATTGTGAAACAATTCCTGTCAATGTTATCAAGTATACTGCAAATTTCTGTTACGGGCTTGATATTTAAAATATATTGTTTCAATGAGTTGACATTTTCACGTGACATATTGTAAGTTATGATTACATAATATTATATTTTATGACTAGCGACCCGCCCCGGCTTCGCACGGGAACACGTTACATCACATTAGAAACCTCTAAAATTAGCAATGTTTCTCTAAAATATTATGCATGTATTAAACATATAAACCTTCCTCTTGAATCACTCTATCTATTAATGGAAACCGCTTCAAAATCCGTTGCGCAGTTTTAAAGATTTATGCATACATAGGGACGGACAGACAGCGACAGTGACTTTGTTTTATACTATGTAGTAATTTTGCCGTGTGATCCCGGCATAGAATAGGCCATCTCTTCCTTTCCCGTCGATGTCATAAGAGGCGACTAAGGGAATTTAATGGTCGAGAGATAGGCAGCAACGTCCCTCTTAAAACATTACCAAAGGTTAACTATGGTTGCTAATCCGCATGCGAATTACTGGCAAAATTCCCCTTATGAGAAAGGATTATGTTCAGCAGTGGATAGTTAACGTCTGATATATTAATGCTGATTTTATAATATAATTAAATCTATAACCAGAATAACATCTGTTAAAGAATTTAGGAACCTAATTAGAATTAGGAAGACTGAGGAATTAATGAGATTATGTAGGAAATTTATAAAATATAATTATAAAATACTAAAGAAGAATAAATAAGTGCTATATTATGTCTACTTCGTTAATATACTTTATTAATTTATCAGAGAGAGACTTTGTTTGCTTAGGTATTGGGCACCTCTGTCCTATTCGTGTTTCTATTGTAATATATTAGAAGTGGATTTTCCGAATTTATTTTTACACGTAGATAGTTATGAAGTAAACTCCCATTTAAATATAGATTACAGTGAAGCAGTACAAAACATAATTGCAGTCTTAGATAAATTACAGCATGAGTTATGATAAGAGAATAAATAACAAATGGAATTGTGGACATTTCGCTGTACAATGTAATCTACTGGTTTTAATAAGTTATATAACGTATAATATAATAAATACCATACTTTTTTGTATACCTTAATTATATCCACACTAAAAAAATTAATTATCGACACTAAAAAATAAAATTAGCCCTGTGGTCCCGGCATAGAATAGGCCACCCCATCCTTTCCCGTGGCTGTCGTAAAAGCCGACTAAAGCGAGCGATTAAGCGAGGGATGGGCAGCAGCGTCCCTTTAATAACATATCTAAAGCCTGACTGCGGTTGCCAATCCGCCTGTCGAGCGTGGCAACTATTGGTAAAACCCCTCTAGGGGTAGGCTAGTTTTCAGTACTGGACAGTTAGGCTAATATGATGAAGAAAATTAGAGAAATTTATAGTGATACTGAAATTTATTTACATAAAATATATATGTATATTATACACTTATAAAAAACAAATGGCGGTATTATCTTTAAAGCAATCTTTACCAGATACCCTTAGAAGAAGAGAAAGGAAAAAGACGGTAGCTATGTACACAAGTATATCTAACAAAAAAATGCTCGTGTTAAAAAATATATGCAAATAATTGTATGAATACCATACATAATACTCGTAGTAAATTGTAGTGGTCAAACATAATGGTACGATCAAAGTATTATAAATTATTCTTTTTTTCTTTTTATTACCAAATTGACCGTTCTATTTCCAATATAGCAACTATTAGCTGTGTCCCGTGATTTTACACACGTAAATACATAAAGTATCCTATGTACTAAGTAAGGATATAATTTACCTATGTTGGTACATATGCGTACATCTCTTCTAAGTAGTTCTTGACAGTGAAAGAGTAATAAATCTCTATCCATCCAACGTTTTATAGCATTTTATATGTGATTCTTTAAATTGATATATTTTTTTTATTTATGAACCTATTGAAATAAACACTTAATATTAAGTGGAACAAATCGAAATGCACTAATTAAAATTATAAATAATAAAAATACACTGGTTAAGCCGTTTCTGAGATTAGCTTGCATAACAATTAGACAAAATTTCTAAAAATAATGTTTGTTTTCGGTTTTGCGTTTACAAAGCTCCCCTGTAATAGTTTGTCTTATACATATTCCATGTACAGACAGCGACCAGTTACGATTTTATTATATGTATTGATTACAAACCTGTTGTCCTTGGTTTTAGAACCAGATCAATAGTATGATAAGACACGTAACTGTTATCGTGATATTGATATATTTTTTTTTGTGTTAGAAAATTCTGACAGACAATATAGATTATGATCTTTACTCATTGTAATAATAATTGTAACATCATCGTCATCATCATTTCAGCCATTATCTGTCCACAGCTGGACATGAACCTCCCCCGTGGACTGTAACATATAATGTAATAATTTGTGTTTTAAGAAATAGCAATGAGTAATATATTTAATTTCATTACCATTACATACAGTTTTTTTTTATACAACTTAGAATGGCAAACAAGCTGACGGCCCACCTGATGGAAAGTTATAACCGTCGCCTATAGACATGAGCAGTACCGTGGACGTAACTGTAGTATACTGTTTCGCCCATGATACCCCCCATGCGTTGCCATTCTTGAGGACTTAGATGTTATTCCTCTGTACCCTGTAAATTCACGCCATATCCCACCCTTCAAACCGAAACACAGTCATGCAAACACAACTGCTTCACGGTAGAGACACGAATGGGACAGAGGTACCCAAGCAATCGACTTTTGTACATTAAGAGGTTAAGAATCACACCAGCTCCTTAATACACTGGCTTTCTGTGTAGAAAGGTATCACCTAATATAGCAATATTAGAGGGAAACTGATTGTTAGCAATGGAGTTTGACAGCCCCATTGCTAGCAATATGTCCTATACCTCCCACGCGGAAGTCGACCTAATAGGGCATATTGCTATAAATCCTCCACTCTCCAATTCTTGTTGAATTCGTCACGATGGGCTAACTGGCCTGCTTCATCCTCACCTGTCATCCTTCACTGGTGCCCCGTCAGTGTATACCGATAGCACGGATGGTGTTACCATTCCATTATCATACATTAATATATATAGCAATATCTATTTATTTTAGTTAACTCAGTAACGAATATTCAATGTATCGAATATTATTGGGCGATATTGGATTGGGCGATGGAGTTTTTTCCGCTACAAATATTCAGAGGAATCTAACATATATTACCCATGCCTTAAGGAAGTTTAAATTTAAATATTCGAATTACTAGATACTTCAAAAATGAAACATAAACAAATAGGTAGATGTTTCTTATACGATTTACCAGCTAATGTTTGCAAAATGATTAGACTAACATATTTTCGTGTAAGACAAACATGAGTCTTGGATAAATATCATCAGTGAAAATAATTCGTTATCTCAAACGCTTTTAGTCGAGTTTTAGATTATTACTCATTCTTTTTCCTGTTGATCTTAGCTATACTTTTGTAACGTTATCTAAAACTGTAAGGTTTGCTTCTAGACAAATTATTTTCAAATTTACTAACGTAATATGAGTTTTAAAATTGTTCTATACTATTGTTATAAAGATATCCGCAAAACAACCAAAATAATCGACATAGCCCGAAGGATAAGCAAGCTGAAGTGGCAATGGGCTGGTTATATAACTCGAAGAACCGACAACCGATGGGGAAGAAAGGTTCTTGAGTGGCGACGACCCCCCACTAGATGGAGTGACGACATGATATGCATTGGCGGGAGTTAATGGATGCAGGTGGCTCGGGACCGTTCTTTATGGCAGTCTACGGGGGAGGCTTGTTGTCCGGCAGTGGACGGATGATCGTTGAATAATTACTCTTTATAACAATCATTATCATCATGATGATTGTTATAAAGGGGACATATTTGATTTTTTTTTTCTGCAATGAATAAATTCAAAAACTACTAAACCCATTTTAATAAAGCTACATTATCAGCAAGTAAAATACGTTATATATAATTTTCGAAAATTTGATCTATTCATGCGAAGTCGGGCCGGATCTTTAGTATTAAATACAGATAGATAGATAATTTATTTACACATAACAATACATATATACACATAATACACACATACACAGTAAAAAGAGTGAAAAACAAAAAAAAGCAAAATATATAAAACAACAATTTCCATCTTTCGTGCGTGTGCCATAGTAACACAAAATGGTCACAACTCAGTTTATGGTTTTGCCCTCAAAAGAGCAAAATACTGATATACTGTTGTGGCCAAGAGCCAGTCGCGAAATTCCTTATTACAGCAATAATAAATTACAGCAATTCTTAGACTTTATTTAACACAGCTGCGTTATGGTTTTCATATCAGATAACAAGATTGTACAAATAGTTCGTGAATCAGTATGGAAGTATACTAAAAAAAGAATTGGGTAGAATACGTTTTGTTTCACATATTAAAAAAAAACATAATCGCTTTTTTATAAAACAAATTATTAAAAAAAAAATAGCCAGTTTCAGTTGGAACAATGTATAAATCATAACAATACATCCAAACCTGTCTAGACATTCAAAAGTCATGATGGAATATAAGAACTCATATATAGACATGAATCCTAAAAATTTTACACTCCTTTTATGCGCAGTTGTGTAAAAATGCTTTTGTACAATTATTATAAGAAATAGGTAGCTATAAGTATATAAAACAAAAATAAAAATTAGATAATCATTTCTAGATAGTAAAAAAAAAACATGCACCAAATTTTAAATTGGATCTTCAGAATTATAATTGTGTATCGCATTCAAGCAGTTTTTATGTAACACTGGAACAAATGTACAGACAGGCAAACAGGCAAAAATTCTAAAACGTACTATTATGGAATATATTGTTCTTATCCAATATTATCACAATTATCTTCTACCAGAGGAAGACTTTGTACAAACGTCGATTGCTTGGGTACCTCTGTCCCATTCGTGTTTCAACCGTGAAACAGTTGTGTTTGCATGGCTGTGTTTCGGTTTGAAAGGTGGGATATGGCGCGAATTTACTGGGTACAGAGGAATAACACCTGAGTCCTCAGGAATGGCAACGCATGGGCGAAACAGTATACTCTGTTATGTCCATGGTACTGCTCATGTCTATAGGCGACGGTTACCACTTTCCATCAGGTGGACCGTCAGCTTGTTTGCCATTCTAAGTTGTATATAAAAAAAATGTTCAGGCATCGTCTAGGTACTTAGAATTTTATTACACGAGTAACAGTAAAAATATCAAAGTTACCATGGTATAAACAACGCATCCTTAAAGATATATCTAAACTGATTACGTAATTTCAGATGGGTGGGCGCAACACAAATGGAGCCGACACACGCAAGGCAGACATTCCCGTGCTTCGACGAGCCTCAATTAAAAGCTACCTTCACTATAGCATTAGATAGACCGGCAAATTACACAACTGTATCGAATATGAAGAGGGAAAGTACAACTGATCTGTAAGAATTATATTTATTTATTTACTCTATATTATCGTGTGGTACCAGCATCGAGTAGCCCACCGTTCCCTTTCCCGTGGGTGTCGTAAGAGGCGACTAAGGCGAGACGCTGCTATCCATAGCAGCGTCCCTCGTAAAATATAATTACCACATAGACATAAATATAATAATATAAATATAAACACTAACATAAACTAGAGGGAGACTTTGTACAAAAGTCGTTTACTTAGACACCTCTGTCCCATTCGTGTTTTTACCGTGAAGCAGTTGTTTGCATGGCTATGTTTTAGTTTGAAGGGTGGGATATGGCAGTGAATTTACAGGGTACAGAGGAATAATACCTAAGTCTTTAGAAATGGCAACGCATGGGGGGTATCATGGGCGAAACAGTATACTCTGTTATGTCCATGGTACTGCTCTATAGGTGACGGTTACCACTTTACATCAATGGGCCGTCAGCTTGTTTGCCATACTAAGCTGCATAAAAGAAAAATAACCCAAAAGCCTAACTGTGGTTGCCAATCCGCCTACCAAGCGTGACAACTAATGACAAAACCTGATGATGATGACGTCATTATCTAATGTTATAGTATTATGTACGATGATATATTATAGACATAGACATATAATTTTAAGTATATGTTCCAATAATTTTTTTAAAGTTAATTAAGACCTTTCTAACTTCTTAACACATTGTTAATGAGTTTTCATTATTTTCGCATTATCTTTTGATTTTATGACAATATGACAACCAGTCTTTGGAATCAACTTCCAGCAGCAGTATTTCCGAACCGATACGACAACATAACCATTAAGAAAAGAGCATATTCCTTTTTAAAAGGCCGGCAGCGCACCTGCAATGCCGTTAATGTTGTGGGTGATCATGGGTGGCGGTAGTCACTTACCACCAGGTGAGCCGCATGCTCGTTTGCCCCCTGTGTTGTAAAAAAAATATATATATTTTTGTTTTTGTTTCAGGCCAAATGGTTATCAAAGAGACTTGTATTACCCAACACCGATCATGTCTACATATCTAGTAGCATTTGCAGTGTCACAATTCGTTCTCGCAAATCAATCACCCAATCCTAGTCGATCTGTCGGTATTTATGTAAGACCAGACGCCGCCAATCAAACTGATTTTACATACGAGTTTGCCGTAAAAGTTGTTGATAGGCTGGGTGAATATTTCAATGTAGATTACTTCGCAACAAATCCAAATCTGAAATTGGATCATATAGGCTTACCTGATTTCAATGCTGGGGCAATGGAGAACTGGGGTTTAGTAACATACAGGTTTGTTTATTATTGAATGTAACATACCTTTTCCCATGTAATATTTTCAAAGTTTTTGATAGAATACTGCTACATTTTAGATACACTATCAGAACTTCATCTTCCGGTTTGTAGACTGATTTTCTTTATTAAAGAAGTTTTGACGTAGATTGCACAAAGTCGAAATCTCAGCAATAAAGAAGCAAGTATGTAGGTACTATTTACGTGCAAAAATTTTTCATCGCATCAAGTCCCGATAGTGTATTTAAAATATATTTGAAAAATGCGAAAGTTTAAAATACTGAGGTGAGTTTTCACTCTCACTTTTTTGTATTCTACAATTTTGTTTTTACAAAAGGCAACACATTCTTTAATGATAGATAGATAGATACATACTCTTTATTATTTCCTCCATAAGATTACAATAGTTAACTTATTATAAATACAAACAATTACAATAAAAATATTACACTGAGAAAACAATGGGTAGCCAAAGGCTCGCTAAGAGCTCATAATAGTTGAGCTCCATAATAGTTTAATAAAGGTATATTATTTAGAAATATATAAAAAAGAAACAAGGATTGTCAGCGATTATATAAGTGCTAAAAATCCTGTCCCTAATACTATAATAACTACAGAAGGAATACACAAAAAATATTTTTTAATCCATTTATTTTAGCAAAGATAATATTATTTTCTAACTAGCTTTTTGCGCGTTCATTCGTACAAGAGGATTTTAAAAGTAGGAAATCCAATTAAATATATTACTTTTAAATAAAGAAAGAAGATAAAACGCATAACAGATTTTAAGTTAAACCTTCAGGAACACAATTGAGAAAACCACATCCAATTTGGAACAGTGATTTAAACATACAGACCGATACTAATGCATTGCGGTTTGCTCCACTTAAAATTTAGTGTTTGTTTTATTTCAATCGGTTCATAAATAATAAAAGTTATATTAATATAAAGAATTACATATAAAATGCTATAAAATAACCGATCAGTTGAATTGGCTGATTTTTTTTTTATGTATATGTATTGATTTTCGAAAATTCTGTCTTCTCACACTAAGCCTGTTTGGATCGCTAGTTTTAAATAATATCATAGAATCGGTATTTATTTTAATGTTTACAAAAACTATTTACAGAGAATCTCTAGTCCTTTATATACCTGAAGATTCGTCAGCTTATTACAAATACAGAGTGGCACAAATTGTTGCCCATGAAACCACTCATATGTGGTTTGGAAACCTTGTCACTTGCCACTGGTGGAGCGATGCCTGGCTTAATGAAGGATTTGCCAATTATTTCCAGGACTACATTACTTCTTTGGTCAGTATTAGTTTCGGAATACATACCAGCTATTAGTTATAAATTGGTATTAATTATATTCTGATGCATCTTCTTGTCTATGTTAAATTGTTTTTTTGTTATATATTAAAAAAAGTAAAAATATATATCATACTAGATATAGCTCAGATAAATAGTTTTCATGATTTAAAACATTAAATCTTACTCACCGAAAAAAAATGTATTGCTAGTATGTGCGAATGTGTATGTGTGTGCATGTGTATGTGTGTGCATGTGTATGTGTGTGCATGTGTATGTGCGTGTGCGTGTGTGCGCGCACGCGAGCACGCCTGTGTGTGTGTGTGTGTGTGTGTGTGTGTGTGTGTGTGTGTGTGCGTGTGTATGTGTGTGTATAAGTGCAGTTTTGTCTGCCATTATTTGTGCCTGCGTCAGATGCATGTTGTTCTTCCTATCATATATGCTTCTCTCTTAGAATGCGATATTTGTAATTTTTATTATTAAATATTTAATAATTTGTATTATTAAATAAGTGTATTTTATCTTTTTATGAATTTTTAATTGCAGATAGAGCCAGAAATAAGATCAGACAACATACTTGTAACCGGCTCAGTGTACAGTGCATACAACGCTGATGAATCCCCGTCCGCTACACCCATCTCCAACCCAAACGTGTACACGCCATCACAGATCAGCGGTAACTTCGGTACCATTACATATCAGAAAGGTGGTTCTGTTATTCGTATGATGCATCACCTGATCGGCGACGAGGCATTTAGGGCGGGACTGAATAGTTATTTAACGAATTCGTGAGTAATTTTATATATAATACTGAATGCTTTTTTTGTCTTTCGAAAAAATTGTGTTATTAAGGATTTTATAGGACCAATCTGTAACTACATCCTTCTAAGACAAAAAAAAATATTAATCCAAATCGGTTTAGAAATAACATAGTTTTATGAGGTAATAAACGTAAAACAATACATTCGAATTGAGAATCTACTTCTTTTTTAATTCGATCAAAAAGAATTTAATTCGGAATGACCGATAGAATTATAAAAAAATTACTATTAAAATTTTTTTATTTTCTTGCATAATAATTATTTTTTCTTTAATTTTTATTAAATGCAAAGGTGGTATCAAATTTTCTCATTTCAAAATATAATTGCAGGAGACTAAGCTCCGGTTACCCAGAGCAATTGTATGCGGGTTTGAATACTGGAGTACAGACGTACGACTCTTTGGCTGCGTACCCTGGCTTCAACATTAGCGGCGTCATGGGTTCGTGGATTAGTCAGCCAGGCCATCCTGTTTTGGAAGTGAACGTTGATTATGCAAACAAAACCGCTACCTTAACTCAGGTATCTTTTTTTAATATGAATTTTTTATCACCTCACAACAGATCGCTATAGCAATCTTGCCATATTGTAAACAGTTTTCTCTAGGAGTACCTTATATACATGTTACTCATATTTTTGCATAGCTGTGTTCGTATCGCTGCATTCAGCCTTAAAGTTATTATTATATAACAACACCATGAGTGGCATGTTGCTATTTCTGATGACTAAGATATATAGTTGTCCTGTAAATTCTAGTCTATCACAACGAAACATAGCCATGTAAACACAGTCCCTACGTAGTAGAAATAACTTAGCAAAAACATTTTGGGGTCATTGCACGCATTCATATAGCTTACTTCTGCAGCTGAAAATCAGTGCTTTACTTTTAAGCAAAACTATCACTGAGCTGCAGCCTATTTGGGACACTGCGACATACATGGCGAAAACATATTTTTGTATTATATCTTTTGTTTTATTTTTATAATTATATAATCCATTTGATTGTATGAATTCAGTTGTTAATGGCTCAAATAAAGTGTTTATCTAACTATCTAAATTATATTGTATAATATTTTTATTACAAATTTTTCCATGTTTTTTATTTCAGAGGCGCTTCTACTCGAACTCAAGTCATCAGTCAGATGAAATATACCAAATCCCTATAACTTACACGATCAGTGATTCGATAGATTTCACAAATACTAAACCAGCTTTCATATTGGGTGATAGAAGTATCCAAATTGATTTAAACATAACAGAAAACTCTTGGGTTTTGTTCAATATCCAAGAAACAGGTATGTGAGTTTTTATTTCTAGTTTACCTGGAGTAGTTACTACGTAGGTACAATGTTTCACGAAAATTTTTAAGGATTTTGTCCTGGTATTCTGGTTTTCTAGCCTGGAAATGTAGACAGTCTGACTTTTAAAACTTTGCAAGCTATGTAAATTTATATATGTTTTTTTATACCATGAAGGTGATCAATAAGCATTCAGCCCATCTGATGGTAAACGGTCACTGTACCAACAATCTGTTTTACTAATAGTTGCCACGCTTGGCAGACGGGTTGACAATCGCAGTTAGGCTTTGGTGGTTTGTTTCAAGATGGACGCTGCTGCCCATCCCTCGACCATAAAATTGCCTTAGTCGCCTCTTACGATACCCGCGAGAGAGAAAAGGGTGGCCCATTTTATATCGAGACCATGAATGCAAATATATAGATGTAATAAAAAAAATACTTACAATGAAATTTTTTTTTATACAACTTAAAATGGCAAACAAGCTGACGGCCCACCTGATGGAAAGTGGTAACTCTGTAAACTCTAATTCCTTTAAATATCAAATAGATAATATTATTAATAAAGTAAATTAATAATTGTATTGCAGGTTTATACCGAGTTAATTACGACGACGCGTCATGGAATAGAATTGCAAATGCATTGAAAGGCGAAGATAGACTCAAAATCCATAATCTAAATAGAGCTAAGGTATGTTTATCTAATATATATAATAACGAAAACATTTAAAAAAAGGTTCTTGCTCTCTCCTACTTGCTGTGCCCAACAGGGTCCACAATTGAAGTTGAAATGTTATCTACCAACCATGTTATGGAATGCAATAAGAAATGAATAAAAAAAAAAAAATACAGAAAAAAAATATCAATCGTAAACTATTAGTTTCTAGTATTGATATTATATGATTGTTTGTTTTTTTTTTGATACAACTTAGAATGGCAAACAAGCTGACGGCCCGCCTGATGAAACGTGGTAACCGTCGTCTATATACATGAGCAGTACTATGGACATAACAGAGTATACTGTTTTACCCATGATACTTCCTATGCGGTGCCATTCCTGAAGATTCAAATGTTATTCTTCCGTACCTTGTAAATTTACTGCTACATTCCACCCTTCAAACCGAAACGCAGCCATGCAAACACAATTGCTTCACGGTCAAAATACGAATGGGACAGAATTTTCCAAGCAAACGACTTTTGTACAAAATCTTCCTTTGTTACTCAATCAAATTTAAATGGCTAAACGAATTTGAATGAAATTTGGTATTTGGTTAGGTTTTATCCTCATTTAATACATAGCATACTTCATATACTGGTTCACATGGTTTCCAGAGGGAACCACGTGGAGGTCGACCTCACAGGGCATATAGCTAGCAATGAATATCGCTTGGAATTCAATATGATAGTTTCCAGGAGGTACCACTAAAAGGCCGACTTGGCTGGGTATATTTCTGGCAATAGTGTTCTTAGTCTCCATTACTAACAATTTCTTCCCCCCCTCTCCGGGCGTGCCATGTTAACGTAGACAAGATTGTCTATCAAGTTGATATGCACATTTCTTGTTTCAGATCGTCAATGATTTGTTCGCATTCTATTTTGCTGATGAGATACCGTTTGAAAGGTTGTATAGCGTTATAGAATATCTCGCATTGGAGGATGATTACTCAGTGTGGTTGGCAGCTCTTAGTGGTTTAAAGAAGCTGAGAAGTCGCTACTTGGGATCTGATGTGTTGGGCGATCTTGAGGTAAGTATTTTTTTATATGAGTTTTCTCGACTAAATTACATGTAAGTTAAACTGGTAGTTATTACTTTAAAAAATAAAGATTGTTAGGGCACCTGATGAAATTTGAATTTCATAAGGAGTACTAAAAAAAAATATGATTTACTTATTTTATTATACGTAAAGAATATTCAGTGCAATATAAATAGTTATGAATACAAATGTTTGTAATGACGGTAATCGAATCTGTGACGGAAGATAAGATGTGTTAAGACACTATACCACTAAGGTACTGCTTGCCATCGACAGGGAGTTCACCCTCATACCTTACAGTCTAAATGGTCGCGTACAACGCGGTTTCAGAGATGTTTTCTCCCACGAACACTCAGGTCATGGAATGAGCTTCCTGCCGAGGTTTTCCCAAGAGACTACAGCATGGGGTTCTTCAAAAGGGGGACAAAGAGGTTTCTTTAGGGTCGGCAACGCGCGCGTTATACCTCTGGTAATGCAGGCGTTCATAGGCTACGGTAACCGGTTACCATCAGGTGGGCCGTATGCTTAATTGCCACCTCAGTGGTATAAAAAAAAAGGTTTAACTGCATATTTATTGTTACAGAGAACTGCATTACAGTTGGCTCGTCATGCAATTAATGAATTAGGTTACCATCCGAGGGAGACTGACGATTTTGAATCGCTTAGAAATCGCTTGGAATTATTGGAATTCGCTTGCGATGTCGGCGATGCCGAGTGCATACAGCACACTGTGGCTCTATTCAGAGGTTTGGTCGACAATAACGTAGAGTGAGTTCCGTTAGATATTTTTTTATCATTATTTTAGTAGTATTATTATGGGATATTACAGTGAAATTATAGGGGGCAAAGGCATGACACATTAGGCCTTAGAAATGGCAACATATAAGGGATATCACAGGTTTTACAGTATATTCTATGATGCCCATGATGCTGTTCATGTTTATAGGCAACCATGCCACTTTTCATTACGTGGTCCATCAGGATGAAAGAAAAATGTACTATACCATAAAATTTCATATTATATTAATATTTATTACTATTTTTATCTACATAAGTATATTCAACTATAAATACAAAGTTTATGTACAAATTAAAAAGAAATGACCCACTGTCCAGTGTTTAAATATATTATTCAATTTTATTATTTGGTGGCAATATAAAATTTTGCTATAAAAAAATCATATTAGTCGCTTTGCAATAAGAAAAAGTGATTTATTACGTCATACAAAATAACATGGAATCAGTATGGGAGTAAATCCTATCTCAGTAGATAGAGAAATATCAAATCTAATTCAGATTAAGCTACGAGTAAAACATAGAGTAACAAAAACGTAGAGCGTAGACATCAGGCGAGTAGACGGTCGTAAAACTAAAAGCCGAAATCTTAATAATATGGACAAAAACATATTATGCCGACCCCAAATATTAGGGACAAGAGCAGTAAGATAATGATGGATACAGTAACATAGACAAAAAGTACATACTGATTAAGGACTTGCAAGTCCTGATATAGAATGGACCACCCCATCTTTTATTGTGGCTATCGTAAGAGATGAATAAGGGAATTTAATGGTCGAGGAATAGGCAGTAGCCTAAATGCAGTTGTCGACTTGCCTGCCAAGCGTGGCAACTACTGGAATAAAAGCCCTATACTCGTATGGGGGATATCTATGTTTAGTAGTGGATAGTTCGCGTCTGATAATGAATTGAGGATTTTTTTTAACATCGTTAATTGTACTTTTTAAAATATTTAGGGTACCAGCCAGTATTAGATCAGTGGTATACTGTAACGGACTCCGCCAAGGTGTCGCTGGAGATTATGATTACCTTTGGAATCGAATGCTCACCACAAACGTGGCGAATGAGGAACGGACCATCTTAGATGTACTTGGGTGTACATCAAACAAAGAAAAAATTGTAAGGTTGGTAACATTAACTAATCTATGCAAAAAAAAAAAATCAAATTTCCAAATATGAAACGGATTATTTTAGAACGGTTTTATCTATTTGGCTATTTTTTTTTATTTGTAATTAACAAAAAAAGGTTTGTATTAAAAATATTGTTCAGTGATCTACCCGCTGACATTATTGCTCCTTTTCACTTTGGGTTTGTTGGAAGAGAACTCTTTTAGAGTTAAGCTTGCCTTTGTGTAATTGATTACCTATGTCATATTTTTATGAATAATTAATATGTACAGTGAAGTATTAAAAAAATAAAAAAAAAAATAAAAAATCGTAGAAACAAGTAAAACAAGATTTTTAATCTTGGTATTTGTCTAATTTTTTTCTCTAATTAACGCGTACAAAGCCGGATGGATAATTTATGGATAGAGAAAATTTATTATAGGACAAATTTTCAGACAAAGTACTAGGATAGTAGATTCGTGCAGGAATGTAACTACATACTTGCTATGTAACTATAATAAATGTTGTTTTCAAATTGACAAATAGGCAACGCGCACGTGAAACCCCTAGAGTTGCAGGCTTCCATAGGCTACAGTGACTGTTTACCATCAGAGGGGCTGTATGTTTGTTTACTACCTTCATGGTATAAAAAAAATAGTGATATCCTATTCTTTTGACAGCCAGTGGAATTTGGAAATAGTACAAAAACGTTGTGTCCAAATTTATCTGGTTTTTTCCACTTATTTCTCCTATACCACGTTATGAATTTTGATATGGATTTTACTGTTATTTAGTTTTTTTTTTATATTAAAGATCGTTAATTTTGCAAATCTGAGATAGATCGCTAGTAATTTATATATTTTATAATTATAATTTTAGCATAAATTATCCATACATTTTACGTGCATATTCTTGGAGATTTCTACTTAAAATTATTTGAATAAAACATGTGCCCATTGTACCTTGTTAAAATTTTCTTGTTACATTAATATTGACAGTAATATTTTCAGCTATCTCACATCAGTGCTTGAAGAAGACAGAAAGATTAAAACTCAAGATCTTTCAACTCCTCTATCGAGTGTACTGAGGACGTACAGTAATTTAGAGACTGTTTTAGAAGCGTTCAGTTGTTCCGAATGGAGACCGGGGTGAGTTAAGAAATATGATTTATTTCTGGCATTTATAGTTTTTTTTTTTATTTATTTAGGTTCTCCAACAATTGTTTCTACAAGATAGTGTAAATATTGATACAATTATGGAACTAAATGTAACAATTTTAACAGGCAAACACAGCATATATCGATACTAACAATTGGCACTGAGAAAACAAATATATACATCTTACAACTATTATTAAATGTTTAACAACTAAAGCCACCATATCTATAAGCAGATTCAGCAACACTAGTCTTTTCATACATACATTTATAGACATTTCGTACAAAAGCATTTGAACTAAAATTAATATCGACCTGGTCACTACAGTTATTTATAAACTTAAATAAAAAAAAAAAATATTCGTACTAATATCTTACAATATAAAGCATGCCTTAAAAAATATATTTATAAAAATAAGTTGATTTTTAACATATGCCAGTTATAAGAATTAAAACACCAATGTTCCAAATAAAAAAAATCAATAAAAAAAAAGTTTTTTTGACTCTCTATCTGAAAGCGATATTAGATGGGTCGAAATTCTCCTTTACAAGTTATTTTAAAATCACTTCATTATCATACAAGCATGTAATAAGCGTCACATTCAACCGTAGCAGATATTTATTCTTAATCTATGCATTAAATTGACTGTTACTGTCCGCGTACAACTAATGAAAATATATTTTTTTTATTATTTTTTTTCTATTTCAGATACAGCTTGCTCAATTCTGTTATATCCACTATTGCAAACGCTTTGCGTACTGACAGCGACTTCGAGAAGGTGAGTTTGTATGGGATACATTATTTTATTAGAATTTTGGAAAGCGACATTTAAAATCATAACTTTAAAATTACCAAAAACTTTTATATTAATTTTATAATGAAAAAAAAAAAACTCAAAATGGCCACTTCTAACGTTATACTGATGTTTTCATGCTTACAAGGCCGATTACGTGGCATGGTAAGTCCAGTATAAATAGATTATACTAGCTTTTATCCGCAACTTTGTACGCATGAATTTTGGGAATAGATTACTGGTAGGTACATCTAGATGACGTATAAAGATGATATACTACTGTGAAAACCGTACTCAATTTGGTTTAGTCGTTTTTGCGTGATGTCGGAGCAAATATACATACGAGTATAGACAGAGAGACAGACAAAATGTTTAAAAATTATTCTGTTGCTCTTATTGAAACCTCTCAAATAATGTTTTCTTAAATATCTCACATATACAGATATATTACAAATTTATTATATATATTTAACTGACTTCAAAATATAGAAGTTCTTAGTTTGTGTGTGTGTGTGTATATCTATATCTTATAATTCCATCAGTTGTAAATCGATTTTAAAAATTCTTATTTTATTTGAAAGTATATATCCTCAGATTGGTCTCATAGATATTGTATCAAAATCGGTTCAGCAGTTTAGGGTTTAAATCAAAATAACTAATTTTGCCATAATTGAATTAGTTTTTTTTATGTGATGCCTCAGAAATATTAAACATTTATGAGTTTCGGTACCAATTTACCATCTGGTGGATCGTATGCTTGATCGATATACATAGTTGCACAAAAAATATAAATAAAAATGAGAGAGAAAATGTTCTTGATGAAAATCATTAGTTACTATAAAAACAACTATGTCAAACATTCGAAACTGTGAACTACAAATGGCGTTAAGTATATTCTAAATCGGAATGAGTTTAATTTTGAACGCGATGGTATCTCATCTCAAATTAGTATCAGATTAACACAACATGTTTTAAACGTTTATTTATATCCAACTCCCGAACACTGCACCGAGCGTAATATTTTTTATATGCACCAAAATCTCAGATCTTAAACTACATAGCGAAAACATATTTTCATATTTTATCTTTTGTTTATATTTAAAAAAAAAAAGTGTATTTAATTTGATTGTATGAACTCATTTATTAATTTATGTGTGTCATAAATGGCTCAAAATAAAGTGTTTCTCTATCTATCTATCTATAAACAATCGTCTTCTTGTATTTCCTTAAAATGTTACATTCTTAAGTGAAAAAAGAAAGAAAATGCTTTTTAAATAGTTGATTGACAAATAAAATAAAACAGAGATAATAATATTAGTTTGCAACAACTAGTTGTCAAAGTAGCCAGCAATCAGCATTATGCCATGGCAGTTTATTTACTGCAACAGCGCTGTTATTGTGTGTAAGCCACACAGTGACTTTATTTACAGTTTTAAAACAATAATGAAAAAAAAATAAACGATATATAGATACTCTTTATTGTTTCTTCAAAAGATTACAATAGTAAATTTATTATAGCTATAATCAATTAAAAGAAATAAAAAAAATACACAAATACAAAAAAAAAAACAGTACATACAAAATAATAATCCATATAATATATAAATAAACAGTAGTCAGAAAGACAAGAAAAATACCAATATATACAAGTACGATCGCTAGCAGACCAATGAATTAAATTACATTTTCTCAAACATGCTTGAAAATGTAAGCTGTTGTATTGCTGAAGGTTTAATGTAAAATCTGGTATATGTTTTATTTTGATATACACTCTAAAAGCTTTAACTTCTGAACATGTTTTTCGTACTTCCGAAATACAGGCGAACGAAGTAGCGGGCTAACACTAGTGCTAAATAAAAACTAACAAAATAAAAAAATATATATCGATAGTTGTATAGTATGATAACAAATAGTTGGTTCTATATTTATGAAGACTGATTAAAAAAGATTATAAGCCAGATATTCTAAATTTCTACGCTAGCTAATAGACGGAGTAGTACACCGCAATATGTATATATTGCCGTATCAGTATGTATATATTAGTTCAATAACGGATATATTAAATAGCGGTTATCCAATATATAATATCGAAATAAGGCACTCGGTCGAAATGAACATAGATATCCGACTGATATAGGTGATGTTGAAATGGTTGATGACCTTTCTGCCGCCGTCAATATCCAGTGGAATATCCAATATATAGATATTGGAGTACTATCTAACAATTTGTTAGTCAATGTCCTAGTGACCTATAAATTTTTTAATCCTTTATCAACCGATGGCTGGTCATTAACGACCCATCGAAACACCACAAACAAAGGGATTGTGGCACTTGTAATGAATGTGTGCACAGTGTCATGGTGTGTTTGAATGGACATTCGGGTTAGTTTGACATCGCAATTAGTGGGAGAGTGTCGGGAAAAGATTATTACTTGGGCAGGGTTGCCATTCAATTTAGTATAATAAAAATTAAACACTAAATAAATAAATAAATACTTACAAAAAGTTAGACATTAAAAAATGTTGAAATATTTTAGAAATATTTATAATACTTTTATTGTATGCTTTATAAACACTTATATAAAAAATATGTAATTTTTATATAAGTTTTTCTTTTATACCACTTAGAATGGCAAACAAGCTGACGGCCCACCTGATGGAAAGTGGTAACCGTCGCCTATACACATGAGCAGTACCATGGACATAACAAAGTATACTGTTTCGCCCATGATACCCCCCATACGTTGCCATTCCTGAGGATTCAGATGTTATTCCTCTGTACCCTGTAAATTCACGCCATATCCCACCACCCTTCAAACCGAAACACAGCCATGCAAACACAGCTGCTTCATGTTTATAAACAGGAAAGTAGCCACTCTTAATGCAGATTTGAGACAATATCTGTGTATTTATTTATTTATTTATTCTTTATTGCACAATAAAATTTTGTACAGTAGTCGAGCTTAATGGCCTTAACATTCTCTAACCGTTAACCATTAGGTAAAAACTGAAAGTGTATAAAGGACAGTGGTGGTAAAAAAGATGTGTCATAATTATTGTAACATTGTGTGCCTAATAATATTCCTGTTTTCCAGTTCGAAGAGCGGCTACAGAGTACAGGCTGTCAGGAAAGCGAGATAAACAGTGGGCGGAATGCTGTGAACAGTATAAAAACAACATTGGAATGGGCTGATGACCACAAGAACGAGATTTTGGCACAATTAAGAAACAAAGGAATTACTACGTTGCCATCTTACATTTTGCTTATTGCTATTTCAGCTCTGGCAACACTTTTTGTCTAAGTCAAAGTACTAATATGGAAAAATTACTAAATACCTATTTGTAATATATATAATACATTAAATGTATTATTTTGGAATCCTAAAATATGATAACTTTACCAGAATGCCAGTTTATGATTATTATATTTATTTTTATTAACATTTTATTTTTTAATCGTAAAATAATGTTAATTCTTTACTTACTTTAATAATTAAAAATATATTGTAAATAAATTAAAATATTTTATTTGTATAAATGTAAATTAAGCAAATATCTATTACACTATATTTATTTTTATATATGTTATATATGCATATTTTATCTTTGATATTTATTTATTTATATCTCTATAATATATGTAATATTATTGAGTAGATATATTTTAATTATTAAAAATTAGTGTTAAAATATTTATTATATGTAAATGGCGTTTATAATATGTAAATATTGTATATACTAACTAACTAACTGACTAAGTAATATATATCTTGTACAAATGTTAACTAAGAGATCCTCTGCCACTTTGTAATTAATACAGTCCGCTATTTATTTTAATAGCATAAATACGTAGATATATTAAATTTAGGTCCTTTAAATTAAACAGAATAAAGTAAGTAATGATTTACAAAATGTATTTTCATTGGTATTATTATTTTAGTAATAATGAGTATTATGAGCAAATGTGCTAAACACCTTTAAATTAAGGTGGGATATATATGTATATATATATTCATATATATATGTACCCCCATGCGTTGCCTGAGGGCATCATGGGCGAAACAGTATACTCTGTTATGTCCATGGTACTGCTCATGTCTATAGGCGACGGTAACCACTTTCCATCAGGTGGGCCGTCAGCTTGTTTGCCATTCTAAGTTGTATAAAAAAAAATTAATTAAAATTACATAAGCAGCGGATTAGTTCGAACGAATATCGATACGCGAGATTTCAATTATATATTAAAATCTCGTGTAACGCATTTGTGTATTAAATCTAATTCACCGTATGATCCCGGCATAGAATAGACCACCCCTTCTTTTGCCGTGAGTGTCAAACGAGGCGACTAAGGGGATTTAATGGTAGAGGGATAGGCAGTAGCGTCCCTCTTAAAACATCCCCAAAGACTAACTGCGGTTGCCAATCCACCTGCTAAACGTGGCAACTATTGGCAATTTTTCTTAATAGGAAGAAATCTATGTTCGGCAGTGGACTGTTAACAGCTGATATGAAATCGTATAACGTTAACCGATTGAACAACATTGTTAAGCGTTTGTTTATTAAACGTTCGAAATTCAAATTCCTTTTTGTTTTCTAAAACTTTAATTGGACAGATACAAACGTTTATGTATTTATGCATATACACTCGTATATCTAGTGATGAATATGCAACAAAATAATAAAATAGTGATCATATTAAGCTGTTAAAATGTAATCAATTTCGAATTACTATACAGCTATCCGCCATGGGCAGTGTGATTCTAATATAAACTTATATAGGACGCGTGGGAAGATAATTCGACTTCCATTATTGTAAAATCAAGATCCATTTCGTCAATGGCAAGTGGTTTGTTGGAAATGTTACGTTAAATTATCTTATAATGATCAATCTTACTTTTTTAACTGACTTCGAAAAAAGGAGTTATAATCGGTCCCCAATGCGTTTTATTTCATTTATTTTTTATTTATTGCGCATGCGCAACATTGTGAATTAAATTAAAGATGTTTTAAGTGAATACAGTCGTACAAGGATCCTGGTAGGGTAATAAATTCAAAAGATGATCGAAAAAGGCGGGAAACGTTAAACTTGGCGATATTCTGAAGAATGAAACTAAAATTAAAATATTTGACGCTGGCAGAAATTGTCGTAAAAATAAAGACATTGCTGTTTAAAAAACTAAAATAATAAATAAAATTTAATAAACCTACTACTCGTATTTGTATCGTATGGTTTGTCTCTTTTAATAATTGTTTCGACTTCATCTAGATGTATTCAGGGTGAGTTTTTTATGCAACATAGAATGGCAAACAAGCTCGTGATACTCCCCATGCATTGCCATTCCTGAGGACTCAGGTATTATTTCTCTGTACCCTGTTAATTCATTGCCATATCCCACCCTTCAAACTGAAACAGCCATGCAAACACAACTGCTTCACGGTAGAAACACGAATGGGACAGAGGTTCCTAAACAATCGACTTTTGTATTAACTCTCCCTCTGGTATAATGCTTACTAATTATTACTTTATTGTAATACACTTTATTGTAATGAACTTATATTTTAAAATTTATAGATGCCATGGATTCTTTTGCCCTTAGAAATGTTAATATATTTCAAAGTGATTTTTTTATGACTAAGCATATTTCTCGACCCACTATCTTTACCTAAATCAATAATTATTTTACACATTCTTACAACTAGCGGTATGCCCAAATTGGCTAAATCGAGTAATGGCTTGAATGTTTTTTTTTAAATAAAATAATGATACAATAAGTGCCTTTATATAAAAAAGTATTATTAGAAAATAAATATTATTTTTAAGTATTTAAAGTATAGATATCGATTATATTTTCTTTCTATTTCTTTATTCTATTTCTTTTAAATATTTTCTTTAATCACCTCATAAAATAATTATAAAAATCCTCTGTCCATATGTTACGTATTATGCCGTTAACTCACCACTGCTGATTATAGGCTTCCCCTATTGGGAGGTGTGGAGGGAGAGGAATATTTATCAGTAGTTGTTATGCTTGGTAGGCTGGTTGGCAACTGTAGTTAAACTTTGTGTGGATCTTTTAAGAGGGACGCTGCTGCCCATCCATTGACCATTAAGTCTACTTAGTCCACTTTAACTCAATGAATTACTTATCTTGAAATATTTGATCTTGTTACCAGAGATATTGTAATACCTGTATACTCATATAAATAGTTCGATGAATAAATTTTTTAAGAAGTACTGAAATACTCGATTGTACAAAAACCGTCGACTCAGTATATCACTACATCACTACTTACAACATAATACCATAGATAATACGACAAATAGAAAGCACATAATACATGTTAGTAGATAGAAAAGATTACATCCTACACACCATACGTAAGAAGTTGTAATGCATTTAACGGAACCAAAACAATTTCTTTTAAATACTGCGTGGGCGACTGCACTTAGCAACCGAATAATGGCGTCCCACTTACGTTTCCTTGGTCTAAAAAAATACTGTAATAAAAAAAGAATATAATTCACTGATTGTGTTATAATTTCTTAATGTATTTTTTTTTATATCGACTAGAAAATAATACAGATAATTTATTTACAATTTACAAAATTACAAGTCCATTTTAAATTAATTATATCATTCCCATTACAAATTTGTTATATTCTATTATTTTTTAATTTCAAGAAAATAGCAATTTTTCTATATAATAACAATAATAAACAAGTTTAAAAGTAATATTAATTTATAACAATAATAAAATCACGTTTAATCAATTAGATTAAATAGAAAAAAAAAACTTAATTACGAGGTTTGTCCGGAAAGTACGTATAAAAGTTTTTTAAAATTTTTATTTTACAATTATTCAGGTAAATCAATTTTATCCCCTTCAAAGTACTCCCCCTGTGACATAATGCACTTGTGCCAACGCCGTTTCCACTGTGAGAAGGCTCCTTGAAAGTCCTCTGGTTGTAGGTTTCTCAGCTGCCCCGTCGTAGCTTTTTTTATCTCATTTATGTCCCCCAAATGCCGCCCCCGAAGTACCAATTTGGTTTTTGGGAACAAGAAGAAGTCACACGGGGCCAAATCCGGCGAATAGGGGGGTGTTCGGTCACCGTAATGGAATTTTTACTCAAAAACTCACGGACAACAAGAGGTGTGGGCAGGGGCATTGTCGTGGTGAAGAATCCAACGCCCCTCTCGCGCCAATTCTGGACGAACTCGTGCCACACGAGCTTTGAGGCGTCTGAGCACATCGACGTAGAATTTTCCATCAACTGTCTGGCCTGGAGGGACGAATTCTTGATGGACAATCCCCCGAACATCGAAAAAAACAATCAACATTGTCTTGACATTTGAGCGGGATTTTCTTGATTTTTTTGTTCGTGGTTCCCCGGATGTCTTCCAATAAGAGAAACTTGATTACGACGCGCTGCTCTTCAACGGAAGCGGGCTCCATGCCGACGGGGTTTCGTTAAGAGGTAACTTCACAGATGGCGTGAACCGCACGGCGGTCAGACCAGAACTGAAGCATTGTTAGGGACATAAGGAAGGGGTCCTGCGCTTACCTGGCCTCCCCACTCCTCTTTCTCGCATTCCAGAACACTTTTATACGAACTTTCCGGACAGACCTCGTATCTTTAAATCCTTTTATAAAAGAAGATAATTAAATGAATTATAAGTTACTCTCTATGTAACTACATATTTATTTTAATAAAAAAATTCTTTCAATTTAATTTATATAAAATTTCTCAGATTTCATTTGAACTCTGTTAATTAAAAAAAAGTCGTATATTTAAAATATCTCCGTACCAATTAATTCAGCCGTTTAGCCAGGAAAATTAAACAGTCCGATAACGTACGCAACATTGAAATTTTACGTGAATATTCAATTAGTAAGCATAATACCTAAGTATAATTAGTTATTTTCAATGTCATTTTCATAAAAGTTTATTGTTCGCATTTTCCTGTTTCATTCATATATTCATTCTGTAAAATTACCTAAGTACTAATTGTGTAAAAGGTTATTCATGCTTATATCTTTTATTCGTAGAATTGAGAATAGCTCATAGTTACAATTTTTTTTTAGTACGTTTGTTCCGTTGTGGAACAGGCTAAGGTCGGAGACCATGCTGTCTAGTCTTCAATATGATAAATTGTCTGGAATCATAGTTACAATTATAGAAATCAATATTATTATATAAAAAAAAAAAAAAAAAACACTATTTGCTCGTAAGAAGCAAATGCATATATGTGGTCATCACGTAAATTACTCATACTAATGTAGAGCAAGAAAACTCCAATATAAATTGATCCCTTACTTTATATCGAATAGCCTGTATCAAATCTTACAACTCGTTTACTGAAGACGGAGCGGTATCTCATCTTAAATTGGCCGCCTCCAACTTTATACAGCTGACTATGGCGCGAAACGCGAAAATCTTTTTCTGTAGTGTGCAGTTCTGGCCGCGTACGGACGTATTCGAACGCGCGATTCGAAAATTGGCGGGTCGTTTAAAAAAAGCGAATGACATTAAAAAAATAAAATGATTTTACGCGCGCTTTCTTTTCTTTTTCTATTGTCTGTGGTAAACGCGTATTATTTAAATGAAGAGGAATGTTTGAACTATACAGTGTACCCTGTGCAATATGAAATCAAATTATTTGTTAGCAAATCCTATTACGATTGTCAGATAAAAATAACTGTTATAGCGAATGCTCTTAATGTAAATATGATCGAATTGGATGCAAACGATTTAAAAATTAACTTCGACAGTTTAAAAGTTTACAAGGAAAACGTTGATATAGTGAATAGACCGAGGCCTTATGAATATGATAGAATGAATGGAAAGTTATATATATATTTGAGGGAACCATTGATTCGTTATAGCAAGGAAAGCCCTCAATACTATATCGTAATGATGTTTAGGAAATATTTAACAGAAGAAACTGAAGGAATCTTTTTGGTGCCATATAAGGATGTATCCGGTAAAATTAAGTAAGTACTTTAATAAAACTCATATTTTAAGAATAATACACGTTTTGAATTGATGACCTTGGGGATCTAGAAGTTTACCAAACCTCACTTTCCGCTGGTCGCGTGTTCGACCACCGTACTATACAAATATTTATATTCATTAAGTATGACTGTTAGTATTGGTCTTAATATTGACATAAACGTATGTATTAAAAACAGTATTCAAATATGTTTATCAGTTGTATAATATACTTATAGTACAAATTCTGCTTTGTTTGTGACTTTTAGATGGCGCTGGTTAACGTGTATGATATTTTTTATTTCAATTATTTTCTACAATGTACACAGGGAATGGATTATACTTGGTCAGGTCGACCTCCACACGGCCCCACCTTGAAACCATCTTGGTTTATTTCTGTTCTGTTCTCCTTTAACCAAAAGTTATCTGTAAAAGATTTCTCTAGCGATAAAACCGCCTTTTGTACCTTTATGTGTATATTTCAATCTGTATTTATGTTACTGTATTTCACTTGAATTATTTACTTGTCATTGTATATTTTTATTTATGGTGCAATAAAGAGTTAAATAATAAATAATAAAAAATAATAAAAGTTTTGTTAAAAAAAAAAACAGATAAATATCAGAATAACTCTTATGTATGTAGTTATTTCTAACGTTGTTAAGTAAGTAGATACTTTTTAAATTAAAACCAAGACACGAAGATCAAAAATTTTCATAAAAGACGTCTAAGAATTATTAAAATAAATAATTCAATTGTTATCAGTCTCTGTATTTGGAAGAGCAAATACGTATAAAATTTTCAGTTTAATTGTATAAGTTAAATAGACGAATATAAAAGTTTTAAATGTTAAAAGGTAAATATTCAAATTCTGTATGTTTTCAGTTATTATGTATTTTTGCATTTAATTATTATTCTTGGTAAATAAACTCATAGCCCATTTGATAGAAAGTGGTAACTATTGCCTATAATATACATGAACAGTGCATAAAATTAGACTAATATAAGTAGATTTAACAATATTACAGTCCTTTTTTGAAAATCTATATCTTACTATACTATTATTAAAGTTTTGTAAGAATGGATAGATGTTTGTTACACATTCACGAAGAATACTATTGAACAAATTTGAATAAAATTTGGTACACGGATAAAGTATATCGTAACTTAATATATAAGATACAATATACACTACCATACAATGTACTATACACTATATATTATAAACTATACACTATATATTATAAACTATACACCAAATACTATGTACATTTAATCATGCGGGAAATGCTGCAGGAAACAGCTAGTACATGTTTAAGTTAAAAGCAGAGTATCATATATTTTCATCAGACGGAAACTTTGTACAAAAGTCGTTTGCTTAGGTACCTCTGTCCCATTCGTATTTTAACCGTAAAGCAGTTGTGTTTGCATGGCTGTGTTTCTGTTTGAAGGGTAGGATATGGCGTGAATTTACAGGGTACAGAGGAATAACACCTGACTCCTCAGGAATAGCAACGCATGGGGGGTATCATGGGCGAAACAGTATACTCTGTTATGTCCATGCTACTGCTCATGTCTATAGGTGACGTTTACCACTTTCCATCAGGTAGGTCGTCAGCTTGTTTGTCATTCTAAGTTGTATAAAAAAGCAGAGTATTTTTTAAATAATTGATATTAAAAACCGAGAATTGTTCAATTCAGTTACCACACTTACGCAAATTTCAGTATAAACGTGATTCCTGTATTAATAAATTAATAAAAATTTACAAAGTAAATACAACGATTTAATAAATAATAAATAAATATTTAATTATTTCGTCAATAATGAGTATTTTGTAACCATACGTTTATCAATATCTATTAGGAGAGATACCACAAGTGACCAAATTAGCCGTCGATGTGTTGTAATATTATTAGAGCAATACTAATTGTGAGAATATATTTACCGCCTATTACGAGGAACTATACATGGACGGGTTGCGAAGTGGCTATAAAAATACCATAAGTATTTAGCATACAGCAGTGCAGGATGAATAAATGGTAATTTCTTTTGTTTTTACAAAAAAAAAAAAAAAAGTAATGTGTAATTCAGTTTTTTTTTTTGTTTTCTTTAAATCCGAACATATTTAAATTTTTTTTCCTTATTAATAAATGTTTACTCCCATATATTTTTTTTAATTAGTAACAATGGAATGGTAACCTCGCTTGCTCTATCTGTATACGCTGGCGGGGCACCAGTGACGGATGAGATAGATGAAAATGGATCAGGGCAGTTGGCTATTATTGACGAATTTATAAGGAAATAATCAGGATGGTTTCCAGGGGGAACTACGTGGAGGTCGACCTGATAGGCTATATTGCTAGCAATGGGATTAATGAAGATCATTACTAACAATTCCTCCCCCCAATCCAAATAATTACTAATGACAATTTTGAACTGTACTCATGAAACAACAGGAATTAGGTTATTTATTTATTTATTCATTAGTACAAATATGCGTACATGATGAACTTAATGCTAAAAGCATTCTCTCCCAGTCAACCACAGGGAAGTGTCAGAATACTCGAATGCGGTACTACTAATTATTGATATACATACATACTAAAATTACATATATAAACGAATAAATATATATAAATAACAAATATACTTACACATATATGATATATACTATATTATACACGAAATTGAGAATAATATAAAGCACTCACTGTTCGGTTATCATTGGGATCGACTTACAATAGTTTGCAATGATAAGTTACAGTAATATGCATCTATCAGAACAATATGGAACTATTATGTCGCTAGTATTGCAATTCAAGAGTGTGAAACATCTCAATTTCAATATCGATTTATCGGATATTATTTCAAGAGTAAATCTCCATTACTGACAATCCCTATCCCCTCCTTAGTCCCATATTAAATTTACACAAATATTATCAATAGATTAATGATGTTGTTGATGATTATTAGGACGAAAAATTACAGGATTCTTCTTAGTTATAAGATCCGATTAGTTTTCCAGTGATTGATAGGAATCTCAGCAATACTTATTTTCTTTTTCAATTGTTATTATTCAATAATATTGTATTAAATATAATTATTTTTAAACGGTTTTATTTAGCTCGACCTGTACGGTATTTATTTATTTGGGTCAAAATTAGAAATTAGAATTTAAGCACCTTCCCGTTGTCAGATTGATCTGAAATTTGGTACACACATTTAATTTAGATGACAATACAATATAATAAAATCAATAACATTATAAATCTAAGATGGCCGCCGATACAAAATGGCGGATTACATATTTTTCCTTAACCCCCGCAATATGGGTATCAAATGAAAGGGCTACACTAGTAAAACATGATGATTATGTCAAAATATCAAATTCAAGATATACGCCGTTACAAAATGGCGTATTAGGTGGGGGCATGATTAGTCGTATCGAGAACAGTTGCGTTTAAGATTGTGTGACGTTAGAGGGGCAGATAAAAAAAATAGGTAATTAGATACCTCGTTAGTAAGCGGTAGTTATACCACCCAAGTTAAGGTAATAGGTTAAAACGTGCCGAGGACTGTATGGCATTAGGGTGGATAAAAATGTAATGTCGTAAGCGCTTCCCCCTCAAGATTGGGCGCATCTTGTTGTATATTAAGCCTTGCCCCTTTACTGGACTGCGGGGGGGGGGTCGACCGTCAAAATGCCCCTTAATCGTGGGAACAACATGGTAACAATAAACAAAAATACCAACAAATATAAATAAGACTGGAGGCTTACCATCAGTACTTGAAATATTTGTAGGTGCAAAAGTAAGGTTGCGGTCCAACATTGACGTTACAAAAGGATTGTTAAATGACGCTATAGGCCACATTACAGAAATTTTTTGGTCTCAGTTCCGTCGAACCCAAATGTACGAAACAGATATATCATCAGTTTTAATTGACTTTGGCACAGACGGCATGCACGTTATTTACCCTAAAGCCATACAGTTTCCAGCAAAATTCAATTATGATACGGCTGAAAAAGGATGTTGCCCTTAGTTTTGTCATGGGCATTCACCGTCCATAAAATGCAGGGCAGCACCGTCGACCATGCAGTAGTATATTTGGGCTCAAAATTGTTTGAGGAAGGACAAGCATACGTGGCTCTAAGTCAAGTCTCTGGACGGGCTATGTATTGAGGAATTAGATTGTACTAAATTATCAGGTAAGAAACAATGTAATAATGATGCACTGAATGAATTAAATAGAATGAGGAATATTCGGTAAACAATTTCACTAAATACTAAAAACAAGAAAATAAAAATCGGTAAAAAAACTTTTAAGTTAAACGGTTTTATTTTATGTGCACTGAAAACTACAAAATAAATAAATAGTTACTTACCTATCAACCTACGTAGGTGATCTCGGTCATTAATATCTCTGATGGTAGTGGTTGTCATAACATGAACCATGTCAGCGGCCGAAAGGCAGTTCATGAGAGAACACTAACACCAGGGTTTGCTTGGTAGGTAAACTAAGCAGCCCACACTATAACAAGTAGGTATTTTGACCTTCTAGTTCAGAAATATTTTAGTACTAGGCAGAATAGCTTTTAGGCATATTAGACTAAAATAAAAACGTGGGGCCCCTCTGAAATCATACCTATAGCAGAGCATATCTTATACTTTAGTAGATCATGAGCTCGGCGTTCGCTAGTGAAGCCGTAACGGCTGGTTATTGATGGTCAAAACCTCCAGTTACGATTATAGTAAGTCGATTCAGCGGACCCTGGACTCCGGAGCTATGAGGTTTCGAATGCGACTGGGATAAACCGCTAGGATGATGATGATGACGATTATAATAAGTCGATGCAATCCACACTTAGTATAGTAGAAAGTAATACAGAAATAGTTAATGGGCCCCACGTTTTTATTTTAGTCTAATATGCCTAAAAGCTATTCTGCCTAGTACTAAAATATTTCTGAACTAGAAGGTCAAAATACCTACTTGTTATAGTGT